GGTGCTGTCCAAAGGGAGGGCAGACGCCTGACAGGGTCTTAATGGAACGTTTGGAACCTGACTAGCCTCGAAGGAGACTGGACACCACGATCCCACAGGGTTGAGTTCGAGGAAGGAAGCAAACGTTCCAATGTTGGTCTTAATTTCCATCACTCCCGTTTGGCTTTGCGAACTTCCGTGCCTCGCAACCTTTACTTGCTGTCCCTTGCTGTCCCTTGCTTCCGTGGATTTTTCTTCTCTTTTTCTCTTTTATCCTTGTCTCCCTTTTACACGCATTTCTCCAATTGCTTTTGCGTTTCTCAACTTCACTTCCTCCCTAGCCTGGCATCTTCTTATCCTTGCAGACCTCGGTAGGGCATTTGACAGCGAACAACCGAAACCGTCTCGCCAACACTCAAAATACTCTCCTCGGAATACCAAACTGTGTGGCCCGGACCGAGGAACCCCCAACGAGTCGCGACTGGCCTCTTTCCATATCCCTTTTCGCCTTTCTTTGAGCCACCTTTAGTCCACGTCAAAACGCACCAGAATCGCCCTCCTGATAGCAGAGACAACATTGAACTAGTTAGGAGAACTGATGCAGACGTGGGTCATCTCACCGAAGACAGGCGTCTGAACCACCTAGCATCTGATCTGTCGGAGTGAGTAAATTTTGTTTCCCGGATTCTCCAAAAGAAAAAAAAGAGGGCCCAACACCTTCGGGTGGTTCTCGCTACTTTTCCAAAGGGGGAGGGGACCCATTGGGCATCATCCTCGGCACTTGAGCCTTCGCAGCCGGCGTTGGCTTGCATCTCCAAAACTCAAATCGGCCACCTGTGGGTATCGCCTCAAGTTCTTCCCATCAACAACAACACGAGTTCCTCGACGTTTTGTGCCACGGCCAACTCGGCATCGGACCTGCGTGGAACCTAAGGACCAGAAACAAAATATAAATTTGGCCTTGCACGACGTCAACTGCAGCTTACACGTCCGCCCCATCGTACGATCTACACAGCATATAGCTGGCGAGACCATTTAACCTTGTCTCTTCCCGCCCGTGTCTCTCTCCTTGCGCCGGTCTCTCCTTACAAGTCCTGTCCTTGCTCAGAAAAGCAACGACTTTTCGTCTTGACGAGCAGCTAACATCACTCAATATCGCTTGGGCGGTGTGTGGGTTATTTCCCGCCGACAACTCGCTAACGACGTGCGCTGTCGCGTCTGTCTCACACCTTTTGCCCAGTTCCTTTTCTTATTCTGTTTTTTTTTTTTTCTCTTTCGGCCGTCCTTTTGGGGGCCTCGACAAACTTGCCGGCTTCTCTCTCTTAGCTCCGTTTGGGTACTTCGGCTGTGTTGGTCCACGAAGGGCCGAATCCTTCACCTGATGCTCATTACCGACGACGTACCTCGCCAGCAGAGCTAGACGATTGCAAAACCAAGCACCCCGATTGGCAGCGTATGGATGGACAGACGGTGAATCCTTTCCACACACCACACCCAACCCCACCGAGACGAGACCCCAACACCAACTCCGACACCGACGCCGATACCGATATCATTCCCGATAATCAACACCAACTCAAAGAGATCGATCTACGCACCCACACCTCCTCCATCTACCTCTCGGAGGTGCAGCCTTGAACCTTCCTAATCCGTTTTTTCAGAGCGCAGAAAGAGGGGAGCAAAATAACCCACCAGTTTCACAATGACATCTATCGTGAGTCCTACCGAAAATGACTGCGTTGCCGTTACTTCATTTTCTTTCTTTTCTACCGACTTGGCGTCTCTATCCCCAATTACCCAACTACCCACTCCTTGGACTTGCCCTTACACATCTAGTCGGTGAGGGTGAGTCCGCCATAGCATCCCGTGCCCCCTACACTTGGCCACAGAATTTCCATGCTTTGGTTGAAGACTTTCAAATGAGCTCTAGTCTGAGTGGGCTAGACCTAAGCTTGCTTGTTATTTGGTCCTGGCCTGGTGTGACAGCCGTTCGCGAATCGCGCTCCAAAGCAATTTGTGTGCAGCCATGAGTGGGTGGATCGATAGACACTCAGCATCTCAGCATCACTCAAATCCGGGTCAGATGCCACAGATGCCAGATGCAACTTGTTTTTCTTTTCTTGTTTTCTTTTTGATTTGTATAGCCCTTTCCCTTCTCATGTTGTCGTCACTCGGGACTCGCAGGTTGAAAAGGAAAAAAAGGAAAAAAGGAACCAAGTCAAGCTGGCTTGCATTGCATTTGTCTGGTTTACACTTGGGCGGCGCCAGTACTGCCCCCTAGTTCGGACGCAAATGGCCAGGAAGGGAAGAACGCCAGCCTAGCGTCTGGGTTGTTCTTCTGTAGAGTCAAATGGATTGACTATTTCCTGCTGGAGGCAACTTGTGCCTCTTTTTCCCAACCATAATGGCCCAGCTGTTCCAAGCTTCACCGCCGCTGGGCTCATTGAGCCTTGATTTTTGGGCCCACCCCGACTCGCAGACCAGGGATTTGCCCTGTTGGTTCCCCTAACCTTGGGGGATCGAGAGATGCTAGTCCCGGCGGGGAAACAAGGAACGTGGAGCTCTTTGTGCAGCCTTTGTTTCACTCCGCATCTTATTGGGTGCGAGCAACGGAGTGAGGGGTGAGAGAAAATCATGGCTGGCAATGATTCTGATGGAGCCACCCTGAAAGGGGGAATTTAAGATCTGGGACACTCGGCCCAGCTCGAGCCACCGCTTGGTGGTTGGACTTGGCCTGTCTTACCAATTACTTGTCAGAATCCTCATTTGCCTCGAACTCGAATAGCTTCGCGAGGTCTGCTCTGGGATCTCCGTGTCATTTTCGCGAGTGCGTTGGTGACCCTTCTCAACGAACTTGGAACTTGATACGAGCCAGCGCAAGTATTTTGGGCGCAAGTTGGTTAGTGGACAGTGTGGGATATGAGTCTCATTCTGGAATTTGCGTCGCCCAGGAGCTAGCCCGTGCAAGTGCCTGATCTAGCCCAACGATAAATCTTCAGTCCATCATGCCACTTGCACGACCAGCGCGCGACATGGGTACAATGAACGGGATCGGCCCAAAAGTAAAGGGCCCAAAAAAAGAAGAAGAAAAACAAATCACAATTAGAGGCCCCCCTTCTTCTCCCCTCCTCTTCGTGAGGCCTGAGCTAGCGAGCAAGTCGCCTTTAGCCGTTTCCAGTCCAGCCTCAGTATTGCTTGACTCGACAGTCGAAGCCAGAGGAAGGAAAGAGCGTAATAGCGAGAATCTGATCGGTCAGAGATGCAAGTGAGCACAGACGCGGCCGGACACACGGACAGCCCTGCTCTTCGTCCTCGCCCCTTTTGGGCTTTTGGCTATCAAAAGATGGATGGCGGGGTGCGCCGTCGGTCCAACAGACGAGTCTGTTCCCACATTCGTGTCCAAGCGACGTCCGTCAGACACAGCATTGAACTCTCCAAGTAGATCAGTCAGCGCAAGTACCTCTGGCCGTTATGTCTTGAAGAAGGAGAATCGGGCCTGGAAGGAAAGCAAGCAAAATCGGCTGGTACCCGCGGTGCCCAGTGGAGTTGATCAGACTTCGCACTGTCACTATTAGCTCGCATTTGAGCTTGTATTGCTTGCGTTCCGGACCCTCCAGAGCAGTTCCATTGATCCATTGATGGATGCCAGCACTAGCACCAGCACCAGCTCAAGGCCACAGGCCAGGTCATGCTAGGCCCCATTGACTCGATTTTCTCGACCGGCACTAGAGATCAAGAAAGGCAAACGGCTCGGGAAAGGATCGGGGAAGACGGCGCGACCGAGTCAAGCGCAAGCTTCCATGTTCCCTTCCTTCCTGTTCTTTGCCACACGCCAGGTACCATGCAATGCATGTAACATGGGAAATTCTCATCCTTATCCCCGTCTTTATCCCACCCTCTCTCGCACCCGCACCCACGCACCCACACACCGCACCCACACGCACCCACACACACGCACCGCACACACGCTCTCTCTCTCTCGCTCTCTCTCTCTCTTTCCCTCTCTCGCTCTCTCGTGGGCGACAGGGTCTTAGTGATTGCATTCAAATTAAGCCCATGTAGCTTTGGGCTGATATCCCCTTGCCACTTTCCGTTCCCACTCCGTTTTAATCGTCATCTAATCCTCTCCCTCTCCTTCTTCTTCCTCTTCTTCTCTATCACCTTGGTTTTTTGGATCTTGAGAAGGGGAAAAGAGCGAAGCCGTCGTATTCTATTCCCTTGACATCTCAGTCGCACCCTCCAAGTCATATCCATTCCTCACCTCGACGCCCTAGCCACTCGCGATCTACCATCCTCTGCCCAAGTCTTCTCTTTCTTGGGAAAATATCAGTCGGAGAGACATATCTAGGGAGTGCACCGCGTTCCATTGTGTGGGCTCCTCCTTGAGTCCTCCGTCACGGGCTGGCTCTCCCTTAGATTCACCCTTTTTCTCCCTCCTCAAAACGCCCGCGGCGAATCGAACATGCATTGAGAGCCTCCTTAGTCCTCCTGGCCCACCATTCACGTCTCATCAATTTCATATTCCCTTATGCTCAAAGCACGAGCAGCATGTTGCTATCACGCAGGGCTTGATCGGTCACAATTACGCCTAGTCACATTCTTGAGCCCTGTATAAATCATATAGGAGTTCTCTTATCCCCCACCTCTTGCCCTCCGCTCCGACTGACCTCGATCTGCGCGGTTTCTTTCACCGCGTTTTGCCAATTCTCGCACGGACAACCCGCCCCCTTCTCATATTTATCTCTTATAAACCAGCTGGAAAACAGCGTGTACATTGTTGGATTCCTTATAATCCCGTTCTTTGCCCTGTCGCGTTCTGCCAGAGGCTTCCGCATTGTCGCATTTTCACTCGCTCTCCCCTCCTCACTTTTGATTCTGCTTCATATAGAAACAGAGCGAGCACCCTCTTACCGCGCCGTGCTGTGGCCACAGCCGACATCACCATCTATTGCGCGCAGCCATGACGTCGCCGTTGATCTTGGATGACAACCCCTCCATGCTAACTCCCCCGCGTTCCAGCTATGCCTCGCGCACTACTGCGACCATCATGGTCCGACCCCCTCATGGTCACCGAGGGGCTGCCAATCGCCTGTTCGACGTGTTTTGACCGCGAAGCCGCTTTCCTGGATGATAGACCGAGCTCTGCCTCGTCGCAGACTATCAATCCTGCCAGTGCAGACTCTGTAGCCGCCATCACGGATGCGTTACGCAACATCAATTTCTCCGCTCACCGTACCCCGGCACCCACATCCGAAGAAGACGCCCAAGCCCATCGCGCGTCGCTCTTGCGCACCGGTTCCTCCAATTCCACCCCTCCAGCCGCCGCTCTCTCCTCTGGATCTGCAATGGAAACCCCGCCTGCCAGCCCTAGCCAGGTTGAATCGAGAAAGCTTCCTCCCCTATCTACGCCGCGATTCGAGTTTTCGTAAGACGTATGATGATTACGTGACGAAACGCGCCGGTCCCTGCGACAACTGTGCCATGACGCTGCCCAATGACCCGGCGTCTAAACAAAAGAACGACACCCGCAGTCCCACGCTGCGTACAAAAACACCCTACGCCTGGGTGTTTGGCGGCACAAATGGGCAGGATTCGCCGCCAAATTCTCAGCCTTCCTCCGCGAGCGACACAGACGGCGACGGCGAGGCGGAATCGGACGAAGACGCACCATTAGAGAGAAAGACGTTTAGGCGAACAGGCACTAGTTCCACGACCTCGAGGTCCAGCGTATTCTCGAGCGGCACTCCTGGAAGCCACACCCATTATATCGAATACATCTCGACGAAAGAGCCAGTGCTACCCGCATCGTTCTCTATAATACGCGCATCGTGCCTCCGCACCCTGTCCTTTGAGACCCTCCCCGTACCCCTTCTGCTCCCGGTAACCCCCGCAGGCCCCACCCATCATCACTTCTCACAGCGCCGGAAATGCGGCGTCAGGTGGGCCCATCTTCTTTGGGGATCCGCTTGCGGGCTATACCACTGCTTACATTTTTCGAATTCCCGATATCCACGCCCGCGGCCACAAGCGTATCTACGCTTTTCTAGCCTTAAGCACACACAAGGAACGGGTAGCTATGAAGACTTTTGGGTTCATTGCCGCAGCCTTCCGGGATATGGCAACCTGGATCCAGCAGCTTGCCGACGCGGAAGCTGAGGCAACGTCCGGTGCGCGGCGCATGAATACTGCCCCATCGTCGGTTCAAAGCTCATCCCTCCAGCAATCGACCAACGTCCAGGACGGTGGCAGCGCATTTGACAGGGCTGCGGGAAGTGCGTTCCTCGGCGGCGGAAGCGCATTCGCCAGGAGAGCTGGCGGTGGAGGCGGTGCCATTGCTCTCAAGGCGAGGGGTCTACCAGAGCTCGTGGGCATGCCCGACTTTTTGTTCAGCTCCATGTCAAGTTTGTTCAAATCCTCGGAGAGTTGGGCGTCAAAATGAACGCTTGAATAAGCAACTATCACCTGGTATCGCGGCTAGCGGTCGGGTGACTGCGCCCCGTGTAGACGCCGGTAACCGCAGCGGGGCTCTTGGACCCGATGATGTGGAGACTCGATCTGTCCGCCTGTTACACTCACCTTGCAGCAGAACTTCTCTCGAGGTCTCACAAGCTCCATGCATTTCGATATCCTCATCTTTCTCCCGATCTCTCCACCTCTCCACCTCTCTCCGGTCTTACTCAACTTTTGTTCCTTTTTCTTTTTTCTTCTCTTTCTTTTCTTAATGTGGAGGATATACCCCAATGCCCACCAGCGAGCTGTTATCTCGAAGGCGCAATGCATAGCGACAGCAAAGAGTCGGCGAGCTCTTTTCTTTTCCGCCTGTCCTCCCTCTGGTTTTCTTTTCCCCCTTTTTTCCCCCTTGCACCCTTTTTGCTTCTTCTTGTGTTTAGGGAACTTTTTCATTTTTTTCATTGGGAAACGCATCGTACTATAAAGGTGGAACTGTTATTGTGTGCTTTTTCTTTCTCAATGTTTTAGGTAACGATGGCTGTACGATGACGACTCGGAACGATGACTCTTTTTTTTTTTTTTCCTTTCCATGCACCCTTTTCTAGAGTCTTATCCCGAAGCACAGATCATTACAAGACGGTACAGGAGTCGGAGGGCACAAAACAAAAACAAAAACATGGGTAGAGGCGCTCGGAATATAGATATACGAGATGATTCTGAGAAAATGGGGATTCCTCCCAAAGATAGAACTTGGAATGGACTTGACTTTGCATTTACTTTGGCCCTTGTACATTGAATTGGTACCTGACACGTAGACCGCGTTGTATCACATGTGAATATCCCGTAAACGTGAGCTAAGAGTAAGGAGGTAGGTGGGTAGGTTTGTTTGGAAAAGTGATATCTTTATATTACAAAAAGCTAGGGCAGGAACGAAACCAGACGTTAGGAGGGAGCGAGCAGCATTGCCGGGGAACGAGGAGGTGAAACAGGGCCCTGGCAGGACACAAAAAGAACATGGCCAAGAGGGTGGCGGTGGAAACGTGGGCGTGTTTCTGCGCGCGCGCGGTTCCGCGTTGCTTTCCACGACTGCGCGCGTTTGTGCGGGTGCGTGTGCGTGTGCCTATGTGTATATATGTGTGTGTGTGTGTGTGTGTGTGTGTGTGTGTGTGTGCGTATCCATGTCTATGTGCGTAGGCGGATGGCTTGCGGTTTGCGTGCAGAGGGCTGTATGTGTGCGTATGTGAGAACACACACGGGTGTGCATGGAGTGAGAGTGTTTTGCGAGTGTTTTTGTAAGAGTGTGTGGGTGTGGGTGCATCCATGTGTGCGCCTGCTTGTGCCTGCATGCTCGTAATGTACACAAATTCCAATGAGATTATCCCTTCCCCCTTTCCTACTTGTGACCTCTTGCCTCTATCCGCCTCGATACCCCTGGTGGCTGACCAACTACTGACAGGAAAGGGAAAAGAAAAACACAACAACCCGATGCTATCTTGACAAGAACTTGGCAAAGCTAAACCAACTGCTTTTGCCGCCGTGAACAAGAGCAGTAGGAGGGTCCCTCCCTTTTCTGAAGGTAAAGGGCACCGACAGAACGCAAGAGAGACCGGGAGAGAGAGGGGACAAGGGGTGGGGGTGGATAAAAAACATGGACGAAAAAAAGAATCCCATTAATCCGCTTCCCTTTCGACGCCCACCCGTAGCCATTCCTTGACACGCATGCTTCCTCCCCGTCCCGTCTTTGCGCCGCTTATTTGTAGAAGTCGAACTTGTTCTCATCGCTGGTGCTCTTGACCTGGCTCGAGTAGGCGTCCTCCAAATCGCTCTGAATGATATTATACCTGTTCTTCCTCACGGCGCGAAGACCGGCCTCCTGCATGATGGCGGCAATAACGGCTCCGGAAAGGGGGTCATTCCGTACGATCAAGCTGTCGAGATCCACCTCGGGGGCAAGGCTCATCTTGGAGGCGATAGTAGAGAAAATGAGACGGCGCTCACGGCGATCTCGCAGGGAGGGGAACTCAATCTTTCGATCGAGACGGCCGGGACGGAGAAGCGCGGGATCAAGTGTATCGGCACGGTTCGTGGCCATGATGACCTTGACGTTGCTTGTTTGATCGAAACCGTCCATCTGGTTGAGGAGTTCGAGAAGAATACGCTGCACTTCTCGGTCGGCACCGGTCTGGGCATCGAAACGCTTCGTGGCGATGGCATCAATTTCGTCGATGAAGATGATGGCAGGAGCGTTCTCGCGGGCCATGCGGAAGACGTCACGGACCATGCGAGGACCCTCACCGAGGTACTTTTGCACGAATTCGGAACCGACGACACGGATGAAGTTGGCCGTGGTGGAGTTTGCGACGGCCTTGACCAGCATGGTTTTACCCGTGCCGGGAGGGCCATAGAGAAGAACACCGCGAGGGGATCGATACCGATCTGCTTGTAGAGGTCAAAGTGCGTGAGTGGTAGCTCTACCGCTTCGCGAATCTCCTGTTTCTGCATATCGAGACCACCAACGTCGGCGTATGTTACGTCGGGCTTCTCATCGACACCAAGCATGGCAATGGACGAGTCCGCCTCGGGAGGGAGAATATCGACGAGGGCGTTGGAATGGCGGTGGAGGGCAACGGAGGATGACGGCTTGAGCTGTTCGCGGTCGAGGGTCGAGAGAATGCGGACGACATAGTTGGACCCGGTACTTGACTGTACGATTCCGGTACTGTAGATTCTATGTTAGAGAGCCATGGATTGACCCAAGTGCAGCCAAGGGAGCCTCTTACTTTTGATCAATGGCCTCCATAAACTGGCCGATAACCAAGGGAACACTCTGGATTCGCTTGATTTCTTCCTGGGCCCTGACAAGCTCGCGCTTCAGGTTGCGCTGCTCATCTTTGATATATTCTTCCTGTAGCTGGATGTATCTTTGATTTAAAAATAAAATTAGGATCATGATGCATGAGAAGAAGAAATACGACGAAAGGGCTTGGAAAACCAGGCTGTTTCAATGCAGCTTTCGGGGGAACTGAGGGCTAGGCTGGGGTGTACATACTCGAGTTGCCGTTGGAGCTTCTTCAGGTTGGCATATTCGTCGCCACCATCAGGCGGTAGGCCCTCGAAGCTCTCGACATTTGGTATCGTGGAAGGGATGGCCTTCTTCTGAGTCGCGATATGGTTGGGAGCGACGTCGACGAGCACGTCACCCATGGTGATGAGGCTGTGTTGGGATAGGGAGAGAGAGGTTGGCGAAAAGATGGAATTTTAGGGTCGCGAAGCTGGACCTTGGCCTACGCGGTAGGGAGGAGGATCGCGATGGGATAAGATCGATGGGAGGAGGATGTTCGGGATGGTGGAGATATTTGGGTGTGTGTGGTGATCGTGCACTAGAAGGCTGAGGCTGGCAACAAATCATACAATGATCCAAAGCTTGCGTTTCCCGGTTGAAGCCTACACCAAGCAAATGGATTACATAATATTCTTCGGCTGCCCAAAAACTTGGAGCTTCTTGTCGTCTGGTCCGGTTTGAGAGGTGGTGTAGTCATCATCAGCTGACACATCCAGAGCTCTACGTGTGATTAGTCATAAAATCCAAATACGAACTAGCGTATTCTTACGTAATACATCAGCCGACTCATTCCGATCAGCCTGAGGTGTTCAATCAAGCACCCTCAATTGTTCGAAAGACAGAATCACGTGAAAAGGGGCTGACAATGCCTACAGCATACTCATCACTCAACTTGACACCAATGAGACTTGAATAGGCATCGCTGGACAAAGTAATACCTTATTAGTCACCAGTGCATGGAGTGGAGTGGATGAAGCAAATCGCGGTTGGAAGGGACCGATCAGACCTTCTCAACCAAAAGGTGAGGCTAGCTTCCAGGCAGGGCGAGGTGTGGAGCCAGATAAGATGAATGTCTGATTGGCCAAGTTCACCGGGGCCTTGGATCAGCGGTGACCAGGGTGTATGCGAGGCGAACAACGATTGGCCCAAGTGCGTCAGGATCCCCAAAATCGAAGACTAGGCTGGGCATGCCTGCAACAGTTAATGACGAGAAAGCTTCCCCTTTCGAGCACAAGAGGACCGGGACTGTCTCGGACTGTTCGTGGGAGGAAGGGGTAAAATGAGGAGAGCGACCCGCCTCAAAAGGAAGGATCCGACACCCGACAAACGAGTGGTTCGGGGTTCAGAGCTTGGGCTGAGTCGGCAATGAAGCCCAGCCCAGCCCGTGCAGATTCGATTTCATGGATGGTTCTCACAAACCAAAGGGCATCTCATAATAGGGCCCAAAGGAGGGTTGGTTGCCTCAACTCTAGAAGAAAGAAAGGGAGAAAAAAAGAGTGTGGTGGCTCGGTGGCAGCAGCGTCAGGTAGCGACCGCCCAATTCCTCGCCAGGCTCAGAATTCAAAGCCAGAGCCCGTAACGGTGTGTCGATTTGACATGACCAGCTTAACCAGCACTCCCTCACCACTTCGAGGGTCCACGACCCATCGTTGGGTCAATGTGGGGGTCTCTCAATAACAATGCCTGCCGTCGAGATGACAGCACACCGGCACTGGACCCCACTTTCCGTACCAGTGACATGGCCGGTGGCGAGGAGTGCTGCCCGGGCCCAGGTAGACATACCGGAGGCACACCCAGGCATTTTTGTCGGCGCCCCAGCCATCACCACCGCCCTCTCCGCCCGGAAAAAGAGTCATCAGGCCTTCCAATAGCGTGAGTGTATCTGCTCCCTCCCAGCGTGCCTGGCAGGACCTTCCATGCCAAGTGTGCCGGCCTGTACCGAATTTGTACCCAGTGCTGGCCAGACCCCAAAAGCCCCAACGAATCCCCAGCATGCGAGACCGAATGAGACGCCGGTGGACAGGTGAGTGGACAAGGCGCCAACAAAGCCAAGCAGCAAGCATGCACTTTGGACAAAAGAAGCCGATGGCTTTCGCGGATACAGTGCAATCTGCCAGTGGAGATTCATTATCTCATAGATCTGTGGATACCTCCCTTGATACCTCTTCCCCCATGTAATCTGATGTCCTTGACAAACAGATCGTCTTGTCCAGACCCGCTGCGTCACATCGAACCTCGTTCACTCACAGTTCAGTTCACTACCAGTCCCTTGTCCCAACGTGTGACCATTTCTCTTTCCAGCCTTCCGACGCAATCAACCAAACTTAGAACTCTAAATACCCAACTTGAACTCTTTGTGCTGCCTCTCTTCTATACATTAGCTGCCTGCCTGCCTGCCTGCCTGCTTCTCCAACCCCATTCCCTCACTCTCTCGCCCACTTCTCTCTCGTGCCTGTCCTCGCCTCCTCGCTTTCCTTTCCCTGTGCTTCTTGCAACATTCTATTCTTCCAACATTTGCTTTAGCAGCCTGGTTCTGGTAAATCATTGTAGCTGGCCTCGCTTCTCTTTAATCTCTTCTCTCCAACTACTCAGCCATCAACCCACCCACCCTCTTCGCTCACCCCCACCACCGCCGACGAACCCCTCCCAGCGACCGTTCCTTGACGACAACTGCTGGCTGATTTTGGTCCTGCCTATCTTGCATCTTTGCATACGAGAACAACTGATCCAGTCGCTTTTCGCGCCTTTACACACGCCTCCGATTTAAACCCTGAACCTTACTGCCCTTTAATTAATCGCTCGACCGCTCCGCTTCTCTTCGCTCGTTCTGTCCTTCGTTCGTCTTGCAATTCCACGACCTCGCCTACCCACCCACCACCGCCCGCCATGGCTTCTCCCTCAATTACGATCCCCACCAGCCTCACGGGGCCTAGCACTCCTTACAATCCGACCGAGAAATCTCCGTCCGGGAGCTCCTCTTCGTCGTCTCCTTATTACCCGTCTCCTCAGACACCGACACCAGCGTCTAAGGCTCAGGGACGCAAGTCGAGCCATACCCGCCGGCCTAGCCTCTTGAGTATGATTTGGAAACCCTCCCCCATCTCCATGCTATCTTCTAGATGCGTGCTGGGTACTGGGTGCTGGGTGCTGGGTGCTGTTCGCTAACATTATCGTCTACAGGCCCTGCCATTTCCAAGCAGGAATGCACCGTTATCAACATTGGAGATCCCGAGGGTCCTCCCCGATTGGTACGCTCACTCAACCCTTCCCCTACTATTCCGAACTGAACTCGTTGAGGAGCTATACTGAAACAATCTTGGATTTTCTAGATCTCCTATCTCTCCTCCGGCCAAGGTTTCGCCTGGAATCCAGGTGAGTTTGAAACCCGAGGCTTGCCGACCCGCCTCTACTTGCAGCTCTTCCCGAGCCATGACTAACCCAAAGCGTCTCCACAGAGATCTTTCTCCCGTCCTATATCGACTACGATTATGTCCCTCTTGAGAACAGACGAGACCCGATCCACGAAATCTTTCTGACCGACGAGGAGGCCAAGGGAATGCTTCCTCAATAAACATGTCTCTTGTATCCGACTATCCCGCTCCCAGCCACGAGATGGCAGGATTAGCGGGATAGGAGAGGGCAGCCCCTCTTCCCTCGCTCTCGACTACTCGACTTGCGTCATTACAACACTGCAGTTTTAGACGGTCTTTCTCACGAGGCTTTGCTCTACAATTGGATCTAATAGATCCTTATCTTTCCCCACTCACTCCACCTTAGCCTTATTCCCACATCTCTTTGGGAGCACTACTCACGATATCATGGCCACCATCACACTACCACCTAATGCAATCCCGGTTTTGGGAGCATAGGGTTCGTCTCGCATAACACCTCGTCTTCTTCTCTACTCTTTACGTTTTGTTAGGGATACGCCAAAGGCGCTCCTGGTTCTTTTTCTTTTTTTCTCTCGACTGAGCGAGCTCACAACAGCTCCGAGTCTGGTGTACAGGATCCCTTGTTTTGGTCATCCGGGGTTTGCGGGTAGGGAGCAATAACGGTCCCGGAGTTTTGAGTGCTATCTTTACGGCCCCTTTTAGTTTTTCCAATTCACCTCTTCTCTCACTTTCTTTGCTGTGCGCCTTAAAGTCTTCCCTTTCGCCTTGGCTCCGTCTGCCCCCTTCTTTTTAGGAGAGAAATCCGGTGGGCAACCTCTGCGCCTGGAAACGACCCTTCCACGAATGATGTATTTTGGCACTTTCTTCTTCTTCCCTCCCCCTTCAACCGCCGCTACTCTTCTTCAATGCCTCTTTCTTTGTCTGCGACGCTTCCATCCTTCCGTGGTGACGCTGGCAGGCCCCTGTGATGAAACACTCCTCCGGGCGGCGCTTCTTCGTCGATTTGATGCTTATTCAAGTTCTGGTAGATAGTTTTGGGTAGAATCAGATTAAATGGGTTTTCAAATTCGTATACGCTACGTGTGAGCCTATGCCATCTACATCCAGTATCTCTGAGGCGATTCGTTCATCGTGCAGCTCTCTACGACAACATTCAACCCGACAAAGTCACTCTCATGGCGCAAGGGAAGAGCATAAATTGGGTGTGTGGATGAATAAAACCCATAATGAACAAAAGTAACACTAAGATATCTCCTAAAAACAGCAGGTTGAACGGCTCAAAATATTTCCCTCCTTGATGACCCCGGTTGCCCAGATTTGTAACAAAGGAAAGAAAAGAAAAAAAGACACTAGTATATAACTCCAATCTTCACCCTTGTTTATGATGATTTTTCTTTTCCGATTCTTTCCTTCTCGGTCGAAAAGATCCGACGCCTTCCTATCCCTCCTCCAATTTGTTGTACCATGCAATAGTTTGATTTTGATTTTGATTGTTTTTGATAAGATAGACTCCTGCCCAAAATGATGAACCCTTGTTGAAGAGAGGGCGTGTTGAAGAGGCCTGGCCTGCCCATTGGGGTGGACAAGAACCAGGGCTCGTAGCGTTAGTAAAGATATCTGAAACCTCTCTTCTTTCACTCCCTCTACTCGAGAAGGAGTGATTTTCCTGAGAAGGAAAAAGAAAAGAGCGGTTTAGAGAAAGAAAGGTAGCAGCGAGTGGCCCGGGTAGGGCCTCGCTAGCAAGGTATTATGTAAGTGGTGGCTGGGTATTTAGAGACCAGCATCAAGCCTCCAGCCCTCGACGGGAAGGGGGAAAGAAGAGCTCCATTCAGCAATCTCCTTGCGGAGATCGTTGAGCTTGGCGTTATCGTTGCTAGCAACCTTGGCCTTGAAGTCCTTGAGCTTGTTGGCTTCCTTGGGAAGAGAGGCCTGGATCTCCTTGCAGAGCTTGACGGACTGGTCAATGTACTCGGCAACGCGCTCGAAATCGGCCTGGTTGAAGCCACGGCTGGTCATGGCAGGGGTACCGATACGGAGACCGCAGGGGGTAAGGGCGCTCTTGTCGCCGGGGATGGAGTTCTTGTTGCAAGCAATGTTGATGCGCTCGAGAACGGCCTCGACACGGGCGCCGTCGAGGCTGTGCTGGCGGAGGTCGACGAGGACCATGTGGGAGTCGGTGCCGTCGGAGACGAGCTTGTGGCCGAGAGCCTTGAACTTGTTCTCAAGGGCCTTGGCGTTGTCTACAACCTGCTGCTGGTAGGCCTTGAAGTCAGGGCCGGAGGCCTGCTTCAGGGCAACAGCGAGGGCGGTGATGGTGTGGTTGTGGGGGCCACCCTGATGGCCGGGGAAGACGGAGAAGTTGATGGGGCCCTCAAGGTCGTAGAGGGTCTGCTTGCCGGTCTTGGCATCGGTGGAGCGGACGCCCTTGCGGAAGAAGATCATGGCACCGCGGGGTCCACGAAGAGACTTGTGGGTGGTGGTGGTGACAATGTCGGCGTGCTCAAAAGGAGAGGGGATGACGCCAGCGGCGATCAGGCCAGAGATGTGGGCCATGTCGACGACGAGGTAGGCACCGACAGAGTCGGCAATCTCGCGCATGCGAGCATAGTCGATCAGACGGCAGTAGGCAGAGGTACCGGCAACAAGGACCTTGGGGCGGTAGAGGACCGCGTTCTTGGCAAGGGTATCATAGTCGATGATACCGGTCTCGAGGTCAACCCTATAGGGCATGGTCTCGAAGTAGGTAGAGACAGCAGAGATCCTGTTGGGGAGGGAGAACAATGTTAGCCACTGTAGCTTACGGCAGTCTCGGCATGCGGTTCCTTTCATCCCCTACTTCTTGGTTTCGTCCCTCCTCCTCTTTTGCCGTAGCAGTTGCAGAGGGGAACGCTGGTGTAGGTGGGGTGGGTTATAGTCAACACTTACTTCCTAGCGGGAGTCTGGTAGCCGTGGCTGAGATGGCCACCGTGGGGAGGTCAAGACCCATGAGGCGGCCGTGAGGGGGCATGATGGCCTGGTAAACCTGGAGGTTGGCGGGGCTGCCGCTGAGGCACTGGACGTTGACACCCCACTTCTCGGAGTCGAGGTTGAAGGCGGCAAGAGCACGCTTCTGGCAGAGAAGCTCAATCTCGTCGATGTGCTCGTTGCCTCCGTAGTAGCGGGCACCGGGATAACCCTCGGAGTACTTGTTAGACATGGGGAGCCTAGGGCATCGAAAACGGCACGGGAGGTGACGTTCTCCGAGGCGATGAGGATGATGGACTCGCGCTGGCGCTGGACCTCATGTTTCTAAAACCGGGGTGTTAGTGGAATCGAGAGGAGTACAATAATATAGGATTGTGGATGGGCTGGAGTAGGGGAAGGCGTACCATGATCTCAGCAACCTCGGGGTCGGAGTCGAGGAGAGACTTCTCCAGCATCTATTCATAGAAAGTTAGAGAAGTGGGCACAAAGCAATTGGGGTGATGTCGACTATGCTGTACCTCCTTGTGGGATGCTGGGAGAGCGTAGTGGGGGACGACATGGCGACGGTGTGTGGAAAATTGAACTGAATTAGAACAAGACAAGAAAGATGTTTGTTTGGAGAAGTAAAGAAGAAGAAAGAGGAAGAGAAAGAAAAGAAAAGTCGAGAGAGATATGGGAAAGACGGGGATGGGAGGAAAAAGTAAAACAAGCAGGAAAAAATTGACTCTCTCCGAGCTAGGAGGTACCTGAGGGATGACACCGACCCCAACCCCTACGAAACGGAGGGACGAAAAAAAAAATCTTTCGCTACTCATCAACAATGGAATGGAGCAAGAGCTGGTAGGACCAACCAAGACCATGGTTCCTACGCTGGTTCTCTCGCTACTTGCCCCCGACTCGCCATCGTGCTACCCGTGGTGTGCTTTTGGCGGGGTGGTAAGCCAGCAGGGTACCAGTACATGCACCAATTGACGAGCAGCGAAGCATTTCTGGCGGGGGCGGGGAGGGGCAAGGTTCAGTACCTCAACCCTCTCGACATTGAGGTGGGCATTGAATGTGGGGTGAACTTGGGCCTGCGCGACAAACGATAAACGGGGGAGGGGCAAAACGAAGCTTCAGGGTTCTCACGTCAGACACACATCCGGATTTTCCTCTTCAGCTCTTGAAGCATCCGTGAATCATGCTCCAATTGCACGAGATGTCCGTCCGTACATAATCTACCTTCGTACATGCTTGGAAAAAATGGCCACCAGCACTTATTCCCTCGTCTTCGCTATTGCCTTGCCATACACCAAGGGAAGAGGCCAGGCATTGTCCCGTCTCTCACAAAAAGCATGAAGAATACGGTTTTTTTCCCTTTGAATTGACCCGACAACTACGACGCTCGGTCGCTTGCCACATGCCCTTTTCCGTAGATGCCATTATGTATAACATTGAAGTGACAGTGTGACAACGTGGAACGGAACTTAGCACCGAATATGCACCCATTGACGGTAAAACATGAACAAGGTTCCGTTCTGCTTAGTGTAGGGCCTGTTATCCTCCTAAGCCCAAAGTAGCTATGAACCAGGACTGGTCCAGGGTTGGGAAGCTTGGCCAAAGGTAGTGTATGTGTCAAGTTTTCCCAGTGCATCTTCGAATCGTTTAAGAGTAACAACGGTCACCGCTCCTTGGCCGCTTGGCCGTGTGCGCAGGCGGAGGGAAACGGAAGCAGTCGTGTTCTGAGTCATCGTCCTGCTTTCTTCCTGTGGGTCATCGAAACCCAGAGCCCGCCATATTTCGATTCACCAAGTCCGGTCGACTCCTCCTACCTAGGTTGAACCAAGCTCCGATGACGGGTGATAAATAGCGGCCAAATGACTGGCCAGTGCCTCCCCAGAGGTCGGTGGTTAGCCAACCGTAACTTACCAGGCGACGGCCTTTTATGGTTCACTACTTCCGTCGGCGTTGATTGCCCAAGTTCCATGGATTCACAATTGCAGGATTCTGACCACCGGAAGCACCGGTGTTTCCTTTGTTGCGCAGGGACTCCGTTCACTCTCCGCTCCCCAGAGCTGACTTGAATAATTGGCGAATCGTTGTGACCCTGCTGCTCATGCCCCTCACTGAGGACGAGTCTGATGTGCTTTTTTCCCAAGACCGTCTTGTCTTGGTGGGGGTTTTCGCACAGCTTGACAAGCCACAGGACGGCACGTGTTGATAAGCGATAAGGCCGTGCTATTTACAACCAAGTAAACAAAGCGTAGAATACACCCCGCTTCCGAGCTGTAAAATGCAAGCCGGCGCCCGCGATCGCAGAGGAAGATTGGGAGAAGAAACCCCGGCGCCAAAAGGATAAAACCCAACGAAGAGGAAAAATTCCCCTTTAAAAGGGCTTTTGTCCCTTTTTGCCCCCTTTGCGAAGCACGACATGGAGACCGATTCGGCTCACCGCAAGATTGAGCTCCAAGAGCCAGAGGATCTCGCCTTCCTCATCGCCAACGTGCGCCAAGCCGCTCGCGAACGCATCGACGAGGCCTTCCCCCGTCAATAGAGCGGACGGGGAGGAGGACGCTCTCCGAATACAAATAGAATCGCTCGTCGACGAGGTATATCCCCTTCCCAATTATCCCAACCGCGTAAATCAACCTGCCGACCGTATCCCTCTCAGCACCGTTACTAACACAAAGGCCCCTCGCCCGCAGTACATCACCAAGACATTTACCCTCGCCGCCCCGAGCCTAGCCATCAACGGCCTCCCCGTCGACCCAGACACCTACCTCTCCCCCGACAAGCCCAACCAGCGAGGCTCCCGGTCCAAGTCCAAAGCCGCCCCCGCCGCCCCCGTCATCTACGAAGCCTTTGACGACCGGATGCACCAGCGCGTCCTCGATCTCGCCCGCGAGGAAGAGGACCTCCTCGCCGAGATCGCCGCGCTCAAGCAAAAGTCCCTAAGCGCGTCGCCGGCGCGTACTCGGACGCCCTGCGCGACGGCATCGCCGCCGACGAGGCCGCGTTGCAGGAGAGGGTTAACCTCGTGTGCGGCGACTTGCAGCGCATCGTCGCCGAGGGCAGCGCTGGCCTCTTGGGCGTCGACGCCGCCGTCAAGGCCAAGGGCGGAGATGGCGGTGCTGCCGAGGAGGCGTGGAGGAATGCTATCCAGGGCCTCGAGAAGCTGAAGCGGGAGATGCCCGCGGCCGTGGCCAAGATGGAGAGGGCGAGAGTAGCGGGAGAGTATGTCATCACTGAGGGGAGGTGAGGGGAGCTACAAGTTTTTTTGTGCAAAGAGGGAGGTTCTATCTTGATGATTTGGTGTACGGCGCGCGGTTGGCTATCATGGCGTTGTTTGGGTCTATATCTTATTGTAATACCACTTGTCTACAATTTCACAACCACGTCTTGAACACTAGATCCGTCAAACTCGGGGTAACGCGGGAGGGACCAGATGAACTAAGAAACTGGAAAGTGGGAAAAGAAGGGTCTCTGAATTTATCAAAGGAGATAGGGGAAGGAAAAAAACAATGGAGCAAAAACAGAGTCAAAAAGACGAAAAAGAAATTCGCTTTGATCTAGGCAGGGATCGAACCTGCAATCTTTTGATTCGTAGTCAAACGCCTTGCCATTGGGCCACTAGACCAATTCTCTGATGATGTTTTTCCCCACTAGTTCTGCTCAACTACGATACCCGCGTTGCGCAAACAATCCATCAAGCACTGGGCCCGTTTTCGGCGACTAAAAGGCAGAGCAGACAATGTCACATTCAAGGCACAGCTATCTCCAACGTCGGGATACCGCAATTCTAAACTCCATGATATGTACCATTCAGCTGCCACCCGCAAAGCCAGGCTCTACATCACAGAGACTAGTGTCCAACATATTTAACTAAGCCTGTTGGCTGCAATGCGCTTGTCTTCCAACAACCCAGTATAAGAATGTGATAGGGGAAAGGGGGAGGCGAAGAAACAGTGCACGAAGCTTCCAGTGTGTTTTTATAAGTCCCCAAAACAAGGCGTCGGCTCCTCTCTTTGTTATTACTCGGTAGTTTTAGCGAAAGAAAAAAACATCAAAATCAGTTCCTAGGCCTGTTGACGGGCACTAGACGTCTCGATCCTTAACGCAACAGTTCCCTCGCTTAGGCGGGCGCAGGGGCCTTGACGCCCTCGGCAGGCGGGTCGACTGCCTCAGCAGGGACGGGGATCTCCTCAGCACCCTCCTTGGGCGCGGGAGGCGCGGCCTCATCAGCCTTCTTATCGCCAGCGGCGGCGCCCTCCGTCTCCCACTTGGCGGGCTTGGTCCATTCGCTCTCCCTCCAAGGACCCATATCACTGAACGGGCAGCCGCCCTCGCAATCGCACTTGCCGCCAAACTCTACAGGGAGGTTCTCGGCGGGGACCTGCTTAAGGAGCTCCGACTGGTAACCGCTGCCTAGGACGTTGATCTTCTGTACGGTCACAGGGTCGATCCAGCCCTTGATAACGCCCCAAACGGTAGAGAACCCCCAGGGAGCGTTGATCAAGTAGAAGCGGCCAAGACGCTCGGGGTAGTAGTCCTGAGAGAGTGTGGAAACCTCCTTGACGTGGGCATAGACGCTGGGAATCTTGGTGAGAGTGACACCCTTGAGGTCCATTATGGTGCAGCAGGTCTCGAGAAGCTGGCCAGCCTTGCGGGAGCAGGCGGGAAGACGGGGATCCGCGAGGCGTTCGTACTCTACAGCGAGGTTCGTAATCAAGCGCTCCGAGGTAGTGATTGAGTACATGGCGTTCAAGTCAATGCCGCCGAGCTTCTCGATGTAGAGCGGTCGGCCATCCTAAATGCACAAAAGAGCCGCTGTATTAGAAATTATCCTTCTCCCTCTTTCTCTCTCTCTCTCTCTCTATATCTGGTGCGGGTTATCAGCCATACCTTGTCCGTCTTGTGGTAGTATTGAGGATAGTACTTGAACATGTCCTTCTTCTCGGGAAGTCCCATGTAGGGACAAGGTTATCGAGGTTGATCTTCTTCCTCCAGTCCTCGCAATTGACGAACCTAGAGCTCACAAGGTTAGACCCGTAGGACCCTGCTGGGGGAGGAGGGGCGTGAAGTCTTGGTTAGATGAATTCCAGCGTAGCTTACATTTTTGGGCTTCCGCAACGTTGAACTTTCGCGCACGAAGAAACCTCAGCTACGCGAATGAGGTGTTAGCTTTAACCCACATAAAGCATGCAGGACACAGGCTACGGAGGCGAGGCGAGACGAGGCACCGGGTCAGGATAAAACCATCGCCGCTTTGCTTTGCAAGTCAAGGACGACTTCCGGCTCCCGGCTCCCAGCTCCCTTGCCCTCGGCCCAGAAAGGGGTTACTCACGAGAGTCAGGGTGTCCAAACGCTTAGTATATCCAGCAGCCTCGAGAAGCATGCGCAGTTGATGGACCTGGGCCTGCTCCTCGGGCTTTAGGTGGCCCGGGTGGCCGGGGGCGGCAACGGGGGCGACCGTGGGGAAGTCATAGTCGTCGTACTTGGGGTCGAGCTCCATGGTGGTCGGCGATGAAAGAAGGTGGGGCACTCAAGGCAAGGGGACAAGGGGCACAAGACAAGGGAAAAAGGGGGAAGAGGAAGACGAAGTTGATGCTACCGGATGGACCGTTATAATTGCGAAGCAAGGGGCGGAAGTATGTTCAAAAAGGACAATGCAAAAGTCAAAAAGAAACTTGACGGTTCAGGAAGAATTAAACAAGATGAAGTTTCGAATCGGTGAGGTCAATGTGTACTGAAGGAGGGGTAAAAGTACCTTAGCACAAGGGAAAGGGGCGGGGAGTGGGGATCGAGGCTGTCAACTGGCAGTAAGCGCCTCCTCCCAGGTCCCACCAGTTATTTCGCCCGACAATCCATCTTGAAGAGGTTCAGGTGCTTGCCAAAATTTGTTAGTGGTCCTGGCCTGGGTTTGCCGCTATTGTGTCCCTTGTTTGCATCAATGTACAGAGAATGGATCGTGGTTTTCGAGTGGCTCAGTCCGAGACGCCAGGCGCACATTTGCCCAGCAAGCGCATCCTACATGTACCCTCGCAAACCAAAACGGACGCATGGAGCGCAGCACATGTACCCGCTCTCTATCAGAAGCCTAAAATCAACTTGTATCACCCTCCAACGAAGCCGTGGTGATTTCTTTGCGAAAGGATACGAGCGGGTGTGGCGCGTCATCCTCTGTTTTCTTTGTATCTAGGCCGAACCTGGAAGTATCCCCGCTAGAACCTGGTTGTACCAATGAAGGCGTCCTCAGCTCGCCAAGCTCCGTTGATGACGCCAGCACTTTAATCCTTCAGCCCTCTCACTCTGGGGCGTCTCGTAGTCACGCCTATGGCCGGCAATGGGTATTTCACGTGTCCCGACGCCTTCGGTGATTTGGGCCCTGGGCCCCGGCATACGGACAGGCTGGCCTAGCTTGGCTTCGAGCTAACATTTTGGGCTGGATCTTTGCATGGGGAGTGTGTGCGCGCGAGCTTTGGAGGCGGTATATTCAAGAATCTTCGTTTTTCTTTTTGGCCTCTTATTTGCATGCTCTCCCTGTAGCCCTAGTCGTTACGCAAAGCTTGGAACGGGCCACATCCTCACGCGAAATCAGCCCTCAACTTCCCTACTCGTCCGCCTTTGTCTTGCCCTTGCCCTTGCCTTCGTCTTCTTCTTCTTCTGTTTTCTCCTTGCGTTTTTGTACGACGTCCCAATTGTAGACTCTAGCCAGTGCCACTTCCATGGTCTTTACGGCAAAGGGAAAAGAGGGAAAAGTCACCCGGTCAAGTCAGCATAAAGTTCCATGTCGCCAGGAAATACAAGCACTGGAGGGGATACTAACCGTGATCTGTTCCTTTAAAAGTCCATGTCCTCCTCGCAGTTTTGTAGGGTTTGCGTCGCGGTAGAGAGTTTCCCCTGAAGCAGCTCGTGCGCCTCGTCAATGGGGTATGATAGCATCACATTGGCCTGCCGTCCCCGTTAGCCATGGTTAAACAGATCGCATACATGGTCAACTGTTCGGGGTCCCACATACTCCGAGCCAAATGAAGACCTCTTCGGTAGGCGGTATCTGCGCTTTCGTGTAAAGTGTGTCATTCAGTTCGAATGTCGTCTCAATGGGCTCGTCATCGTCCTATATTTGAACACACGAGATCGCCCCCAGTACTGGTTAGTACTTGTATTATCGAAGAAAACGTTGCGAGCATCAAGAGAGCGGCCTACCTTCCTGAGCTGGAGAAACTGCACCGTATCAAGAGTTTTTGTATCTCTGGAATCTTTTCTTTCAGCCCACTCGCCCGCTTTTGGAGGTTCATCTCCATAAACTGGTATTTTCTGGAAAGAAGGTAAGGTTCGTTAGAACCTTTGTGACTTCGGAGAGGCCCAGCGCTCGTCCCGCGGTGCCTGGGGTTGCCTCGTCGTTGCTCGGAAAGAGTACCCACGATATCATCTCCTGGAATTTGCGTAGAGTCGGCTCCACCTCCTCTCGCGAACTAACGTAATCCTCGACTCTGTCTACAAAGGGCGCATAGGGTATGCCTCGGGGTTCGTTGGTGGGCCCTTGGATCTAAACAAAAGTCGCGGGGTGGTTAGCGAGGCTCCGCATGCCGGTTCTTGGGCGTGGGGGATCTCACGACTTGGCCACGGAGGCTGGCGCCCCCTCAACGGCTGCGGACATTGTCGACGCTGCTATAATATGGCCGGGATTCGGCTGTCCGTGACTACTCTGGGAGCTAAGGGCAGTGATGGGCGAGGGCCGATCCGCAAGCGCGGAGGTTCAATCGTAAACCTGGTGGTTCGCAGCCGCTCGTCCGCCGATCCAAGAGATTGATGACGGGTGTATATATATATATCTCGTGTATTGCTCTTGGATGGGGAAAATTCTACAAGGTTTGATGTCGCGGAGTGTGTGTGTTCCAGTGTGCGTGGATCGGAGCTCTGCGTGTGGTGAAGCCGCGAGGTAGACAAATTCTGGCGGGGTAAATTTAATTTTTGAGGCGATCTCTAGCTCCATTTGATTGGAACGTGAGCCTTGAATGGGCCTTGAAGCCATCAACAATCGAGAATGGACTATTGATCCACCCCAAGAACTAACCTTTATCACTACATGTAATTCATTGATGGCCTTGACGATGGTGTTAAAATGGACCCATGGATAGATGTTCTATTACATGTCTCTCTATGGGACTCGCGCTGAGGCCTTGAAGCGCCTCAATCGTCTACATGTATTGCAGCGGCGGATGCCTAAGAAGATATCACAGAAGAGATGCAAGAGATCTTTAGATCCATTCAATTGTATATATCAAATTGAAGGGCCTTGTTCCACAGTCCCCTCGAGGCCCCGATCCGTCCCCCACAACCGGAACAATGAATTGTTTCTCAAGAGATACAGGTGGAATGACGGGCCCGGTTTCGGCCACGTACATTTTGATCAATTTGCACCGCGCCCCAAGACTGATCAACAAGTAGAACACGGTTTCTGAAAGCGGTCGCCCGGTATGAAAAGTAGGATTAACAAATTCTTTCGCTACTCCCCGTAGGGCTCAAAGATACAAATGAAATGCTGTCGTAAAATAAAAATCATCTCATCATAACCCCGGTTGTAAGAACCGAAACGAAATGGGCAGATGGGTCAGGCCCTGTTTGAAGGATATCTTGAATGCAAGGACCAACCCGGCTTTTTCTGTTTTGTACAGTAAACAACTCGCAGACACCCAAAAACGGAGGAGAGCTCCTCTGATATCTCGGCGGCGATGGGGAAGTGACAAAAGGAGAGGAGAAGCTTGGTAGGAGGATAATTTCCATGATTCAGAGACGGAAGTGGGCGCGCAAACCCTCAAATTATAGACCAAACAGACTTTTCCAACACGATCTGGCCAGATTTGCCATCTGACTGTGAAGCTAATAACTGAGGAGGATAGAGAAGTAGTAGAGGGGAGGGGGAGAAGGAAAAAGGGAGAGACGGGAGATAGAGATAGAAGGAAGGCGAGAAAGAGGTGGGAAGTGCAAAACGTGAGACAAAGGTATGATCGAGAGAGTAGATCAAGAGGGGATAAAAGAGACAACGGGGGTAGAGCTTTCCAAGACACGATTCGAGACGGAGGATAGCGTAGTTTTATCAACATAGCTATTCGTCGGAACTGTCACTCGACGAGGACTTGCTACTGCTCAACCCGCTCGGCCCGTCCCCGCCGTAGCAACCGAGCTCGTGGATCGGGGTGCGGGAACTCGGACCTCGGGCGGACTGGTTGTGCCCGAGCCATCATCGAGGAGCATAGCATTGCTGTTGGAGCTGGGGCCTTCAACGGCGGATCCCGCCTCGTCGGAATCCGAGCTCTCCACTCCCGTATCGTCAAGCGAGATATCCGAGTCGTGCGGATGTACGCGGCGGCTTGCCGCCTCCGAAGCGGCAAGCTGCTCATTGTCTGGCTCGGTTTCAAGCCCGTCCACGAACTCGCTCGACTCATCCGTGCTAAAAGGTGGGAAGAACAGAGCCGGCGGCGGAAGGGAGGCCGGCTTGAGCCTTTGATGTGGCCGCCCACGTATTCAAAGCCGGGCGCCGAGGCTTGGAGGCGAGGTGCTGTGCACGGCGTGCGGATGTGATACCCGCGTTCTTGAGATGCCCGTAGTTGGCTGACTCTTTCCATCACCATGTTGAGCCTGGCTTCGGGGCTAAACTGCGACAATGTTACATCCTCGACGCTCTCCCCGAGATCGTCTTGTCGACACCGTGACCATGAAGTGATCGTCCGGCAACACTCCGCCAAGGCCGGTCGGCTCGAGCGGTCGCGATTGTAGATTCTGCTTGGAATTGGACCAAGGGAAATCGCACGCCATTTCGACATCCTCACTTTCCCCATCCAGCATGTCCATCCCCAGATCGCTAGATGCGTCAGCTGGGCGGCTTTCCAAGAGGTCCTGCCGGGAGATGCTAAATGGCCTATATGCTAACGAGGAACCGGAAAGCGTGCGATGCGGTATAGGCGCTTCTTCGAGGTACTCTTCCGCAATAGGATCTTCGCAGAGAGGTGAGCTCAACGTGGTGCCAGGATCACCCGCGAGATCAGTGCAGAATGGCGCACCGCTGTAATATATAATGGCCCCATCCACACGTCGTTTCCGGCGAAGCGACGACCCTGACCCCGACCCGGCCCACGGTGAGCCCGTAAAATAGCTTTCATCTCTGGACCCGCGGGACGAGCCCGTGTCTTCCGATGTCTGCTCGTTCGGTGATCGATTCTTCACAAAGAGAGGCTTGTACTGGAAACTGTCGGCCGCCGTTTGGGGAGAATGGGCCCCAAATCGGGACCGACGCGCGGCGGAGGGATCGGAGGAGGTTTTGCCCTCTGACAGCTTCGACTTAGGTCCCCGAGAAGCCACGCCGTCTTCTCCGCCGATTCTTCGGTCGTTGCTACTGAGATTTGTCGGACTGCTCGAGCCGTCAGTGCATTTGGTCTTGCGCATATTATCGCCTGAGCTGTCACTACTGAACCTGGTGCCTTCAGTGCCACCGCGCCAGCGAATCTTGCATCCGTCGGCCGACATCTGGAACATGGAACTCTTTTCAGACACGGCTGCACGTGTGAAGCTTAGAGTGACGTTGTAGATGTGCAGCTGGGCCAAATTATAGAGCAAGTTAAGATAGACCCAGCCTTCGGCATCCGGCGATAAACTGGCCTCTTTGTCCAACCCGACTTCCGTATGCTGGATATCGGGAGGGGCAATGCCTAAATGTCGGAGATATTCGATGTTTTCGGAAGGATTTTGGGCTCGATCAGGATCGAGATCTCGCGGTCTCGTTGGCCGCTGCTCGGGGGTGGAATTGTGGGTGGCGACGAGCTGGATCCCGTCCCACCGCCGCTACCACTCAGGGAGTTTTGATCACCATTTGAATTCGAAGCCGAACCGCCGTTATTCTCGCGAGAGCTGCACTTCTTCGTTGCACCCCCAGTAAGCGATATCCTGGCCTCCCGCGCAGGCTCGGAAGTGGGATCGCTGGCTTGAGCTGACACTGGAGATGGCTCTGCGGGTTTAGGCTTGTGCTTGTTGGCAGACTTCCCCGTGAATAATTGCTCCAGTCTTCTGACTACTAACTTCTTCTTCTGCTTCTCCGACATGCTGATATGGCGCGGGTAAAGCCCTGATGGGATTTCTTTGAGATAGTTTTCAACCTTTTGTTCCGAATACTTGGGCCGAGATCGGGACGAATGCCTGCCAGAGGTACCAGCCGATGTATGACCCGTGGACATGGAGGCGTAGGCAGAATCCACAGGCCTTAGGTAGGATTCCGATGACGAAGAGGGCTGTTTCGAGCCCGACCTGCGACTAGAGCGCGACGACTTCTTCCGCGCGGACGACGTCTCGTTGGTGTTGGAGACCTCAAGGTTGGATGTAAATTCTCGGAGAGTCACCTCCAATTCCCGCTTCTTCCATGCGGGCAACCCGTGAATTTTTAGTTCGAAAAGCTTCTCGCTCTTGAGGGGAGAGGGGCCTGAATGCTTGTACTTCTTGAGCTCATCTTTTAGTCGTTGAATTTCGATAGTAAGGTCGTCGATAACACTCCTATAGTCCCCAGCGCTGCTGCTCCGTGACGCTGAGGGGTGGGGGTGACTACCTTGGCGGTTGAGGCTGCCATCTAGGGGAAGCGGTCCCTTGGAATCACGGTCGGATGATAGACTGGCATGGTTTTGGAAGAAGGGAGAGTCGACTGTTACATCGGGCAATAGGAGGCGCGGAGGGGGACATGTTAGCTAGGGTCACTTCACGAAAGGTCGGCTTCAAGGGGGCAAAGGTGAGAATGTTTATTGACGGGCGGTTCTTACCATCCATCGCATGATCGAGACTAGCTGAAGGGTTCTGGTTTGACAAGTCAAACCAGTTTTTAGATCGCTGGTGTTCCCGGTATCGTTACTCTCCCCAGACGACCCGTTGTGCCGTAATACCGGCTGGGCTGGAAGAAGGGCGGTATCGCGAATGTTGGAAATCGGCCGGGCAGCGGTTTTGCTAGTGGCCTCTGTGGCGGCTAGTGAGGCGACCGCTGCCACGGTAGGGGCGGGGCTCGTAACCAGCAAACCATTCTGGGAGAGGAGAGGGTTAGTGCGCAAGGCAACGGATCGCGGCGTGTGAGATTGGTGGCGTCGATCTCGTCGCTGGGCTTTATGGGGATCGTTGGGCGTTTTGTTTTGGATTGGCATGGTCGATTATCGTGGGAAATCCTAGGTCTTTGGGCCTCTTAACTCGAAAGGTAAAACCCCGCGTCCTTATGGAGAGAGAGTCAGCATTGCACAGGATGCCGGAGTAGCGTTAAATAAATGTGGCCGAACGATTTTCTTTGGCCGCGATTGAATCCCGAGTCCAACGTATATTTTTTTCGTTCGTTTTGGGTATATAACAAATGATATTCGGTTGAGGAAAGAAAGTAGAGCAGGAAAAAGAAGAAAAAGGGTATGAAAAGGAGAAAGGGTGGACGCTCGTCCTTCGGGTGAACGGTGCGTGTATGTAGACTCCCGCGCTTGCGCTGGACGATCTCGATGACTTTCTGATCGAGGGACCTTGGAGGCGAGGGGTTGAGGTGAAAATTGGGGGTACCGATGTTGGGGAGCTGTGGCGTGTTCGGGGCGGAGAGCTTTGCGCCCCAGAGAATTAATGTTGGGTGTTTGGTGGCTCGAGTCTCGGGGAAAGCGAAAGGGCCTGAAGGGGTAAGAAGAAAAAGAAAAGTGTAAAAAAGAGTAAAAAAGATTGCGGACTAACAAAGGAAAGATCCCCGCTGGGACGAATGCCATACGGCAATATTGGGCAACGGTTATGTCAAGCGATGTGGCAACTCAAATGGCCGTCCTGATCCCTAGATCGGGGTATAGATCGAATTGCCACGGGGTGGATCGCTTGTTTGCGGATGGGTGGCGCGAAGGAGGTTTGCGCTGATGACTACTTCGGTTTTCGGGGCCCACTCGTCACTCGTCAGCCAAAATACCAATAGATTTGAAGATTGGAGGCTTCGTCCAAGATCAATACAGGACTTCAGCACAATCACTTTTGACCTCAGTCAACAAGTGACGCACTTCATTTAGAATCGCGACTTACGTTGTATACGCTTTGAGTAGCCTTTTAGAACGTGAGAGCCAGTGGGTTCAGCCGCCTTTTTCTCGAATGCTAGTAGGCATGATGTAGCCTCTAGCCTCCTTCCGCCTCGCTCTGGCCTTGACAGGGTCGACTGCTCGGACGACTACTGTCAAGGCTCTGCACGATCGTGCTATCTGTTGAGTCCGGAAAGGCGAAGGCGGGTGGAGGGAGATTGAGTTGAGGGCCCTTGGGTTTGCGGCTCTTTGAAACGGTTCGTGTGGTGGCGATCTGATGTCGCGGCTTGCGGAGCGCGATGAGTCGAGCTGCTAGCCTGTACGGAGATGGCAATGGATGGAGAACTCAAGGTTTATAGTCGGAAGGGGAAGAGAAGGAAGCAGGAAGCAGGGGAAGGAAGGGGGAAAACCCTCGCTGACGATCGCGAAAGTGTATGTCTGTGTCTGCCCGTGTGTGAAGAGGGAAGAGTTCAGGGATTCGATTTCCGTGCTCTTAGATTCAGGGCAAACCTAGTGTGCACCGTGGTGGGAAGGCGACAATGTGTATTGCGCGTCTGTAGTGGGAAGGTGACTCCTAGGAAAAGGGAAGGGAAAGAAAAGAAAAGGGAGCCGAAGAGAAGGAAAAAAACATCAACCCCCAAAAATCTCCAAGGCCCTTCCGCGAGCAGGCAGGACAAGCCGCGATGACGACAGTGCCTCGAGGAGCTACTCCGTCTCCAACTGTATTGTTCCCAATGGATCCAACAGAGGACCCACCCGTTGCTTTGAGCGCAGGGAGGGGGTGTGTGGACCGAGCTCGCACAGCAGGTGGGGTGAAGATGGATTGATCCAATGGATCAATTATTGATCAATAATGTTTGCTCCCTGGACAAACAGCGGCCGAAATGTTCCCACGTAATTCGGTCGATGGCACGCACACACCAATTTAGTCCCTCGTGCTCCAACCCCGCAGGTCTTCACGCGATTTTTATCATTTTGATCATTCTCGGGAGTCAAGGGTCAATCTCGCAGTCCACACGATTCGACCCCAAGAGGGCAGCACGCACTTGAAAGTCCCTGCTCCTTTTGCTAACTCCACTTGCTCGCTTTGGCAGATACTGATTTATAGCTACGTCTCTCGGACAGTATCTACTTGCAAGTGCGTAGGAATGGCTGATGAGAGCCTGCTGTGGTCAGCCAACGCACCAAGGAGTGATAACGATGTAGTGTAGAAGCACTGGGGATATGCCAGCTCTGCCGGAATGTCCTCGTTCCGGGGCTATTTTTGCCCAATAATAGGCTTATGGCCCTAGCCTTTTATGCTCACGCGGGACACCGAGTCGAACCCATCCCTTCCCTTCACAGCAATATTGGATTATTGACAATACAGCGAGAAAAAGGAAGAAAAAAGAGAGGGAATGGATTGATGGTGTTGTGCCGCCAATGACTCGAGCCGGTGATTCTTGCATCCTTGTCAGTGGGTCCCTGAGATTCTCTAAGTACAAAGTACTTCATGCCTGCCCTGCAGGTTGCATGGTTTCTTTGAACCGCGGAGGTCTTGTTCCTTCCGAAAAAAAAAAAAAAAAAAGAAAAAACATTGATGAGCTCCTTTGGCCAAACCACTTCAATGTTCGCAGCCCCTCCCCTCTCTTCTCATCCATCGCGCCAAATATATACGGACTGTCTTGCGAAACCCATGCGCTGTGCATGTGTTCCAGAGACACGACAGCTTGCTGTCGCAGCAACGATCCCCAGACCTCCCCGGCCAGCAAAGCAACCCTCCCTCAGGCGCAAGCTGACCATGCGAAATCAAGCAGGCCCTTGCTCAAGTGGGCTTGTGAAAGGGTTTCCGCGCTGAAGACCCAAGTGTGCCGGGGGACTGCAGCCACCAGCCACGAAGTCCAAATCCCCGATCAATACTTGTAGTAATGATAAAGATACTTCAGTACCTATTTCAAATCAGGCCACCAATATTTCGATGGAGGGGCAGGCGGCAGGCACAAAAATCATCTTCCACGCCGCACCTACTTGTAAGAGGGGGAAGAAATCTCTGGAACAATCTATCATGTCGATGTTGGGGCTCAGCCTGAGGGAGCTCACGAGACCCCAATACAGTGCCGTGGAGATTATGTGCACGGCTGACACACAGTCGCCCGCTTCTCCACAGTATGAGCCCATATTTTCTTTTTTCCTTCACCCGCCACGGTGCATCCAGTCTTGCCAGTCTTATTGGTAAGAAATTGAAGCTTTCCATCCAGTGCTCTGAGTTTAGACCAAGCAGTTGGTGCACGTTGTACCGATCAACTCCCCATCAGCGAATTGGCCTGAGAATCGAATATCATAGCGCCGACCCTTTGGCAAGTGAGAGTCGCCAATCATTCATAGATCAATGTATCTCGATACCCTTGCCCTCACCCCCTCAACCCCTCTTCCTTAGTCTTCGTAGGTTTTTCTCTCTGTATTATGGCTCTTTTCACCAGTCTATCTATCATTCATATCCCTTTCTGACCAAGATCCGAGAGCATCATGGCCATGTAACAGTCGCAAAGCCTTGCCCTGGGATGCATCGACATTGGTGCCAATAGTTCGATTCCGGTAAATGCATCTTGTTTTTGGTCCCGGCGGAGGGTGAAAAGGGCGGTGTTGTGAGTGATGGATCAATTCATTCATTTCAGCCCTTCACGTACACAGTGCAGATAGCACCCATCCGCAAAGTTCTTGGGGTGCAGCTTGGGGAGTTCTCATCAGCAATTGCCGTCCCGGCAATGTGCAGAATTATTATCGCCTTTCCTCTTCTCTGACTTTCTACGACCGTGCTATGTTTGGTACCCTGCGCGCATTAGAGGATAGAGCGGGCTAAGCTCGCTTTCCGACGAACTGTGGTTGGTTAAAAAGCGTTCTTCTAATGCAGCTCAAAGGCTTGCGAAATAGTAGTGGCTAAGTGGATGAGATTGATTTGTTCCACCGCCCGGGACCGGGATCTTTCGCGAGCATCTGAACAGGCCCCCATTACGACGTCAGAGAATCGGATAGGGAACAGATGAGGAGATTCCTCCCCATGCTCGCCATGTTCCCTCCACCATAGCGATGCACCTGAGACGTTGCGTCACAAACCGTTGGTGGTGTGTTGTCGCAGCTCCATATCTCATGTAGCCATCAGATTTCTGCGACAAGCCCCCTCTTTGATTTTCCTCTGATTCGTCGAGCTAATACGTTGGTGTCGGAAAGTAGTTCGGAAAGGGCACCAGGTATTCGCTTTGTCCCTCGCCTTCTAAGCCTTTTCTTTAGCCACTTTCGCAAGGCACACGACGGGCAAAAGTTTAGACTTGGCCCGTTCACTCGCAAGAGTCCTTGCTCACCCGGGCTTCAGTTTTCCGCTCTCCCTTCTCTCTATATACTTTGTTTCCTCCACATCTTGCTTCAGATCTTTACGAGCCATCATTTTCGCATTCACCTTGAGGAGGTGATCGCTTGGCAAAAGAAGGGTCCGCGCCGGGCGATGATGTCATGTATGCTCGGAAACCACAGGCTTGGGCTTGGGGTTGATCCGTGCCCCTTTCAAATGATGTAATTGTGCAGATTCAGCTTCCAAAAGATGAGCGGTGGGGCATGGGCATTATTGTGTTGTGGGGCGTGGCTATCAACCCCCGTTCAGACTATTCTCTCTCCCCTTTCAATGTTTCCAAGAGTGGGGAGAGAAGCATTTTCCCGGAAAAGCTTACCCAATGCAGCACTACTTGTATTATACGGAGGACGCAGTTGCAGTCCAGGGACGAGGACCCTTCCTCTGTAGAAAGGGGGGCGGGGGAAGGGGAGGGGAGAAGAGAGAGTAAAATCATAATGAAGCTGATAATAATTCGCAAAAAAGAAGACTCCTCGTCCCATTTGCATGGGATGTTCTTTCGAAGCTTAGATGAATAAAGATTTTGGGGGAGTTCCACATCCTTGTGAATTGCAGAATGGCTTTGAACGAGGGTTACCTGCAGGGACCACATCAATCACCCAACTAAGGCCCAAGGGACCATCAAAAGTGATGTGAAGTTGACGTCATCACAGGGCACCAAAGGGCACTCAGGCCTACTATCCATGCCCCATATAGCCCGCGCTTTTCGTCCCAACATGTGGGCATGCAAGGGAGGGGAGAGGTGGGTGCTTGGGTGCCATGTGAATTGGAATTTGGAGGTCGTCGTGCAAACCACCCCCTCCAAGCACCCAGCTCTCCCCTCGCGCTGGCTCCTCCTCACCCCCACCCCCACCAGCCCTTCTCCTGCAACATACTTTGGGGTATCGCGACGTTTCGTAGGTTATCGGCTTCGTAAGCAGATAAGCTCAGGAGGGACGAGAGTCGAGGTTGGTCTCAGGCAGTCAGGGTCTCTGAAGTCGTAGCTTTCGCCACTCATATCCTACCCGCCGTACCTCGGTATAAGGCTGGGATATCCTTCCATTATAAAGAGACACCCTCCTTGGACCCCTTGCAGAAGCGGCGAACAACGCTCAATGGAGGCTACCTGACCAATCAACCAAGCATTCCAATTCGTTTCTATCAATCAACCAATACCACAGTACCCTCTACCTCAGTTCCGTCTAGTCTACATGCTTATTTTCATATCTCGTTTCGTTTCATCACTGAAAAAAATTACCCGCGCCTCTAGCCCTTGTAGCGAAGCCCCACCCTCGTAGGAAGGTATGGTCATTCTTTTGTTTTGGTCCTTCTTCTTTCCACATCGTCAATACTATCTCGCATGTTGCCTGTTGCTTCTTGCTTGTTGCCCGTTCCGTTTCGTTTGTCAGCAAGTGAACTGATCTAGCTAGAAGCAGCCTCGGCGCTTCGCTTGAGGCCCTTCTCGAGAAGGCTCGAGCCAGTCATCTCTTCAGGCTGAGGAAGGCCCATCGCCGCAAGGATGGTGGGCGCAACATCACCGAGAACGCCGTCGCCCTTGCGAAGGCTCCAGCCCTCGGGCGCATTGGCCATAACAAGGGGGACCTTGTTTGTTGTGTGAGAAGTCTTGGGCTTGCCGTCAGCGAACTTCATCTCTTCGGCGTTGCCGTGATCGGCGGTGATAAAGAGAATGTAGCCCTCCTTCTTGCAGGCCTCGTAAATCTTGCCGATGGCCTTATCAGTGGCCGCACAGCCGATGATGGCAGCCTCGTACACGCCAGTGTGGCCAACCATGTCGGGGGCGCAAAGTTGTTCATCACAAAGGGGAACTTTTGCTCGCCAAGCCTCTTGACAACCTGGTCCGCGACACCATCCGCGCTCATTTCGGGGCCTTGTCGTACGTGGCTACGGACTTGTTGGAAGGGACGAGATCCTGGTTCTGGTCGCGAGTCTCCAGAGGGAAAACCTTTTCAACGCCACCATTGAAGAAGAAGGTAACGTGCGCATACTTCTCAGTTTCAGCGATGTGTACCTGTTCCACGCCCTGTTTGCCGAGCCACTCGGCCAGGACGTTGTCCATCTTCTGGGGTTCAAAGGCAATCTTGAAAGGGTAGTCACCCTTGTACTGGGTCATGGTGATTAGGTTGATGTTGGGGTAAGGGAAGTCGGGAAGCACCGATCGGTCAACGTCGCCGAGGATCTGAGTGATCTGCCGGACACGATCCGAGCGGTAGTTGAAGAAGAAAACGGTGTCGTTATCTGTAAACGGTTAGGCCAGAACAAGGACTTTCATAGAACACTCATCCACCACGTATCAACCCCTCAACAACTTACCCTTGATGCGTGCCTCCTGGCCATTGAGAATGATGGGTTTGAGGAACTCATCGCGGCCGTTGTCGCCGCCCTTGGCATAGGCGTCTTCAATGGCCTGGACGGGGTCGGTGGCCTCATCGCCCTCGCCAAGGACGAGACCCTTGAGGGCAATCTCGATTCTCTCCCAGCGCTTATCGCGGTCCATGGCGTAGTAGCGGCCGACAATGGTGGCAATCTTACCAATGCCAATTTCCTTCATGGTGTCAACGAGCTCCTTCATGTAGCCTGCACCGGACTTGGGATCGGTGTCACGACCGTCGCCAAAGAAGTGAATGTAAACCTCGGGAACATCATATTCCTTGGCCGCCTTTAGAAGAGCATAGAGGTGAGTCTGCTTGGTGTGAACGCCACCGTGAGAGACAAGACCGCAGAAGTGGAGCCTTCCATTGCCGGATTTGGCGGACTCGCAAGCTTCCTTGATAACGGGGTTTTGGCTGAACTCGCCCTTCTTAATGGTCTGGTCAATGCGGACGACATCCTGCCAGACGACACGGCCGGCGCCAATATTCAAGTGGCCCACCTCGGAGTTACCCATGAGACCCTCGGGAAGACCGACAGCTAGGGACGAGGCTTCAAGTTCAACATAGCCGGCAGGATTTTGGGCGAACTCGTCCATGTAAGGGGTCTCGGCGGCTGCGATGGCATCTCCTTCCTTGGGAGATTCTTCAGAGGGGATACCCCATCCATCAATCACGACTGTAGGAGCGCAATGCCATGAAAATTAGCCAGCCGACCTCTAGGTACACAAGAATGTAGCAAAGAACGAGGACGTAGTCAGGCTTGGGGCGGGGAGAAGAAGAAACAGTAGGGGGTGAGCAGTCGAGGAAGAAGGCGCTGGCGCAGAGTTGGACAGGGCTGGGTCTAGGCCTAAGTCGGGTTTCGAAGCCTCTTCGCCGCTTCCGACCTTCCTTATCCCGATCCCCATCTTCGCCTCTGGCTCGGGGCTATCTAGAGGAGAAGGGGCCTGGGGATGTGACGTACTGAGGCAGGCTTTCTGCTCGGTCTTGGCCATGGTTGAATACAAGTTTGTTACGCGGGGGTAGCAAGGCTGGTGGGGGTGGGGGGGATTACAGGCAAAGATAAAAGGAAGTCGGAGGGAAGGCTTGCTTATCAATAAGGACCGAAGGCCGGTGGACTTATTGAATAAATTGTGCACTGGTATCGAGATGATGGAGCTATTGAGATGAAAAGTAGAAGAGGGCAGAGATTGCAGGGCTGGCCTGAGGTATTTCAAGTTGGAAAGTGGGATTGATTCTGTCTGATAACAGAAAAATTGTTGACGGCGGGGTTCCCACAGCAGCAGCAGCAGCAAGTGGGATTATGTCATACCATTGGACCATGAAACTCAATGCCTTCTTCCCAACCTGGGCTCCTGCATCGATATTCTTGGAGCTCAAAAGTCTTCCACCATTCACAACGTTGAATCCTCACACTGTTTGGATCAGCTAGATCTCGATGAGCGCTCCTTGCTACAAGGAGCTTAGCAAGTTAACAGGTTTAGCTTCCAGCTCCCATGGACATAGCTCCACGAACTAGCCACAGTCCCGCCACTCCTTCCCCCACCCGCATCCTTCGATTTTGGAGGGGTAAATAAGCTCGACGACGCCTGTACTAAACAAAAACATTGTTTGAATCTCAATTGAAGCCATTGAGCCCTCCCGCCACATTTCCAAACCGCCCACTCCCCCAGCACGCCGCCAATTCACGATGCCGACCCCAAGCGCTTCCATCCAACAGGACCCCATGGCTCTCCCGCCTACCTTGTCTCCCGATTCCCTGGATGCTCTGACTGAGCTAACAACCCTCCTCAGCCGCCTTCGAGCCACGATCCAGACCTCGAGCGGCCCAAGTGGCATTCCTGGGAGCACGCCCGTCGCCGGCGCAACTCCCAACATCTCCGCTGCGAGCCCTACCGGGGGCAGTCTCTCGCTAAAAGACGTGCCGACGGCGACAGATCATCTCAAGCATAAATTGCAAAAATCACGAGTGCAGGTCCGGGGTCTCCCCGACATGGATCGCACGATACCAGAGCTTGAAGAGGAGATTGCGGAATTGGAAAACAAGATACAAATGCAGCGCGAAGTGCTCCAAAGACTCAAACAAAGAGGGGCGCAATTCACGACGGAAGAGTCCTCAACAACGGAGATGAAGAGTTGAGAGCGAACCACACCGGGGTGTGAGCTCTAGGTCTAATCCCCTTCTCGGCAAACAAAACGGCGCCTATCGCCTCTCGATTATCTCCTTATCCTTCTTCTTCTATCTCAAACAGCGATACCCGATCTCTTCAAGATTTCTATCACCTGCAATTCCGTTTTACCCCCAACCACGTCCGTCCAGAAACTGTTCATGTGTCTCCTGTCCTGCGCGAGCACACTCCAATTAGGGCTGTGGTCTGCCTTTAGCCACTTGAAGTCATTAACTTGATCCCACATATTCTCATGGGTGTCTGACCAAGGCGGTGTCTTTATAATTGTGTTAGTGTCACTTTGGAGGAGGCAGTTTAGGAAACAGGGCAACATACATAACAGTCTGGAATAGGCGCGAACCGAACCTTGGCGCAATCCTCAACGATAGGATGACTTGAGCAGTGGAGATAAAAGTCCACGTTTCTGCATTCATGAATGCGCATCTGCCGCGATGCAACCACGAGAATAGAATCTGATATTCCCGTAATGTGGACAGGGCCGTCTACGTTTCCCGTGATGATAATGCAGCGCCGTAGGTTTTTCAATGCAAGACCCAAGAATGTCGTCTCTCCACTTGCCGGTACGGACATGTCCACTATGCAATTTTCGAGGTTGGTCAAGTCCGCATAGGTTGCCGCTCGTGACGCCGACTTGGGAAGGACAACGTGGAGGTTTTTGTGTTCAGTGAGGGAGATCGTCTTGGCCGCAGAGAAGCTTGGCCGGCGGATGTTGGACCCGTTCGGGGCTTTGAGCTCCCGATTGTAGTCTTTTTCGTTTGCTGCAGGCTCGTCTTCCTTGGATGGAGCTGCCGATGCGCCCTCGGTCTCTGGGTAGCTAGCTAGTACTCCGACATTACGCCGCCTGTCTTCGGCAGGAGCGGATGCCGAGTCTTTTGGCCGCGCCTTGAAGCGAAATCGATGCCGTGGCACGACTTTATCTACTTCTCTATCGAGCTTCTCCGTCAGGCCCCTAATAGTCTGCGGGTGTCCCGGTAGCCTAGAGTAAGCTACAGAACGCAATGCTACAAATTTGTTGCTGCCCTCGGATGCTTGAGGCACTCACCTCTGAATAAGACTTTTGATCATAGGTCGGGAGGTACTCAGTCGCGTCTGCTAGCTCATTCAATAGCCGGGAGATACCAAGCCGCACCTCATCTATCGCATCCTGGCGTGATGGCGCAGAGGAGAGCTGCGCAATGTGGGTATCCAGCACTATGACAAACAATAATCAACGTTGCCCTTCCAGTTTGCTATTCCGCGGCCTCGAGAGGGGCGGGTTGGGTGGGCGGGATCAAAAGATAAAATTTCCTCACACTCTTCAGCCAGGCCTGGTCGTGAACTGATGGAGGCTGGAGAAAAATTTGGACGAATGCTTCAGTATGAAGGATACTTACCGGCAACCTCAGCTTGAAAGCGCTGGTAGAACTTGAGGATATCGTTACTCATTCTTTCTCTACTCCGCCGTCTCTCCTCAGTGGTGTTTTTGGTTTGGAAAAGGTTGCCTTGTTTGCCTATCCGTGTGCTATCTGGATATATATATATATATAGAAAAATCGATGCTTGTTAGTACGTCAGGCGAACAGTACGAATGGCTAGCATCTGGTGGCACGAGGAGGTGATTATTAGTGTTCTGTGATGTGGTGTGGAGAGGCGGGGTCATTCGCTCCATTCAAAGAACATCCACTCCGCCATTGATCGATCAAATCGCCTGCCTCAAATAAAAGAGGCCCATCAATGACCAAACCAAACCACGCAAGGCAAGAGACTTCGGATTTAGTTCGTCGAGGTGTAAATCTGCAGAAATCTAGGTCCAGGGTCAAAATGCCACGATTAAACTTTTATTATATACAATGATCTATACCTCCACCTGATTAAAAAGGTCGCCGTCTAGCCAAAGCAACATTACACATTAGACTGCCGTTTTACTCCCTTCCTTCTATCTGACGTGAGCTGCGCCGCCGCGGCCTCTCCCAGGCAAGCTACCATACGGATGTCTCCTTACTCCAGGATTCACCCAGCTAGGCTTCTTGGATGGCGCTGCGCTCGAGCTCAACGCCGTCCACATTTCCCAAATACCCGGCCTCTTGGCGGGCAACATGCTATACTGCAAGCTATACAAGTTTTTGCGGTCTATAGGAGGCACAAATTTGCCCGTCATCAAACAAAAGAGGACGCTGGGCGAAAGGTAGTGTTTTCGGATGCGTTGAGCCATCCTTAGATATTGGTGAAACATGGCACCAAAGGTCAAAGGAATTGGCTATAGAAATACGCGTCAGGTGTTATAATCATCGAAGCACACGTTGTGCAACGGTGCGCGATGGGAGAGGATAACATACCTTGAGATGAATTACGGAGGTGGGAGGTCGGTTTAGCGAGCCGGAAGGGGCTCGCACGACAGGATGACTCTTGCCGAGTTCGAATCGGACACCGCCTGTGAGACATCTTAGTACAGAACCATTGCCAGCAAGATCCGTTGAGGGCGGGGCGCTACGCGCGTACTTACCCGGGAGTCGACTCGGATCCTTGATGCGCAACATGATGGCGAAGAGGGGAAAGTGGTTTAAACAAGAGAGGAGCGTGTCGAAGGCTGCCTTGAGCGAAATAATGATCATTCTCGCAATAGCAAAGTTGAGGTAGAAAACGATGACAGTTGGGAGTAGGAAAATGAGGAGGGTGAAAATAATGGTGCCGACGAGTAACTGATCGAGATCATAGTCGCACGAATCGATACGATTTCGAAGTACGTTGTGCTTTTTCCTCGAAAAAGATGGAAAAGGGAGACGAGGATGCTGAGCTGCCAATTGAATATTCTAGCCGAGGCAAGGTAGAACGAGTATATGTGAATGGTGAGGGCCGAAAGCAAGTCGGAGAGCATGGCAAGGGGCAAGCTCGCACCGCCAAAACTAGAGAAGCCGATGAACCATATAATGTGCGGTAGTGCAGGTTGGAGAAGGTCGATGAAACCTGACCAGTAGTCAATAACCCAGAGGAACAGGTCGCCTAGGAACGCAGCAAGCTCGTTATTGAGCTTGAGACCAGCAGGCCATCCCATGAGCCATGTTATACTCGTCTGAAGGGCTTCTACTGTGTACGTCCTAAGAATGACGCCGATCTGCTCGCCCACCCACTCGGCATGCTCGATGATGTAGGACCCCATCGCAATACCTATAATGACATCGTTTGCAACGAGCCAGAGACTATTAAAGAAGCGAATATAATCGGGATGGCTTGTTGTTACACTCGCCCAATCGCTTTTCCGCTGGCGGAGCTTCATGTGTTGGGTAGGCCAGTAACAAAACTGCTGCAACCGTATTTCTACCTGCTGGGCGGTCGCCGATAGATCCTTTAACGCGGCATGATGTGGTCGCGCTCGGAATTCAAGTACCCGCAGAAGCAGCTCCGCCGTTATACGGTGGCCGAGAAGAATAAGGGAAAAGAAGCGTTGGATGACCGGGAAGACGTAGAAGAGGAAGAGGCGCCAAAACCATGACATTGCCGCATCCTTGACGGTGTTTGCTGATTCTACGACCCGCTCCGAAACGCTTAGACTTCGTTTAGGTCGCGGGCCGACGAGATGGAGATTCTTCTGGAGCAATTGCTCGAGTTCCCAAGCCCAATTGATTTGGTTGATAATACGGGAAGCGTCTTCTCCTTGGGAGAGAGAATCCGCCTGACGATGCTGTGCTGTTTAAGCTTCTCTGCCAGTCTCTGCTTCTCCTCACGCCTTTCCCTTTCGTGTTGCTCGTTTACCGCCTCGATGCCGCTCAAAGGCATGTCGAAATGTCTCTCCTCGAGATCGAGCGCGATAGGGTTGAGAGACATGTACTGCATGCGCAGGGGTTGAGGGCGCTTGAACATGATGATTTGAACGTTGGAGGCATGATCGCATCGGATGACTGGAACGGGGTAGCTGGGCCCAGTCGTCGCCCGGACCCAAGACGGGTCAACGCTGGCTGTTTCTGGCGCATTGGTAACGCCTAGGACATGCATGGAGAGGTGACCGCAAAGCTCGTACACACGATTCACGGCGTGGCTCGAGTTTCGCAATAGCGTGCCAACTTTGAGATGGTATTCGACATTTTGGGCCTAGAACAAGAGAGGTCAGGATAAGGCTCGTTTATTTCTTGGAGAAAGTGCTGCCTGTCTCCCAGGGCAAGGGTGAGTGTACGAACATCAGCGACGTCGAGAACGGCTACGACGAAGACATCAAGCTCAGAGTTTCGCCAGCCCACAATAACGCCAGGGAACTCTGACCTGGCGATATCTGCAGGCCAGAAGATCCTCATAAGGCCATCATATCCAGGCATTGCAGCGGAGGCTGCCCTTGTATCGTTCGCGTCTCGGTACGGTCGTCTCGATTTTGGTGATGCGATTCCTAGAGCTTAAAATGATCCTCGGCGTCGCAGCTGTTCACGGGCAGACAGCCCAAATCGCGGGCCCCGAGCGTGCTAAAGAGAGAGGAGACGTTTGTTAGCTTTTGAGGCATTTCCCCCTTCTTTGGCAATTTTACGCATAGGCTGGAAAGCTAAGGACTTGGGAGGGACTCACAAGATCTGCCTCTGCCTTGGTAATGAAATGGACAGGAAGCGCTAAAATAAGGAAAAAGAGCGTGAGAATTAAGAAGCCCTTGGCCGCCCGAGTCTAAAAAGAAGGGAAAAAGCATTAGAATGTCGCGGTCAAGATAGGCAGTGGGGTGGTTGAATAATCGTGAAGAGAAAGGGGAGCGACTTGCAACCACTCCGTGATCCCAGGCAAATATCGCAAGCTCATAAAGGCGCGTAACGAGATCCCAACGTGCGGTTATGTATCCCGCCACAAAAATTGCCCAGGCGAAGATCGAAAAGGCATGCATGGACTATGTCGGCGTTCGAGGCGTCGTCTCATCGCCTCTTTCGGGGGCACCTCGACTCGGTTCGCAACGGTTCGGGTTCAAGGGCTGTCTTTCGTGCCCGCTGCGTCGTCTCGAAGCTTGCCGCTAGAGATGGCCGTCGGAGAAAGGCTTAGAAATGGCTCGCGGATTTTCTAGCACTGATGGCGAGAATATCCATTTTGCACTGGTTCCGGTCTGGGGGAGTATGGGTTTCCTGAGTGGAGAATTGCTCCAATTGTGCAGAAATTCATTCGATGCTGGAGTCGTCCAGGGATCGTCGCGACCCAGGTGTTGACAGGCCAGGGGCTTTAATATGGCAAGCGCTCATTAAATCGACTGTCAAATTGCGGCTGTTGACAGCTGACAGGAGCTGGGCCAACTTCCTCAATATCCAAGCACGGGAGACGAGCATTCGGCTCACCAAAGTGAACGGGCAGTACCAAGAAAAACAAATTCAAAAGGGAGATATGGTATTATACAAGATATCTATCTATAAATCATTACGTCGCTTCCTATTTTACATCATGTATATCCGTTATGGTTATGTTGTCTAGTTGGGGTACAGCACAGTGGGATCGCGCTGATTCGAGCTGGGCTTGGTTGGCCCTATGTTCTCCTCAATGTGGTAAAAGATTGCTCTGGGGCCATGGCTCTAGCTACGAGATGTATCGCCGCTTTATATCGAGGCACCATGGAGGCAAGAAACATGTATGTTCCTGTGCTCATATAGTCAGAATTTTGGTACTATACAGTACAAGCCGGGGTAGTAATAGCCTTACACTTTCTCCCCATGTACGAATTGTCGTTGTCCTTGTTGTCTTCTCTCGCCTCGTCTAGTAGTTTATCAATGCCTCTGGACTTGAGAGCAACCTGTAAGGCGAGTGAGCATGCCATGTCAAGCAAGATAGTTGAACGGGTATTGAGGTACATACTTCTAGACACTTCCTGTACTCTTTAAAGAGAGCAGAACACTCATTGCTATCTGTTCCATTTCCACGTAGGTACTCTTTGGGGGCGATGCGTTAGATTGGGAGAGGATTTGCCGCGACAATCGCAAGGCTGGATTAGCAATCTACTCACTGTCACTGTACCACTTTAGGAAACACGTGTCGTAGCGTCTGATACAGAGTTAGCTCTACGGTTGCGAAATGGATAAAACGACGGTACGCGCAAACTTACTCCTTCACCTCATTGCATTCGGGTGCGAGGGAGGCAGACATAATAACCACGGGTTGCTCGGAGACTCCGCCTAAATCGAGAACCAAGAGGCAAATTGGGGGCTCGTCTGTGGTGTAGGATAAGAACACGAGGCGCTTTGAAATGTTGAATACGAGACAAGAATGTATTGGCGTGGGGAGCGCAGTTTGATGTGATCAATTGAGAGCGACACTGTTTTGAAGAGAGATGACGGCGGTTGATGGAGGCAAATCGAGCCGCATGAACCGCCAATGTTGCTCCCTGCTTATCGATAAGAACCCCAAGAATTTCCCTTGTGAACATTGAAGGCCTTGTACCTGTGGGGATGAAAGACTTTGAAAAGGCTTGTGTCCACCACAAGCGCACGGCACAGCTCGCTTTCAATAAGTACCAGTACAAAAAGAGTCGTCCCCCCACTGTCGATTTGCAGACAAACCCATCGAGCTTTTTGCGAACGAAATTTATTTCAACCTGTATCTCGAGCTTACAACTTACCCTCACCCTCGTTTCAATCCGCAAACCAGCACCGCGAAAATGGCGGAGTTCAAGACAGTGAAAGAGGATCTCCAGTCCGCGCTGGTTTCAACTGTCAAATCCGTCAACAAACTCGCGTCCCAAGATCTCGCCTTCCAAAGAACCGTCAACTCAGACAACGATGAACGGCTGGATGCAAACACTACCCGCCTTTTGACGCTTGCGACGCAGCTCCTCAAAGCCGCTCCCCGGCCCAACCGCTTAGCACCGCCAAAGCTCGAAGAGACCGACGATGTGGACATGAACTGGCGCCGCATTGTCGACATCATCGATGCCACTTTCGAACAGGCCGACCTCGCGCTTGACGAGTATACCGGTCTGGTGAAGCGGAAGGAAGCGCCAACCACCGAACCTGAAAATGTTTGTTGCTGTCACTGAAAATATGCCGCTATTGGTTTTTTTCTCCTAGTCAGCGCTCTAATACCCGGATTATAGGTACCTCCCTCGAAGAAGTCCAAGTTCGCCGGTCTACAAGCCAGCCAGCGCAACGCAAACGTATCGAAGCCGCAACTCAGCTTTGAGCACCCCCGAATAACTTTGCCACGGGCCCTTGGAAGCCGATTCTGACAAAGAAGCCCCACGCCCTCCAGTCCCTAGAGCATAGCCTTGTCCTGAGTGCTAATGCGGAATCGACTAATGGTTCCGCAGAGTATGTGTGCCCATTCTTTAGAGGTCCAAAGTTCAAGGACGACTTTAGAACAGGTCGGAAGCTTTGGCGCATTGAGTCTGAAACTAATAGATGCTCTTCGATTCTAGGTATAAACACCCTTATGAAATCGAAGTCCTCGAAATGGAGTACCCGGCTCGAGTGTTCGAGGAGGCTGAGCCCGTCAACTTCCGCCCCATGGAGGAGAGCAAAGCCACGTGGGTAGACACCTACGAAGGAGTGCTGGAAATGTTGGAGGAGCTCAAGAAAGCCAAGGAAGTGGCCATCGATCTAGAGCATCACGACTATAGAACATATATCGGACTTACGAGTCTCATGCAAATCAGTACTAGAGAGCGTGACTGGATCGTGGATACGCTTCAGCCCTGGAGACATCGACTCGAGATCCTCAACGAAGTATTTGCCGATCCTAAGATTGTCAAGGTATGTGGTGAACCTGCACCCCTTTAATCCTAGACAATTTATACATGGATACTAACATCAGATTTTAGGTGTTGCATGGTGCTTTTATGGACGTGATATGGTTACAGCGGGATCTCGGCCTCTATCTTGTTGGGTATTTCGATACACATTTCGCGTCCAGGGCGCTGGGCTACCAGCAACACAGCTTGGCTTTTCTACTCAAGAAGTTTGTCAACTTTGATGCCGACAAAAAGTACCAGCTTGCGGATTGGCGTGTTAGGTATGCTACGTGATCACGGAGAAGCTTATGAATCCTAGTTCGCGCTGCTAACCTTGCATTTTGCGTAGACCTATTCCTGAGGAGATGTTATTTTATGCTCGTTCCGATACCCATTTTCTCCTATACATCTACGACATGATGCGCAATGAGCTAGTTGAAAAGTCTGACCCAAGCTCGCCGGAGACAGACTTGATTCGAACAGTGCTTGCCAAATCGCGCGAACAGTCCTTGAGTCGTTTCGAGAACCCTTACTTTGATGAAAAAACCGGCGGCGGCAGCAAAGGTTGGTATAATACCGTTATGAAACAACCGAAACCCCTCACGGGTGAGCAGTTTGCTGTTTTCCGAGCGGTTTGGAGTTGGAGAGATGCTGCGGCGCGCCGCAACGATGAGAGCGTAGGCTACGTGCTCCCGACCCAAGGGGTCTGGGACATTGCTAGGGTTCTCCCCCTGATCTCAAGGCTCTTCACAGCCTCCTACCCCGACATGCATGGGTTGCCAAGGCGGAAGCCAATCAGCTTTGGAAGGTGATCCAAGAGGCGCAGGCTAAGGGCGCAGATGGCCCAACATTGCAGCAGTTCTTGATTGAGGGCGCGAAGTTAAAGGATGGAAAGGCCGGAGATAAAAGAAACGCGATCCAGGATCTTGCTTCTCTCAATATTCAGGAGGTCGAGGTGGGACGGCTTCCTCGTTCCCAACTTTTCGGGAAGATGGAGCTGAGCTCTCGCTGGGAGGACGGAGCTTCATTGGCTAAGGATAGTGACGAATATGTCCCACTGCCATGGCAGAGGCACTTTACAACTGAGGAAGTGCATCTTGCGATCCGAGAGGTGAACATGGGCAGCAAAGAAGAAACGGCACTCCCAGCTACGAGAGTAGAGCCAGAACCTGAGCCCGAGGAACCCATGGAGGACAGTGAATTTACTCTAAAGACCGGTATGAAGCGGAAGAGGTTGACTGGCGAGGATGCCGGCACCCCGGCTGCCACAGTTCCTAAGAAGGACGTGGGAGATGAATCGGATACCAGCTCAGACGAAAGTTCAGATGAAGACTCTGACGAAGACTCTGATGAAGACTCAGATGGGGGCTGCTGTTGCCACCTCTGGGTCCGGTGCTGGGGCTAATCCCTTGCCCAGAGATGCTAGCGAGGGCCGAGACGAAGACTCAGATGAAGAAGGGGAAGCCGATGCCGAGGAGACTACTGATGTCAAGGAAGCGGCTCCCGCCCAGGCCAAAGGAAAGAACGCCCGGCAACGGGCTAACCGCAGATCTAAGCGGGCACGGAAGGCCCAAGCTAAGACTGATGGAGCTGGGCCGCTGCAGGAGGAGCCCTTCGACTACAGCAAGGCTCAATCCGTGCTACATACCAAGCGGTCTACGATGCAACCTGCTGGTGGACCAGGAGCTAGGGGTAAGGCGGCATTCGACCCTTACGCGAAGACGGGCGATGATGGGCTCAAGGGTGCGCGAAAGGCACCCCTATTCACGGAGCAAAGAGTGCGACGTTTAAAAATAAACTACTGCGGTCTCAGGGCGTATCGGCGTTAGGGTTAGGAAGCATGTATTTGAAATGGAGGATACTGCACGCGAGGTCGCCTCCTGATTTTCGGACAAGCAAAATTATAGTATAGGACGTGTTGAATGAATACAGATTGAAGTAGGCCCAATTGCTTTTCGCCTATAGAAGGACTCTGCTGGTCTTGATTGCAGACGCCTTCCGACGCCTTCCGACGGCGTCAGACCCCTTTGATGCCAAATGTTGATAAAGAAGTGATCAGAAGAAAGCGGCGGGGCGAGGTTAATTGAGTAGAGGAAAGCCCGTGGTGGCCTTTACATGCTCGTTTCCAAGATTCGCGCGGGCCTGAGACTGCTGGGTTGCTTGGCGCGGGACTCGATGATGATTATTAGTGTTTTAGTATTGCAGATGTTGCCGCTCTCCTTGTACTTGCCGAATTGGGGAAGCAATCTCCAAGTGCATTGGAGACGAATGCGGAATGGATCCATGATGGACCCCACCGCCCGACGAGAACCATCCAACGTTCGGCGAGGTGCCCTTGAGCTAGACTTAATCTTGAGCGTGTCTGGTGTGGTTCGTTGGTGTGGTGGGAAGTACGAAGTATTTACTGCTAGCTAGTGGCTCTTGGGATGCATCGCGGCCAGTGGCGCGGTATCGAATGAGAGGCCGCCGCGGGCGCACGCGCAGGCAAGCCAAGCCGCACCCTGCTCCGTCGCTTGGTGGAACACTGCTCGTCGGTGGAAGCACCCTTGCTCTTCGGCCTCCTTCTTCGTGGGGGCAGCGAAATCAACGGATACTCGACGCCTCGCAACGATGATTACTTGGGAATACTCGACCTTTTCATGCCGCCCTTTCTGTGTCTCCCTTTTTGTGGGGTTTGCCCCTCTACTAAAAAGGGGACAGGGTGGAATCGAGGAGGGCGCCTTCTGATGGTCATGGGGGATGCAGGCAATGGAATTGTGGATGGATCGGATCAGGGCCGAGCCATACACTCAATGCAGATACCAGTAATCCGGGCTTTTCTCTTGTCTTCCTTCTTTGCCCAGGCTATCTATCGTCTGGTGAACTTTGCCCACGCAGTTCCAATTGTCTCCCTTGAAACTTGTAAAAGGAACGCCGCAAGAAGCCTGCCACCCAACAACCATGCCATGATGCCAAGTGCACCCCCTTGAACACCCCCGGAACGTGAGCAATTGATTTGACAAAACGCGCGTGGGCCGTTTCCTCTCGAGCCCTTGAGAGTAACCCATCGGAACCCTTCATATTGCTGCCCGACACCCCCGGCTTTGCTGTTCCCCAGATCCTCACTTCGATTCGAACCGAATCCCACGGATAAGCGAAGCACTGATCTTCGGTTTCGTTCGGTCAGGTCCCTCCTCCTCGGTGACGCACCCAATTATCTGAAGCGCAAGACCTATTTTCCCTTTTCTTCCCCGGTTTCCCCAGTTTCTTCGCTGTCATTATCCTATCCTCGCATATCAGTACTGTTACGTTGTTTCCACCCGTCCTTCTCTCTCTCGGCAAGGGCTTTTTGTTATATCTGCCCCACAGTTCGCCGAGCTATGGACCGACTTTGCCGCCTACCGCCGCCGTTATTCTTCCTTCTCCATGCGTTCCTTGCCCACGCTGGGGTAGTAGTCAAGCGTGACACGATCGGCGGCACTGATGCTGGTAGTAACGGAACTTTTGCAGCCATCACATTCCCAGGAAAGGATGCCACCTTAGTCACTGGGACTACAGTTGAAGTGACGTGGGAGAGAGGGGATGATGGCCCTCAGTGGGATGGCAAAGTGATGATGGAAGTTGCTGAAGCGAGCAGTACACCATTTACCAGTTTTGTCTACGTCGACTGTAAGCCAAGTCCAGCCCCGAGCCCTTCCTTCTTCCATCCGCGTCCTGGAGAAGCAAAGGCGAGATGGCCCCTCGTTGGGATAAGTGCTTACTGATATTGTAGATGACATCCCGTATGCGTCAGAGGCCCACAACTGGACCATACCGGAGCGCCTGAACCCGGGTTCTTATGCCATCCGCATCGTAAATTCCTCTCAACCTGCCACATTCAGCGACTCGCCAATATTCACAGTCATCCACGCCGCTCCGGTCCCCACCGAAGCCCCAGCCCCTCCTTCGTCCTCTCGGAAAGGCCTCACATCAGATGATATCATTGGTTTAGCGACCGGCCTCTCGGTTGCTGCTCTTGTCGCCGCCCTAGCGGTATGGGCCTGGCGGCACTCTAAGAATCGTGAAAGAAGAGGCATTCAAGGGAGTGCCGCACGTCAGTCTCATGGTTTTAGTGACGACGACGACAACTATAACGGAGCACCAAGGGGCGGTCTCGGAGAATGGCAGGCTGTTAGAGGGGGCCGTTGCCATGTCACCCTCTACCATGGTGGAAACGGGGTCCGCTGCGGGAGAAGAGGGTATGGCCGATCTGGACAAGCTGCCGGAGGGAGTCATTAGTGGGTGGGCACCAGAGGGTATCCGCGTTGATCCTATCGAGCTGCCTGCGGAAGTATATAAGCGGTGGAGCGATGACACCCGAGAACGTGGTCTAGTTGGTATCGGAGAACGACTGGAACTAAGCGGCAGCCGAGGCAGAGATGGGACGGGGAACCCGGAGGTCCCTACTGAACCCCAAGCGCTAGGATCTTCCGAAACACCTGACCGGATACTCAACGAGTGACAGAAGACGAGGAATGTTGGTAAGGGCTTGGAGGTGTATCGGCTAGAGGATCAAAGGTGGGGATGAGAAACGGTACTTCTTTTACGTGGTTGGGAGGATATTTTGGACTTTTTGTTTGGAGTTCGGTGTGGTTATGATATCCCTTACCGATCTCAAGCTTGGGACGGCTTTTGTATTTGTTAGACATGTATTCACTCTGTTTAGAAACTTTGAGGGATTGGATGGAGGCAGGCACGGAAATTGGATAGACGGGTAAGATGTGCTGTCGCAGGACGGATATTTGATGCATTAATAGTGGTATCTAGGGATATAAAGTCCTAAGCACTATCTGCTGACACTTTGTCTATCAATGACACCCCTTCCGTTGATATACCTCTCCTCGTTCAATTCGCCCTTTTCTCGCATCGCCCCTTGCTGGTCCCACCATAACCGCTACATGGGGGTTCCTTTGTACATTTAGATCTCGGGCTTGACGCCTTTGCCTTCGGCTTGACTGGCCGACTCGGTCTTGGGGCCAAGATCCTCGTCGTTCTCAGCCTTGAGGAGCTTGCGGAAATCCTTTTCCGACATGCGCTTCTGCTTCTTGGCCGGGGTCGTCTTGGGGCCCTTGTCGTGGGCATCGTGGTCCTCGGCGTCGGCCTTGTTGGCAGGGCGCTTGCGGCGCGTAGGCGTCTCGGCCGAGCCTGGGACACTGCCGCCGTTCCCGGCAGAGGCGCCGCTGGGGGTGCTGGGGCCGGGGCTGGCGTCGGGGAAGGCGGTCTTGCCGGTGTCCACGATTCGGCGCTTGAGGCGGGACCAGGTGGAGCTGGCGCTCGAGATGTTCTTGTAATTGCCGAGCTTGGCAAATTTCTCGAGATCAATCTGTAATGGAAGAAAGGGTGGAAGGAAGGGCGGTGCCCCTTGGTCAGCGTCGCTCCTTCCGCTTTTTTTTCGGCTTCCATATGTGCGATATTGGTGGAAGGCAAGAGAAGGAAATGGGCGAAAGCAACGAACATGGGGAGGGATTTGGATGCTCGTAAAAGGAAACGGGGTATGGCAGAACTTACAACGGGGGCGTCCTTGAGGCACATGAAGGCCAGGCCAAGGAGTTTAGTGTCGCTGGCCGAAATCTCGGGCGTAGCGAGTCCAGGAGCCGCAGCTGCAGGCTTCTCAGGGGTGGACTTGAGAGGCATGTTGTCGGAATTGTTCGGCTTGGAGGTTTCCTGCTCGGAGAGGCGAGGGTTAGAGCGAGTCGGTTCGACTTTATCTTGATCAAGAGGCTCAAGATGTCCTGGGAGAGATGTGTATGTTTTGGAGAACTCACTTTTGATGGGTGGCTTTGTGTTGCTTCCAAACCTGATGTGGTTGTGTTTTGAAACTGGATGGAAGGGATGTGAGAAGAGAAAAAGAGGCAGGGGAAACAAAAGAGGAGATTGGGGAATGAAATGGAACAAGGGAACGGGTAGGCACCAATGTTGGATGAACATCATCGTGGAACAGACTAGAGGAGTGGTGATCGTGAGTTGCTGGACTGTCTTAGGCAGGCCAGGGGACGTGTTGGTTTGGCTAGCCATCTTGTGCTTCAAATGAGGAAAGACTCGTGAAGGTGAAATGAAAAATAGAGGTGTAGAGTTACATCCTCAAGTTGTGGATTAGAGTATTTTGCTAATTTGATCCTCTAGAGCTTGGCCAAGCTGGGGGATCTACCTGGCTGCCCAGATGGAGCAGGCTCTCTAAGGCTAGCCATCATTGTGGTGGCACAAAGAGGGAGCCATCAAATGAAGGCTAATACAAAAGCCGAAAGGGTGAAGGAGACAGAAGAGAAGGCGAGTAAAGAGAAGAAGGAAAAAAAATGTAAAGTGACCGTCTATACATGGATAGCATCATCCTGACCCTTGCCGCCCATAAATATACAAAGGAAATGCCCTGAGTTCGGGTTAGTGAAATAATAGCCCACAAGTAGTGTACAGCGTAGAGCCCGGGGTGGCGAATGCCCGGAACCCAAGCGAGGAGAGAGGGACCGCCTCCCTCTTCGCTTCGTAAAATCATTAGTTCTAGTTTTTCTTTTCGTCCTTGTCGTCCTTGCCGTCGTCTTCCCCGTCGTCTTCGTCGGCTTGCTTTAGTTTCACGACGACGCCTCCGTCCCTCCATCCTCCGCGGCTGATGTGATACTCTCCGCCGAGAACAAGGTCCTTGGCCACCAGCTCGCGCGTGCGGCCGAGCGACTCGATATCGGCGATGCGCTGTATCGTGGCTGCGAGGTGCTCTCGGAAACCTGGCTCGGAGCAGATTTCTTTAAAGGCGTAGTGCATGGGTACGGAGCTTGCGCGCACGTCGGCGGACGCGGTGATGGAGAAGAGGTTGAGGTTGTCAAGTTGGCGGATGAAGTCGCACCGCGTCATGATCTCTTGGGCTTTGTGAAAGGGGTAGGTCGGGAGGACATGGCCGATCCGAGGGTCATAGGTCAACTCCATTTCTTCTTCTTTGTCGACAAGCGCAAGGGCGAGAGACATTGCGGCAGCCTGCCGTGGTGCGGGGAGAGTGTTAGCAATGCTTCAGCGGTTGCTTCGCGGCAGCCCAAGCTCAGAAAGATCAAGTGTCTACATGTACTTACAGCCCACTTTTGCTGGTCCATAACGTCGTCGTCCATCTCAGCACCCAGGATCCAACACTGGTTCAAGAACCACTTCTTCTCGATGTCAACTATCGAACGGCAGGTGCTCATCATGTCATAGCTTCTCGCCACCCGGTTGAGAAAGCTGAGGCGACCGCCAACCATATCGTATACTCGTTCAAAAACCCACTCGGGGATTTCCTCATTGTAAAAATGTTTCTCGCGGTACGTTTTCAAGGCTGCTAGGGCTTCCTCCCTTGGCAGGTCCATGACGGGAATGACTTCCATCCTGGTGGCAAGTTGTTTTAGTCTCTCATACACCCAGTAATCATCACTGTTGAAGACCAGCGTGACGAGGTTGGCTGCCGCCCACTGTTCAGCGCGCTGTTGGAGCAACTCGATGAGGTCCTTTCCGTCTTCGTCATCTCGAAGAAGATGCATCTGGTTGATGATAAGAATGAGCGGCCTCCCACGCGTCTCCCTGTTGACAAGGGCCACCTTTTCTAGCTTATTGAGGGCCCTTTCGATGTCGAGGAGGGCCGTCGAATCTCTCGGGCCGCGTTCACTGAAATAGCCGCCAATGTAGTCCTCGTGAAACTCGAAATCGAGGGCTTTTCCTAGGCGTATCCTGACAATTTCCAAGTCTGAGTGTGCCTCAAACATGGCAATGCCTTGACCGTCGACCTTGCGCATGGCCTCAATCAGCATGCTGCTCTTCCCCGTGCCTTTGTCGCCGATTAGTAGGTAGTAGTGGCCGGAAACATCCCCGGCGAGAATCTCGTCAACGTGCTCCTGTTCTTCGCGGAATACCCAGCGGCCATCTGCGTGGCCTGTTGATGGCACACCTTTGGCCAGCGCCGCCAGGTCTAGCACGGGGTCTCCAGGCTCGAAAGCCCTGGTCATCTTCTTGAGAACGATGCGCTTGTACGACTTGTGGTACGCGTAGCCAGCAAAGGCAAAGCCCAGCGCTAGAACGAGGATGGATGCCAAGGTAGTAGCGGCAGACTCGCCCATCTTTCGGAGGAGACTGGGCTCCTCGGGTGGGAAGGGATTGCCATTGGAACGTCTATCTTGACCTCCACCAATGTAGTCTGCCCGCGAAGTTAGTGCCATGCAGAAGAAGAAGAACCATGTCATGCAAGCAGTGGCTCCGTTGGAGAGTATCAGGGGGATCATAGCTTGACAGTTGGAGAGGGAATGACATAGCAGAGGTGAAAGGAATACAAAAGGTATCTATAATTTATACGGGGGACAGTGCGTGATATGTGCCCTTCTCTGAGACGTGCGATGCTTGCAAATCGACGAGTCCGCATAGAATAGACGGCGCGAGCTGACACACATGCTCACGGAGGGCAAGGCTCATCTCTACCAGCAGTTCCTTGCGGATTTCCACAACAAAACAATCTTGACTTGGTTCCAGTATGGGGAGGACGAATCTGTGAAAAGAGAAGGGCACTGGTAGCTTGGGACTTACCATCCAAAGGTCCGCGGTTGGTAGATTGGGTGGAAAATGCAGCTAGTCTTGGCCGCGACTGAGGCTGCAGAGTTGAGATTCGAGGAAAGTCAATCCATTGGCACCCTGACCAGGCCACTGGGGATCTTGCCAGAGGTATTTGACGAGAAGCCCGGGTGAGGGTGAAGCGGCCACCGAGCCTCAATAGCATGTCAGGCGACTGGCCGGGACCATTGACGATGCGCTGGTGATGATGATGATGATGATGCTTGAGTCTAGTCCCCGTTCGGGGGAGAAAAAAAGGGCGGAAACTGGCGGAGGTGTTGGCGGGCGGTGGTGGATGGTCAGCACCTTAAATCCTTGAACCAAGTACCGAGTTGGGGTTCACACAATACATCCAATCCTGGGTGTCATGGTATTATTATCGTTCCTGTGGTTCAAAAGGGGCTGCAGCAGTGCAAAGGGAGGGCGCAAAGGGGAATATTGAACATTGGAGCGGAAAGCGGACCTTGTGGTCGGGGTCATCGACGGAAGTGGGTAAATTTGACAAAACGTCAAGGTGCAGAAGTAGTGCAAACTAAACAAAACGCGCCGGTCGAATTGGTCTCGTGTCAAGACAGATGGGCCCAGCTTTGGTGCTTTGGTGGAAAGCTTGGGTGGGTAATGTTCGTTCTTTGTCTCGCAGCCAGGACTAGGACGAGGGTGTACTTTATTGCGTCACAAATTGACGCGGGATGTTGATGTACACTACCACCTCGTACAGCTCCCATGAGACTCGATCAATTTCCCTTTGTTTGAGTGGCACCGCAATCATTTTCGCGATTCAATTCCCGCTCGAACGGTGTCCCGCCCCTGTCCCGTCGATCATATGAGCAACAGGGGCAATATGGAATCCAAGATTTTCAGCGATGAGAAAGAGATAGCAGAAAGACAAAGATCGATTAGTTACTACAAGTAGACGGCCAGAGCTTGAAGACACTGCTGTCAACCAGGCCATTTGTTATTTCTTTCTCTCTTCTCCTCCCTGGACGCCAAAATGCCTGCTCTCAACCATGCGAGCTGAATCAAATCCCCATGTTGCGCGCACTCCACTCGAGTAGAGTATCAGGGGGCTGTGCACCTTGAACTTGCTGCAAAGGCCTCCAACCTAACTCGAGCCATTGCTACCCTAGTGCATGGCTTCGAGCCACTCTATTGGGTATGGACAAGTGTTCAAGTACATGCCGAAAATCTTGTCAGTCAAGCCGTCTGCACTCTGACTGAAATGAGCGAATCTTCCATGGCATGGAATGCGGGTCCCGAACTCCACTCGCTTCATGTCCCCATTCGACGGAGAAGGATCTGCTCCTTGTCCCAGTCTGGCTGAACTGACGGATGGATTGGCAGCTTGCGTCTATTCAGTAGGAAAACAGAATTGGCTTATCCTCGCCAGCCAAGCCATGACCATGAGGTGGAGCTCCAGCCGACTTTCTGGGTAATCAGAGGCCGCACATACCATCAAATACTTCGCACATGGGTCAATGGCGTTCTCAATGTTCTTCGTATTCCTTGCTTGTAGGGAGTACTTGCTGGAACTACCTGCCTTGACAGCCGGCACACAAGCATTCTCAGACACATGCACATGCCCCAAAGCCAAGAAATGATGCGTCCGATTGATCACCACTATTGCTCCATGGATGCTCAGCGATGAGGGCCGTTTGCCCCACTCTCAACGACCATTGCCCGTCGAGGCTTCCAACTCATGATATTATCAAATCACCAGACAGTTTATCATGGAGTGAAAACTAATCGTGCCTCGCCCATTCTATCTTTTTGGTATTACATGCGCTCGTGCTCCCGACTCTGAATCGAGGATTTATTCGGTGGCTATTCTCCTTGAGAAGAACATCGGAGCGAGGATGGGTTCATGATTTCGAAACAATGATAGTACATGTATTGAAGATGTCGAGGTAGGCTCGGTATAGCCCCCATCTTGATAAAGGACTCTCTATAGGTGTATCCCAGCATGGGACAAGGAGCCCTCCATGGCCAATTCTTCTCTAACCTTCCTAGGTGTCAATAGAGAAGGAGTAAGTTAGCTTTAAAGGGTTGAAAAAGAAAATGTAATGGATAGCTATAACATGCCCTCTCTTGCTCCAGTCCCCTGCCCATCAAATGCACCTTCCTCCTCAAAGAGTTGGTGATTCATAAACCACAGGCTTTGAAAATCATGTCAAATCTCTACTATATAAGCTGCTATTCTCCTCTCCTACGCTCCCTTCTCGCCTCCCTCACATCCTTTCTACATACGTGCCCACACTTACATCCAAGTTGTTTTCCTTCATTTCCACTCAACGATATACTCTATAAGAGCAACGCATTGCCAGCATTTCTTCTCTTCTTCAAACCCCTTTCCTGCTTTTGGACTCCTCTACGAGCCTAGGTGTGCCTGTCTGACACCTCATTGCCTTCGACCACACGAAAATCAACCATTCTTGGCTTGTTGACCATCGCCCTGGCGTAAGGCGCTTCGACATGCATCTGGGCCCTGGTTACCCGAGTACGGCCGCTACTAATACTGGTCTTAATGAACGACCTCTAGTGTCTAGGAGCGAGCCACCCGCTTCAGCCCATCTAGAAAAGGAAGAAGAAGAAGAAGGAGAAGAAGGAGATAGAGAAGCTAAAGCTCACTCCACAGTTACCGCAGCCGCCTTTCATCGACACCCATTAGCGGATGGTCTTGGAATGGATGACCGGGAACTCGTGAGCATTGGACTAATCATCCCAGCCGCCGCTGGCTCGTTCGAAATTCCCGATTCACACACCGTCAAAAGGGTAGAACAGGCGAGGGGCATGGACCAGGATCCAAGGCCCAAGGACGGGAAGAGCCAATTGATATCGAGATCAGACAAAACTGCAGTGTCCGGACAAGCCACGCTCCATGAAAGGTCGGGCTGTGGACAGCTTAGAAAATGTGACACGGCCTTGGCTATCAGAATGCCCTTGAGCTGCATCACATCAAAGACGCTAGAGTCCAATCTTGATCTCGTCGCTTGCTCTTCTCGCCAGACCTCTGCTGAGGTTACAACGCTCAATTTTTCAAAACCTCTTGGGCTACGACCACCACTTGAGGCGTTTCAAGATGAAAATTTACCACGGAATGGCACCGACGGCCGCGCTATCAGCCCTCTAGAGTATACACGTGCTTACCTGCTCGAGAAGGCGCGATCCGAACGCGAGGACCCTATCAACCTTCTCCCACCACCTGATACGCATTGGTGCTGCGAACAAGATAGAGAAGATTTATCGATTCACTTGCGAGAATCAAGCTCTCCAACCGCCACCCAGCTTGCCAATCTCACACAATATCCTTCCCCAGCTCAAAACCCATCGTGGGGTCAAGGCCCGCATCAACAACCCTCACCACAGTCCTCCGTCCACCATACCAGCGCGAACAAGTACTAGAAGTCCTTGGTTCATGCCGAATTCGTCTTTTCCTGGAAAAACTGGCTAAGCGCGGTTCAAGCAATAAATCCAAACTCTTTCAAGGCCCGGCTGTTGTTTTCCGCAGACAGGACCTTGAGGCTCCCTTGCAGAACTCGGCTTTTCTGAACCCTCCGGTAATTCCCATGATCAAATTCGATGACTTTAGCTTGCCGCCTTCCATGTTTACAGAAGACGAAATGGAAATCCAAATAACCCCGCTTGGGAACTCTCACCAGAGTGATTCCGAAAGCCCTCTGTTTACGGCAAATGTCACCCCTACGCTCAACAACACCGGAGAAGGCCCGGTAGATATATCCGTACCAGCAGAGTGCCACGGAACTCACAGTCATGAAGGAGATAGCGCTGTTAGGGACGCTGCAAAGGACTTGGCTGTTCTCGAATATAACGGAGAGCAGAAGGCTGCACCTGCGTCATCCGGCCGAGGACCTGCCCTATCACCGGGTGGGCGATTACCATCAGGCCAGATTGTTACTCCAGTCCGGCTTCGACCCGACTCTCCAGTTCTTTCGCCGACTCTTTTGAGATGCTTCAAGAAAAGTCGCCACATCCCCCTAATAGGGAGCTGCCAGAGTTGCCAACGACTCCGGGTGGGGCGGCTTCCCAAACCCCATCGAGTTGCTATACCCCGAAGGTGATGCCGAGATACCGCGTTGCGGTAGAGTCACCCACCCCCGTTCCTCGGATGAGGAAGGGATTCTCGTTGAACGGCTCTGACAATTCCCCTCTTCGAGGCTCACTCAAGCAGCAGGAGATTTTGCGGCCGCTGTTGAGTGTCCAAAATGTGGATGGGCCACGTCCCCCATCCCACCAAGAAGCCCTCGACGCCCAGAGGCGAAGGCTTACTTCGAAATTTTGGAACGAGGACCTAGTGCTTGGAGATCTGGCTCTGGCGAGTCTCTATCTCTTGCATCGTCTCATACCCGGACTTTCATGTCTCGGCCGCCTCTTACAAATGAAACATTCATCTCGCCCGAGGCTCCAGTCGGGAACCCTTCTTCCAAGGGAACCCAAGTGGACGGACCGGGCCTAGTAGGTGGAATTAATGTGCCCGCGGAAGCACCAAGAGAAAATGGGGAAAAAGAGGACCAAGGAGGGTGGCTCCGACAGACGAGGATGGATGTTGGATCTAGGCCAAAGCGGGCCGACTCCGTTCGAGCTGCTTTACCTAGCGGCGTGGCTTCAATCTCGAGGAAGCTGTCAAAGTTTGATTTTACGATCACGAAACGCGACTTCTCAAACTCTACGAGCCAAGATCCGGCCGACGTTTCTGCATCAAAGCAATTGTCTGGCCCGAAAACACCCCTGGCTATACTGAGCAACCCCGAAGACACGACCACTGGGGCGTTTTTACACCCTAGCATGTTGTTGTCAACTGGCAATGGGGGAATCATGGATATCGAAAATGCAAATGACCCTTTCAGCAGCTCCGGCCCCGGATAGAACCCAACGGCCTGCCGCAGCAAGTCTACTGATCGAGAGGACAGCTGGGAAATTTCGATGTCATCTGAGAGAGGGCGCATGTTTGATCGATTCTCGAAACGCTCTCATTCTGTGCGCCTGTTGTTGAAAAATAAGGCGAATGATAAGCTACGCGAGGAGATGGAGGAGGTAATGGACCTGACAGTTCGCCTCAACAACCTCGGAAGAGGGCTAGACGCGCAGCGCATGCCTCCTCCCAGGATGAAGAAGACTCAAAATCTACAAGGTCCGGTTACAAGCACTAGCACGCCTGACGAGCCCATGAGCTACGTTGTCGTGGCAGGAAAGAATGGGCCTGAGATAGTGCCGCAGGATGAGGCTGGCGTCAAATCGTACTTTGACGAAATAGACACTACCCCGGCGAGGCCGACGCTTCGGGGTAAGTTGCATCACTTGAAGGCCAGGCTCTCGAGCGGATTTGGGAAACTTCGTGCTTCCTCGCATGGACATGCAAATGAAGAGGAAGTCGCACGTAAAACTAGCGGCGACGGGCGGAGACAGTCGCAGACACCACTTGGGGATCTCTCCGGTTCTCGAGTCCCTTGACTTTGGTAGCCGCCCCTAGCGCTCCGAGCTTGCAGTTTGTCCGATTCTCTAACCTCAAGATCGGGTTTCGTCCATCGCGGGATAGCAACGGATGCTCATCGACGATGGGGACGTCTCGAGGGAGTGTTCTAGGAGGTATTCGAGCTGGCAAAGAGCTGGAGGCTCCAACTGTCCCACGAGTTCCAGCACGGCCCCATGAACGAGCCCATAGCCATCTTGGCTTGTAAAAGAGGGAAGGGGAGGGGGGTTAAGACGAGTCTGGACATTGACGCCAGAAAACAGCCTGCTTTGGTACGTATCAAGTCTGGACATGCTCGGCGACGAGTGGGATTTGAAGTGTGCTGGGTGGTGGTATATCAATTTTGTGTTCGCTTGGATTCCTCCACAACCCAAAGGAGATTGAAGGCAACTGGATGAGAAGATCCTGTGAATTGAGGTGAAAGAGTAAAAACTTGTGTAGATAGCCTTTGGTTCTATCTGACTTGACTGATGTTCCTTGTTTTAAGAATGAGGTAGTATGATGAGCTTAAACAGAAATTGAACCATCAAATTACTCAATGTTTCCAGTCTATGACTTTAGTGATTTTCAGGGTCTGCTCTGGACAATCCCTGTCATTGTCTGTACCTTCCCAGAAAATTTCCGAATGTTCTTGGCGCACCCTTTCAAGCAATTGTGGCCTGCACCTGCTAAAAGCTGTTTCTTTATGCAAGTACCTTGAACGGTGAGGCGACCTAGTTAATACTGTGCGCGCAGACGAAAGGCGAAAGGGGCAGGAAGCTCTGGGATCGCGACCTCGTTTTTTTTTTTCTCTTTCCGCTGGCTAAGCTGATACCCCTCGACATGTAACTTTTATTGCTGCCGATAACAACATCGCAAAATCCCACCTTTTTTTCCTTTTCTGAGAGGCCACTCAAAACGATCCTTTATCGACATTTTAGCCCCACGAATCCAACTCGCGCTGCGTGCCTATTGGCAGATTTGGTGAGGTGCGCAGTGCTCGACTCTCGACTTCATATGTCTTGGACTGTGACTACGAACCGGCTTATCTCGCAACTACCAATCGCATTTCTAAACCAGCACACTTGCGGCTCGCAGCTCGGTACTTCCCCGAAACCTCGTCGGAACCGAATGTGGAAGCCCTCCCGATACGATCTGCTACCCCACTCGCGACTGCCCGGAATCTAACGAGACGGCATCGACAACCCATACTCTACGCCTATCGCCTTGGTCGCGGCTTCGCGAGGGCCCTCTGCGGTACGCGGCAAGAAATAGCACAAGGCTGTAGGGCGAGCTTTCGAGCATGGCTAGAGGTCCGAACCACCCACGCCTCGCGGCGCCCATCAACTTCGCATCGCTCTCCGCCTACCGTCCCGGCCTCTCCTTCCTCAAGAAACGCAGGCGAGATGATGATGAGTCGAGTCGTCGTTCGTCATTCAGCCAGAGCGGCCAACCAAGTAGCTCCATCGACGGCGATGGCGACCATGGTGCTGCGGTTCACCATGGCTCGGATGACTCTGTAAGGCATGCTGCGAAGCGGCAAAGGATAGGCGACTCGGCTGACCCGGGCGCTGGGGATGTGGCCCGGAGTTCGAGGGAGATTAGCGTTTTGTCGTCTACAAGCTCTGTGCCAATGGAGTCGGGCTCGGAGACGTGGAAGGAAAAGAAGGCCCGCAAGAAGGAACAGAAGAAATTGAGGCGACAAGAGAAAGAGAGGAGGAATACGCTAGAAATCTCATTTCTTTCTACGGACGATCTCGAACCCCCGAAGCCGACCACGACGATGCCGCCGAAGCGCGGCATTCCTCAATGCTACCGCCGTCTCCGAAGAAACTCTCCTCCCCGAGGAAGTTCTCCTCTCCCAAAACCACGGCCTCGCCAAGAAAAACCGCGACTCCTAAAAAGTCATCGCCTAATAAAAAGCGCGCCGCTATTGTGACGCCGAAGGGAGTCGTGGGAAGCAGTCCTGCTTCGAGGAGCGTCGGGTCCGAGCCTCAAAGATCTCTCATAGATGCTGCTTCGCGGTCCCTCGCGATGATCACCTCGCTGCAGGGCCCGTCCTCGACTGAGAGTGCACGCCTCAACGCTCAAACGCCGGTACGGAGTAAAAGGAAAAATGACGTCGGTGGCCGCTTTCATCTCAGCGGCCGTGACGAAGACGATGCGGAGAGGCACCGCCGGGAAGGCTCGGCAAGCTCATCCGACGTATCCCAGATTGAGGCCAAACTACCGGCGGAAAGTTCAAAGGCTGTGATCCCACCGCTTAGGGCGACGTTTAACTCTTCTATTTGGAGCGACCCAGTGACTGGAGACGTTGGAGCGGGAGGCGCATTGAATCTGGACGACTACGAAGAGGTGGAATCGGATTCGAAGAGCCAAGGTGACTCTAGTGAATCTGAGTCGGAGGCAACCTCGCGCGGTCAGACAATCAATGGCGGAACTGGAAAAAACAGCGCCCATCTTGAATCAGGGTCAGACATAGAGCGGGAACGAGAAGCAGAGCCAGCGCAAGACTCTGGGTCTGAGCCGGAGTCAGATGCCGAGGAACTGGTGGAGGAGGGAGAGCGAAGACGAATTATCAAGATTCCTGCCAAGGTTGTTGCCCGAAAGAGCACGTATAGCTCGGCCTCCGAGTCGGGAACTGAATCAGACTCGGACTCGGATACATCCCATATCCCTGCTCGGCTTCCGTCCCCGCCTCACAAGCGACCGCGAGAGTTTGCCCAGAACAAGCCCGAAAAGCAGTCTGCAAAGGAGGTCGTGGAAGAGGATAACCCCGATGGCGACCATGTCATGGCGGATTCCGGCGATGACATGGAACAACAACTCGATGAGCAACTCACTCAGGAGAGCCTTGTGGAGGACACCAAACAGACACAGGAGAGAAGGAGACTACCCGATAGGCTGGTGGCTTCGACCCTGCCCGCGCAAACGAAGCGGAAGACCCCCGTAAAGGCTGCGGCCGAAGCCAAGGCACAATTAGCCACGCAAGAGCCAGAGGCTCGCAAGGGCCGTACCCCGAGACGCCAAGCGGCGGTTGCTGCGATTGCTGCCGCTAGCGCCAAAACAGCGCAAGAGGATCCGGTGAGCGAGGATGTAGGCGACGACGTTCCTGGCGACAGAGAGGGCGAGGGGCCAGAAATACAGAGAGAGGAAACGGAGATGGAGGCGGGCCTCGTGGCTGAAGAAGCGCGAAAGACGCCGGAAGACACGGCCAAGGAGAGTCCTGGGGGAGGAAGCGGAAGGCCAAGCTGAGATGGGCAAGACAGGCGGGACAGGCAAGCGGGGTAAAAGGAAAGCGATAGCGGGAGCGGCAGCGGGATCGGCAGCGGCGACGCCTTCCAACAGCGCGAAGAAACGCAAGGGCAAATCGGCGCCGGCGCCCTCCGAAGACACGCCGGTGCCGACGCCGAAGACACAGGGACCTAAAGGGCAAGAGGGGAGGAAAAAGTTTACAGATATGGCCCGCTGGACTTGGAAGAGGAGCAGCGTCTCGTGACTATTGTGGCCGAGTTCTCACAAGAATACGACTTATCGCAACAGCGCCTGGGCCACCTCCTGACAACGCCGGGACAGGACCTGAGCAGGGAGGACTTGTGGCTGGTAAACGAGGCCTGGGACAAAGTCCTTTTGCATTTCCCGTTGAGGAAGACCAAGCACATCAAGGAAATTGTCAAGCGAAAGTTTGATATCTACAAGTCAAGCAGGAAATGGACACCAGAAGACGATCAACGGCTCCGGGAGCTTGTGGAGCAGCACACAGGCGATAACGGTAGGAGGTGGCTGGACATTGGACTGGCGATGGACCGATACGCAGAGGCGTGCAGGGACCGATACCGAAACTACGCCAGCTGCGGATCCAACCGGAAAACAGGAAAATGGAAAGACGCGGACTTGGGCGAGCTCTATACGGCGCTGGTGACGTTTGTTCCACAAGCCGTGCAGGAAAAGATGAAGGGGACTGAGCCGCCGTCGCAGCTAGAGCCGTTTGTGTTTGCACCCGACTGGATCAAGATTAGCAAGCTCATGGGGAACACACGATCGCGGCAGCAATGCCATTTCAAGTGGCAACATCTCCGGGTAGACATCCAGAAGCCACACGTCATCTACAACCTATGCGGAGGGGAGTCGGGGACCTCGCCCGGGTTGCGGGGGTGCAGGATGCAGGTGTACAGCATGACCAACGACGAGGTACTCGACATCATTCGCGGAGTGGCGACGTACGTGCCGCGAGAGCAAGATAGCGCGCTTGTGGCGTGGCGGTCGGTGCAAAATGCCAAGTTTACTACGATGTGGCTCGTCAAGACACTCAACATTGTCTGGCGCAGGCTGAGGCTCACGCTGGTGGGTGAATCCTCAACGGAGCTGTCAGATGTGGAGATGGCGCAAAAGATGCTGGAGGCGGCAGGGGATGATGGCGCAGGGCTCGACGCGTACTGGCGGCACCGACCGGACACGGCGCGCGAGGAGGAGCTGGTGCTAGGGGCGGACCGCAGGCTGAAGCTCAAGTCGGAGGCCCTGCCCGATGTGGAGGAGAACGTGAAGCGGGGTCGGCAGGCGCGCTCGAAGGCGGACAAGGCTGATGCGGCGAAAGCAAAGAAGACAGGGCGAGGGAAGAAGAAGGCGGAGACGAACGGTACCGGCTCTAATGGGACCAAAGTGAGACAGTCGAGGGCAAAGAAGACGGCATTGTCGGAAGAGATGGTCATTGATCAGGACAGCGAAGGAGACGAGGAGAACTAAGGGCCACGTTGTGGGGAGGACAGGATGCAGTGAAGGGTTTACAAATGCGATAAATCACGCCCTCGTGAGCCTACTCGTTTCAGTCGATATCTCTTCAACACTCTCCGTATTGTTTCCCCTCTCTTTGTTTGATCTTTTCATATTCGTTCTGGAGTTGTTGGTTCCTTCTCGTCTCACTTTTTCCGTATCTACCCACCACCCGGTTCCGTAAATCTCCATGGTGAAGAGATCGGAGTAGTTTAATGGCCATAGCTACGGCAGTGGAAATTTTCAAAAGGTCTAAACCAGAACACGACTAGGAAATATCTTGGTGACGAATGCCCTCTCTAACCCTTACATGTTCAGGGAATCAAGGTTCGCCAGGAACCCTCGGCGCTAATGGCGAGAGCAAGAGCCCCGAGTTTTCAAGAATGCATGGACAAGGGAGCCGCAAGATTGACGGCGTCGCCGAACGTCTAAGAACCGTGTGAAAGGTGGCAAATTCGGGTCTTGCAAACAGCGGTTCTCTTTTGTCACGGTTCTTTGCCGTGCAACGCGGTCTCTGTTGTGGGCCGGCACGAGTCCGGGGCCGCGACGGTGTTTTTGTGTTTGTATTAGTGGGCATGAATCGATTGGTCGTGAGGCGCTGGCTCGTGATGGGCTCCACAGGCGAAGGTGATGATGGTTCAGGGGGAGCACTGGCATGGAGGGGCGGGGCAGGGCGCGCTCAAGCGAGACTCAAGGGAGATAGTTGGGGGCAATGTCAAATTGGTTGATCCATGAATCAATGATAATCTTGATGGGCGCGAGTCGAGTTTCCATTGGTGATGTATTTGAATGGCAGGAACAACCCACCGATTGATCCATGGCCTACAAGTAGTAGTTGAGACAGCATGTTGTTCTGCCCGACACATCGTGAAGCCGCCATCTACATCCATCCACGCCTACGTCTGGAATTAGACTGGTGGACGGTTGTCGTCGCGCCAGGGGCATTCTACCATCTTGAACTGGTTTCCAGGTAATATTAACACGACGGGGATTTTGTCCTGCACGAGTTTTAACCACACTGGGATGAAGAGCAATCAGTGGATGCCGCCGACCTCTGCCTGGCCCCAGTCCCGGCGGCCCGCTTCGCTAAACCGTAAACGGAAAGAAGTAAACAAAGGAAAAAGCTCCCGGAGCCGAGAAGCTGTGGGCAAGCTTCAAGATTCGCCTTGTTCCACTCCACACCACCCCCTGGCTTCACTGACAGGGTGTACCGATACACGCTTTTTACTATGCGCAGGTACATTTCCACCGTGCAGAGGGGCCGGTTTTTCGTCGGCCATGAATTCTTGTCGACACGCTTTTGAGGCGCGCTTCTGCTGGTGGGCTGCTTTCTGTGGACTGTGAGAAATGCACGAGGTGTGGATGTGGACCTTGGGTTGCGAGCTGGAGCTGGACCCCTTTGTTTACTTTGATCATTCTAGCAATCGCCGAGTAGACACTCGTCCTCCTCAACTCAAAAGCTGGACCATCTATTTACTTGTACCCCACGTCCTGCATCTCTAGTGACACACTTCAGTCCCCTCTTTTTCTTTTTACATCTTCTTTACCTTTCTTTGTATACTAACAAACCGTGCCCCCTTTCCCCACCATTCGAGGCGGATTCTCTGTCAACCAAGATGGCCGACGATATCCCCTTGGCCGTCCGCCGAACGCGCCGGACCAGCACTCTTAACCTCAATAACAAGGACTCGGCCGACGCGCTTCCTTTCCCGGAAGCCGTCACCCCCAGACGGTCGAGGAAGCGGAGGGTCCGATTCTCCGACCCGGGTCCTAGCACGGGGACGGAGAGGGAACGAGGCGTGGCCAAAGATGACGAGGACATTGACGAGCTGTCCACCGGCCTCACTCCCATGGTGAAGCGCACGTCTATACAGTCCCCGCCGCCAAGCGCCGCCGCGTATCCACGCCCGCGCGGCTCACCAAGGTCTGCTGGGAGAGCCCCTCCAGGTCCGAGGTCGTCACATTCGAGCCGATCCGTCAAATCATTGACGAGCGCTCCAAGAGGCGCATCCGGCGCAACGGCCTCAGCGCCGAGATGAACGCAATCGAGTCCGAGACCCGTCAGCGCGCGCGCGAGGCCCGCGCCGAGATTGAGCGTCTGAGTGCTGAACTCAGGGCCAAGGATCTTGAGATTTACCAGCTGCAAAACGCCACTATTATTGTCGACACGGACAGGATCTGGGAGCTCGAGAGGCAGGTCGCTGATCTCCAGGGCGAGTTGGCCGAGAGGTCACGCACCCAAAAGCAAGATCGGCATGATGCCACTGCGGCAGGCTTCGAGTGGACCGTGATGGCGAGGGATCCTTTCAACCCGGACTACTCTTCCGTCGCTGGTGGCGAGGACGAGGACGAAGACGACGACTACGAAGAGGCTTTTGGCGACACTACCATGGCTGACTTGCAATGCAGCACTCCATCCCGCGTGAGAGCCTCTTTCCCCTCGCCACCGCTTACCAGCCCCGCCCTCCCGGGGACTCCTTGCCGTCGCTTTACGCCGCCTACGCCACAATCCCACGCTGGGGTCCAAGTGTACTTCCCCGATATCGCGAGCAAGGGCCTCGAGGAAGAGCTGGCTTCCATGAAGACCGAAATGGCCAAGCTCAACAACACTCTCGAGTCGTACCGCGGCTTAACCACCAGGCTCAACGATCGTCTCGTGGCCCACCAGCCAGTCACCGGCGACTCTCCCGACGCCCTCGCGCGGGATGGGGAGACGACAACCCCGAAACCCAGCTCGAATCGAGGGTAGACGAGCTGCTCCGGGCCTTCTCCGACAGGACCGCCGCCCTGCTGGAAATCACCTCGTCGCTCAGCCAGCTCGGGTTCCCCGGCGATGACGCGGCGGCCATCATCACATCTCTCTCCGCGGGCTTCCGCAGCGCCCGCCTCGAGCTCGAGTACCTCAGCCCCGGCGAGGTCGCGCTGCCCCTCACCTCGCGGGGCGCCGAAGTACTCGACCTGCTGCTGACCCGCCTGCGGGACCTGGCCAAGCGCGCCCAAGAAGACGAGACCACCATCGACGAGTACCACGAGCTCGAGCTCTCCCTCCGCAAGCAGCTCTCCTCCCGCGTCGACGTCATGGACGAGCTCAAAGCCGCCCTCGCCCAGGCCCAAACCGCGCTCGCTGACAAGACGGCCCGCGTGCAGGAGCTCGAGGTCGGCGTGAGCCGGCTGCGCGGCGCCGTCGACGGCTACGTCCGGGACGTGCACGAACTCGAGCGCCTCGTCGAGGGCATGGAGGCCGACACCCGTGAGCGCGGCGCCGCCCACGCCGCCGAGCTGGAGAGCAAGCGGCGCATCCTCGTGAGTAAAGAGGACCGCATCGCCGAGCTCGAGGTCGTGCTGGCTGCCTCGGACGGCCGCGGGTCCGCCCTGGCTGCGCGCGTCGCTGAACTCGAGGAGAAGCTCGCCGGTTCCGTCGCGCAGACGGAGCGCCTCCTCGCCGAGGCTGCCGCGCTGGTCGCTGCCAAGGCTGATATGGGCAGGCGGCACGGAGAGGCCCTGGCCGTGCGGGACGCGCGAGTGGCGGAGCTCAAGGAGGAAGTGGAGCGCGTCAATGGGTGTCTTCGCGCCGCGTACGGCACGGTGCAGAGCCTGCGCGTCGGCGGGGCGGAGCTCGAGGTTCGTATGGGCGAGGAGCGCGAGCGCGCCAAGGCTGTTATTGACTCGATGCGGGATGAGCTCCAGAGGGTCGTGCGCATGAGCCAGGAGTTCCTCGAGGCGCCGTCGTCGCGGGACAAGGACGCTGCCGCGGGCGAGTCCGAGGAGGGGGAGGAGCGAGGGCTCTGAGATCCTCGCTGGGGGTGCGGTGGGCAAGTTCTTCGCTGCGTGTAAGGCGAGGAGGTGGAGCGCGGCGCAGCAGAAACGCAAGAGGCCCGATAGCGGGCTTGGGCTGCTGGAGGAGGATGAGGTGGACTTTTAGAGTGCCGAGGGGGTCTTGCTGGTGGTTTCTGTTTGCCGCTCCTCAACAAGAGGTACTAGACGGTGAATAGCCTTGTGCTAGAGCGGAGGTGGCGTTGGTCGGTGCTGGTATCCTCCCTTTTGTGAGGAGGAGTAGTTTTTGATTATTGGGTGCTTGCGGGTGGCCTTTGGCTGACTTCCCGTATGACTATTCTTCTTTTCCCCTTTGTCTCATGTCGTCTCCTCATTCGAGGGTTTCTTTTCGGTCTACAGTCCTTCTCTAGCATCCATCTGCGCGCAGGCTTGTACTATTACTGAAATAATGTAGCCTTGATAAAACGTCAATGTTCTTTTTTTTTTAAACTATTGCTTTCTGTTTCTTGTGATCTTGTTCGTAAGCTGCAAAGAGTCGGAATCTGATTCCTGTCTAATGTAAATGTTGCGTTTCGCCGTTTCGCCGTCCCTGGGGTATCTATGTCCGACTTGTCGGTATATATATATATACAGTAATAAAAGAAAAGAGAGAAGCCATGAATCCAAAAGTATGGCAGATTACCGAATCCTTTATGCCTCCCGACCCGTTCGTCCTCGTATCAAACCATGTGTCGTATGTCGTCCATTTCGTATCCGTCGCTGTCGTTTTCCCTACGTTCGCTCATTGTCACGGTCGCCTCTCCGTCCTTTCCCCCAATCTTACCCGACTCCTCACGCCATCCGTCCGAAGACGCTGCCTGGGCTTCCGCTCCCCTCGCTCCCGATTCGCGGTTTCGTCTGCTGATGACGGGGTCCTCACTCGCGCGGCGCGACATGGTGGTAGAATTTCCCCTTGCGTCGACTCTCTCGTGGCTCCGCCGGACTCGAAGGCGGAACGGGTCTTCTTCCACGCCATCAGGTAGAGGACCTTGCAGCGGCAGCTTGTCTGGGAATCCGACGGCCCAATCAAGGTCGAGGGCGGGGGTATGGTCGGCTGGAGGAGTGGCGGAGGAGGCCGCGTAGGACGGGGATGGATGCGGCCATTATCGTTGTGGCGACCTCGGCGTTTCCCCAGACCACGAGCTTGATGATGTCGTCTGGTTGGGGGAGAAAAAGAACTGTGTCAGTAGAGACCAGTGAAGGGGCAAAGAGCTACCAAGGTCCGGTTCCCCCGTTGTGTGAAGGAAGAAGAGCAATCTTACATGTGTAATCACCCCGGGCAATGGTTGGGAGAGCGACGCATTTCAATATAGCCGTAGCACAGGCGCTGTATATTTCTCGTTAGAATCGGGGACAGGAACGGAAATGGACTCGTAACAGAGGGGGTTGCACAAGTCAGTATGAGGTAGCAGGAGAAGACCTGCACCCGCGCCGCCTCGAGCGAGATACCACATACCAAACACCTAAGCTCATGGCCACGCCAATGCCTAGCTTCTCCCGGATGTTGATGTTCATATCCCAAATCAGGTACCACGGCAGCAGCGCCAACCCCAGGTCGATTGCGCCGGAGAAGGCGCCCGCGAAGATGCTGTAGTTGACATAGACGGAAACGGGGACGCAAACCGTGCTAGCGCGCCTGGGATCACACGGAATCCACGTCATGATGACGGAGACGGAGGTTAGAGCATTGATGGCGATGATGGTGGACCAGACGAGCGCGCGGGTCCATTCGGTCGTCAGGCGGAGGATGGTGACGGCAAAGGACGTCTTGGATGCCATCACGCCGAGCAGAGCAAAAGTTGCGGCGAAGTTGCCGAGTAGGGATAGCTGGGGAAGTACTCGAGCGGGACGGTATAGATGTGGCGGCCTAGGCCGTAGTGCGCCGTGCTGATGGTTACGCAGATGGTGTCGCTGAGGAGCATAACCTAGAGTGGAGGGAAAAACGGAGCCGTCCGGTCTCGCACGTTAGCCGTTGTGATCTATCCGCCTCGAGTATGGTTCGCTGAGGAGCAACGATCCTCGATCGAGAGGAAAGCGCCCAGCGGCAAGGCAAGAGGGGGTGAAGTAAGGTAATCATTGCTTCGGTTGTTCTTACCCATGCTACGATTAGAATATAGTCATCCCACCAAAGGCCTCGGCGCCGTAACCATTTACAATAGAGCCTCAGCGCGACGAGAGCCCCAGATACGCCGACCATTATCCACACGCTAATCTCCGTGCTAGTACTTAAATCATCGGTGGCAGCATTTGGCGGCGTTGGCAGGCTTGCCGGGCTCCCATCCGCTCCAGACATAGTTTTTCTTTTTCCCCACCCTTTGTGGTTGCCGCCCAGAATGGGGGTCACTAACAGGGAGAGAAACACTCAAGACGGCAGGGAAACAAGGAAAAGGGAGATAAAAAAAAAGAAAGAGGGAGAGCGACCGGCCCTAGATCATGAGTCTTGCTGCTTCTGTCTCTCCTAATTTGTGTCGTCTTTTTCGGTGATGTTGATCTAATTGCGTCAAGGTGGCTCGGGACGGTGGTTCTAGGTCGTCGAGGAACAGCGGGCCGAATCCTTATAGAGCACGAATGGTGCCAGTCTTATCTTTTGTTCGTTGAAGGTGAATGAGCGCCCTGCCTCTCTGTTTTGTTCGATATCTGCGATATGCCAGATATATGTAGATCTAGACGTATGAACTCGTTGTCTAGGTCTGGGGCGATCCAAGACACGCAGGCGTTTGACAAGAGTGGTCGAAATCCGAGTTGTTAGATGGAGGCGAGGAAACAAATGACTTTGGAGAAGACAGTGAGCTGGCATTCATAGCAGCGAGGTTAACCCCGATTAAAGCTGGACATGCCCGAGGACATCAACATAAAAAACACGAATCAGCGAGGAAAGGGGATAGACATGTCTCAGAACGAGAGGAGATGGAAAGGATCTCGGAAAAAGAGAGGTGAGAGCGCGAGAGCGCGAGGGTAGAAAGAAACGACAGTGCGACTCAAAGGAAGGCCAAGACTCTTCTGCATATTGTCCCCGCCGCCCCAACGTCCCTTTCTTCATGGGGGGGAGGAGGAGGAGGGAGGGTGAAACCCCCGGCTGCCGGGCTGGTGGCCAGCCCTGCTGCTATTGAGCGCCAAGTGCATCCCGCACTTGCTATGGTGGCGGCGGCCGTCGTCCTGATGCGGGTCACATTGTGACGGACGGTATTCTGTGGAGAAAAACCGCAGGTTGGCGGAGTATAGGGTCGTCGGTCGGTTGAGGACCGTCCCCGAGAATCGTCTTGTTTCTCAAGAGTGAAGGCCACTCAACCCTGGGGAAGATCAACAGCTGGTGCGGGCGGAACCAGAACCCGGGCTGATCCCGGGGGCATCTGCCTGTCTCTTTCCTGTTCTTCAAGAGCAGGGGGGACGAGAGAGCATCAAGAGGTGGCAAGTCGCTGTAATAGGTAGTCTAGTCTATAATAGAGAGGGTAGAGGATATGCGGTCATTGTGTTCCCCAAGTACAATGTGGGTGATAATGTCCGGAGCTCAAGAACAGAGCGTACGCAGGATTCGTATTGGCAGGGGACCGGGGCGCCTTCCGTGCCGAAGGGGCGGGCCTTGCAGACCCTCTTCTCCACTTCAAATCATTGACACTCATGGGACCATGTAGTGCCGTCCTGGTCGGCCGAAAACAAAGGGTCGGCTAGGACAGGACAGGGGGCACTTCTCCCTCCTTCGTGGGGGTCCATTATGAAGAGCAGGGTGGGGTGAGACAGGGTTGAGGATGGGGGCTTGCAATACTGGTCAAAAACACATGAGGCGTCCACTTTCAAACCAAGCGGTGCTGTTATCTTGATATCACCAATGCTCTGGACTCTCTTTGTGCTTTTTCGGCGATGACGAGGGGACCACGATTACGGTCATCTGCTGCCCTTCTACAGGAGTGGTGGTGCAGAGACCAACTTGCATGGCGCATTGACCTGACCTAGACACCCATTCATCGGCAACGAGGTGGTACAAGTGGGAGCCATGGATGTGTATGCGGAGGTCGCGGGGAAATAAGCAGTCTTCTCTTTTTTAAACTCCGTGGCTGTCACCAGTGTCGTATCCTGCGAGTTGTGGTGTTGCTCGTTGCTTGTTGCGGGCTGTTTGTTTGTCGGTTGATCGGTTGATCGGACCACGGCGCAACCCGTCACAGCCAAAAGTGCCCCGACGATGAAAGCAGGACGACCGCGAACTAACCGACACACTGCAGCCTGCGCTGCGGTGCGCATCGATCAATCTTTGAGCAAGGACAATGTCAAGTGTTGCACCTCTCTGGATGGGTTAGTCGATTGGGCGGGGGCTCGTTCAACCCTTTGTCCCCGGTGACATCCCATGCGGTGGGACCCTCCCCTGCTGCCCGGCATTATAGTAAGCCCAGGTTCCTGGTTCACAGGATTCAGACGTGCCATGGCTTGGGGCTTGGCATAGGGAGCCCACCTCCTTCTCCTTTCCTTCAAAAGGGGTTGCCAGGCGAGGGGAGGTAAAGAGCGAGAAGAGAGGGGAAACGAAACAGAAAAACGTAGGGGGAAAAGCAGCAAGGAAAAGGAGGAAAAGGAAAAAGAAAAATGGAGATGAAAAAGGAAGGCGAGTGTTCTTGGGAGAACAAGTAATTTCCACCTGCATTGTCTCAGCCAGCACCGTCGATCGAATGCAGATGACGCCTGGATAAGACCACACAATTCGCTTGAAATATTTCCTGCCCTGCCTCTGCCTGCCGTTGTGAAAAAGTGGCTGGCCAAAAGGCGGAATGCCAAAAAGGCGGAACTGAGAAAGCAAAGCTTCAGCTCTAGTCTCCCTCTCTTCGCTTCGTGAAGTTGGCATCCAAAATAGAAGCAAGACAAGGCGTCCCTTGGCACTAGTGGGAAAGTGCACTAGTGTACCGAGGGAGCGCAAACTTGAAAAGATGGACTGGGTTATTATTCTTCTGGTGATTGCTCCCGTCACCCTGGAGGCGGAAATGAAAACGTCCTGCCCCAGCTGCCCCCAACTCCCAGTGATCCCAGTGTGTGGTGGGCTTGAGCGAGGGGAAGAATGACAGGGGTGGAAGCGGAAAACATCAATCAACTCTTTCCTCCCTTTCTTTTCTTCTGTACGGAGAGGTTGGAGAGTGAGGAATTGAGAGAGAAAGAAAAAGAAAAAGGAAAGCAGGCGAACCGACTTGAATGGAAGCTTGAAATGATGTCTCTTCTTCCCGCCCCCAAGGTTTCAATGAATCGTCATTCCGACCCCGACGCCCGTTCACACGATTTTTCCTTCCTCCAAGGAATTGCGTCTACTGAGCCGTTTGAAAAAGCCAAGAATTCAAAGGGGAAAAAGCATGTCTACATATAAGGACAGAGCACGAAGGACATGCCACGCTGCAAGGCCTGGAGCTCTCCTTTCGACGGCCCTCGTGATCTACCCGAATGACAGCGGGCGCTCCCCGGTTCTTGCCACTAGCCCACACTCTATTCCCCGTGCTCTCATAGCTCGGATACACTTGTCCTTTCAAAGAGTAAGCTTAAACAGAAAGAGGCCGAGTTGCAAGAAGCAAGTCCTCGTTTGTCTGTCCCCCTCCTCGCTTGGCCCACTTGCCTGGCAACCTTGCTCTTGTCGTCTCGTCTCTGCGACAGGAATGTCCCAAAGCTCTAAAAGTGTCAGTGCTCAGCCCTGGAGAACGCTAGTACCCATCGGGGAATTTTGGGGTGGAATCAGGACGCTACCGGATTGCGAGCCGTGTGCTCGGGCTGGTCGCGCTCTCACCCGTCCCCGCCATAATACAATGTTGTAAGAGCTGAGTGGCCATGTCCGTCCGTCCATTCCATTCAGCCATCCGCCCTCTTCGGCACAGCGGGGGCGTGGCAAGGAACGGTTCATAGCAACCTTCCAATTTCTTCATCCCTACCGGAGATTGAGCTGGCGAAATTCTTCAATTCGTTTGTGCCCGGGTGAGGGGGAAGCTCACGCGAAGGTCGCATCCGGCTTCCGCAGGGGTGCGGAGAGAGCCACAGTTCTCATCTGCATCTGTGGATCCATTCACTGCTCCATGAACAATCCTGGCAGTGCTGGCAGCGACCTGCAGAAAAGATTGCCTGATAGGTAGGAGAGCTGTGAGAGGAGGTTTGATCCTAATAAAACCTTGCAATAATATTAGCCCAACTGACCTGCCCGACTATCAGGGGATTATCCGTTATTATTGCTTGTCTAGCTAGGTTCGCCTCACGCCTGTTGGATCGCAATAGCAAGAACTCCACATTGACGGTGATTAAATACGACCATCTACCTTTTTCTTGTTCTCAAGCTGTTGATTGGCTTTGAATGCTGCTATGTTGTTGGCCATCCCATCCCCACGGGCGAGGCAAATCGACGATCTCTGTGGCTGCCGCTTCATGCCATGCCATGCCATGCCCTTGACTTGGTTTTGGCTGGACTTTTACCCTGCATTCCATAAGTCAAGTAGAAATAAGATCTCCTATAAATGACCACTTTTACTTGTCTGCGAGCTCTCGGACTTGTCTTGTCAGTTCGAGGAAACGCGGTGGCTGTTCAAATATCAGGGACGCAGAGTATTTTTGTTCCCAAGTCGCTGGCTGGCTGTGAGAGCTGCCTTCTGATACGATGTGGTAGATTAGGAGCTTTCAGTTCAATCATCCAGTCTATTCAGACCGGCGAAGATGCACTAATTCCACCGAGGGCCGCTTTGGATGCAGTCAGTAGTGACTGATGCAGTAAGCGGCACCCTAGTGCTGGAGACAGCCTTCAGAGGCGGGGCTTCTCGTAAAGATCTCTTTCCCTCCATCCCGCGACTGGATAGGGCCTTGGAGACTATGATAGTTGTTCTTCGAATAGCATAGAGGCTTGGAAAGTCGATCTTCTCTGGCCCCCTCGCATGAGACCGATTAGTTGACGTGATTGTAGGATCGTGAGCGACCGAAGGGCGAGGCTAGCAATGGCCACAACGCCTTTGCCTACCCCTCGATGTTAGCCATGGAAACGATTTGCCCTCCTTATGGAATAGGCTCCGAGGCAAAGACGGTGAACGCTGACCTTGGTATCTAGTCGCCTTGTTTTAACGTGTTTCGAGACTTAGCTATACGGTCTAGCTTTAGGTCGCGCGGTGGGAGATGCAATCAATTCTTGACTGGCTGCTTGTTATGTGGGTTGAGAAAGTTCTTATTACACCAAGTAAAGATAGGATCAATTAGGTGGAGATAACGGAAGGCGCTGTACTCTCTAGGCTGGGGAGGAAAGTTCATGGACAGACATTAGGATGGAAGAAGAAAATGTTGGCTGGCCTCAGGACCTCCATTTCGCTGGACTGCTCTTCATCCTTCATAAGGGTGTTTAAGTTAGAGGTATAGCAACGGGTGGGGGCGCTCATGTTTCTGAAGGGTTTCCGTGGGGCTCTAGGAGTCGGGCGGCGACCCGCTTGCATGTTCATGCTTCGGCATCATTTGCTCGATCATGTATCCTCAACGATCATGCATCTAGAAGGACTGGCCCCCAGCCCCATTTGGGAACAGACATCATCAATTGATAGTACAGTAGTTTCCCATACTTTTTTCTTCTTTCCGTATTAAGCTAGCCACCACCCTTTCCTTTTGCTTTCCGTTCGTTTTTGATCTTGGATAAACGAACTATTGAAGAGACAGGCTCGCAGTTCCGCGATCTTGTTCGCCCGACGCACTCTTGAGCCCCGTTGACTAACTATCGGTGTTGGGTATTGCCGTCGTGAGTCTTAAGATTGTATCATGGTGTGGTACTTACTAGTCGAGACTGGCTTAAACAGGAATTATACGCTCTGCCTGGGAAGCACCTGCCTCACTTCGAATCGCTACCCGCCTGGTACTTACTTCCCCTTCTGGCCTCCGGCCGCTTGGCCAAGTTGGCACGAAGTCTACACGCACTTTCTCACGGTGAGGCTCGCAGTTCGACTCGATCTCTACCCGGCGTTTTAATGATTTTTGGAGTTTTCTTTTACAGCACGAGTCGGGACTGGTCCGGCCATTCCTTTCCACGCTCACTGACCTACACATCTTGGGTCTACTCTTTCGACACCCACAGAATGCCTTGGATTGTAGTACGAATAACGATGGTTCGGCACTGTAATTCTTGAACGATGATTGGAATACCAGATCAAGGGAAGAAATAAAGGAGTATCACTTGCTAGGATTCCTCCACGCATCCATGGGTGCAAATCGATTGACGATTCTCGGCCCAGGATAGTCGGCCCTTGATAGCTGGCCAACCAAAGCACAAGAAGCTATATTGAATGGTTGAAAAGGCCAAGAGAGGGGTGGTAACGGCTGAGACATAAATATTTCTTGAATTGTAGGTTAGACGTACGAATACTTGACTAGGCGTTGCGTGATGAGTCCCTCCGGTCGCCGTTTGAGGTCGAGGTTGAGCCACGAGATGTTCGCGTGCTCACGTGCCTCAAGGTCCGGGCCGCCAACACACAGGAAAGTCTAGTGGGGGCCCGATCGGACGGACAGGGAGCTATTTGGTTCCAAATTGGCCGGAGCTTGATGATACACGTGACCACACCCCTCCTTCCCGATGTCCAGTCCGACCTGCTCACCCAAACTGACATGTACGTCACATCACATATCCTAATTTTGGGGCCGAATTGCAACACCATCATTCCCCACCCAGTGAGTTATTTGTGTTCGGGTACAAGCGAAGGCGATTGGACCTCTTTTTCCGGCTGGTATTTTTTTCCTCCGCCCTTTCAGCCCATTCACTTTACCTTAGTAGCCCTTGAGCTTGTTTGCTGAACCCCAATTCGACAGAAATTTAGGCCGAGTGTCCCCGACGAGCTTCCCCAATGTGCTTCTTCTGAGCTACCTTTCAGCCTGGTCGAGCCCCCGAGCCCGCCGCGGCGAACATCTTCACCCCTCCCTCGAACGCGGCCTTACATTGCTTGTTCCGGCGCCCCCGCGAATGATGACTTGGTCTCTGCACTCGATTTAGCATATATGATGATACGAATATCCATACTACGGCCCGGTGCCTCTTGCGTGCCGTGTGCCGTGCCGCTGCGCACGCCTTCCCCTTCTCAATGGGTCTTCACTTCGTACTCGACACGGGCCTTTCACGTCTCACGAAGCTTTCGAGCCGATCCGCCCAGCAATAAACCCTCTTCTCACCCCAATGGCAGCTCTCTGCCTCGCCCCGGCGCTGCTGCGCCGGGTAGCGTGCGCCCACCTCCCGTCGTGGCCAGCCAAGCCAAGCCCGCCAAAGCTGCCAGTGATCCGCTGGCCGTCCCGGACAAAACCGCGCAGGAACAGCGCAAAGCCGATTGGGCGATTATGAGGAGATGTCGCACTATCTGTGGCCCAAGGGAAACCTAGACACCAAGTTTCGCGTAGCCCTCGCTGTGTCGCTGCTGATCGGCGCCAAGGTTCTCAATGTGCAGGTGCCCTTTTACTTCAAGTCTATCGTGGATTCCATGAACATGGACATTGGCGCCATGGGAGGCAATGCCGTCGCCGTGGCTGGCAGCATGATATTGGCATACGGCGCTGCCAGGGTAGGCGCGACTGTGTTTCAGGAACTCCGTAACGCAGTCTTCGCCTCGGTCGCGCAAAAGGCGATTCGGCGAGTTGCTCGCAACGTTTTTGATCATCTCCTGCGCCTCGACCTCGGATTCCACCTGTCCAAGCAGACCGGCGGGCTCACCCGGGCCATCGACCGCGGTACAAAGGGCATCAGCTTCCTGCTCACTAGCATGGTGTTCCATATCCTCCCCACGGCCTTGGAAATCAGCATGGTGTGTGGTATCCTCACCTGGCAGTACGGTGCCAAGTTCGCCGCGATAACTATCTTGACCATGGTTGGATACACCGCATTCACGATATGGACCACGGCGTGGCGGACGAAATTCCGCCGGCGCGCCAACGCGGCCGACAACCGCGCCTCGACAGTTGCTGTCGACTCGCTCATCAACTACGAGGCCGTGAAGTACTTCAACAACGAGCCGTTTGAGGTCTCCCGCTATGATAAGGCGCTGCGGGAGTATGAGAAGAGCTCGATCAAGGTTGCTACATCCCTGGCGTTTCTCAACAGTGGCCAAAACATCATCTTCTCCACCGCGTTGACGGCCATGATGTACCTGGCCTGTAACGGAGTGGCTCAGGGCTCATTGACCGTTGGTGACCTCGTCATGGTCAACCAGCTGGTGTTCCAGCTCTCCGTTCCTCTCAACTTCCTCGGGTCCGTCTACCGAGAGCTTCGACAGTCCCTCCTCGACATGGAGACGTTGTTCAATCTGCAAAAGGTTAACGTTACCGTCACCGACAGCCCCAACGCAAAGCCTCTTGTCTTGACTAAGGGCGGCGAGATCAAGTTCGAGAACGTCACCTTTGGCTACCATCCCGACAGGCCTATCCTTCGAAACCTCAACCTGACGATTCCTGCTGGAAAAAGGTGGCCGTTGTCGGCCCCAGCGGGTGCGGCAAGTCAACTCTTCTCAGGCTCCTCTTCCGGTCTTACGATGCCCCTAGCGGTCGCATTCTTATTGACGGCCAGGATCTCCGCGATGTGACTTTGGAATCCCTCCGTAAATCTATCGGTGTTGTGCCCCAGGATACGCCGTTGTTCAATGATACGATCGAGCACAACATCCGCTACGGAAAGATTGACGCGACGCACGACGAGATCATTGCCGTTGCCCAGCGAGCTCATATCCACGATATAATACAAAAGTTTCCCGATGGCTACGAAACCAAAGTCGGTGAACGGGGCCTGATGATTTCCGGAGGCGAGAAACAGCGTCTGGCAGTGAGCCGGTTACTTCTCAAAGATCCCCCATTGCTCTTTTTCGACGAGGCCACCAGCGCCCTGGATACCCACACGGAACAAGCCCTCATGGCCAACATCAACAGTATCCTGCGAGAAAAGAACCGGACGAGCGTTTTTGTGGCCCACAGGCTCAGGACTATCTTCGATGCGGACCTGATCATCGTGCTGAGGGAGGGTAGTGTTGCGGAGATGGGCACACATCAACAGCTAGTTGATAGTGGAGGCGTCTACTCGGAACTCTGGAGCGGTGAGTTGAACACACTTTCCCCCATCTTGCCCTTGGCCCCGTGCGCCGCTGCCTTGCATGCTAACTAACACTTGACTACAGCGCAAGAAACCATGTTCAGCGGAGACGGGGCGGACGACTTGAGGGAGGACTTTAACAGCAAAGAGAAATGAGCGGAGGGTGTCATGCGAAAGAACTTTGCTTCGAGTATGGGACACGCCATCTCTCGCGGTGAATAAATTTGTGTATATAGATCCGGACAAAAGCGATATCCTACGTGGCTCGTACGCAGGGATGCGTCTGCCACCTTTTTTTTCTCGTGGTCTTTTTGTTTCCTGTTATAAATTTTCTTGGATCCATCCCTTTCAGCATAGGCATTGATCAAACAATACGTCAGTAGATGCAGTGGACAATCAAAGAAGGCTCTGAACGTAGCAGCGTGTCTTCGAACGCGAAGCACGACTGATGGCTGACAGTGCATCTTGGTCTTGTCGCCCTTTTATTACCTCCGAACCCGTAAGAGAGGCTTGTTGGGTGTTGTTTCTCTATGCGTGCCTGTTGTGGCCTGGTTGGCCGAGATTAACGTCGTTTCATGACCTGCCAGCGACCCAGAGCCAGAGTTCAAGCTTCTTCACGCCGCAAACGGAAATGGCAAATGTCCCATTCAATGCCAACGGAAAACTGCGTGTCTTCTCGGAAGTAGACCGCGACTCGAAAGCGTAAAACCCCGCTGTCAGGTCAGGCTGACAGCAAAGGACACCACGGAGGTACTTGGAGGAGATATTATAGAATGACGCGTTGTGCCTGGACATGAAGGGACCGGAAAGGGGAAGTGGAAGGAGGGATGGAGAGGTTTGCCCCTCCCTTTCTTAGTAAAGGAAGGGAGCATCGAAAGAATCTCGCTTCCAGGCCGATGGTAAGAAACGATTGATTTCCGTGGGTTCGTCACCAAACATAGCACACCGCACTGCGACCATCCTTGACCCGCGACCCATGGATTCAATAAGAATCGTGAAGCACGCCTAGATTTTTGCTTGCCTCGAATTGAGAAGCCCAGTCGTTGTCTTGTCCCGCCTACATTTGCCAAGCTAAGAGAAGATGGATCAGATCAGACCTTCGGAGTCACATCACGCAGGCTAGAAGCTTCGGGATGCAGTCATGGGTGCCTTCTAGCGCCGGAGGACAGGGCCTCGCCCAATGTTGGATAAACAAGACCTGGGGCGTTGGCTAAGCCTCGACTCTGGGTAAATTTTGGCAGTTGGGCTTGTTGGTGGAGCGGGGTGCGCCCGCAGCTCCAGGGTGGGCACGTTGAGGTGGGATTGGGGAAAAGATCTTGAACCCACGAGCGAAGGGCGCTCATGGTGGACTTGGGGCCCAAGGTTTTCGTGGTTGCAGAACGCGATGCCATTCTTTCACTGTTGGTCCCTTCATATCCCATTCGCCTTGGCAGCATCATATGGAGGGAGAAAGACGCGCATGCTCCTGTCCGCGTCGATAGAAACTTGAAGACAACGCACGCTCAAGACGACGATCAGCAGGACAAAGCGGCGGCAGCAGCGCTGCGAGCCATGGCTAACACACACAAGTTGGCGTCCGGGCTTTTGCTGGCCAGCTAAATTGAGCAATGCTCGATGACGATCCGAGATCCGCTCATTTCCGGGGCCTGGCAAAGCGTTGCTTCCAGAAGAAAGAGTTCTCCTATTGGCGTGGATCTCAATGCAGTGCACACAGGCTTGACAAGCAAGCAGGGAACATTGAATCCACAGCTGTCCGCTCCTCATTCCATTCCACTTTTTGCACGATCTTTTAATCGCCAACTCCACTCCCCCAGCGAAGCTAGCACTGACCATCCAGATGTCTCCTCCTTCTCCCCGCACCGCCAAGCCAGGGGTCAGGGATTGTGCTAGGCATGTCTGAATTGGGTGCCCTTCTTCATCGCGCCTTTGAAAGGGTAAAAGGCAAGCAAATATCTAGAAACCACTCACTAGGACAGGACGCCGACCGAACCCAAAGAGATGGGAATATGGGATGGATTGAGGGCAGCAACCTACTCAATGGCTCCATGCCGCGCTCATACCAACTTGGAGCTGATCACTCTACGCCTGACGACCCTGCAGGATTCCTCTTTGAGGGTCATCCACACCATCACCACACCTCCCATCAACCCCTTCGCGGCCGCAAGGTGGCGACGACGGCAGCACTAAAAACTCCCTTTCGGATGGAGCGATGTTCCTAGCTGCGTGCGGAATAGGCTGCGGGGATGCTAGCACTACCACAACCGGATTGATTGACGCCCGTAAATAAAAACAAAAAAGGCTCGTCTTCTGGCTAAGCCGGCAAAATAGGCCCTGGCAAATATGTCGGGTTTCCTGCGCCCTAGGCTCGCTGTGATACCACCTTTGGTGCCATTTCAGAGATTTGGCACCTACAGAATGCTGGCGAAGGGGGGACATGACGGGTGCTTGGCTTGGCCCACACTGCGCAGGTCCCATCCCCGAGCCATTTTATCCGCCCGCTCCCGATTGGATTCGTCGTCCCCGGCTGCCAGCCTCGAAGATTACATTACATTGCTCCCGAGCTTTTTCTTTTTAGCAGAGGAGCATGCCTTGTCTTCACTTTAACCCAGTACCGCTGGTTTGGCGTGCGGCCTAACCGAGCCGCGATGGCAACATGTGGTGTTATTAAACTCGTTAGCTCGCATAGAGAAACCTCGCAAAGTTGGTAGGGTTCCTCATTGACTTGTTGATGCTTCGAGACTGTCGTCGTCTTCTGCATCGGGAGCCGGGAATACAAGCACGTGGAGCACCGCCCAGGCCCTTCCTCCCGCGCGAAAGAAGGGGAAATATGGTCGCCAAGATGGTTGGCATCCACGCTTCCTTGGATGCAATGCACCTGCGGAGGTGGCCCTGTTAATTTTTCCGGAAGCGTTCTCCGACCAGTCCGTCTTGGGACACGGGCAACGGGGCCATGTACACGCACTGAACTCCACGGAAGAGCTCCAAGACTAGGGCGCGCGCGCCGAGCCCATCATCCGGAAAGTAGGCTCATCCTTTCTCGTACGGGTCAGACGGCCATCCGCTTTATTGCTTGGTGTGCTCAGCTTGTACGAAGTAGTAGTGCGCTTGACGCCAATGAGCGGAGGTGCTCAAGATGAATCCCTGATTATCCGTCTTGTTCTCTCAATGCGCGCGCGCCCGCATTCTCCAATTGGTAAATTTCTCCACAGTCTCTCGGCTGCTCCGCTTTCTCCATTTCGTGGCTCTCCATGGTCGATACTAGCCGGGTCCTCTTTCGGCCCTGTGCGCTCTCGGCCTCGTCCTGCCTGCGACTGACCAGTGAGCCAGCCAGACAGATGGGTTGCAATGGATTATTCTAGAGCCCCAATCTCTGATGGTCGGCTCGGGAACTCTCTGGGACTTGAAATAATACCCAATTCGAAGCGATAAGCCGTCGCCTATGGAGTTGAGGTCCTGTGAGCCCACACAAAGGTCGATTGAGGACGGCCAGGGATCTTCGCCCCACTGTCCGACCGGGTTCTTACCAAAGAAAGTGAGCTTTGCAGGGGGCCCGGGCCCGCTCGCTCCCATCCATCTTGTCGATGAGGCGGGACATGCTCGGATTTCCTGTCGTTGGCGCAATAGTAGGAAGCATGCGCGTAAAAGACCGGGTGGCCAAGTAACGTCCGGGAAGCTCTACCCGCCGGTTCAAGCTTATATATCTATAAATTGCCTTCCCATTGTCCCCGTCTCTCGGTTCTCGTTCCTCCACTTGCCTTTTAACGCAACGCTCCTTATAATAAAGAGACGGATTCCCCCTCGGGAGACTTTCATTTCGAGCTTTCCTTCTAAGCTCACCCACGCTCGTTTCTTCCCCTCCCTTGACAGCCAGCCCACTCTCGAGTCTCTCTCTATACCTCAGCTTGTACAGGTCGATCACCATGCATCTCTCCACCCTCGCCCTTCCTCCTGGCGGCTTCCGCCCACGCCCAGCTTCACAAGCTCGGCAAGAAGGCCGGCCTCAAGTACTTTGGCGCCGCCACCGACAGCCCCGGACAACGTGAGCGTGCCGGTTTCGAGACTGCTTACGAGCAGTACGACGCCATCCTCAACAACATTGACGAGTTTGGCCAGACCACCCCTACCAACGGTCAGAAGGTAAGCTCTCCACTCTCACGGGCTCGATTGGTTCTTCTTCCTTTGTTCGCCTGTCGATTGCCTTGCCTACCCATCTCTCGCTCTTGCGCATTTTCCTAGTGCTTTCTTTTGCTAACACGGAATTCCAGTGGCTGTTCACCGAGCCTGAGCGTGGCGTCTTCAACTTCACCGAGGGCGACATCGTCACCAGCATTGCCGAGGACAACGGCCAGCTTCTCCGATGCCACGCCCTCGTCTGGCACAGCCAGCTCGCCCCTGGGTAGAGGAGGGTGAGTGGACCGCCGACGAGCTCCGCGAGATCATCACCACCCACATCACCGAGGTCGCCGGCCACTACAAGGGCAAGTGCTACGCCTGGGACGTCGTCAACGAGGCCCTCAACGAGGACGGCACCTGGCGCGAGTCCGTCTTCTACAACGTGCTCGGCGAGGAGTACATCAAGCTCGCCTTCCAGGTCGCCTCCGAGGTCGACCCCGATGCCAAGCTCTACTACAACGACTACAACCTCGAGTCCGTCGGCCCCAAGTCCAAGGCCGCCGTCGAGATTGTCAAGATGCTCCGCGACGATGGCATCAAGATTGATGGTATCGGTATGCAGGCTCACCTCATCGCCCACCAGGCCCCCAGCTTCGAGGACCAGCTCGCCGTCATTGACTTGTACGCCGCTGCTGATGTCGAGGTCGCTTACACCGAGCTCGACGTGAGGTTGGAGACCCCCACCAACGCCACCAACCTCGAGTGGCAGTCCAACGTCTACCGCGACGTAAGTTTTTATCTGACTTGATCAAATCAATTATCCCGAGATTGGCAGAAACTAACCCCGCATCAATCTCACTAGTCCGTTGCCGCTTGCGTTCAGTCCGAGGCCTGCATTGGTCTCACCCTCTGGGACTTCTATGACCCCTTCAGCTGGGTTCCTTTCGTCTTCGAGGGTGAGGGTGCCGCTCTCCTCTGGTTCGAGGACTTCGAGACCCACCCCGCCTACGATGCCGTCATTGAGGTCTTGAAGAAGGCTGGCAAGCCTAGCGGCGGCAGCTGCAAGTCCAAGAGGAGGAGCCTGAAGCACTAAGTGCATCGAGCTAAGCAGCTTGGCGGCGGGCGCGGCGAGACGGCGCATGAGCTGCTGCCCTCTTTGTCGCGCCCGCGCGTAAAGGAATGAAGAGGGTGTACGTTATGGAGGAGTGGATGAGGTGGAGACGAACCAAAAATCCAGAAAATTCGAGTCTATAATACATTTAATTCTGTACATACACTTCAATCCACAGGCTCTAGCAAGGGGCCGAGTCCGTTTTGTTGATGGAATGATTTTGTGCCTGCCGTGACTCTTTTGTTTTTGCGCAAAGGTTCCTTGTCCATCCACTGTTCGCTCCCGTTGGCCAGCTCTCCCGTTTGAGACGGCGGGGAGCAGGAAAAGCAGGAACAAAGGCTTGGCCTTGACGCACTGACGCCGCGTCATGCCCGTCCAACGTCGCATCGCATTATTTATTCTACGAAGGTAATTTGCGCGCGCGCAACCGTCGTTGTGTTGGAGAGGGTTTCAAATCAAATGCATCCTCGCTGTCCGCCTTTTTCTTTTGGTTCTCTTCCTCCCTAGGCCTTAATTCGTTTTGAGGTCGGGAAACGCCGAGTCTGGGACACCATGGGACAACCAAGTATCCTACTGTACTCTCATCCTTTGCGCTCACAAAGATGATTTGGGGGACTATGATCGGTTAGGTCTAGATGACGAGGGACTTTACTGAGGCTTGCTACCTCTGAATTGAATGATTGATGATGATGCTATTATTACAAGACCGGTAGGCTACGCCCGTGCAAGTTTGTTTACCAACCAGCGCCCGGCGGCGGAAAGACCGTTCTGCCCTTCCTTTCCAGCTTTAGACGACATATCTGAAGAACGGTGCGTTATCTCCCTCTTCCCTATGCGCCGTCATCTCTTCAATCGTGTACTCCTCCGGCTTCTTGTACGTCCTATCACGCCTGGCGTTTTCCCTCCGGAACCAAAAGGACAGGAAGGCGCACATGCACATGCTCACGACCATCAGCCCCAAAAGCGTACCGTGGCCCCGGACGAAGTACGGCGCATCTTCGTTGCGATAGACGAAGCTGGAGAGGACGCCGCCGAGGTTGCCGAAGCCGATCTGCATGGCGATGCCCACGCCGCGCTTGACGGAGCCGCCAATGTTGTTGCCGTTCCAGGCAACGCTCTGGGGTACGTTGGGGAAGGCACCGCCGGCTACGAGGAAGCAAGCGAGGTACCGAACGGGGACGCTTTGTACTGTCATGAGGAGGATGTAGCCGATGACACTGAAGTCGACGAGAGTTAGGGTTAGTCTGGGAAGATGGTGAAGGGGAGTGAAGGAAAGGAGGCCCGAGGGCAACAACGTACGACAGTGTGGAGAACCCAAAGATGTAGATGCCGCGCTGGCCATGCTTGTCGGCAAAATAGCCGGAGAGAACGCAGAGAAGACAGGCGACGACGTAGGGCGGGGCAGACATGAGTTGGGCAGAGTTATCGGTGTAGCCGAGGTCCCGTACGATGGTGGGCGCGAACAGGGCGAAGGCGTACGGCGGCGTGTAGAGGCCGATGGTCATGACCATGTGCCACCAAATCTTCCAGTCCTTGAGCGCGTGCTTGACGTATTTAAGGTCGAACTCGTCGGGGAGGATGGATCGATCGTGCTCGAGCCGGCGGATTACCTCGTTCTTCTCCTTCTCGTTGAGGAATCGGGCGGTGGAGGGGTAGTCGTGCATGAAGAAGTAGGCAATAACAGCTTGGGGGTGTTTGTGGTTAGTCGATCGGGATTCAACTTCTCTTGCTTTACGGAGCTCTCTACCTGCTCCATATGCGAGAGGAAATGGATAAGGAAACAGAGAGGGGGAAATAAAATAGCAGAAAGGGTCCCGAGATGAATTAAAGGCAATTCCTTACCGAATACGACAGTGACGAGGCCTTCGAGGATGAAGATCCAGGACCAGCCTGCAAGGTTGCCTACACCATCCATCTCCACGATGCCGCGCGCCAGCAAGCCGCCAAATGCGCCGGCGCACGTCGTGGAGGAGAAGACGAGGGCCATGCGTAGTCCGCACTCGTTTCGGCGATACCACTGAGTGATGCTGTAGAGTAGCTGTTAGCACGAGGCCTCTGGCCTGGGGAGACTCGTATGTATAAAGAAAGGGAATGGGGCAATTGGGCGGTCACGATACTAGTAGTTGATTCCGGGAAGAGACCGCCTTCGGCCAAGCCAAGGGCACAACGGGCGATAATGAGACCGGTAAAGCTGTTGACGATACCCATCAGGGTGCAGGTGACTCCCAAGCGATCATGATGGTGGGAATCCAAATCGAGGGCCGGAAGCGCTTCATGGCGAGATTTGACGGGATCTCCGACGCGATATAGAGCGGGAAGAAGACGGCCAGGGAAATCTACAAGGGGAGTTAGGATGCATGCGCTAGGATGGCACGCGTGAAGGTGGGAGGGTGGCCGTCGGAGAAAGGGGTCCAAGGGGTCACTCACGTTGTAGTCCAGGCCCGTCATGTTGAGATCCTCTTCGAGATTGGCCAGTCGGGCGTTGCCGATGTTTGTCCTGTCGAGAAAGCTCAGACTACTCGAAGCAACAGGTATTAGTATATCTGGGGGCAAAGGCAAAACCGGAGAGTGAGATCGGGGAGGATGATGGAGCGCACAGATAGAGAACCGTGATGAGCGGGAGGAGATTCCAGTCAATCTTGCGGAGAAGTCGTTTAGTCGCCTTCTCATCGAATCCGCCCTGGCCCAACTCCTCCATGGCGGCGATGGGCGCTTCATCCTTTGCTGTTTCTTCGACAGATTCATAGGCGACGGGCGACTTCTCGTCGGTGTCTTTGGAGATGGAGGCCATCGTGCCGCGTGATACGAGGTTCAGTGATCAAAGTTTGAATCTAGATCGACGAGGTCCAAGGCGCTGGGGCAAACAGGGACAATGTGATGATGGGTGAACGCTCCTTGGACGGACAGGGAGGGGTCTGAAATGGGGAGCGCTTCAAGCGATACTTGTACTAGAAGCTTCTCAACCCTCTGGGAGAGCTTCCTCCAGCTCGTTGCGCTTTCGGAGGCGGGCAGCTCCAAGAGCTGCGAAGCAAGAGGAAGAAGGCGTAGAAAAAGGGCGTAGTCCACGTCCTTGTGTGGCCAAAGCCGAAATCAGGACGGGGAAGTAGCTGCCGTGGCGCGCCATCGGACGGGTGCTTAGTTCCACAATAGGAGGGATCGGGAGGCACGGTCATACAGTGGATCTAAAACGTGCATGTGCATGTGCATGAGCGTATGTGTATAGATATCTATGCCCAAACTTGGGAGAAAAGCAATGGCCAAGAACCTTGAGACGGGCGGGAAGAATCTTACACAAGGACAAAGGAGGTTCGTTTTGGGGAACAACCGCGCCTGGGTGTCCCGAGATGAGAGGGTAGGCGCAAAAGCAAGAGGAGAGAGCCGTCACGGCACCTGGTGGTACCTCGAGCTACCCGTCGCAGTCGTCAAGACCAAGAGGGCGCTCCGTGTATTCCCCTTGTAGATGAGCGTGCGCGCGTCACTTGGGGGCGGCGGTGTATGTGGGCTGCAGTGATCTCATAGGAGTCGCCCTATCATTGAGTGATGGAGAAGGATATGTCTTGCGCAACTGCGGCTTGGGGGCACCGGCGAATATCGTCTCTGGTTGTTGAAAGAGGAAAGGATACTCTATCTACTTCTGTTTGATAAAGACCGATTATCAAAGAGGGACGCACAAACGAGGGCCTTGGTTCCATTCACCGGGGCTTGAGCCTATATTTTGTTAATCACTATGGATACATGTCTCCTGAAGTCTGTTGCTCATCTTCTACCGATGGCTGGCGCCAATATGTGACTGTATTTGAAGTAGATGGAGATCGGCAACCTTTGGTGGCGCCGGTTTGATGGCGTGGATACCTTGTTAAGAGGCCACGCCAGCAACGTGGAGATTAAGCATTTGGATTGTATAGCTCGATTGCGGTATAAACGAAGAATAAGCTAGGTTCCATAATCATTGCTATTTCTACTCCATTTTGACGCCCTCATCCCAGGATCCTGACTGTTGCGCGAGCCAACTCTGAATTTCTTTTGTTTTTCGATGTTCAATATCCGCGTCAGGATTGCCCAAACAAGCATCAAAGTGCCCCGGGGGCGTTGTCCCAGCATCCAGGGAAGACCCGACAAAAGATGGCAAGCCCGTGGTGTCTTGGAGCTAGTTCGTACCAAGGGGATTCTAGCCTGCATTGAGGCGTGAAGGCCGACGAGTGGGCACGGGTAGCTGCAGATGGCCGAGAAGCGGGAACCCGCAGGGCCAGCCTCAACCCCAGGTCATCGCCGCTAGTCAAGTCCCCTTCTTCTTCCTCAAGACTCAAAAGAGACCAAGCTGCCGATTGCGTTCTGCGGGCCGAAGAGTGGCATATCGGCGAGGCGTTTTAGTGCACAACGGCATCGACAAGCGGGTAAACCAGCTAGGCGACATATTCACGGGCCTATCTATGCATAAGGAAACACCAGATCGATAACACAAGTTGGAATGCATCCCACCACAGTCGTTTTGACGCTGTTAAGCTTTTTTCATTCGGAAAAATCGGTTTACAAATGGTTGTTGTGATGGGGATGCACCTTCGCTTTCGGGAGCACACGTATTTACTTGAGTGTCACAGGGGCTACATGTTGCCTGTGGATGAATCATGCCTCCGCATGGATTTATACTGCTAGCGTGGGGGACTGAGCTGGTCTCGTGTGTTCGAAAGGCGTGCCAACGGCATGCATGTGTGCGTGTTCAGAGATTTTCAACTTGAATGTGCTCCCGTACAACTATACTGAAAAAATGTTGGGTGTCGTTGATGCTAACTTCAAATTGATGCAGTTGTGATACAGAGCTTGAGGCAGTGTATGCAAGAGTGACGTCGAGAAGGGTGGGCAGGACAGATCCTCATGGTTTCTGTCCCACCAAGGTAGTGACCACAACACGCCCGTCTTACGCCTAGAACTGACTTGCTTATCGGAGTTGGGGTAAAAAGTCCAACTTATGGAGGCAAGAGGTCACTGTGGTGGATCACGACTGGCTTGTGCGGGAACGATCTGGTTGGCAACGAAGCGAGATGATGGGCGCGTGCAGACTATCGAATGCTTTTTTCAGATGCACGTCTCGGCGAATTCTATTTCATTTTCCTTTTTCCTTCTTTTGGGGTTGGCACGGACAGCGTGATGTCTCGGTGAGATGAGCACCATCTAACATGGCGATTGGTTCCTTTCACGCACGGTAAGCAGCACGCCTGGGGGTGGCGGCGGCTCTGGCTCGACAACATTGAACTCATCAGCTCTGGGTGTCGTCTCCTCTGCGGGAGAGGCATTTGATCTGAAGCTTGTGGTAATGTATCCCAAGATTAGGGGCTCTTTTGGTCAAAGGGTCTTTTTGGTGGAGAGGTTCCTTTTTCCCCGTTCTAGTATTATTATTATTGCTTTTTTATATTTAGTCTTTTTGTTTTGGTCCTTTTGCCATTTGCTCTAGTTGAGAACCACCGTCTTCGTCTCGTTGAGGAAAACACGGCGCTGCGCATACCATCCAACAGCGGCAGCAAGGACCTGGCTTTCGATATTGGAACCTTCCCTAGTCAAATCGGCCGGGCCCATGCTATGATCGACGCGAACCACCCTCTGCTCGATAATGGGGCCTTCGTCGAGATCGGCAGTAACGAAATGGGCGGTGGCCCCAATAATCTTTACCCCGCGCTCGTACGCCTGGTGGTACGGCTTCGCGCCCTTGAACGAGGGCAAGAAACTGTGGTGGATGTTGATGATGCGGCCCGACATGGCCGCGCAGAGGGTGGGCGACAGGACCTGCATGTAACGGGCGAGGATGACGAGCTCGACGTTTTGCTCCTTGATGAGCTCGAGGACCCTGGTCTCCTGCTGGATCTTTGTGTCCTTGGTCACGGGCAAGTGGTGGAAGGGGATGCCGTAGCTCTTGGCGAGGGGCTCGAACTCGGGGTGGTTGGAGACGATGAGGCCGATGTCGATGGGCAGCTGGTTCGACTTGGCACGGAACAGCAGGTCGTTGAGGCAGTGGCCAATCTTGGACACCATGATGAGCACGCGGGTCTTTTGGGCGGCGGTGCGGATGTCGTAGGACATCTGGAACTCGCCAACGAGGGCCTCGAACGTGGCGCGCAGCTCCTCCGCGGGCAGCTCGGTGGGACCGTAGTGGACGCGCATGAAGAAGCGGTTGGACGTGGGGTCGGAAAACTGTCGGAGGTCCAGGATGTTGACGCCTCGCGACGCCAACGCTCCCGTGATGGCGTGGACGATGCCTGGCTTGTCCGGGCAGGACAGCGTGAGGATGTAGTCGACAGCCATGATGGTCTTTCGAGGGCAGGGCTGCTGCTGTCTTTCTTTGCCTGGTTTTTTCCTTTCTTGCACCTTTGGGATGTTGAAGACCCAAAAGAGAAAAATACAAAGGAGAAGGTCCTTTTGATTCGACTAGATGGTCCAGCAGTGGCTTGATCGGCGTAAGCGAGAGGATTGGATCGACTAGGGATTGTTCGCCTGCACCCTGGGTAGCAAACTGTTTTGCGCGCGTGGGCGTGGGGGCTCCTTTTTTCTTGGGAGTTTTTGGCTGTGGCGGGGGAGGAGGGGGAGGAGGGGAGGAGGGGATGAGGGCAGAAAGCTACCATGCAAGAAATTGGCCGGGATTTGAATTCCCTTGAATGGCGCGGGGTCATTCAGCTTCGGTGGAATTGTTCTCCAGTGCCATCACTCGTGCGGTGGGTATGGTCCGTGCCCTACGAGCGGGTCTCATCGGGGAGGCCGATGGTCCCCACTTGCGCTTTGGAAGCGTGTGTGTGGTGTGATGGCGCGGTGCCGACGTCAAATCGGGCTCTTGGGCCCAGTGGCATCGTCGAGACAAGCCTCTTCTTGGCTAGTATCAGGCTTGGGCGGAAAAGGCTTGGATAACACACATTTGCATACATGCACACCTGCACACGCCGATATATATACATGAATCTAAGTATATCTCCCACATGTGAGAGATGCCTTGGGCTCATCTTGGCTTTGATGGGGCCCCGAATATACACTCATGGTCTCACTTGCGACCTTGCTCCTGGTTTGCCAACCCTACACAGGCGCATCTCACTGTGAGGCGAGCCTTCGTATCTACCTCCTGAACACGCCGCGTCCTTTGGCCAAATCATGTACTCTATGGCCATTCCCTGTCTTCGTAGTAGACGAGGTTCGCATAAGTCTCCACCGCATCCTCGCTCATGTTGGAGATGACTAGGATATTGCCATCGATCACGGTGAGGGTGCCGTGCTTCTCAACCCACCCATACGTCTTCCTGCCGTCGTCCATGCGCGTAAGCTCTTCGGCGATTGTGGCGACACAGTACTCGTCGATATTGTAGATAACGGCAAGCCTGTGCTCGGCGTCGAGGAGCAGATCGGTGCCCTCCTTGATGTAAGGTAGGCAAGCAGTGTCCTGATCCTGCCAACATGCCACCGGAGGAAGATAGCCTTGGTAGAATTCGGGGTCCGACCACGGAGAGCACCTCTTTTGGTGCCTCGAGGGCTCGGGAGACGCGGTGGCCAACGCGGCGAGCGCCACTAGAGGCGCGAGGACTGATGCGATCATTGTCAAAAGATTGTCGACAGACCCGAGGCTTGACTGAAGCTTGGTAGGCGGAATTCTTGTAAAGGTTTTGATATGTGGCTATGTTCTATACCGATAAAAGCGGTGGCAGCGGGTTCTTGGCTTGCGATGGACCGTAATGTTTAGCTACGAAATGCGATAGAAACGAGCCGGTGAGGGAAACCTGTCGAGTTATATATACCCGGAAATATAAATCTATACGAGCTTCTCGTCTCTGGGTAGGATTCGCTTGCTAAATGACAATGGACGTTCGCTGCGACTTCTTCCGCGGGGTGGGGGCTATTTTTAGGTCGCCCGTTGATTGTCGCGCCAGTAAGCTGACGGCAACGTAGAGCGGCGAATTTTAACCCGCAGCGTGGTGATCCCGCCCGTTTCTGTCGCCCCATCCAAGACTTGTGTCTTTGATTCACGGCTGAATATGCGACAACTCTTAACACGACTGATGATCCTTCTCGTACGTTGAACGAGCAAAGCTAGGGAAAGGACAGACGCAAGAGTAAAAGATAGGGGTCAAGGTTCGCGCAGGATTGGAAAAGCAAAACCGGCAAACAGGAGAGGGATCCTAGAAGTAGTGGTTTGCGGCGTACGGGGGACTGAAAAAGACGAAAAAGGAGTGGTTTTATAAGAGAGGAACGGGGATAGAAGAAGAAAGAAGCAAAGAAGAAAAAGAGAAGGCTCAATCCATTTATGGGCCTTCTAGCTTCCCGCTGCCAGACGATAGGAAGTTCTGATTGCCGTCTCAGTTTCCCGCTCCGCACGTGCTTGGGCTGGCTGTGAAACATCATGGCCAAGCCAATAGACCGGCAGCTCCAGGAAGAGGGCGGAGGAAGGCGAGAAAGCCAGGCTCTAATGGTGACGCATACTTGGCAATGATTGGCATGTAGGAGTCTCTCTCAGCATGCAACCTTGTCGCAAGGGGACTCTGACATGTCACCTCTGAGCTGGTTGTATATGGTGTCTCCTCGATGGAGTGGTGTACCAAGGCAAGGCATCCAGGTTATTGGGGGAGGGGCCTTTTTCCCCCTCGGTGCGGAGCAACGACATTGTCCTATTTGCGCCCTCCTTTTTTTTCTCTCGCTTTTGATTTTCCCCTTTTTCCCTTTAGCGAACCATTCTCCTGCGCATGAACATGTTGTGCGACCCTCTGATCCACCCGGCGGGGGTCCATTCCCGAATCGGCTCCAGGGACAGATACTCCTCTCCTTCGCGCTTCTCCGCCGTAAAGAGCTTCAACCCGCACTGGTTCTCGTTGAGCCAGTGCGTCGGTATCTGCCCCGGGTTTTCCTGGAGCCATTTCGCCGCCGACTTGAGATACGCCGGCTTGACCAGGCACCCCATCGCAATGGACCGCTCGCCGCGCATCTCGGCCGCCACCACGGGCCGGGGCAGCCTCGACCCGCCGTAGACGGCGACCCAGTTATGATCCTCGGCGACGGGCTCGATGGCGTCCGAGGACCCTAAAGTCCCTCGGGCCCGGGATGCGCACGATCCAGGGCTCGGGGATATCCTTTTCCGTGGCAAGACGTCGCGGGAGCAGCTGCGACGCCTTGGCCGTCACGTCCGCGCGGATATGGGCCGACCATACGGCCAAGTCGTGGGGTCTCCCGGGAGCGTGTAGCCCATGACGGTGATGCTCGCGTCCGGCTTCACGGCGCCCTTGGTGTCCGTGAGGATTTGAAGCGCCGCCGTGACCGACGGCCAGCAGGCGTCGGGCGATCCGGGGTCGAGCAGCCCGTCGTCCCAGGCTGGGTGCTGGCAGCGCGGGAGAGCGTAGCAGTCCGTCGTGATGCAGTTCACGAGCAGCGACTCCATGTGAGGGAGGGCGATGGGGCGGAAGGAAGCCTGTCCGTCGTCTTCCGTACCCGGGTCCCGGTTTGGGTCGGGCCCGTTGCCGAACATGGCACAGCACATGGCGCTAGTCCGTATACGTGCGAAACGCATCCGGGGCAGAACGGCCCTGAGCGACTCGCACACATGGAGGGACTCGCCCTGGAGCCGGTCGTCGGAATCCGCCGTATCGATCTCTAGGCATGTGCAAGAAGAGGGTAGGTTCTCCAACAGGGCAATCACGGCACGCCGGGTGACGGACGCCACCTCCCGGAATGGCGCGTGGAGAGAGAAGGATGCTAGGTTGACCAGGCCCCCGAGCTTCTCCGAGAGCATGGCCATCTCGAGATCCCTCTGATCTCTCGCGTTGCACATTTGCGCGCCGCTGCTGTAGCGCATGCGAGGTGGTGCCGAGACGTGCACCGTCAAGGACCGGACGAGGTGGGCATGGTCCTCCCACCGGAAACCCTCGAGGAAGAGGGCCAAATACCGGGATGACAGGGCTAGGTTTCGGTAGAGTAACGGTAGGCCAGTATAATACCATGCCTTGTTAACAAGGATGCATCTTCTTAGGTGGGTGATTGATGCGCGTTTTATGACAATCAGAATCTGGTAAAGGATGTCTTCAGGTAGGCTGTCCATGGCGAAAGTGGATGCCTTGGTTGAACACAGGCACTCTTGCGAGCCAGGCCAGCAAGCGCATCGAGCTCCGCTACGTACTAGGATGGGTTGACCTATTGGGAAAGGGGGTTTCAGCTGCTGGGGTCTGCTCGCGGTTCGATTGATTAATCGTCCCACCCAGGCCAGAAGCGACCTCAGCGAGCTTCTTCTCGCTCCTTCGGAAACTATGGAGGGTAAAACGTGTTGGAGGTGTGCTGGCGTATTTGCAGGATTACTAAGGCGAATGATTGCTTGGGCCGCAACATGAAGTTACACAAAAATTATTGTGTTGCGTGAATAAACGCAAGGATAAGAGGCGCAGCACTTTGACCTTGGGACGAACCGCTACCTCGGCACGCAGGAGTTATTTCCTGACGTTTAATCGCCATCCTCCATGACTTGGTTAGGTCGATTTTTATATTTTTTTTTTCCTTTTCTCCTTCAATAGTTAGGATTGTTTTGAGAAAACTTCCATGATAAGAGGGGATAGAAAGATCTCGAAACACTTGGAGGAACTTCAAAGTCGAAGAAGAGAGTCGGTGACGGTGAACAGGGCGTTCATTGCGTGACCATTCCGCATTCCTGGGAAATGAGGTTGTTGGGTTGCAAAGTCTCGAGTCTGACAGAGTTGATACGAACTGCCTTGCCACTAGAAGCAGAAAGAGAGTGGCGGAGCTGTCTCTAGCGGCATAGTATTGATCTCCATCATGCTGAAGACGACGCCCGTGTGCTTATGGCCGCGGTGAAAGCCTTGAGAGCCTGGTCGTTGTGCGACTCGAGAGGGGCCTTTGAAGCACTGGATCGGTTCCCATTCGTCGTTCTTGTCTGTTGGGGCCGACAGAACCGCGTCGACTAGGGGGACGATTCGCGATCGTCCGCCCGAAGCCTGGTCTCGGCCCCACTATGCGTGGCCAGGCGTCAAAGTTGTGAGATTTCAGCCCGAATACGGAAAGGCTTCGAACGTGCGATGCAGGTCTTCATTCGTCGCGATGGGTTGCAGGGGCTTTTAGTGGCCGCATTCAAGGCAACAAGCGCCATGACAAGGGGTTTGTTTTATTATAGCATCCTTTGATGCACTACGCCGTAAATTTCTCGGTCTTGCGTATTATCCAATGTTGGTTGTGGGTTGAAGTGTAATGTTTCCAAAATAGTCCCGACGAACGATTGGGCTGAGTATCGCATCGTGTCGTTCTCTCATTCCCTCCATCCGTTATATAAAGCTAGGATCGCCCTCAGCAGAACTAAGTGTACAGCTTACACATTTTTATCAACGTGGACAACGCTGCGCTGCAAGTACATCATATACAAGTACATTATATACATAAGCATTCACCGAGGCTTGCGTCCCACCTATCACCCTTCACGACATACGCAAATCCCCAATTTCTCCTCACGGTCCACGACCTCTACCACAATGCACCTCCCCAAGTCTTCCCTAGCCTTTCTCCTTACTGTTGCGGTTTCTACTGCGGCTCTACCTCACAACTTACCACGCTCGAACAATCCGACCTTACTTCAGGTGCGCGCTGAAGATGCCTCTGGTCGGGCCAAGCCAGGCGCCTCCGCCATCGGTCGCCGAGCCACCGATATCGTGGATGACATACGAGCACCCATACACAGAGTCCGAGACGACGGCGCGGTGGCGCCGGAGGCTGTAAGTTCAGGAGACGTCGTCGCAGTGGCACCAAAAGGTGTTAGTTCGGGCGTCGACGATACTGTGGCGCCAGAGGCTGTTGGGTCAGGAGCAGTCGACTCAGTCGTGCCTGAAAGTGTGGGTTCGGGAGCTGTCGATGTAGCACCTGAAAGTGTTGGCTCCGGAGCTACCGACGTGGCGCCCGAAGGTGCTGGTTCGGGCGCCGAAAGCACAGCGAAAGGCAATGCTGAGAACTTGCGAGGTGAAGCTGTGCCTATCGAAACAGTACAGAATGCGGACGCTACCCTCGGAGGAGCAGGGGAGGGTGTCGATTCTGCCCTCGGCGGAGGAACGGGACAGAATGCCGACGCTACCCTAGGAGGAGTAGGGGAGGGTGCCGATTCTGCCCTAGGAGGAACAGGAGAGAGTGTCGATTCTACCCTGGGAGGAACAGGACAGGGTGTCGATTCTGCCCTAGGAGGAGGACCAGCACAGAATGCGGACGCTACCCTCGGAGGAGTAGGGGAGGGTGTCGATTCTGCCCTAGGAGGAGAAACAGCACAGAATGCCGACGCTACCCTAGGAGGAGTAGGGGAGGGTGTCGACTCTGCCCTCGGAGGAGGACCAGCACAGAATGCGGACGCTTCCCTAGGAGGAGCAGGGGAGGGTGTCGACTCTGCCCTCGGAGGAGGACCAGCACAGAATGCGGACGCTACCCTAGGAGGAGCAGGGGAGGGTGTCGACTCTGCCCTCGGAGGAGGACCAGCACAGAATGCGGACGCTACCCTAGGAGGAACAGGAGAGGGTGTCGACTCTGCCCTCGGAGGAGGACCAGCACAGAATGCGGACGCTACTCTAGGAGGAACAGGAGAGGGTGTCGACTCTGCCCTCGGAGGAGGACCAGCACAGAATGCGGACGCTACCCTAGGAGGAACAGGAGAGGGTGTCGACTCTGCCCTCGGAGGAGGACCAGCACAGAATGCGGACGCTTCCCTAGGAGGCAGCGAATCCGGGGCCCTTCCGAACCTCTCCAGTTCCCCGACGGAGCCGAAACTGCTCTGGGGCAGTAGTGAGTAGAGGGTACTCCTGGGCTCGAAGGATTCTATAGGCTGGAGTCCATCACCAATCGGCCTTGCTACTAGGCGACAGACCATCTCGGCGTGTGACGAATCCTTGCAGGAGAGAGCATAGGTGCCGCCCAGTGCCTCTGGGACCTTGGTCTTGGCCATAGATTTAGTGGACATCGTGATGCGATTTAAAACTGAACATGTTTACGGGTGAGAAATTGGGCTTTTGTTCTGTGGGACGTTCGGACGGTGCTTGCATAGGAGAACCTATTTGCGGGGCCTTTTTATGAAGAGTTTTGTGTGTACTTGTATGTTCTTGTTTTATAAAAATTATAATTTGAAGCCAGAATCATCGCGATCACTCATATTGTTAGATGCACATAGTAAGATTTGTCTTTCACTGATCTTATTGACCCGAATTCAATATATTGAAGGTAGCCCTGGGCCACAAAGGGATACACAAAAAAGCCACGGACCGTGCAGGCTCCGAGCACAAGAAGTTTATAAATGTTCGCAGTACGCCGTCTCCAAATGATGTCACCGTCCCAAAGCCCTCCAGGGTCCGTCGCGTCTTTGCTTCCTTTAGTTGCCGTCCCAGAGCGCGGGGCCGGGCATGACGTAGGGAGCGGGGTTGGAGCTCCACTTGTCGTATCGGATACCGGGGTCGCTGGCAGCGTACATGCCGGGGATCTTGACGAGGGGAGCGGGGGTGCCGCCACCGGGGCCGTTGATCTTGAGCTGAGCGCACTCGATGTAGAACTGGGCACGGTCCTTGAAGCCCTCGTGGAGGCCGATGTGCTCGACACGGACGAGGTACTCGCCGGGAGGCACCTTCTCGGGGATGACGAACTCGAGGCGGTCCTTTTGCCACGAGCACCAGGCGCCGTCCTGGTTGGGAGCACCGCCGCAGAGGCCGGTCTCCATAACCTTGAACCAGTCACCGGAACCGTCGTAGGTGGCGACGTCGGTGGGGGCCTTGGACATGTAGACGAAGCCGGGACCGGGGTGCTCAATGGTCTCGCGGTTGAAGATCTTGAAGCCGATCTTGTCTCCGGCGTTGACCTCGTAGGTCTTGACGTTGCCGGGCTTGGCGCCGACGTTGCAGCGGAGCTCGTCGGTGCTGACGATGTCGGGGAAGGCCGGGTTGTACGAGTTGCTGTTGCGGCGGAAGTAGTCGTACTCGCCACCGACGACCTGGTCGTTGACTACCAGGATGTTGAAGATGTAGTGGGCATCGACAACGGAGCCGAGAGCGGCGAGGAGGAGAGCCTGGATGGCCTTCATGTTTGCGACAGCAGCGCAAAGGGGCGGATACGCAGGGGAAACGGAGAGAAAGGTCTAGGGTGGAACGGGGAGGAGAGGAGACAAGGCAAGACTTAGGACCGCGGATGAGAAGGTGGTGATCAAGAACGAAAGGGTTGTTTTCTGGAAGTGGGAGGTCGGAGACTTTATAGACGAGAATATCATGGGGTTACATTAGTACATGGAAACGCGGGAATACATGGAACTGGGTATTCTCCGCGCGATGCTATATCGCAACCTTGCCCCTTGACCAACCTCGACTTCCTCCCTCTGGTTGCCGGCAACTATCGCCACGGTATAGGTTCGGTAGTGGATCCAGCGTGGAGTCAATATCGCGCGCGCGTGGGGAGGGAACCCTCTTCTTCCCCAGACCCATTGTCGCCATAGCGAGAAAAGGAGACCCGCCACAAGACTCGAGAAGGCGGTTCCTTGATTCCTCGAATGCGGGGTGCATGGGCGAAAGCTGGGCGCCAACGAACTATAGCTTTCATATCGAAGGCGCGGCCTGTTTCGGCCAAATGGCCCGTCCTCTAGCAAGCGTTCATAGGGTGCGGGTTATAAACGATAGAGTGAGGGTGGGGGAAGCGAGGCACCCGCTGCTCCTTGACCACTTCCATCTGCAGACGTCAGTGTTGGGCACGTACTATAGCACCCGCTCCTAGGAGCCGAGAGCGGGTGGGAGAGGGATGTGAGCTTTGTTTTGATCGCACTAAGCCTGGTTCGAGATGGAGTGCGAGGAAACAAAGTACATGGTTTTGTGGAAGCAATCAATCGGCTTTGGGAGGCAGGCTACAAACGTATCAAGGGGTTTGTCGAGAACCAGAATCTTCTTACAAGGGATGGCCACGTTTTGGATGGCACTCCGTATGGCACGGAAAGTGCCCAACTACATCTATCAATCATTCTACGGTTCTTAGCATTCACGTTGTTCAAGTAACGGGTTTTGGCTGACTGGCTGGGTAATGTTTTCCTATCGAAGTGACAGAAACAAACACGAGTGCCGTGATTCTACATGTAGGCTCCAAACCCCCTCTTTTGTGTAGACACTCAACAGAGCCGGCTTTGCGCAATATCTTGTCGATCGTTGAATGGCGAATATGGATGTTTGTATAGGGGTATATTTGATAGTGGAATATGTGCCTGATAGAGCTCCACATTTTGCCGTCTCTCCTCTCTCTGCTCTTCTTCTTCTTCTTCTTTTTTTGCCTCTTTGTCCATCCTGTCGTTTTTCTTCCTGCTCTTTGGTCCCTCTGAATCTTGAGTCGAGATGGCTAAGCGTGTTGCTTCGTTTTTTGCCGAATTGGGAAGCCAACTTAGATGAAACGACTGTCCAATTGGTCGGCCACATTCCGACTATTCTGTGTGCCTGGATCATCTGTGATGGCCCCAAATTTGATTTCCGGAAATATATTTTCCGCCAATTCTTCCACCAGTCAGCGGCCGATCTGTCTCTCTCCGTCCAGTCACAGTCGAAACGTCTATATATCTCGATATTGCCCCTGCCGTGCTGTCAAGGGCGGAGGAATGAGCGGGAGTGTAGAATAGAGAACCCATTCATTACGTCTAGAGTTTGCTGACCCAGTCAATCCCAGCGTATGTCCCTCCCCACCCACAGGAAACAAAGTCAAGGCGGAGACAAAAAAAAGAGACTTTCGCTTCCGAGTCTTGGGTCGGGTGGCGCTCGGAAGCGGAACGCTCAAGGTTGCGATCCATTCTGGGGATATTGGGCGGGGTCTTTTTATGCGGGGAGAAGCCATCTGGATCTGACATTGCATCTATGGATTCATTAGATTCATATCAATTGTTATGGGGATCAGCCATGGAAGGACCAGTCAGCCCTGACATCAGATGCTATTCTCCGCTCTTGTTCGATGTACTGGTTGACTGGGTGCCTCTTCGCCCGTTGCCCCCGTCTCCACGCAGCTGCGTCGTTTCCTGGCATTCCAGGTAAGAACGTCGCCGTCTACCGGATTTTCTTTGCCTCCTTTCCCCTTCCCATCGCATATATATGAGGGCATGGGAAAGGGATGGGGTTTCGTTTTACTTATGATCTTTGGCAAGGTCATTTGTTCGCTGCGCCGTGAGGTCCTTGATACCAGGAAAGTGCGGTTTGTCTACGATGTTGGTCCCTTGCTGCAGTCTCGTAGAGCACCACAGATACTCCGCCATGGATCCGTACCTTTGCGATGTTATAGCTCATACTGCGCTACTTGCGACTACTCAGGTTGATGTGATTTACCATAGTGCCTTGTCTTGGCGGCCACGAAGCAGGGCGGTCTTCTTACCCCCAGATCAACTTTCGTTACGTTACCCGCCCAGTGGGATAATGGCCCGCAACGAGAGTGAGGTGAACCTGCTCCGTGACCTCAGTTAGGTACACGGTTGGGAGCTATAGTTCCCCTCGACGACAAAATATGAAATATCTTTAAAGGCGGTTCTCTATCCCCCTTGGCGTCATGGCCCTCCAATAGGAGCCGGCAGTTATCCGGGAGGGTCGCTCACGGAAGGTGGCTCGAGCCTTTTGTCAGTGTGTTTCCAAGTGCCGCCGGCCTCGTGGTGGCTAGAATTCCCCGATGCGCCAAGAACCTCGCCCATCTATTTCCTCCATCCTCACTCGTGGAACTTTGCCCGTCCGTCGATAATGGATTCTTATAGCCAAGATCATATTACTATAGGGGGCACTCTCCAACGACAAAAGTACTCCGGCATTCCCTGCAGCAGCAGGGTATCTGGGTGGGTTGTGTGCCTGCTCCTAGTGTTGCCTTTCGCCAACCTATCGACGATGGATGGCCCCCAGTCCTGCGAGTGATGCATCCCAGTCTGACTCAAAAGGTACGTAAGGGGAATATACACCTAATTCTTTATGTGAGGTCCACCGCCACACTGCACCGCGAATGCCCCTCCCGCCCCGCAGCAGCTGAACTATCATGAGACGAACGCACGTATATGTATCGCAAAGGGGGACTGGAAGTGGCAATATGGGCCCGCATTGATATTGTTTGGGCTATCGGCCAGATCTTACCGGCTCCGAGCATTCCATAGCGCGCGACCTTTCTCGCTAACCTATCACATGCCGCGACAGATATGGTATATTATAGACTTTGTCTTGTTTCTTTCATCACCTGGCCCTGTTGGTATAGATGAATCCTACATGCAAGCTAGAGACGTGCTGCAGAAGTCTGTTTTGCCTGGCACCCTTTTCAGAGCACGTGGCCAGGCAACGTAGCGTCTCTTACATCATATCAAGCCTCGAGGTATCCGTAAAATTCAGGTTAGGGAGAAACCGTCCTTTTCCCCGAGATATCTAACAGGGTATGAGTCCCCGGTAGTGGATCCCGAATTCCGTGCCGGGTGTGGGAGGGCCGTTGGCTACATCACCGCCAGCCCTCACGAGACCGGTTTCTCGATTTCAAAGCAAGCGAAAGCAGAGTGCTGCTAGGAAGAATGGCCGAGAGCTTACATGGAGAGAGCGTTCATGCGGTGGTATCCGCATCTGACGTTGCAGGAGTAGGGGACGGAAGCCGAGGGGATGAGGGAGATGAGAGAGGAAGGTGATGAACAGCAGGGAATGAAACTCAATCTCGAGAAGAGAATGGAGGCAAAGGAACCTAGGCCAACGAGGGCGCGCCCGGGCGGAAGAAACCAAGGCGCCCTAACCTTGGCTTGACTCTGTAGGGGGCTTGTTTGGGAGCCTTGCTTTTCTTCCTTCTCAAAGCCCCATCCATTTTCTCCGACTAAGAGCTTATTTCTCAAGGACTAACCCTTCTAGTATCTGGTGTACCCATCCTTCAGAGTGCCGTTCTAACCCTCTCTTTCATAACAACTTCAAGCCACCAGGCCGACAGTTGGCGAGTGTTTGATATTTTCTGCTATATGAATCTATGGGATCACCCCAGTAGCCTAGACACCGCGTCTAAACCACCAAGGCAAAGGGACCCCATCCTAGACCTTTCAAACAACGCTCGCTGAAGAGTTGGAGTAAACCCTTGGCGTAACAGATCTCCTTATAACACCATACTCAACCGGCGCATCAACCCACCGTTTCTTTGAAAACCGCAGAAGCAGTTGAGCACGTCTATCTATAACCAAGAGCACATTCCTCGTCTCCCAGCTTCCATCTCACCAAATATTCTTTTAAGAGCTAACCTCGTCTACATGTCACTAGCCTCAAGCTCAAGCTTTGCTTTAACCTCAATCCCGATAGCCCCCGACCACCGTGATACGCCAGAGGGATGACAATTCACTTTACCAGTCAATGTCGGAAGCGTGATCTTAGCTCCATGACACCAATAGATGTTTCCAGTACTTAGTATCTAGGCTGGCTGAACTGAATATCCTACGATCTACGGCGTAGCGTGGACCTAAAGAATGCAGACAGAGATGTGAAGAAGGATGAGATGCCCATTGGTTTACTCACTTATGATTGCCATCTACTGAAATATGGACAGCCCTAATGAGGAGGGAACACAAAAGGTAGGACAGGGACAGCTTGGCATCCCCGTAACGACTTTACCTGTGAGGCCAGTGCGCTGGGTAAGATACGTTACATGTACTATCCTCTAACTCTTCTGCCACATTCACCGCGATCCCCATACAACGCAAGACTTGATAGGCGGTCAATTTTCAGCTGCGAGATTCCGGATTTCCATCTTGTAAACATACTAGACTTCTAGAGTCTATTGCTTCTGGACTTGAGTCAAACGGCCTATTCGTTCCTTCTTTGAGAAATATCGAATAAGATCACTCGGTCTTCCCCTTTTCGGATGCGTGTAGGGATCATGGAGAGCCGGAGTTCGCACTAAACTTCAACAGATGGGGCATAGTGATGGTGATATTAAACTATAGACCCATGGATGGATCCATTCATCCATTCTCACTCGTCCTGCCCCTGATAGAATCAACACTAAACGATACTCGTTCCTAGTGGTACCCAGTTTCTCCTGTTGCTTTAACTCACAGCAGTTCTAAAGAGTCCAGCCTTTTCTTTTCTTTCTTGTTTTCAGGTTACCTTCTCTCGATCATGTGCCCCGCGTATCCCCTTCGTTTGCCACTGTTCCTTTCAGTCGTTGTTCATCTCTCTCGCTAATCGAACGTGGGGTTGGTCCGTAACAATTGACACAGCTCCTGCGACAGTTCCAGTAGCAGTGCTCAAGTTTAGCCTTATCTGGTCGGTCACCGTACTTTTCGTGGCATCGCTTGTGGCATGGCAAACACGTTTCGCCGTGGCAAGTTCCAGGAAGGTATTCGAAATAGCTCAAGAAAACTTCAACGAAGATTCTGGGCTCGTGCGCGGACTTGGTGACCTCTGGCGCGGCGGTGATGTCGGCTGGTGGGGCTTCGGCAACAGCGGTGCCCTGCTCGTCGGTTACGGCCGTGCCGAGAGGAGTGGCGGCGGCCATGCCAATGAAGGCGGCAAGGCAAGTAAGGCTAAGAGAGAGCTTCATGGCGATGACTGCTGATATAGATTCGAGACTCGTATAGACGCGTGCGCGTGTGTATATGTGTGTATGTATGTGTATGTGTGTGTGTGTGCGTGAGGCGGGAGTGGCAGCGTACTGGTGGATGAGTATAGGTTTGGCGGCTTGGATGTTGCCTCAGGAAAGAGATAATGGCAGACAAAGGCCTAGATACTCTGAAGTGGTATCTACGTAGGGAAGGGCGGACAAGTTTACCGGGTGCTACTTTGGAAAGAGTTGGCCATTTTATACCTGGGCGCTAGACGAACCCACTTCTCCCTTGTCGCCGCTCTGTACAAATGAGGTCGCTGTGTGGAAGAAAATGACTCTTTTGAATTTCATGTCTCTTGGGCCTTGATCTTTGTCATAAAGGGCCCATGGATGCGCAGCTGTGAGGATCTCCCGCGGACCTCATGCTTCATTCACCTCTTGGCCGCAACGGGTATTTTGAGGACTCGTCTTACCCCGTTGAGTGTGTTTGGCGGTATTGCAAAGGAGTATAGTAGTACGTATCAGCGAGCTCGTGCACGGGTAAACATTGTTAGCTTTGAGGACCCGTGCGAGCTTTGAGGACCAGTCGAAGCTGTCCAACTCACGATTTCACATGTCATATTCAACCCCCCAGAATTATATCCCTACAGGTAGCATATGCCATTGATCTCGCTATTAGATAGTTTTTCGATTCGTGCGAATAATTGATCAATGAAATATCTTTTAGGAAGGGCCGGGATGGCTTGGGGGATGTGGATGGGGGAGCAGGGTAGGCAGACGCAATATCTTATATCCTTCCTCGTTCAAACACGACTATCAGTGATGATATTCAACAGAACTCTGAGTCCGAGGACTTGAAAAGGCGAAGTCGGTCTGTTACATAAAAGAGCAAATGGGTTTACTCAACACTTACCGCATCGGCATGACGGCTTTTCGCGGGCTTTCATTTTGGATGGTGGACCTCATTATGAATCACACCTCAAGGGCTCCATGCCGGACTATGCCAATGTTGAGATCCGCCGGTATTGCATCCATCCCCTACATGTATATGTACATCATGAATATTGACGTAGGACACGTGAAGGCTTCATACAGTATTCCAGATAATATATTGGCACCTGAGGATAGCCTGGGGTCTCTTGGTTTCACTGAGTGAGCCGTTGGTAATAATTCGTCGGTGCACAGGAATTGAAAGAGAATACATCCATGGATCCAGTACATAGAGACTGATATCATCTTCCACTAATGTAGGGAACATCTAAAGCAATCCAAAACACCTACACTTCTTCCAGCCCCATTGGTAGCGCCGCTCAACCAACCACGTGAATTTTATTAAGGGTTGACCGCACATCCTGAGACGTCAGTTAGCCGAGCTGGGCATGCCACTTGCTTGTAGACAGCTTCCCATCCGTTGATATTGCCGCCAGCCCAATTGAATCGCCAGTAGCACCCCCTTGTAGATTCGAAGGGATGCGGTCACAGTTGGAGCCGCTGGAGATTCCGCCATAGTCGTCTCCCCTATTTCCCGCCGCCAAGCATCGGGCGCGCGTTACGTCAGTCACATAACTCAAACAACGGTAAAGGAGGTAATCCAAGAAAGATGAGTAAAATACACATACCAGTCGTATCCGGTGCCATATTGAGATCTACAGGCGGTCCCGACGGGCCCGAGCCCTCCACCAGGTGTCATGATGATCAGGTCTCCGGCGACGACGTCGCCACCAGCACCGCCAGGAGAGACGACCTGGACAATCATCTTCTTGCCCTTCTCACTAGCCGCGCCCGAGACCCACTGCACTTCGAAGCACTTGCAGCAGTTCGGGTTCTCGGCGGTGAAGTCGTTTCCGATGTGGAAGGCGAAACCGTAAGAGAGCTCTTCGGACACTGGAATCGGCGAGTAGTCGCCGCAGAGGAAGCCCGTATCGCTCGAGGCACCCTCGCATGTGCTCTGGGAGGTGCGGCCTGCCTCGCGTTGGAGGACGTTGTCATCTTTATCGCAGACATTGGTGGCTCCCCTACAGAACTAGTTAGACTCTATCGCTGCGTGGATATCCATGAAATCCGCGCCAAAGTAAAGGTGATCGCGGTATTCTGTGGGTGGTGCTTACCGTGTGTTCCAAATGTTGGTGTTGAAGACAGTCGCGCATGTTGGTTTGCAGCTAAAACATGATGAGGATGTCAGTTTGATTGAGGACATTTCAAATGCAGATGATCGGCAGGCCGGGAGGGGAGAAGAGGGTAAAATCGTACCAATTCCAGCCCGTATATGTCCGCGCCAAGGTGGACTGGGAGGTAGCAACACCGGCCAGAGAGGCAGCAAGGAAATATCTCAACAACATAACGCAAGTAATCTTACGAGATAGTACGAAGTGGTATTATAGACGATGATGTGAGATCGACAAGCAGTTGGCGATAGGTGGAAAATACCTGGCCTACTGAGGAGCGCAAACGAGAGATGATAACCTGCAAGAGTGCGGCGGAAAGTCGGGCACAAGACGGAGCGGCCCTTTGTCCATATATAACCGCGGAATCTACCAGGAGGAAATCCGCGGCGTTGTATCCGCCCTCTTAGATATTCCGCAAGGCGGCAACTCCATCACATACATGGGTTCATGCTTCCGTCTGCTAAGAAAACAGAGGGTAGGGTATTCCATTGCGCGGGGGTACCTGAGCGATTCACGCACTTACACGACAAGTTTTATATGATGACACCACGGCGCTGACCGGGACAAATCTGTTCTGGCAGGAGTATCAAGCCAACTCAAGATGGACAAGTAGGGTGTAGATAGAGGTATATATTAAGGTTTTGGCATATTATTACCACGTTTTCCAAGAGTAAGTGTCACATATCATATCCAGGGCCAGACTGAAACATGTACCGAAGTACACCGGAGCGGGAACCCATACTACTTCATTGAAACATGCTGCATAATAGACGCAGTTCTCGGCGAAAGAGCCGTGACTGATATGGACGACCGGAAGGGGAGGAGTGCCGTGAGACTATGGCTGCTATAAACGGTCAATGTTATCATCGTAGGCGTACATGTGGGAGGGTGCCGAGATACGGGGAAACTCTACCGCCGCGGTCGCTCTACCCTAACAGCATGCGAGGTTGACCTCGAGAACACCGTAAAGTTCAAGGCCATCCGAGTCTGGCTCATCCAAGGACTATCAGGTGGTACATGTAGTATGCTGAGGCTAGGAATAAATATGACAGCACACCAATCCGGGTGATATCGATGCCACCAAGACAAAGCACCCATGGCAAGATGAAAATAGATACGCAAGACAAGGATCCCTAGCCTTGTCAAAGGAGGGAGTGGATCTTTCATTTGCCACGTTCCTGACCCGATTTGAAGAGAGCTGGGAATCTTTAATCTCACTGGCCCTGCTTGCCGGATAATGTGAATTGGCGTGTCTCGTCAGCTAGAAGTGGGAGCACCTCCATCATGGTGAGAACGGGCGCACCTTGATAATGGGAGTGTATTATCGACTACGAAAAGAGGTAAATGAGGGCGTGCAGATGGAGTCGTGACAACGGGATAGACAAGAGAGGGGCTTGGAGTCAAGGCGGCCAGGACGTTCATCAGTACATGGATGGGGCTATCTACTATCCATCGAGGACGTATAATAGAGAAACTGGGCATAGCTCCAAGTCCTCCGAGGCCTGGAAGTTTAAAGGTTTGGCTCCACTTTTGATCTAGTTGGCACCTGCACCTTAAATCCCGACTCCAATTACCCGTGATAGTCAAGGATATGTTATGTTGAGGTCACGGACGATGGGTAGCCTATAATATTCCTTGAATGGAATTTGTTTACTAGTATGGCTAAACCCCTCTTGGCCAAGGCCTTTCGTATGCTCATTGCACTATTTCATCGCCGCCCTTTTTTGACGGTTGACGTGTTTCGGGAAATTCAATCTTGCGTTCCGTTTCCCTCGGTCGATCACCCGCTGCGCTGGGCTTTGATCGTTGTTAAAGAAAGGGGCTTCTAGAAGGACGGGCAATCGCGTAGCAATGGGTGAATGCGGCGCTGAGGGAGAAGGAAGAGGGCCGGGACGGTATTACAAGGAGTGGGCTCGCTCCCGCCTTCGGAAAAAGGGGGCGGGAAACGGATAATAGAATACCAAATGCCGTAAATGCAATGGATGAGGCCAATGGTTTCCTGGTCCGGAAGCTCCTCCGAGGAAAGGGAGCCGAGCTCCAAACCAGCTTTGGACGGACTGCAGACTTCATTCACCCAAGACTCCCTTTGCATCAATGATCTTTGGTCTTGGGAAGCCGAACCTCCCGTTATGAACTAGAATGCCACACCCGATGTTGGGATCCGAAGCTACGACGTCAATTGATCTTTCCCAAGGGTATCCTAGAATAGGAGCATCATCGAGCGGTCTCTGCGGCTGGAGGCCGGGAAGTCCGGAAAAAGGGAGACTAATCTATGCAGGCGTTTGGTGTGGACCATCCAACGCAAACCTTGCCAGTACCCAGATCCTCGGTTTAATCAGAGAGGAGCCATCATAGCCTGCTCGTCGGGGTTCGCATGTGCTTGCGTGAGCGCGCATGCGTGTACGCCCAGAAGACTCCGCTGGGTACAGTATCTTATTTACCCGTCAACTGGTCCGGAAAGGCGTGGCCCAAGGGGGCGACCATGTGTGAAGATGGAGAATACCCAAGCGATGGTCTTGCCACGCCAACTTCGGCACATGAAGCTCTTCTGCTCACTTTGGGACCAAGAGCGGAGACCTAATTGAGGATGTGGTTGTTTGTCGATTTGTGTTGGTCAATTCTTTGAAGAGGGGGTGGGGGAATACTCTTATGTCGTCGCAGCTGTGCTGTCCACGTCGGGGACATGGTAAAACTGTCATGGCAGAAATGTTACAAATGTAGTCATCGATTATCGCCGGGGTTTCGATGGCCTCTGTGACAGATCCTGGACGAATCACCTAGCATGGAATTGGCCATTGGCGCAGGTAGGTCGGGACAAAAGTCAGGCCTAACGCTGATGAACGGAATTCACTTGCAAACTAGAAAGGGAGCATGAATTTCCGTTTGGGTGACGAGGTCATCATGAGAAATTAGGATAAATTAGGAGTTGGTACTACATGTACATGTAGGAGTACAATCCAGATCCAAGGTACATGAGAGTGCGGGAGAATTCCTTGCGCACACATATCGCGGGTATATTGCTATCCAGTCCTCACCCCTCTACGAGTGTTAAATCACCAAAGGGCCAGCCCGTCCCTCACCAGCGAGGGTGGTCGGCGCTCGGTCCTTCTTACACCATCAAGGCAGCGAGAGCGACGGCGAAAACACCGACCAGACCCACCTTGACGGAGCTGCCGGCGCCCTTATCGTCACCGTCGTTCTTATCCTTGTTATCGCCGCCGTTATCGTCGTTGTTGTCGTCGTCATCGGAGGAAGAAGCGTCCGCAACGACGCCGCCGTGGGCGGTGGGGGTGCGACGGCCCGGCTTAGAGAGCTCGCCTTTTCGCGGTATTCGTTGAGGTCGTCGTTGCTGGCGAGGTTGACGGCGCCAATCATGCCCTCGGAGCACTCGTTGTCCTATAGAATGAGGAACCAACAAGTAAGAAAATAGCCCACTGCATGATTGCTGATTGCGTTCGAGAAAAGGGATGTCTCCTTGTCTTCGAAATTGGTGTGGACATACCTGTGTGGAATAGAAAACAATAGGCTCGGTATCGTTAATTTGAACGCGGAAGACTTTGTCCTAGCCAGCGAGAAATGTTAGTTGTATAAAATTTTGGTTGAGATGTCCCGGTGCGGTGACAAGCGTGTGCTTTGCTTGGGACAGGACGGAGGTGTGGGTCTCGCGCTTACGCTCTCGCCAGAGTCAACGGCGAAGTAGCCGGAGAAGAAGCCGCCCTCGTTGGCGGGGACGCAGGGCCCGTTGACGCTATCAAACTCGCCCATGGCGACGCTGTGGTTCTTGGGGCCGAAGTGGAACTCGAGGACATCGCCCTTATCGGCCGTCACCGTTTCGGGGCTGAACTTGTTATCCTCCCCGCGGTGATCTCAATCGTTTTGGTAAAAGCCGGGGCGGCAGCCGCGAGGGCGAGGATGGTGGACGAGTGACGCATTTTTGGGGTTGGGAATTGGGTTGCTGACTTTTGGGTCGGAATTAGCAGTAGAATCGAGGTTTTTGCGACGAGATACAAAAGGCGGCAAGGATTGCTGGTATTCCAATGCGAAATAGAGGCTGACAGTGAACAAGACAGAAAACTTGGATGAAAACGGATCGAATCTCAATCGATGGGCTGCCTCATGCCCGTGAGGACCACCCTCTTCTTTAATACAAAGGACGACGCAGCAAGGCTCCCCGGACGACCCTCGCGTTTGGCATCCAAACACGGGCCCTTTGGCTTGGTCGATCGGTGGCTGAGGCGGGCTGCTGCCCTGTGCCGCCAGAAAAGGCCGAACGCTGGCATTGCACCGGCCATGACGTTGTCTGACCGAACCGTGCTTCCAAAAGCGGGCTCCTTTGTCCGTGGCGAATAGCTTCCCTTTCCCCCACGGCACGGGCGTTTAGGCTTGGCGTGAATTGCGGCCAGCGCTGCCTGACAGGTGCTGTGCTCCGTTGGCACCACGCTTCAAATGGGTACTACTTCACTTGTGGGAATCAAGTTGAGCTTTCAGTCACCAGGTGGTTTTTGCTGGGCTCGGTTTGCGCTGAGCCACTGTCGCTGTGGAGCCAATACGAGGACTCCAGATTCGTATTCTTGCGTCAGGCTGGGCTTCAGCTCCTCCGCAATGCGAGCCCTTTTAAAATAGCATTCTTTTTGGGGGCCTGTTCGCTTTGCTCTCGCACCTTCAACCCGAGTTTGGTGTGGGCTGACGGCTGACTTCACTGAGCTCTCCCTTTCCAGAATCTACATGCAGAACCAGCAATTCTCACCTCAGCGGCGACGACCATCACCGACGATGGATCAGCATGGATGTATATCTAGGTCAGCTAACGGGTCGGACCTCCGAATAGGCCAGACTCCGATGTGACGCTTGAAATGTTTTCTCCCGAAAAGAGATCGACTATTTCTGTTGCCTAGCCTAGCCGCGCGAAGTTTGCCCGATCTATCTAATTGATTGGGGATCGAGAAAAAGAAAGGAAGGAAAGAAAATGAAATCAAGACATGGGAAAGGAACTCTCATCCTTTCCAAGCGACTGGTAACAAAAGGCTGACCGCTCGAAAAATGACGGTAAGCTGGCCAGGTTCTCATCTCAGTCAAGTATACTGGGTTGATGCAGGTGTTTGAGTCAGCCCCAGCTCGACTTTTGCATGCCAGACTATGCAGTAGTCGTTTGGCTGCTTGCCGACCCTGTTGTGCCTTGGGTGGCGGACGACTGGCCTTCATCGCTCATGCCACAACACGAATATCGTGTCAGGCAGAGAGCTGCGAGGCGTCGCGTCGGCAACCTCTGGCCTTGTATTGCCAACGCACAAACAACGGCGAACGCCAAATTGGCCCAGGAGTCTTGGCAGACACCGGGCTCCCTGCGCGTTTGACGTGTATTGCTTTGGCAGCTAATATCTTGATGCCCATCACAGAACCAGGATCGACCTCACCCAGTTTTTAATCCCTGATATCATCATGGGTTGATGACTAACTCGGAAGGGATGCGATGGATTTCGCTCGATTGTCAGACGAGGTGGGCAACCATGTGTGTACGAACTACTCGCCAAGCCAAGAGCCCGATCAGCCCTCCGCACCGGATGCCTCATTTCGATTTCAGCACTGTCATCGCCACTGACGAGGAGTAAGGGGGCTAAAACGCCGTGCCTTGGCCAAGTCCTTGGATGCTCTCACCAGTATTCGATTTTTATTAGGGCCCTCTCCCACACGTAATTTGCTTGGCTAGGCTTGCTAAGCTATAGATTGCGAAGAGCCATATTGATGTTGTGCACGTACTTGGATGAATGACAGAGATACCAGCCTGGGTAGGCTAGCTCTGGGACGGATTGCCGCAACTGCCCCATCTGTGCCCAGCTTGTCCAATCTGTGAACCAGCGATGAGTGCAAGAGACTCTTTTCAAGGTAAACTAGCTGCCCCACACGCTAGCACAGCTAGACCGAATTGCTGCAGCTGCCCTCTTGCGCAGGAATTCTTTGGGCGAGCAAGATGTAATGTTATGGGTGCCGAGTTTGCTCTGATTCGACACTTCTTGGTTCGGCAGCTTTTCCGAGCTACAGGAGTTCGGGACCTGTCGATCTTTCCTCACGAACTGGCTTCTCCTGTTCCCCCATGTTCGCACGGCTAGAATTGCCTCGGGGAATATCATTGATCTTTTGTTCAACACTTGTAAGAAGAAGCAAAGGAATTCCGTTTACTCTTCCGGCTTGTTCATAAGCCCAATCTTTCAATATTGTCTTGAAGCCATCATCCATACAAGTACTTGTAGATGGCGCCCTCGTTCGTTCCTGGCTGTGGCGTCCCAGGCCAAGAGGCGACTACCAAGCGGGGTATAGTGATTCAGACACATCCTGGACGGATCTCTGGGAAGTCTGAGGGGAAGTGAACTACGCTAGGAGGGACGTTCAACAAGAAAAACAAGTGAGAAATCTCTGCCTTTTTCCGGCTTGAGTGACCTTTTCCGCCACGAGGATTCCTGATGCCAAAGTCGAGCGCTCAGACCCCGCGCTGTTGAACTGGGCGTATTGAAATTTACGATGGAACCTCCCTTGGCCAAAGTGGGCTAGGGGCAATGCTACATGAGACTATTGCCCTCGTGCGACTCTGGCTTCGGAGCAGGGTGCCCTAGTACGGACAGGCTCACGCATAAACAGCCCCATTCGAAGCAATTGATCCTTTGCCCCTTCTCAGCGAAATGTTCGCTCAAGAGGTGTGCCGCACCGGGTTGCTGGTGTTCTTTCTGTGGCATTAATCGTAGTAAAAAAGAGACGGGAAATTTGAGACCTGGAGGACCATCACCACAACCATGTTGGATAAATTTAAATCTTTTTGACTTGATTTTTGCTAACTGATATGTATGGTAATATACCGAGGTATACTGAGGGTGTATACAAGAAGAGGAAAAAAAGAAAATAAGGAAAAAAATTGTCATCCGATATTTGAGAATCTTAGATGCTGTGTGTCGCTGTGACGAAGACTGTAGTTTTGCTGATGAATAACCCCCACCGTTCAAATCCCCAGGCCTCTGGCAATATTACAAATGTAGAATATCGTGAACGGCGTCAACAACCATGTTCGCCGCCACGTTAAATAAGAGAAAAAAGAGGAAAACGAAACCAAGGTTTGCGTATTCTCTCACCCGGAAACAAGTATCATGCCTTGAATGGTATAGGTCGGAAGAAAAAGAGGCGTTGCATGCTGTCGTGAAGAGGCCTGGGCGATCCATAATGCCACTTCAAAATGCTTTCCCAAAAACCGAAACACGCCCTGGATATCATAATCGCACATGCCCGTCATCCGGCGTCGTTGAGCCATGATTTCCCGGGAAAATGATCACTCTCAGCTCCGTCCCGTGAGCTCGCCAACGTCGTGGAGGAAGGTAATGGAAAGAAAGAGAAGGAACGAAGCGAGCTTCTTGGTGTCCTTGTTCGGTAGTGTAATGAGAGCCCGACGGGTGCTGTACGCGTCATCTGTGTGTGCGCGAGGGCGAGGTGATGGGATTGCTAGAGGCGTTTGGCAACAAGCCAACATCCGTCGGGTTTAAGTTGAAGATGATGATCGAGAGCCAAGTGGGAGTCCCACTCGGCCTCCCTAATCGTAGAGTCGATTGTCGTGATCGTCATCCTAGTTCGAGTTCGAGGACTTGAAGTTCATGGACAGCCTGCTCATTCGCTTCTTGGGCGTTGGGAGGCTGGCGGGAGCTTCCTCATGGAGGGCATTCATCTGCGGGCTAGAGGTGTAGCTGTCGCTAGACGAGCCCGTGGAGTTGGGGGTCTGGTAAACGTACTCGCCGTCGACGTAGATAGCGTTGGACCTAAAGGTCGAGCGACGGTGACGGCGGCGGGTGTAGCGCTGCTCGAGCCTGAAGAGCTCGATCTTGGCTTGGAGCCTGTCGAAGAGCGAAGCACCCATGATGTTGGTTTCGGGTGGGTGGAAGAAGAAAAGAAGTCGACGGGGAGGGGCGGAGGGCAAGACCTAAAGAGGTGGTGGTGGTGGTGGAAACTGGATCGTCTCGTAGGGCTCTCAACTGAGTTGACGATCGACGGGCGCGACGGCGTGGGCCGGGGACGCGGGACTTGCGTGGGTGTAAGACAGAATTCTGCGAGGTGTGCAAAAAGAGGGAAAGAAAGGCGGAGAAAAGCAAGTGGACTTTCGTAACGTGACGAGGAGAGTCTTATTTGATTTTCTTTTCGCCCGATGGAACTGTTGCTTCCCACACCTGTCCAGCTTCGCTCGTCAAGAACTGTCTGTGCCTTAATTAGCGTGGTCGATCGGGCTAATTGGCGTAGTGGAGCGAGATTTGAGCGTCGGCTTCCTGGCTTGGAGGTCCGTCCAGAGAGAAAGCGCGCGGAGCGTTACGCGGTAGCGGCGTTATTCTTTTTCTTCTTCCTTTCTTTCTTGCGTTTCCCTTTCTCTTTTCAAACGACTTTGTAAGGTGTGAAACTTGATCAACAAGAAAATCCTACAGAAAAGGTGAGAGACCGAGAAAGCAGATTGGAAAGGGCGAGGCTCTCAAGAATCAGAAGAGAGAGAAACACAGGAACCCGGGAGTTCGGTCTCGGAGAGAGGGCATCGCGTATATCAAGAAGGGAGGGAAAAAGAGGACCTCAAGCTTTGTCCATGATCCTCGCGAGATGTCGCCAGGTGCGATAGGTAGCCTGAACATGGGTTTCGGCGGGCCAGGGTATGGCGGCGCAGGTACCGCGACTTGTGTCAGCGCATTACTGGAGATGCTGCCACCCGAGCTGTCTCCTGCACAACGATCCCCACTACCCCTTGCAAGAGCCCCACTGCACCGGTGCGAGGACTGGGTTTGTACCTGTTTTTCGCGGGTCTACTTGCGAGGAAGCTGCGCTGGTGGGGGCGCTGTTTGTTACAGGACTCGTGGAAGTGGATTGTGGACCATTCAAATCCACGAGTTCGTCGAATACGTTCCTGCCCATTGAGGGAAGGTGCCCCAGTGCCCGCTGCTCGTGGCCCCACATCAAGCACCTAGTGGGAAATTAATTGACCGGGGTGGAGGGGGAGAGCAGTTGAGCAGCAACATCGCCCTCCCTAAACCCGGAACTGGACATGCTGGACATGCTGGGCTCCACGTTCTTTCTTTTCCCCCTTGTACTTTGAGGCGAGGGGACCTGGGCGAATACCCCTTTTCTCTTGCATCGATCCTTTTGTGCCGCTGGTCGTCTCGTCCCACCACCGCTGAGTGGGTGTCATCGAAGAGGTTGGCAGGATGGCGAATTTTTGCCCGCTACTCCATCTTCGGCCAGGACTGCCTTTTAAGCGTTCCCCTCACAAGCCAGGAGGCGCTGCAGGATTCGACGCTATGCAGGATTGTGTCGCGATGGAACAAAAAGAAGGAAAAAATGAAAGAGGAGGGGCAAGAAAAGGGAAGAGAGACAAGAGAAAGGAAAAAGAAGAAGAAAAAATCGCTCGCGCGCCCTCCTGCAGGGTGCGAGTGCTGCGTTGCAACGCACAAACACCCACGCCGGACGAGGTGAACACCAGAAGATCTTCGTGGCTGCTGTGCACTCCGGACCGGTCCCCGGACACAGACGAGTTCTCTCTTCGTCCTTTCTCGAACGCTGATTATGCACCTCTGAGAAAAACCCGCCAACCCAACCCATTTGGCCCCTCCCCTCCCCTGGCGCGGATCCTTCGACGCATGGAGAGATCCGTCTTCTTCGTCCTTCCCCAGAAGGTCAAGTTCAGAACTTCCCCTCTTGCGCGTACTCTTGATCAGTTTCTTAGGTGAAGGTCCACTCAAGCTAATGCGCAACCAACCCAACCCACACAGAGAAAATAACTCTCTAGTCTACTACAATCTTTATATTTTTGAGCTTGGTACTCCCAGTTGGTATATCTCCGATTTGAAGATGTACAAGGAATGCTTTCCCGTCGCCTACGGCTGCGGTATTTTTCCTGCTCTCTGGGCTGGGAATGCATGAGGGTAGTCCACCTCCTGCATTATCTAGACATCGGTCGCGGTTTCATGCATTCCAGAATATCAGCCCCTCCCCTCCGTCCAATATCTCGGCGCCTGGATCCTCTCCCCAATTGCAAGGGAGACGGCGAGGGAGGGGACGGAGATGCATAACGGATGGGGGCGCAGTCGTGCTGGAAATGCCAGTGCTGGACGATCACTGGATAAACTCGACCTTCAATTCCTGGTTCGCCACGTGGGGTGGGGGCATCCCGCCTTCGCACGGTGGAGAGGGTGGACGGGCAAGACGGGCAAGACGGGCAAGACGGGACTTGCCCCAAATCCCCCTTCCTCCCTCTCCGCTCCAGTTTGAAGCTGGTTCGAGAAGGGGTTGGAGCCAAGATCTTGGAATCACCTCCGTTTCCACTCTTTGGAACGATCTTGGAATTACAGCCCAGGCCTAGATACTGAGGCAATCCGGGGAAAGCTATGATGCGAATGGAGAGGGAAGGGCGTATTGGACGAGTCATGTCTTGATTGAGGCAATTTCATTTTTGCCATCTCATAAACTGACAGGCGCCTCAACGGGGACGATAGACAGCAACTGTGCACAAGCCACTGCCGGTTCTTTCTTTTTCACGTTCCCGTCACTCCGTAACGAGCGGGTCCGCCAGTGTGCGACATCGAAATGTGTGACTATTACAATCCCCGGCCCCGTTCGGGATTTTTTGTGCCCCTCCCCTTTTCCAAGCGGCCCATTCCTTTCCAATGGTCTATTCACCACACCACACGGCTCCATCTGGATCATAGATCAAAGCCACACTAAACACCGGTGACGTTGAAGAAGTTGGCAGCCACTGGCTCGCCGAGTCCGAGGCTAGCAATAAGCTCCGCAACATCGACGCCGAGCCTATTGTTAAAGCCGCTATAATCAACCTGAGGTGCCTTGTACGCGTCGGTCTGCTCAAAGAGGAGCTCGACGTAGTTGTGCGGGTTGGGAGGCGTCTCCGCAGGAGGCGAGGGTCCGATGTAGGCGGCGGGGCCGGCAGGGTCGGCGTTCTCAAGAACGTAAATGCCCTCTTCGTTGGCCTCTGCGCTCGACGTGAAACCCGAGACGAGGGCATGAAGCATATTTCGGCGGGGCTCGTAGTTACCGGGAGTGAAGGCGGCGGGACTAAGAACCAAAGAACACGCAAGGATGTCAGCACAAGTCAAAAGTCAAGTCTTATGGCCAACCTCCTGTTGGAATGGGGAAGACGGGGTTCCATTCGTGTCAAGTCGCATTTTGAGTTATGCGGGGGCCGAAACATACACCGAAATATCTGCGATTCCTCGCCGTTAGTCCCAGCCTCTTTTCTGCGGTGTTTTATTCCCTCCCTCCTCGGCCGAAGACGGAAAAAGGGGGACGGAGGTGGATTGACGTACCTATCACAGCCAGGATATAAGTGCCTTCCAGAGGCTCCGCAGTACCGATGGTGGGAATGGAAGCGGTCTCCTCCTTTGTGAAGGCAGTGCCGGGCTCCTCGACGGCCTTGCTGCCGAAGCTGACGGCAAGGTTGGCCTCGACCGCGGGCTCGAACCCGGCTGGGGTTTGGCCTAGAGCGAGCCCAGCCAAGGCGGCGAAGGAGCCAATCTCGAGAAACTTCATGCTTGCGATTTCGTCAGGCGATAGGGAAAGAGGCCTTGGTCAAACAAATTGTCTTCAAACACGCGGGGAAGAGTCGTTTGGCGAGATGTGATTTGAAAAAAATTCTCCTGCGAAGAAAATCTCCAAATTCACCTACGGCGCTGCGCGCAATTGATCATGGCGACTAGCATCATTTATACAGGGGAGCGTCAATGCCCTGGCAGCGGCAGAGACGATGGGGGAATGCGGATTACGCGGACTTGGATATTATGGAACTCATCCTATAGGGCAACGGGTAAAAATAATATATAAAAACCATTGAAGCTTCAATGTGGAAGAGAGCACCGGCTCGGGGAAGTCGGCGGGGAAAGCAATATAATTTGAGATGGAGATTTTACGGAAGGGAGCAGATATACGCGATATACACCGGCAATGGCCACCTTCATCTCTGTGGAGAACAGCCGGCTTGGCGCCCGCCGTCTGTTGCCATATCGGAGGATTGCACAAGATGTGCTCCGTCAATTCGCTGGCCCGGGGCTTGTCCTGGTCCTGCTGTGGTTTCGGCTAGTGAGAGCTACATCATGGATGCATTTCCGGGGAAGCAATATCCCCGATTGGGATGACAGGCAAGTTGGGTCATTACCTGTCAACCAGAACCACCTGTCAAACCAGCAGCGGGATGAGAAAGCTGGGCTCAAGCTTATAAAATCTACCCTGAATTAACAAATTAACATGTACCTCGGTAGACCTTGGAGCTCTGATAGAATCCCTTATCGATAAGGAACGAGCTGGTTTAGCTTTTGAGCCGTCTTTTGCTCCGAGAATGAAGAGAACAGTGAACAGAACCGGTGTTCATGACGTTTGAACGCTTTGGTGTGAGCTTTTTCGGATGGGCTCACATCAAGTCTGGGCAATAGCGCTTAGTAATACGCGGATTCGTCGTATTCCCGGTTCGGCGCTGGAGATCGGTGAGCTGAGACACGATGAATGCGAGAACGTGCGAGCGGGGAAGACTGCACCAGTTCTCTCCTCTGCTTGTTCGCCCTGCCTTAACGGAAGTGGCGGGATCGGCCTTGGAAGCATCAGGTTGGAAATCACAGCACTCCACGCAAACCAAACCATTGAAAAACTAATTCACCTCCCCCATTTACTTTCTCCGTCTTCAGTCTCTCTTGCGCCTCTTCAAGGTCTAATTGAAGCCCCTCCCTTTTCGCTTCCGCCAGCATCCCAACTCACCCTTTGTCAAAGCTGCCGAGCTTCCCGGTGAAGCTACCAAGAACCAACGCCACCACAAGCTGCCCAGTTCTCCACACAACCACCCCGGAGCTTCCACGCTTGCTGCGCTGATTCGGCCGTGAATGACGTGACATCAACCGCATAAGACCTTGACGACATTACGCGGCCTCGAGCCTGTAAAGCAAACAGAAACAGAAAAAAGGGAACAAAAGCCCGCAATTCCACCGCATTATCCCCCGTTCTCTCACGGAGGAACACTAAAAACGGCAAGGAAAATAATAATTCCGCCTCACAACACATTTCGAGGATTGTTCTAGCCCGAGTTCCATGATGAAATCCACGGTTCTTTTCTCGCTTCTACCCGCCGCGACGTCGGCGTTCGGTATTCCCAGACCCTCGGAGTGGGGTGTGGGGTCCGACGTTGGCCTCTCGGCCCTGGCGGATATGCTCAAGGGCAAGCTCACCCACCTCTTGGACGAGCGGATGCCCGACGTCGGATCTTTCGGCGGCCGTCACGACGACCAAGACCCCATCCACACAATCTACGAGCTCATTTCCAAGAGCGAGCACACCACCAAGTTTGCGGGGCTCGTCGACGAGCACGACGACATTGTCCAGCTCCTCAACAGCACTCACGCGAAGCACACCCTCTTCGTTCCGGGGAACAAGGCCTTTGAGCACATTCCCGGCGACAAGAAGCCTGACGCCGAGTTCCTCAAGACCCTGCTCCAGTTCCACATCGCGGATGGGGAGTTTTCCGCCCGCAAACTTGTCCACACCAACACGGTGCCCACGATCATCAAGGAGAGGCTTCTCGGCGATGAGCAGCAGCGTCTCCGACTGAGCTTTGGGTTTGGCGGGCTCAAGGTCAACTTCTACAGCAAGGTGGTCAAGCCTGACATCGTGAGTAGCTCCACCCCCTTTCTTTTTATATGTAGCTTACTGATTGAATCATCGCAGCGGGCTACCAACGGCGTTATCCATGCCGTTGACCACATCTTGGTGCCCCCACGATGGTGGGCCGAGAACTCACCTTCTTCCCCAGCCACTTCTCCACCCTCCTCCTTGCCTACGAAAAGACCAACTTTGTTGACTTCATCCACAACGTGAAGCTCAACGGCAGCACCGTGTTCGCCCCCGACAACCGCGCCTTTGAGAAGCTCGGCGCCAGGGCCAACGGCTTCCTCTTCAACACCAAGAAGGGCCAGAGCATCCTTCGCGCGCTCCTCAAGTACCAGATTGTCGCCAACGTCACTCTTTACAGCGACACCGTCTACGGAGACGCCGATAGGACTGGAGCTCAGGGCATTGACAGAGAGCACTACGACCTTGTAACCCTCCTGCAGGACAAGCATGTCAGCGTTGACATCACCAAGTTCGGCGGGCTCACCAGCATCACTTTGAACGGTCAGGTCCCCGTAGTGGCCCGGGACGCCATCGCCAAGAACGGTGTCATCCAGGTCGTCGGCAAGGTGCCTCTTCCTCCTCACAAGCACCACGACCACGACGGCGATGATGGCGACGATCATGATCACGAAGAGGAGGGTGAGATTGAGGTCGAGGATTTGATCGAGAGGTTCCGGGATTACGTTGACGAGGACGACGAGTGGGTTGGTGAGTTGTAAGCAAAAGGGCTTGGGCAGGCATGGGATCCAAGGGTGGAAGAGCCATGCGGAAAAATCTCAAAAAGGAAAAACGAGCAATACACGGATCAAGCAATAGTTATAAGTTCGGGTTGATGGAAGATTGAATTGTACACGATAATTTGATGCGCGGCTACTATGTCCGCGTTGGATGTTTTGATGCTTGTTTAGGTATCCTTCGTGGATGTGTTTATATATTCCACGAGCCTCGATATCATAATCTTCCCCACTCGCCATGCCTGCTCCCACTGACGATTCTGTTTCTGTTTATCCTTGCACAGCGTGCAGATTGTGGTAAGACTAACTAGGGCACTTCATTGTCCCGAACATCTATGATAACGCAGGCATCGAGTAGATTCCCGGACTATTCATCTCGATGAGGCCATGCCGCCCTATGGTTGTATGGCGACGATGAATGGGCTTGGAGAGGGATGGGCAAGATATGATACAAGGGTTGCTCCCTCTACTTTCTTTGCCAATTATTTATATGTCAACCGCATTCTAAGGGAGAATGCCTGGAGGCCTGCTTCAACAGGGCGTTGTAGGTTTTCTAGGGTGCCTTTGTGCTATTCGACCTTGAGCCACTGCGTCAGCTATTGTCTGAGATGGCCGGTGATCCCTAGATAAAGGGGAGGAAGGTAGGATTTTCTGGGGGATCAAGACTAGTATGAAGATTCGAGCTGAATACTAGTTAAGGCTAACTTAACATACCTTGTAGGTGGTATTTGATTGCTAGTCCTGGGGGCTCCTTCTGGCTAGGGTTGGGAGTGCGCAAGGGGTAGCCGCGGCTCCATCTTCTCAAGGAAAGCCTGAACACGTGCAGCATGGGCCTTTATCCGGTCCTGTGGCTTTTCCTCTTGCCATGACGAGGCCTGAAGCGTAACGTTGTTGAATGCGTCATCATTGAGATAGTTGTGTAGTCTCTGAGCGGCGAGTGGATCAGTGACATATTGTGCTGTTGTCGTGGTGTTCGTTGTGGAGGCTTGAGAAGAGGGAGATGGTAGGGGCGAGGTTGAGAGGTGTGCAGCGGCAAGTCTCCCGAGACCTGCGCGGGGCGGATGTTGGGGTACGCGGGATAAGTCATTTTACAGAAGAGGAGTGGGAGGGCACTAAGTAGAGGGTCTGGGGAAAGCCAGAGTAGCCGCAGAGGAGAAACAGAAACGAAGGGTAGTGATGGTGGTGCAGGAGGAGAAAGAGGAAGCCAGATGGAACGGGTCTGTTGAGGAAGAACAGGACAGCCATCTACGGTTATATCCTCGCTCTCGAGCACACAACCTAATGACGAAACCCCATACTGAGCACTTGCAGAAAATCGTTCCCTAGAGGGGTGGTTAATGGCAGCCTGTCGATGGAAATCGGGGTACTCGTTTTGAGTCTGGTCCGGACGTGGGACAACCCCTTGCGGCCGTCCTGCCTTGGCGGCGAGAGGAGCCGGGCTGCAGGGGGCCCCAGGGACGCCGACATGGTGTCGATGGGGCATGTCCAAAGACAATGGGGTTGCAGGTTATATCGCGGATACATGTAGAGATGGGGCCTCACCCGACGAGCTTGACGTGACCGCCATTCATATCGACGACTCTTTGAGGGGGAGAACCACCCCGGTCATGCTGCTGGATTCTATCCGAGTCGGTCGCCTCGTCATCAGCCGTTGTGGGCCAATCTAAACACGATAATTGCTGTCATGTTGGTGCATCGAGGGACAGTGCAGGACAAAACAAGGCGGGCTCATCCCCAACTTTGGCAAAGCTTCGAGAAACAAATGGCGAAGGGGGTCTCGACATGGGGTCTTATGCAGGTCGCCCAAGTCTACCCCTGCTCCCACGTGGCATTGATTGAAGGAGCGCGGCTGTCACGGGCGCAGAGCCACTCACCGAGCGCGCTGATTGGAAGGGAGATATTGTACAGGATGCAAGGATGTCAAGGGGGTCAATGTTGGGTTGATTGATGTAGGGGGAGCCGGGAAGTCTTTGGTTGATAGAGGGGCAAAGGGGGCAGCAAAAGGTGTGGAAGGGGGCGAGAAGCATGGACATCGCAATGTTGTGGAGGGTGGGATAAAGACACGGACTGGCTGCAGGCTGACTGCAGCAGGGTTCTTTGGGGCGGTTGAGAGACGCCAACGCCAGGATGCCACTTTGACCAAGTTCGGCCATGCCGAAGGAGTGACCCTCGCGCGCCTCGGTATGGCCCGGCGTGTTCTAAAGACACAATCGATCAATGTTAGGACTTGCCAAGGCGTGTTGAACAAATTTAGAGATTGAAGACACTGAATACGGAGGAAAAAGGCCGCCCATCTACCGCTGTGGCCGGGGACCTTGGGGCCCGGGAAATTTGAAGAAAACGACCAACCAGGACCAGGCTGAGGAACGCAGAGTCCTTGCATTCGCCTACCATTTCGTCTGGAGGATTGATTTGGTTCGCCTTTTTGCAAAGAGAAACGCGAATGCGATCTCTTGGCTTCATTGCGCAGAAGGATCGGCAGAGACCACTCGCTTAGCACGATTTCCGGCCTTTCTGAAGAGGTTATCGAGGTACTGTCAACCGAGGGTACAATTTATCAAATTCCTCTGGACCTGGATAGAGTCAGCAGTCACGGGAAGGTATGGTGGTAGATAATCTATAGGAAACAGAGACTAAACTGAAATAGTCAAATATTGGGCTCATCAGCCCTCCTTAACGACCAGCATCAGTCCTTCAAGGCTTTAGGAGTCCGAAGACAATTCGCCTCGCCCGCGTAAAGGTTGCCCAAGCAGAACCCGGCAGTCTACATGTACGTGCAGTTCACAACATTGAAGATTAAACCCCAAGTACAGGCACTATCGACTCATACGCCGCCTTATTCGCCAAGCGGCCCTTCACACCCACATGGCACTTGAAAACACAACCCTGGAACCGAACAGAATCAGGGTATTTCTCGGGCTCTTGTTCCGCCTCACTCGTGATATACACATCCTCTCCAGCAAAAGCGACGGCCTAAACAAAGGAAATACATGGTCAGTGCTGGCTCAGAGGCCATCCGGGAGAGGGACGTACCGTGGGACACCGAGTGGGCACACGGATCTCGGCGGTGACTTGGCCCTCTGGCGAGATCCGAACCACCTTCCAGGATCCCCAGATGGCGACCCAAAGATTTCCATGCTCATCTTGGACATGGCCGTCGGGCCCGCGGCCCTCCTCCTCGACCCGGAAGAAGACGCGCTTGTTGGAAATGTCACCGCTTTCCGCTTCGAAGTCGTAGGCGTAGATGACGCCATCCGAGGTGTCGGTAAAGTACAGCGTTTTGTCATCCTGGGACCAGCTCATCCCGTTGGGGATTGTCAAACCAGTGAGCACCCTGTGGATCCCGCCGTCTAGGTCCAGCCGGAAGAGAACCGCTGGTAGAGAGGGTTTTCAGTAAATCGAACAACGTCTGTCAAATGGTCATAAGATCCATGAGATAGGACCCGATATAGCTTACCTTCTGGGGCGAACTTGGTCACTTCGGGGTCGCATTGCGCGCTAGACCAGAACCTCCCTTTGCTGTCGACAGCTCCATCGTTGGCTCTCATGCGGCGGTCCTTGCCATCTCGTATCTCCTCTTCCGACCAGAACGGCTTGATGTATTTCATCTCGGAAGAGTCCTTGCTCGCCACGCCAATGCCATACTTTCCGCCAAAGATGAAGCTATCTTCGGATGATGCTAAATCTGCGGTGATGCTGATGTGAAGAGGCCGTAAGCGAGCGGTTCGGCTTCAGTGAACACGAAAGTACAACAGATACCCTTGAAAAGAAGGGCCATACAAGGATGGAGGAGACACTATTTATAGGTTGTGCAACGTTGAATTTGGCATGACGTACGAGATGGAGCTTTCATATACTGTTTTGCGTAGGGAAGAGGGGCCTTTGTCGAGGTCAACCCTATAAACGGCTTTATCAACGATGTCGACAAAGCGAAGGATGTTGGCCTTTTCCTCCCAGAATGGACTCTCGGAGAGGCCGCAGTTGATATCGATATAGGGCTTGTTTTTGACATTTGACTTTAGCAGTGGTCCTAGTGATGAGACTCCCCCATATCGCACGGATCCGCCGTCACCATGTCTATCCGCATGCATACCTCGGAAACCTCAAATGTCTGCATTATGAGGGAGGCAAAGTCGTGCCCGAGTGATGGTGGAGAGTCGTTGCGTGAACAGAATTTCTGAGCGGCTCGCCAAAGTCAGCTGCGCCTTCAATGCTGGGCTTGATAAGGATTTCTTTTTCCTCTCCCTTTTTTGGTCGTTGGTTCGTAGGGCTTCCGTCTCGTTGTGATCGCGAAAAAATAGTCCCGCCTATAGCTCCAGCTCGGGAGATGACGTGGGGGCTCTTTGTTATAGCTCCAAGTCACGGACAGCTACGCTCCGGGCGGGGCGGGGTTGGAGTGGACGCGGACTGGAGGATTCGCTCATCCCCCACCAACGTCACATTGACCTACGCCAACAGTCTCGTGTCTCAAACACAGCAGCCGGGCGTGTGTCTCTGGATTGTCGCACCAACATCAATTTAAACTCGGAAAAAGAAAAAAAAGGAAAAAGAGACAATCCGCGGAAAATTAAGCGAGACTCACCATGGGTAAAGAATCCCCCGATGCCGCCTTCCCCTTCCCTCCCTTCTCAGCCCTGCCGCTCGACTCTTCCGGTCCGCCGGGGAACGCGTGGGGGCGCTTTGGCCCAAGCGATCGGCTCGGCATGCTGAACCTGCTCACGCCCGCCGTCGTGGCGCGGGCCGCCGAGGAGATCAAGACGGGGGTGCGGGTGTCGCTCGACTGGCCGTTGGCGAAGCCCAAGCACCCTAGCCACGGGAGGCAGGCGTTCAAGCACGAGGTCATCAACCGCGGGCGGGGGCCCGAGCTTAGGGTTGTCAACGACGATGTGTTGACGTTTAACACGCAGTCGAGCACGCAGTGGGATGGGTTCCGGCATTTTGGTAAGGCCAACAGTGGCTACTCCCTAGAAAGCCGTCGACGTCCGATGAGCTGATGGACAAGACAAGGCCACGTTGAGCACAAGCGCTATTATAACAACACGACGCACGATGAGGTGACGTCGAGCGACGCCCTTGGAATTGATGGTATGTTGCGTGCTATCTAAATCCTATAAGAAATGCGAAAAGTCACCGGGAGCCTCAACTCATGATTATTTTTCAACTCCTAGCTTGGGCGGAGTCAGGCGGCATCGTGGGCCGCGGCGTCCTTCTAGACTATGCATCATGGGCGAAAGACAAAGGCCTCGAGCTGAAACCGTTCGAGGCATACCAAATTCCCTATCTCGCATTAAGCAGCTCATCGAGGAGTACAAGATCGCACTGCGCCCCGCCGACGTCCTGTTCCTGCGCACGGGATTCACGCAAGCCCACGCGGCGCTCACGGACGCGGAGCAAAAGCGCTGGCCGAGCGACCGTCTCCCGACTTTAGCGGGATCGAATCGTCCGAGGAAACGCTCCGCTTCCTCTGGGACAACCAGTTCGCCGCGGTGGCGGGCGACGCGCCTGCCTTTGAGCGGAGCCCTCCTACCGGTCCGCACGCGGATCCCCGGTTCGTCCTCCACGAGTGGCTTCTCGGAGGTTGGGGTATGCCGATTGGGGAGATGTTTGACTTGGAGAAGTTAAGCGAGACGTGCAAGGAGTTGGGGCGGTGGACGTTTTTCTTGACGAGCATGCCGCTCAAGGTAAAGAGATTTCTATACTCCGAGGGAGAGATTGGGGGGGAGCTGTTGAGCACAAATGAACGTGAAGGCTAATCTACGTTGGCAGGTCCCCGGTGGCGTGGCAAGCCCTCCGAATGCCGTTGCCATCTTTTGAGGAACTACAATGAGTGGGTTCTAGGCTCTTGTGCTTGTGGATATTCAATTTGGAAAGCGATGGAGTGAGGCTACGTAGAACAGACACGGTATTCACAAAGACACGATGAACTCATCCATGGGTGTCCATGGTCCGCGCTTTGTTGGCTCCAGAGCTAGGTGGGTGCGCGGGAGGCACGGGTGCATGTATGTAGTTGGAGCTTGATGTTACTTCATCGAAAGCTTCGGCCTGTCTTTCCTTTGCGTGAAGGATTAGCCATGATCAAAGAACAATGCCGTTTACCCACTTCACGGGGCGGGTCTTTGGGATTTGCGGATAGATCGGAGAATGGTGCGCTCCTTCAACTCTGAGAAAACGCCGAACGTCGCATGGGCCCCGGGCCGAGAATTCTTTGAGCCGAAACGCCGTCGGCTATTATAGGCCAGGATAGTCTTAGTGCGCAGCGGCTCTCGGCTCTCGTCAGAACTTCTTCGATAGGGGGAGGAAGAGTATAGACGTCTCTACGTCGTCGCACCTCGGCATGATGACCAACAACACTAGATGAGATCCCTAACCCCGAGCTCGACCCCAACCCCAACCGCGACCCCAACCCCAGCCCTGTCTTCTGCACCCGCAACCGGATCAAGGCGCTGCGATATTTTACGACTCTACGCCAAAGAAACAGGCCCTTTTGGATGGGCGGGGAGACGGCTACGACCCTGGTGTCAAACCTAAGAGTGGAACCCGCGGGGAAAATCCACTTTCTTAGCCAGGCTCCCCCAGCACCGCGCGATGGCTAGCTCCTGCGATGCCAAACGCAGGAGAGACGGCCGCATGCACGATGTCCAATGGGGAGGAAAGAAGACACAAATAGAAATGAAGATAAGAGGTGGGCAAGTGGCTCTGGAATACACCAACTTTAACTAAAGCATTTGTCCAATCTGGAGCCACATCTCGTTGTTGAGGGAAGGGGGCAAGGGGGCAAGTCATTACTCCGCACTGGTAGTGGGTACGACCGAGGCTCAAAATGGATGCTGGGGTTGGGGTGGAGGAGAAGCTGTCAATCTTAATGTCGTGCTCATCGCGGCGATCGAAGGGAACATTGAAGGGGAGGGGCTACAGTGGATGTGCAGCGGATGTTGACAGGTCGATCACGATGGGGGTGCGTAGAGGCCGGTACCGGTCGAGGTCTACGGAGTCAACACTCTTGTTGAGCAATTGTCGGCACGAGGTTAACCCAGGTTTGACTCAATCGTGACGCCGAAGGTATTAGGGTTAGATACCCCATCTATGGATTATTTACACCTCGACCATTGACCCTTGGCCGTCATCATGCCTCTAAACTGGGTTTCCTAGACATATGAAGCTTAACGGAAGTTTTGTGCGTCTCTTCAAACTGGATCTATCCTTCGCCCAACGGCTATGTAAAAGTAGACTGGCAGGCAGGGGCTGACTCATACGTCAATTGATGTAGATGGATCAATTGATATCGCTCGTACGGTGGTGTGTATGCAATTGATCCGTGGATGGATGACCGAAAACCCCGACAGGATTTGGCAAGTTCCGGTGGAAGTTTGGCAAAGAGGATTGGGGCTTCCGCCCGTTTCGACCGATGGATGAGTAAAGACAGCGCCGTGCTGCAAACTAGCTTATTTTCCTTGGATTGGTGACAGCCACCAATGTTCGATTAATTCGGATAGAAGGAGCTACGGTAACATGCTCATGCTCGAGGAGCAAGGATGTTTCTCCGCGATATCCATTCCTTTGGCTCACTGCTCCCCGAGAATACTCCCTCCCTTTCCGGTCCTGGAACGATCACCGCTCCTGTCGCATATCCCCCTCCCATTATCAAGAGATCCTCCCAAAACACTTTGGGAGGTGAGGTGCATGTGCATGGGCATGGATGAGGCAAGATGGGGGATGCGGAGGCGGAGGCGGGGAGGAAGAGAGGGTCCCAAGAAGCAGGGAGCGGCGCGGTCCCTTCAGTGCTGCCAGAAGCCAGCGCAGGCAACCAGGGTCAGTCCGAGAATACCGGTTGGCGTCGTCGGATAAGGGCTACGCTACGCTACGGGGGTTACGGGGACTAGGGGGCGGGCGGCGGTCTCTTACGATGAAGCGCGAGTGTGGTGCACGATTTTTTTATTTTTTTGGAGAGGTCTGTCGATCGGCGGGGCAGACTTCCCGTCGCGGACTAGCATCAACCAACTGACGAACGACGATTCGTCATGTTGAAGCTCTGGAGAGGTCGAGTTTGTATGCGGTACTCGTGTCGACGGGCTTGGGGCCCACTTAGGGCCTGTCCAAGCCCGCCCGGTCCTCCCATTCTCCCTTTTGAGTTGCCAAGTTGCCTCCAGCACACCCACTTCTTGGAGTCTCTGTCCCCAGTGTGAATCAGTGTGAATGGAAGGACGAAGAAGGATCAGTGATTCTGGGCGGTGGGAGGGGGTGGCAGATGCTTCGTGGTTGGCTGCCATACGGCCGGTGGAACCCTACAAAGAGCCAGCCCGCCGAGAGCCATTAACAATCAGCGTCGTCGAGCGCCCCTCTCCGCACGCAGCAACTCGAGCGAGCGCAGTACGCAACGCAAGACACAGCACAGCACACAGTACGTACACTAAAAAGACCAAGACTGCCAGCAGTGGCTGCGACTGGCCTGCTTCTGCTTAGTGGCTCGACCATCGAATTTCTCGCCCAGTGGCACCCCGCACTTGCGTCTCCGCCCTCCTCCCCATCCCCGCAAAATCCAAATTTTTGGCCCCGGCCATGGATGGATCAATTTGCCTTCTCCAATCCCCATGGACCGACACACTCCCCCTGCCCTGGCGTGAGGCACGAGTTTCCTTGGTCTGGGGCCCCGGTTTTCCCTTGTGGATGCCGAGCACCTGTACCCCAACCCCTAAACTTCCGTGGCCCGGTCGAAGAAAGGAAAGAAGGAACGAAAAAAACAATATTAACCTCGACCGCCCGGTCACTTTTTACTCAATGCGGGTTCCCCCTCAATCTCTTGCCTCCGTTGTTTCTGTCTTGGCTGTGATTTCGTGTTTCTCTCTTTTTCACCTCTTTCATCCCTCCTTGCGTGTGTGCGTGCCCTGCCTAATTTCGCAAGTCCTGCTCTCTTGTCGCTGGCGTATGCGGTGTGGTGAAGGCCCATTGGAGTAATTAACCCCACATCATCTCTCCCTCGCGAGACTAACTCCGTTGCCGCCAACTGGGCCCCACCCAAGAGCCGAGGCAGATTCTCAAGATCCAGCTTGACGTTCCTTGAAGACTGGTCTTTGCCTGCTCCTGGTCCTTTCCAATACCACCATACCTCCAAAAATTGTCTGTCCTTTCCCACCATTTGGAGACCCTGAGACGGAGACGCGACCCTGTGTTTCATGGGAAGACAGGGAGAGTAAGAGGGACCAAAAGAAGAAGAAGAGAAAAAAAGGAAAGGAAACACCCCTCCTTGACTTCAGATCAACCCACGTATTGTTTGTTCTTCGACGTTGTTCCGTGGATTCCATTCCCCCTTCCAAAGCCATGCAGTCTCCAACCGTCACATCAACCGAGATGCCTTCCACAACCCCAGCGCCGGCTGGAACGAAACCTGGCCAGACAAAGAAGCCCACGAGAAGGCGGGATCCCTTAGCATGTGTTTCTTGTCGGAGGCGCAAGATTCGCTGCGATACGATTGAAGGATTCCCTTGCTGGAGCTGTCGCCGGAATAATATCGAGGTACGCTCTCATAAGTTCACACCTCGTTCGTTGTTTCTTCATCTCTCGAATAGAATTTGGGAGTGATACTGCTTCTCGTGCACGAGCGAGCCCGTCTCTTTCCCTATTGTTTCGTTCTTCTCCCCTTACTAGCAATCCGTGAACTGCCTTGATTCTGGATCCTGTGAATAACCTGTGGCCTCAATAGTGTATCCGACATCCTAGCCGGAATAAAGCGTAAGTGGTTCTCTTGTGTACCGAGTTTGACTCGGCTTCCTTGCCTCCTATCACAGTTGGCATTGCTCCAGTTCCCTCGGAATCTTGATCTGACCAAAGCCTACAGGAAGCCGCAAAGCGGAAAGCCCAACGCCAATGGCGGGGCGAAAAGTCCTCACAGCGTGACTCGGTGGTGGAATCTCTCAGTCCTGATCACACATCCGTCAGAGACACTTTCGAATACGACCTAGCCAGGCCCTTTGGCCTCGTCCTCCAGCCCGTCCTCTCCCAGGTCGCCCCTGCCCCCAGACCACGGATATCCTGTTCGACACGTCCCACGCGAACGCCCTCCCCTACAACTTTGCGCAACCTCTGCTCCAACTCGGCCACCCTTCTCCCCTCTCCCCACAGCCTACGCCCGCCCCCGTGATACCCGCCTTCCTTAAGCCGATCCCACCCAAGGTTGACGCGACGGACACGCAGTATCTCCTGTCCAAAGGCGCCTTCACGCTCCCCGGCGTCGAGTTCCAGAATGCCCTCCTCAAGGCCTTTATCGAATACGTCCACCCATTTATCCCCGTCCTTGATCTCGTCGAGTTTCTCAGCATCATCCACAACCGCGATGGATCGCGTGGCCAAACGAGCTTGGTGCTGTACCAGGCCGTCATGTTCTCCGGTTCCGCCTTTGTCAGCATGGAAATTCTGCGTCAAAACGGCTTTCAGACGCGGAAGGAGGCGAGGAGGGCTCTTTGCAAAGGGCGAGAGTAAGTCATTGTACCCCAGTTTGCACCCTAGAACCCAAACCCCATGTTCTTTGTATGTCTGCTTCTTCGTAGGTGAGACAGTAAACTGACTAGGCCGGTGCTTTTGCAACCAAACAGCTACTCTATGATTTTGACGTTGAATCCAATCGCTTCACCCTCATCCAAACCTTACTTTTAATGACATACTGGTACGAGGGCCCAGACGATCAAAAAGACGCCTGGCACTGGCTAGGAATCGCCATCTCCCTCGCCCGATGCCTCGGCATGCACCGCGACCCCGGCACCAAGATTTGCCCGCGCACGCGCAAACTCTGGAAGCGCATCTGGTGGTCCGCCCTCATGCGCGACCGCCTCCTAACCCTCGGCATGCGTCGCCCCACCCGCATCTCCGAAGCCGACTTCGACCTGCCCATGCTCGAGGAGACCGACTTCGAGATCGGCGCCTTTCAGAGCATGTGCGAGAGCAGCGTTCTCCCGGACTGCACGCTGCTGCGCGACGCGGGGATCCAGCGGGAGCTGGCGCAGCTGTGCATCGCCAAGGTGAAGCTGTGCGTGTACACGGGCCACATCCTCGAGGCGCAGTACGCCCTGCGCGTCCGGGACACGGTCGAGTCCAAGGGCACGGCGGAGAGCACCATGATGATTTTCCCTTCGCAGACGCTGCGGACCGAGGACATCCACCGCGGGGACGCCGAGCTCGGCGAGTGGCTCCAGTCGCTGCCCGTGTGCTGCCAGTCGCGGCCTCTCGTGGCGCCCGTGCTCGGCCGCGGCGACGCCAAGACCACGGTCGAGGTGCAGCGCGCGGTGCTGCACATGACGTACAACGCCGCCATCCTCGCCCTGCACCGCTCGCGCTTCCTGCCCAACGCCCCCGCCACACCGACCCCGGGGCCTCGGCCGCCGCCGAGATCTCGACCCGGAAGACGCGCGAGGCGGCGCGGCGCATCACGCAGCTGGCGGCCGAGCTGTGCCGCCTGGACTTGGATAAGCTTCTTCCCGCCAGCGGGGTCACGGCGTTGCTGCCCACGGGCGTCGTCTACCTCCAGCAGATGCAGCATCCGGACCCGGAGATCCGCGAGCACGCGCAGCGCTCTTTCGCAAGTGTCGGGGTTTCATCGAGAGGTTCCGCGAGCTCTACGTCACGGCCGATTTCGCCGCCATGCTCCTCGATGTCGGTCTGAAGAAGTTTGGGGCGACCTCGTCCGGTAGCGATGCCCGTGGTGATGCGAGGACCTCGGCGGCGCAGATGCCCACGCCGGAGGAGTCTGATGCCGCAAAGGAGCAGGCGCGTACCGAGGGGCAGGCGGCGGGGCCCGCTCCTGGGCTGAGGACGCTCTCCGTGTTGGATTTGTTGCCGTGCTCACCTCCGCCGGTGGATTTTGCTTCGGCTGACACGACCATGGTGGAGGACGCTGGTCATCACGGCGTGAACTCGGAGCTGCACATCGACCTGGAGAATATGGATTTGGATATCTTGGGGATCTGACGCAGCTGGACTCGGATGCGCTTTTGGCACGAATGCGGATGGGGATTGGTGGGTCGAGGCACCTACTGAGGAGGTGTAGAGGGAAAAAGTTACGGGTTGGGAGGATATAAGACACGCCGAGGAGGACGTGAAGGAAAAGGGATGGCGGGGGCAAGAGTAATGAAGAACTTGCCGTGATGACTTGGATGTATCCCATAGCTTTGACGTTTACTTGTGCTGTAATAGCGATGGGGATGGGAAAAAGCTTGATGTACGAAATGCATGGATAGGAATAAAAGGCTGGATCATCTTTTTTTACGCAAACTTTTGGACTTTTTGAAATCTTGAAATGTAAAGCTGGAAGCCGCGGCTGAGATTGTGAGTGCAGTGCAGCTCTGGACATTGACGATCCTTGCAAGGACTTTGTGTTTGTATCCGAAGTACCCGTGTATTCCTGGATGATTTTCTCCCAGAAAGCGCAGGCAGCGCCCTCGACTGTTGCCTCCTTAGCCTTTTTCAGCCATTGCTTGTTGGGCGGCCGCCTCCAGCTGCCATCTAGGTATACATTCCCCTTTGTCTTGCTTCTTCACCTCCTGGAGAGGGTGGATGATTGCGATCCTCTCGGCTCAGGCAACAGTGCATGTCGAGGAAGCTTCAATTTACGCCAGAAGCCTCTCGCTCTGCGGAGCGACACGAAGGGGCGCTTTGGCATGATTCAAGACCCTGATTGTACACATAATGATGTATTGGCAAAGCACACCATGCACACTGATCCCATTCCAATTTTGACCAAGCAGGCTTAAAACGAACGAGTTAGTCAAATTCGATAATAGTAAAGGGCAAGTCCCAAAGGCATGCCATCACGGCACCAGTGAGGGTCACGATCAATCACCACGATCATGCAGAGAGATACAGATGGCGCTGCCAGCCACTTCGATCCATGCTATGAAAGCGCGGAAAGGCGCCGTGGATACGAGGTAACGGGACCCAGAGAAGAAAGAACAAAGAAACAAATCGAGGGTTAATCGAGGGTCTTTTTCGCGGGAACACGAGAATGCAATGCGACGGCCCAATTGACGATTCCCGAAAAAGGAAAAACAAATCGGCGATAATACGATCCAACTCTATTCCAAGAAAGCCAATCAACGGCCCTTGCAGCAGCAGTTTCAATGGCTGGATACGGTAAATTTGAGCCCCAGAAACTGGGCAGCACGAACAAGGGCAGCAAGGGCAGCGCGAACAGGGCTGGGCTCGTTCGGCACCTGACACCGTTCCCGCTTCCCGCTTGACGACGCCAAGATTCTGCCACTGACCGATACGAGGTGGTGCCACACCCACACAGAAGCGAGTGTCTCTGTCCTCGACCACTCACGCCGCTGCGTTCCGCTCAGTTGCTCCATGCCCAAATGCAGATCCGGTCCACCTCTGCCCAAGACCTGCAGCACGGCGACGGCCTGTCGCTTCCGGGGGTGAAGGCAAAGGCCAACCAGCCACCTCGTCGCTCACCACGGTCTGATGAGCTTGGACATGGGGGAGCTAAGGCCTAAGCAGCCAGAAAGAAAATAAAGAAGAAGAAAAAACAAGCGAAGCGAGGGCTACCATTTGAGGAGCGGAACAACAAAGTGACAGCAAAGACCCCTAGGGACCGATCATCGTCTGCCAATATCGTACTATCTTTAGTTTCCCGTGGCATGCTTTGGGGGATCGTAAAAACACTTGGAAACTGGCGGGCACGAGGGCCAAAGGCATTCGAGGCCGGGATGCTGCATAAGCCCGGCTCGAAAAACGCCCGATTTGGCCACTCGATTCACAGTTACCTTTGCTTTCGTCACAACCAAGAAGTCATTGTGGCTGGAACAGGTCGTTTCAAGATATAAAAAGGATGACGAGGCCGTCTTCATGTAATACTCGGCAGCCCCTCTCACTCTAGTCTTTCTTCAGCTTAATATCTCGTGTTCACTCGCTCTCTCACTGCCTCCACCAATCTCCCGCACAAGGCAAGGCAGGCAGACATTGAATAGACCACAACCATCAATCACACTTTACCTCCATCCAAAAAACAAACATGAAGGCCAACTTCGCACTCGCCGTCGCCACCCTCGTGGGCGTCTCCTCCGCCGCCGACTACTTCCTCGCCTTCATCGGAGGCGACACCGCCATCGACGGCCAGCTCTTCCGCCTCAACAACTCCAGCCCCATCATCTCCCCGGCGTTTCGGAGCCCCCTACAACCCCGCGGACCACTACACCCGCTTTTCCGACTCCGAAGCCGGCAAGCTGCGCGTTATCCCCACGAACCCCCACCCAGGCCCCGTTTCCGGCTACCTCGCCCTCGCCGAGGACGAGAACGTGCAGGGCGCTCTCCGCCTCGTCGAGACGTGGCAGCCCAACAGCGAGGGTGTGCAGGCTAGTGGGTGGAAGATCAAGAGGCAGTGCGACGGCACGTCGCTCCTTAGATTCGGGTCCAGTAGGGATAACCGGTGGATCGCCGTTGAGGAGCAGACGGCGCAGGGCGGCAAGCGTTGGATTCCCTGGTGGGTTACCGGGGATATCGTGGGTCTTGATGAGGAGTCGTACGCGGTCGCCGACGTGTCTGTGCTTGTGACTACATGCCCCGTCAACTCTAATGCCGCCGGCGGGTCGAGGACTGCTAGGCTCCTCTCGTATAAATTGGAGGCTTACGGTGTCTGGCTCTGGCCTTGGGCATGCGGATGCTGGGGTAATGATCTCTTCGTTTATTTTCATGGATATATTTAACAAATTTCCTTATTCCTACTTGATGCTTAATGCAAATTGACGATCTACTTTAAGATTCTGCCACGGTGATGCCGACAAAAGAGATAAACTGAGGATATGGTGGTTCGCGTGCGAGGTGAGACGACCTGGATGAAAGTCGCGTCCTGCTGATAGGAAGTCATTTCCTCCTCTATTTTACATGATGTTATGCTTGATATCGAGGGGTCCTTAGGCCCCGTTCGGAGTGAGTCGGCTTCTTTAGACGTATTGGTACATATAGGAGTTGCTACCCTGACGCTCCCGAGGCTGAGCCAGGATGGAGGTTGGAAAAGTGTATCTGAACAATAGACCCCCTTCGGAAAGAAAAATCGTCGTTTCCGTTGATCCACCGAGAGGCAACGAAAGCTCCGAAGCCAACGAGTCCGCTGGGAAAATGGAAATAGACTTGTCACTTCTCACCTCCTGGGCCTCATCCGGGGTGAGCCGCTTTGTGGTAAGGTCGATATTCCGTAGTCGTTCCTCCTTCCTCATCAAGTCGTCTTTGGGGGTACTCGAAAACAAGATCCAGTTTGTCCTCTGGATCTTCACAGTATATGGTGTTGCCCCGATAGAGCTTGCGTGCACCAGCCTCGGCTGGTCTTTTCTCGCACTCCGACAGCGAAGATAGCTGTTCCTCCGAGGAAGCGGTGGAAGCGGAGACATCGATGACAGAGGCGGCGCAGGAACTTTGGAGTTCGGACGCAGCTATTGAATTCCGTTCATCCTCCAACTCGGAGGCGCCGTCTTCGCTTTCAAGCCGTGGTGCACTGGGGGGATGTACGGCAGGGGCGTCTTCTCCACCTCGCGAGCCTCCGGGCCGATCTTCTAGAAAAGTTGGCTCTATCAAGCCTTCGAGGCCCGCATCGTCCCGGTCTTCCCCGGCAACAAGCTCAGTACCGTCCTCGAGGTTGTGATCCACCGGGGAACCTTGAAGGTCAAGCTTTTGCGATCTCGGCTCTCCTAACACTTCCGCATCGTCCCGGACATCCCCGGCAACAAGCTCAGTACCATCTTCGAGGTTGTGATCCACCGGAGAGCCTTGAAGGTCAAGGTTTTGCGATCTCGGCTCTTCTAACTCTTCCGCATCGGGGGCTCTAGCTTGACCATCGCGGAGCGCTGAAGCCTCGGGCGTCGTAGAGGGATCAGGAGCAATGGTCGTAGTTGACAGAGTAAGGGTGTGACACACGCTTTCAGCAGGCCCATGATATACAATTCTCTTTTGGGTCTTGAGCATTTTCTCCACGCTATCTTTTGCTACGTTTCGCAGCGTCTCGGTAAACTGCGCTGTGATATCTCCGGAATCAAAGATTGGCAGCCTCCACTTGGGATACAGCCTGTTATGAGCGTGCCGTGTAAAGGTTGTGCCGCGATGCTGGATAAGCTGGTCGCAGAGATAGCACGCCTTCTTGCTTGAACATACAACGCGAGGGTTCTTCATGGCGATCTTGTCACAGTAAGCTAGGATCTGGACCTCGGCGTGAACGCTCGTCGCCCCCAGTATCTCCTTGACGCATTCGGAGAATTCCCCCTCCAGGTCCTCCAATGACCTGGGTCCATTCCCCGCTTCCTGAGAATGGTGAGGATTTCGTTTCGCGTTGCCGCATGCTCGACAACCCGTCCTAACGCCGCGTCAAGAGTGAGCCCCGCTGTGGGAGCTTTCTAATAAAGCTCATAGCGGGAGGAGATACCCGGACGACTGCAATTTTCTTCGCAATTGGAAACTTCATCGCAGTGCGGGTCAGAAATTTGGCTGCATCCTTATACCGCGCAATTTTGGCAATGCCCTCGAGAGAGATGCGGCTCCCCTTCCTGCTTGTTTGCTTCGCTTCTCGATATGCGAGACAATATCGACAAATTTGGGCATCTCGTTCAACTCGTAGAATCGGTCAACCAACGCTCTCATATCTGCCATGACCTGATGCTTTTCCCAGGCTGCAATCCCACGGATGGCGAGTCTGGCCCTGGCTTTAAAGTCCTCTGCGGCATCTCGAAGATTTTCGTCTCTGGGGTTATCTTCTTTCAGTAGGTCGATCGCAGCTTCTAGTCGCTCTTTCATTGGCTCCTTCTTCTCAACAGTGGTTTTCTGGTTCATCTTCCCCGGATCTAGTCGCTCGATGATCCGTGTATTGCACATGTTGAGAATGGCATCGTAAACGTTGGAGCGAATCTTGTCCTCGTTCTCGATATCCCGCTCGGGTCCTGGTGCAACATCAGTAACCCAAGTTTCAGCCGCAGCTATCCCACCGATATAAGCGGTACCCCTTACCGTCACGTATGCCAGAAAGGGGTTGAAAAACTCTCTCAAAGCCGTCCAGGACTTTTTGTATGGTCCCATTGTCGTCTCCTGGTTTGCCTCCGTTGACTGCCATGAGGATTTGAAGCTCGTAGGGCGCACGACTCTCTTGGACCGCTATTGCGGGGATTCGCTGGTTATCATATTTGGTGTTTGAGAGAAATGCGAGGAGGCCTGTAAGCTCTTGTTCCCGTTGGAAGGTCAACTCATATCCCTCTTTGTTAACAATCTCAAGGTCGTCCTCGTGCCGTGTCGAATCGAGTGGCTGTTGGTGGAGGACCTTGAGGAGGGCGACGATTTGGATCAGAGCGATGGCTCGCTCCTCATCCCGCGTGAGTGGAGCGGCCGCGCTCGAGCTCGCGATCCCCGGGAGGGCCATTCCGGCGACATGTAATTTTGAGTCGCGTCTCCGACACAAGCCTGCCAAAAAAAAAAAGAGCGAGAAGACGGGGTTGGGAAGACCATCTCGATGACTCCGGGCCAACGCCCGAAATATAAACGCAGGCATCACAGCTGCAGGGTGACCAGGCTGCGGCATTCCTCCAGGACACGCGCCTACAGGATAGCAAGATCCAATGGATCTATCAATCCGTCCAGTCACCCCCTCAGGTGGCGCATTGTAGGTCGCTGCGGTAGGCCAACCTCACAGCCAACTAACAGCATGACCTCCATCATTGTATCGTACATCCGCCGCATCTAACCAATCAGAGCAAAAGGTGAACTGAGATACAGGGCTTGTATTTCTATTTTCTTGTCTACTTGCGTTCCTCCTCATGCCTCTTCTCTAACTCGCTCAAACTTGCAAGCTAACCGTCACAATTGAGAAGGGCGCGTAAGCGAAGAGAAAAGAACGGAAAAGAACAGAAACGTAGCGAACGCCACTTTTAGTCTGCATATGTATTTTTAGACGAGAGAAATTTCATTGATTCATTTATTATACTCCAATTCCGCCTCCAAATGGTGAGTAACTACCTCGGTAGGAAAAGGAAAATCATTGCGCCACCAACACCTAGCTGAAGGGCCTCTTTTTTCGCGGCCAGTGCACTATCTACATCCTACTAGACGAGGCATGACCCTAGAGTATACATAATTAAATCAAGCAAAAGGGACATTAGACAATGGACCTTCGCTAGGCTATCGTGAATACATCAACCTGACCTTGTAAGGGAATAAGTGAGCCCTTAATCCGGATGGCCTTCATTGTTGAACGATTTAAGTCCTGGATCCTAGACATATCCTGATAGTACCCTGTGTTGGGAATGTCTTCATCTTCGTCCTTGGCGCCTTCGTCACCTTGTAGCAACGCATCGAAGGTATACCCGTCCCCTGGGTGCTTCAGCATTGTACCCCCATTGTCAGTCATCCCTTGACAGCTGAGCATTTCCCAAATATCGAACGTGATGTCGAGTCATTGAACGAAAATAAGACGCTTCATATTTGCTAGTATCTACTACGGGTTCCAGCCTTTTCTACGAGTGTTCACCTTGATTTGGTTATCGGATCCGTACGATACGGTATGTGTATGTAGGAAGAGAAATCTAGCCTCGTCTTGGCCAAGGCTGTCCACGCTTGAACTCCCTAGGTCGAGCACGGATAACCGCACTTCTTTGGCTCTTTTCCTTGTCTCAACATAACTAAGTAAGGTACCTTCTTTTTTCTCTCATCATCTCATCTCATGGGTGTCGAAAGACTGGGATTTTGGTCTCTCAGGGCTTCCTTAAAATACAGCCATGGTTGGCGAGTTCTCACAAACCGGGAACACCTCTTATTATATGAAATTTAGCCTTACCTATCCAAGAGATAAGAGGAGGGCGTCTATAAGTGGTAGATAGATAGGAAACGGTACATCAGCAGACCCCTCTAGCTCGAGTCTGCTTATACGGCCTTGTGTACGTGGAGGTAAGCAATACAGGTAGGCTTAAAAAGCAAAGGGCATGCTGATGTCATAATCGGGGTTGAACCTTTGAGAGGAATAGCAATGGAAGTGGAGAGTGAATGGTATCGCTAGTAAAGAGAGATAAAACCCTGGAGTCCGAAGGGGAGAAGTCGGAATAAGGTGATATCAAGGGCTGCCCCCTTCGCGCCTGAGCTCGATGACCAGCCCCTCCGCAAACGAACGTTGAAGCTATTCACTCTCTCTGGCTCAACTATGCTCTCCGTCCTTCCAACTTGTCCTAGGCACTGTAAATAGACGATTATTCCCAGTATTTCCCCTTTTATCGTTCTTTCCTCTTTTCTTCTGCCACTAGCGCTGCTCCCGAGACAGGGGTGCCGAATAGTGTCCTCCGTGCCCGGCACTAGCAGGCGAGCCAACCCACATCAAATGCCGTGCCAAAGGGACACTCGCATAAGTAAAAAATGGACGCGAGGAGAATTTCCAAAAGGCCGCCCCACGTTGTCCCATGGACGGGAAGGAGAATACGAAGAAAGCGCGGGACAAGGGGTCAAAAAGGCCTCGGACAGAAGTGCGTGCACAAAAGAAGCCAACGTGGATCCTTGAGAAATCGTGGCGGATAACTGTCCCGTGAAGCCGGGGGCCACTGACCCGTTGCAACTAGAGCAGATCCATTACCTTTCAGCACATACTATTCAGTAAAAGATCAACGGAACAGCAGGTGCATTCATTGGTGGCATTAAAGACCAGGCCATCAATAACGGGCGTGACGATGGAACATCTTCGTAGCATCGGGCAGTCAGCATAAAAGGAAGGCACGGTCGGTCCTTTGGGGTTTCTGTGGGAAGCTACGACTCGTGTGGGGAATGCTGGGGCTCGGCGGGGAGGAACCACCCAACCCTTGTCATCAATTGATCCCTCGAGCTTCAATGGTGCCTACGTTCCTCCCCACCTCAGCATACATGTACAATTGATGTCCATCCAAAGTGGCATCCATACATTGTCTCAGAATGATCACGGCCGTAGTATCAATTGATCCTCATCAATCTTCAAGCCCCCAAAAGTCTCATTGTAATGCCTTGGCAACACCGCATGCCAGCTCTGTTAATTGTACGAAGCACATCATTCGAAGAGGGCATTGTCCAAGATACTCCCCTCGATAATTGGACGCAGAAGAGAAGATTGAAGACGAGGATGAGATGACATCATGTTGTGAGGCCAAGAGGGCCTTCCTCACACAATCGCCTATATGATTGTGCCACAGAGGCACTCAATTAACCCAACCATAACATCAATTCGGGGCTAGGCGCATGACGAGTGGATCTACACGAGGGTGCGGTTTCTTGCAAATCACAAGGGTGGACGCATGAACATGGAACGGGAGATGTCAAGGCAAAACCCAGCGATAATATCGCGCCAACCCCACAGAAACATGGGCTTGGCTCCCCACGAGCCACCAAGTTCGCACGGGTTGATCAAATCGGGGATCCATTTAATATGTATCCATCCCAATATCTCAATGGATGCATAGTGCGTGTGCCTAGTTGAGTGAAGTGTGGATATCCGCGCGCCTTTGCCATCAATGATGACCTTCCCGCTTACCGCCACAGGTACTACTCCGGAAGCAACGCTGGTACGGTTAATGAATATGTGTCGCCCATGGCGTTGAAGCTGAGCTGTACTTGAGGCGGGTTGCCGGATACATGTAGGTCTAAGTTCAGTCGATGGCGAATAACGCAATGTCCAGCATCAATTGATGTAAGTATTGCACATCGTGTTGGAGCCATTTAGTTGCCTTGACCTTTTGAATTAATCTCCATGTTGTTCAATGTTGGTCGGGAACTTGCGGCTCCGAACGAGGGACATGAGCTAAACAAATTAGGGGCAAACTCCTCGTGAGTCGAGACTATTGTCAGCCGCAATACGTATTGCACGGTATTCTAAGATGCGCGGATTATGAGATGATTCAATTATCACAATCTCGCCAGACCTCTGGAAGGCTCGCTTCGAGCAAGGGTCGTTATTGGGACGGGCGGCATTAGATGTGGCGAGCCGTGTGGATTGGATTGGCAAGGGAACAAAAGCAAAAAGAAACGTGAGCGAAAAGAACATGAAAGTAGAAAGAACAGCTGGATCCTTCGTCAGGCACGCGCTGTCCGAACAATCTACTCGCATCTGCGTTTAAAAACCTTCCAAGACCCGGAAACACATGCGATCCGTTCTTTGGCGTCGCTCGCAATTTGTTTTAATTTGCCCTTGGACACTGCCACTACCACTACCGCCCGCCACCGCCAGAGCTGCTCGGCAGAACCGTGCCTCGCCAATCAAGTGTTGTCCCTGCCGGGCGCCGGTAGAGACTCCGTCCGCCATTGATCAATTGATGCCATGCCTTTGCCCATTTAACCTGCTGCCCGCCTTAATACCTGTTAATATGAATTCATGTGTCCACTTAGCAACCTCCCCCAACCCCCAACCCCCGACCCTTCCCCTTAATGTGCGCTTCGGAACCGGCCTCCGATGGCCTTGCCTTGAGTGGGGCCCCCACTAATCTCTCAACCCCAATGACGCCAAGAAGCAAGAAGCCCTCGGCCGGCGAAATCTACGTCGCCATGCCAGTCCCCGGACCCCGGACCCGCCGTTACTACCACCCATCGCCACTTTCGAGCCATGGCGCCATCGCTTTTCAAGCTCTAGATCGCGGGTAAACAGACTATGAGCTGTATATCTGAAGCCATGTGATTTTTCTTCCTTTCTTCTTGCTTGTAGGAGTCAGACAATGCACCGGGCCAGCACCTTGTTGCGGACCAATCTTCCCGTCCCGTGCTAAACCGGCCCTTGCCTTGCCTTATTTCAACGTAGGAACGTCGAGCCTCTTTGAGTGTCACCTCGAAGAGCATAAATAGACCGTGATCCATCCTCCCTCATCGACAATTCTTTTCTTCCTTCTCGTCAAGCACAAGCACACTTCCCCCTCTCAACACTCCTCAGTTTGCAAGACCGTTTCTCGCTTGCCTCCGCTTCACGTCAACAAAAGGTTTTCCCTACCTTTGCTTCTGTTCGCCCCTCGTTCTTTTTTTCGCAGTCTTCACACACATCACACACACACAAGATGCGCGTATCCACCGTCCTCGCCGCCCTCTCCGCGGTCGGCTTCGTTGCCGCCGCCCCCGGCCTCGCCCCCGCCAAGACGACGCTCCCGCCGTCACGGACGCCCCGAGCCCACCGAGGTCCCTGAGGTCCCCGAGGTCCCCGCCGAGCCTGAGGAGCCCGTCGAGGAGGAGCCCGAGGAGCCCGAGGAGCCCGCGCTCCCCCTTGAGCTCCCCGCGCCCGGCCCCAACCCCTTCGAGGGCAAGACCCTCTTCGCCAACCCCGAGTGGTCCCAGAAGCTCGAGCAGACCTACGACGCTTTCGTCGAGGCCGGAGATGAGAAGAACGCCGCCAGGGTCCGCGTCATCCAGGATATTGGTACCTTTGTCTGGGTCTCCAACATTGCCAGCTTGAAGAACATCGATGCCGCCATCGAGTCGGCCCGCGCCGTCAAGGAGGAGACTGGCGAGGACGTCATCGTCGGTCTCGTTCTCTACAACCTCCCCGACCGTGACTGCTCCGCTGGAGAGTCCGCGGGTGAGTTGAAGAGCGAGGAAGACGGTCTTCAAAGGTACAAGGACGAGTACATCAAGCCCTACGCTGAGAAGGTCAGCGCGGCGGACGACCTCACCTTTGCCATCGTCCTCGAGCCCGATTCGCTCGCCAACGCCATCACCAACACCGGCATTCCCTTCTGCGAGCAGGCTATCCCCATCTACGAGGAGGGTATCGCCCACGCCATCTCCCAGCTTCAGTTCGACAACGTCCACCTGTACCTCGATGCCGCCCACGGTGGCTGGCTTGGCTGGGACGACAACCTCGAGCCGAGTAAGTTCCATCCCCCTTCGGAGAAGGATTAAGCGCGCCATGACGCGTGCTTCTGATCTATTTTAAGCACACCCATCCTTTATATCCATGTACTAACACTGCCGTCAAACAGCCGCCAAGCAGTTCGCCAAGGTCGTTCGTCTCGCCGGTGAAGGTACCCAGCGCATCCGAGGCTTTGCCACCAACGTCTCCAACTACAACCCCTACAACGCCACCGTGCGCGAGAACTACACTGAGTGGTCCAACTCCTGGGACGAGAACCACTACACCCAGTCCCTCGCTGCCTTCCTCGAGATCGAGGGTCTCCCTACCAGCTTCATCGTTGACCAGGGCCGTGTCCATCTCCCTGGTGCCCGCGAAGAGGTAAGTCGCAATGAATTCTCTTCCGCTGTAGCTTGCAAAGACCCGAGTATGAACAGTCCCACTAACATGTTCTTCAAAGTGGGGTGAGTGGTGCAATGTCGCCCCTGCCGGTTTCGGTGGCGCTCCCGGATCGTCGACTTTCGGCAACGAGGTAAGAGGCAATGTCTATGGAATAGAATGAGAGAGAGAGAGCCATACGCTAACATGCAAACCCATCTAGTTTGTTGACTCTTTGGTCTGGATCAAGCCCGGTGGCGAGTCTGACGGCGAGTGCGGAATGGAGGGCGCTACCCGCGCTGGTGTCTGGTTTGACGAGTACACTCAGATGCTCGTAAGGAACGCCAACAAGGAGCTCTTCCCCGATGAGCCCGAGGAGGAGGTCCCTGAGGAGGAGACCCCGAGGAGGAAGCCCCCGAGGAGGAGGCCCCTGAAGAGGAGGCCCCTGAAGAGGAGGCCCCGAAGAGGAGGCTCCCGAGGAGGAGGCTCCCGCGGATGAGGAGTAAAGAAGCGCCGCAAAGGCGATGTTGGGGCGATATATAACATTGATGGTTTTAGGATACCCGGATTGGTGGACACGATAGATACTTAGTTCTTCAGTACATAAATTGATACTTTTCTTTCCCTTCACTATATCTATTATTGTCGAGAGGTTTGAGTTTCAGGGTGTCAGTTACCAGAAGTTGGTTTTTCCCCTTTCTTTTTTTCCCCCCTTTTTTCTTCTTTTTTTAGAACGGTCGACGAGGAATGCCGAGATGAGAAGAGATTTGTCCGAATTTGTACAAGTAGAGATTGCTATCAAACTAACCATACTCAAAACTCAAACTCAACCGCAAACGCCCATCATTCCAGTCATATTCATAATCTAGAGCCAAATCTGAGCAGCGTAAAAGGTTAAAGGGGGATATCATCATCAACACAAGCCCAAAGTCCAACCAGGTCCAGCATAAAGACGTCGAGTTGCGTCACAGAGAGGTATTAAAGAAAGGATTCACTCAAACAAAGGACGTTGCAACATACCCTTCTCACATAAACGCCTCGCTGCATAAAAATATAAAAAGACAGGATGAAAACTAGACAAAGAAAAGACCAAAAGAAAAAAAAAAAAAGAAGAAAAAAGACTATAGAGCGAAGAAAGAGGGGAAAAAACAAAAAGATCTATCTCTTCTTGCCCTTCTTTCCAGACATCCCATCTGCTAAAGCAGCACCAATGGCAGCAGTCGCCACCCGGGTGCCCTTGGCACCAACCCAAGGGCCAGGGTCGCGACGAGCTTTGAAGGCGGCGGCAGCCCGCTTGGAGGGCAGCAGCTGCGATAGACTGCCAGGGAAGGTCCATGCCCGCGGATTTCGCTCGGGCCCTGGTCGTCTTGCCGTGAGACCCCGGGTGGCGGGCTTAGATGACCGAGGCTCGTCGTGTCGATACCGAGGTTCCGACCTTGTTGGCTTTCGATCACGGTCACGGTCATACTCCCGGTCCCGGTCGCGGCCACGATCTCTATCTCGCTCTCTGTCCCCGCCCCGATCTTTGGCACGGTCTCTAGACCCGCCACGGCGGCGGCGGGTATCACCTCGGTCATCCCTTCGCGAGTCAACGGAGCGAGCTCGGCGAGCATAGGGATCCTCCCTGATGCCCGGCCCGTCCTTCCTGCGGGTATTGTCACCGGGCGAGCGCGTTCGGCGGGCACGGCTAGACTGTTCGAGCTTTCGATCCTTTTCCCTCTGGGGGTCGCCAGAGTATCGTTCCGAGTAAGGGTTGTCTCGCTCGTATTGTCGCGGTACACTCTTGGCCTTGCGTCGCGCCCTCGGCGCCTCGTCGGCATTGCCATCGGGCGATCGGTTCCTGGGCAAGCGGTCGTACCGGTCATCTTTGGCGTCCCGGCCATCCCGTTCGTGCCGATGTCTTCTTCGCCGCTGTCTGTCAGGGCTCGTAGCCTCTTGCTGCGGTCTCTGCGATCGCGAGCGCGGCTCGGCCCCGGCCGGATACTCTCGGCCTGAGGCGGGGTTGACTTGGGGTAATAGTGGGGCGGTGAAGCTCCTCCCGTGGGGCGGGTCTTGGTCGCTGGCTGCCTCCCCCATCGTCGTAGTTGTTGTAGCTTGGCGGGGGACGTTGCCATGGTTCAGGGAGGCCGCACGGCCAGGGCTTGAGAGGTTGTAGTAGGGGGTTGCTATCGCCGGAAAAGCGAGGCGACCTTGGCTCGGTCGGCCTGCCTCGAGGAGGCTCTTCCCGTCGACGGCCGAAAGGGGCATCGCCTCCGAAATGTTGCGATTTAGCAGTGCGATGAGAAATTTCGAAATTTTGGATATCCTCTTTTTTTTTCGCGGGGTTTCGAGGAAAAGCAAGCAGGGCGATGAGAGTCGGGGTTGAGTGATGAGCGAGCAAACGTTAGAATGAAGGGAATGGTGAACGGAGTCGCGCTGTATATATGGTCGTTTCTATCAATCAAGACAAATAAATCAAAGGATGGATGATAAAGAAATTGACAATAAAACAAAGAATTGAAGAGAAGAAACGGCCAAATGAAAAGAAAATCCCAAGAGTCGTGGGGCATCTTTTTTGAGGGGTTTGGAGGCCTAATATGCATTCCAGGCAGGCCTCCATGTCCGCGAGCTGAAATCGACAGCGCTGCAGACTGGAGACGGAGGGATCCAAGACATCATCAAGCAGAATGTGACTGCCGCATTCGTCACTCGTGCAGAACGGGGCAGTTCATTGGGCGGAGGGATTGGGCTGCACATGATTGTGGCAACACGCGGGAAAAACAGGTCACGTCTGAAGCACAGGGCCAGCCCCCAAGTGATACCTTGGCATCCAGCTGGCTGCCTGTCAGATCTCGGCTCGAGGCATGCGATGCCGTCACTGCTCCACTTGATTCAACCGGTCATCATCTCCCGCCCTCACCCTCAATGTTTTATTTATCCGCATCGACGTGGTTCCTGAAAGAGTTACGTATAGGGCGCTTTTTTTTTTTTTTTTTCTTCTCTTATTTGCTGTCGTGCGCTTGATTTAGGGTCAAGTTGATGTCTCAATGTTGAAGGCAGTTGATGCTTTGGAGTTGCAGAGGGTCTAGGCACAAGGACAGTCCAACAGATACAGGGGCCATCTGCCCTTGGAGTCCTCGACTGCGGCAGACTCCCTCCTCGGGGATTCCGACGTGTGTAGACTTGCGCAGCGATTGGCCGCGGCCATTCAGGGTCCCGGAGAATTGTCGTCTCCCAGCCACGCCGAACACCTACTAGGGCGAAATGCAAGTCGACATCATCGCCATCGCCAACGGCGCAGATCCCTGCGGGTAGGATTCGGCTGTCGGGATGGAGACGAGCCCAAGGGATAGTATTTCGCTGCGAGCGGTGTCTTCAATTCTTTTAGTCGCAATATTAGACGCAGCGAACCAGAAAGGAGATGGATGTCAGAGGGAGGATATACGTAATTATACATTTATAACCATCCACGATTGGGAACACGAAGGGCCCCCAAAACTTGGAGCTGGGCTTTAACAACGCTGATATGGAGGGTGACGATCGTTGTGTCCAATCTTTTTCATTCAGACTGAAGATGCGCAAGAAGCACACCACGGCCAACCCCTCAGTCGTGTCATCATTCCTTCCACATGTCCTCCCTTGAGCTTGTGCCGCCATTACGTGATCACTGATCCATTGCTTGACGGGTGGGCGCATTTACTACAATCCAGCAATAACCAAAAAGACCAAAAAGAAGGGGAAAAAACATACAACACCGGGGATTCGCTGGTCGTCACCGACCCAACTACTAGTCCGGCGCTTCGCAGCTTGTGTACAGGGGAGCGGACGGGACCCTCAATATTCTACGAGCTATGGTCGTATGTACCAGATTTGGACCTAGCTCAACTTATAAGGATTCCGAAATTAGGCTCCACGAGCAGCTTCTCTGCTGACATGTATCAATTGATGTGGCCGTAAACTCAAAGCGAGGAACCGCCCTCGAAAGGTTCGCCGGGCCAAACTTCGGCCAACCGGCGGGATCCAGACTCTTCTGGGCCCCGCAGAATCCAACGTCAATCAAAACGTAAAGTTCCACTTTTATCCCTCGAACAAGCCTAATAACGAGTGAAGAGAGTTGATGGAGCCTCGTTAGTGCGGCCAGCTCGACAAATCAGCTACCCTTGTCGTACTAGGTCCCCGCAGAGTATCTGCTTTGTCTTGATAGAGCACAAGCTCCGTTCCTGACCGTTCTTGCTGTTTGACAGGTGCTATCAAACATCGTGACTATCGCTTATCTTGACCGCAACCCCTCTTCGTGTCCCCAGTCCGAAACTACCCGTCGCCGCCATCTGTTTATTCCTTCTCTCTTCCCCTAAATGCTAGTTCACTTCATCAATCACTCAGAGACCGTAACTTCTTTTACCCCTCAACAGATACGCAGCCATCGCTCTCTTGTGCCATGGCTGATCTCAAGGTCCAACTCACAGCGCCAAACGGCAAGACTTACACGCAACCCACGGGCTTGTTTATAAACAACGAGTTCGTAGCCTCTGGTTCTGGCCAGACAATTACTTCCACGGACCCAGCGTAAGTAGCTACCGTCTTGTGGGGAGTATCGTCGGACTATTCACTCGTTGGCCTGTGAACAGTACCGAACAAGACATCGCGACGGTCCATGCCGCAACCGCGGAGGACGTCGACAAAGCCGTCCGCGCAGCTCATGCGGCACTGAACGACCCAAAATGGAAGAAGCTAGCCACTTCAGACCGAGGAGTCTTGATGTATAAGCTGGCAGAGCTTATTGAATCTAACCAGGAGTTGCTCGCTACTATTGATGCGTGGGACAATGGTGAATCGAACTTTCCCTACGTGGGTAGAAGCCCTTGCTAAATCCACTTCTAACGACCACGCCAGGCAAGCCATATCGAGATGCATTGACGGGCGACCTTCCCGAGGCCATTGGCGTGATTCGCTACTATGCCGGCTGGTGCGATAAAATCTACGGACAGACCATTCCCTTGCCCAACAAGCTGGCCTACACGCTCCGCCAGCCTATTGGCGTCGTGGGCCAGATTATCCCCTGGAACTACCCGCTTTCCATGGCGAGCTGGAAACTGGGCCCGGCACTGGCCTGTGGAAACACAATCGTGATCAAGGCAGCCGAGCAAACACCCCTGAGCATCCTCGTCCTCGCTGACCTCATCAAGCAGGCCGGGTTCCCGCCGGGTGTGGTGAACGTGATTAATGGCTTGGGCAAGGAGGCTGGTGCGGCCTTGGTCCAGCATCCGCTGGTGGACAAGGTGGCATTCACGGGATCTACGGCGACTGCCACCCAGGTGATGAAGATGGCCTCAGCAACGCTCAAGAATATCACTCTCGAGACGGGCGGCAAGTCCCCACTTGTCGTCTTCGAGGACGCGGACCTCGAAGAGGCTGTGAAGTGGTCCCACATGGGCATCATGTCGAACCAGGGCCAGATATGCACGGCGACATCTCGGATCCTCGTCCAAAAGGGCATCTACGACAAATTCGTGGCCCGCTTCATCGAGGAAGTCAAGACCACGAGCAAAGTCGGCCATCAGTGGGATACCGAAACCTACCAGGGTCCGCAGGTGACCAAGCAGCAGTACGACCGCGTCCTCTCGTACATCGAGTCCGGCCGCCAATCAGGCGCGACCGTGGCCACAGGCGGCCAGGCGCTCACCGAAATCGGCGGCGGGAAGGGATACTTTATCGCACCTACGGTTTTCACGCATGTCAAGCAAGATATGCCCATCTGGCGTGAGGAGATTTTCGGCCCGGTCGTTGTAATTTCCGAGTTTGGAGAAGAGGACAATGCTGTGCGCATCGCAAACGACACCACTTACGGTCTCGGTGCCGCCGTCTTTACCACCGACTTGGAAAGGGCTCACCGGGTTGCGAGTGAGATCCAGGCAGGAATGGTTTGGATTAACAGTAGTCAGGATTGCGATCCGAGGGTGCCTTTTGGCGGAGTAAAGCAGAGCGGAATTGGCCGAGAGCTCGGCGAGGCGGGGTTGGAGGCGTACTCCCAGATTAAAGCGATTCATATCAACCTAGGGAATAGGTTGTCTTGAAGGAAGGAGAGACCATAGATTGGGGAACAAGGCAGGTACGGCCAATGGCATCCAAGGATTGAGCCTCGGTGTGGTCGCACACCAACGTCATCGCGCAAGCTCGGGGTGGTGTCGCGGGCCTCATACTTGTAGAAAGCCCTCTTGTCCAACGCACAATACTTGATCATTCAAACAGGTCAAGTACAATCAATTGATTAACTCTTTTTCTCAACGTTTTCTACCCCCTCTGCTTCTCTTTCATTCCTCACTTCGTCTTCACGGAACAAGGAATTGAGTGATTATGTCAGCATTTCTCTTCGCGGAAGTTCGGCCACATGGTGTTGCTGGGGCAACGATCGCTTAACAACAAGCGGAATTCCAAACTTAGAACAGGCCCCCCTCCTCCTCCACACCCACCCTCCAATACCACCAGTCTTTATCAATGCAGCAAGGTTCAGGCAAGGTTCAACATTCGCCGCATCCCTCCAATTGGACTCGCTCTCCGGCCTGCTTGCGATTCAAAGAAAGTCGAGATCTTGCGCCAGAGTAAAGATGGCGGCCACGATGGTTCAGCACGTCACCGAGTTCGTCTCGGCTCCCTCTCCCGAGTCGCAACTCCTCAAGTTCTCCTGCCTCAACCGAATCCCCGCACCGCAGCCCCCAGGTCCATCTTCCCCAGTAGCGCCGCCTCGCGAAGCTCGCAGGATGGCCCGGCCAAGCCGGTCGACCTGAGCAAGCATCTCCACCTGGGCATGTTTGAGATTGGGAGGCCGCTCGGCAAGGGCAAGTTTGGGCGTGTTTACCTCGTCAAGCATAGGCCGTCGGGCTACATCTGCGCCCTCAAGGTGCTGAACAAGATCGAAATCTGCCACGACGGCGCCGAGGTCCATGTGAGGCGCGAGATCGAGGTCCACAGCAACCTGAAGCATCCGGGCATCATCTCCTTCTACGGCTGGTTCCACGACAGGAGGCGCATCTTTCTCCTCATCGAATACGCATCGGGCGGCGAGCTATACAAGACGTTACGAAAGGAGGGTCGCTTCTCAGAGAGGCGGGCGGCGAAGTACGCGGCGCAGGTCGCCGAGTCACTGCGCTACCTGCACTCGAAGAACGTGATGCATCGTGATCTCAAGCCGGAAAACATCCTCATCGGGCTCCACGGCGAGATGAAGCTTGCCGATTTTGGCTACAGTGTTCACGCCCCGAGCAACAGGAGGGAAACACTCTGCGGAACTCTCGACTACCTGCCTCCCGAGATGCTTCGCCCAGGTCGACCGCAGTACAACAAGGCCGTGGATCAGTGGACGTTAGGCGTGCTGACCTACGAGTTCTTGACGGGCGAGGCGCCGTTTGAGGATTCGCCGATGATGACGAAGAGGCGCATTGTCAAGGAGATATGAAGCCCTTGCCTTCGACCATCTCGGCAGAGGCGAAAGACTTTGTTCATTCGGTAGGCTCTCGTCTCTCTCGCCACCCCTTCATGGCTTGTTTGCTAACCAGGCCGCCTGCAGTTACTCACACTTGACCCGGCGAAGCGTATACCGTTTGACAAGGCACTTAGCCATCCTTGGATACTCAAGTATTGCGAGCGGTCATAGCCTAACTATGGCGCTGATGCGAGGGACAAGAAGCTTAGCGCTTCGTGAGAGGGTGGCGGCGAGACTTGCCGCCACGTGTAATATTGTATTGACTGTACGACTTAGGTGGCATCATCAAAACGGACTTGGCTAGCTACAGGCTTCCCTTGTGTTTTGTTTAGTGGGATGAAAAGGCATCGGCGTTTCTAGGAATTAGGTGGCATTGAATTTACTGAACCATTTTTTTGGCTTTCAAATGGATGGCATCAATAATGTGTATAAGCTCGCGTCAGAGAATTCTGTGTGCCAGCATTTTTGAGGCATACGAAGTTATGGGCTGCATTGATGGGGTGGATACATTATTTGGCAGCTTGGCTTCTCGTGGCTCGCCGTGTTTCGTTGGTGTGGAGGCGGCTCCCTTCAAGATTTTGCTGAGTTGGCAGGTGCGGCTCTTCCCTTCTCCCATCCACAGTGGAGAGAGGAAGGCACCAGCTCACAAGCGAAGTGAGTCAGCCCCACACCTGCTCCAGTCAGGGACACAAGCCAGCTAGAGGCCCTCGAAAATGCAGGGGCCACCGCTATTCTGGGTGGTTGGGCAGGCACTTCCCTGTCTTTTGCTGGGCAGACACAGGTTGGGTTCAGGCCTGTGTGGGCTGGGCGGCGCCCTGTAAGTCACGTGTATTCGATGTGGCCGACCAGCAAGCTCCTTGCATCTGCACAAAGTCGTCACCAACCACCCAGCTTTTCGAACAAGGTGACAGCAAACGAAGCACATATTAAAAGGCAAATCGCTCGTCATACGTTTTTGACATTGACTTTTTCCTTCTCTCCCTCGTCTCTCGCCGGTCTCCAAACCATCGCTAAATTATCTCTGATAATTCTTCCACATTACGCTTCCGTACTCAACTCAGTTCCCAACGGCCATAATGAAGATCGCGTCAACTCTAATTTTCGCGGCGGTGGCCACGCTAGCTCAGGCAACGGATGCCCCTTGCACCAACGAAGCGTGTACGTCACTTTGCAACGCAACACCTTCTTGCATGTCGACGCTCTTTGAGCCCGAAACAGCGCAGTGCTACACGTTTTCCTGCGTCCTCAACAACTACTCGCGGCCCTCCAAGTACCTGGGCTACGAGAAGCCAGGCGCGACATACCCATGCCCCGCGGACCAGCCCATCCCTGGAGAGCCCCAGAACCCCCACCCGTCGCGCAACCTACTGCCAATGTCGACGTCCCCGCGCCGGAACCCACCACCGCCGCTCCTACTAATCCTGCCCCGACCACGGCGGATTCCACGCCAGGAGGAAAGGAGAGCCCAGCTCGCTCACGACAGCTGCTCGGCCTCCCGCCACTGATGGATCGGGTAATAGCCCAACGACCGGATCGCAGAGCAGCCCCACTGGCAGCACTGGCGGCTCTGGCGGCTCAGGCAGCGGAGATGCTGGTTCTGGCGAAGGCTCCGACCCAGCAGCCCCCACAATCGTCCTCGATGGGTCTGCGATCAAGGCGATGGCCCCGGGCTCGCTGTTTGTCGCCATCGGTCTCGCCATGGTTCTTTTTGAAACTATCCTGGTAGCTCTTGGCAAGGACGCTGGTGTGTTTACCGAGCGGGGGTTTTCCAGCCGGTAGCAAGCGTTCACCAATCTGAGAACCTGGCGATTAAGTTTGCAACGCGACGTGCCGAGACGTCGCTTTTCTCTTTACGTTTTTGTTCTTTTCCCACACACTTTTTTCCACGATGTCACAATTAAAGGTTAGACGGCGTTTGGTATGATGCACATGTACCTGCAGATGCAGAGGGAATCGGATACCTTGAGGTATCAAACAAGGCGAAACAAATGGACCATGAAGGATGCGATAATGGAGGGTACGGTAATGGAGGGTGTTTGGTCCTAGAAGAATGAGCGATCCAACTTAGGTTGCGATGCCGCAATACGAGTAATGTCCACAAAGAGAGGGTTCACTTTAATAGATAGATTAATGAAGTCCTCCCATGACCCTTTCAACGTAATCATGATCGCTCTTCCCCCAAATGCCCAAGATGGGGTCACCACTCGGCGGTCACTCAATACACTACAAGCATCCCGTCATAGCCGAGCCATTGCCGCCAGTCTTGGCCTTAAATTGAGGATTAGTATGAACAACTGCTCCATTCCTCTGTCCGTCCCAATGGAAAGGGCTTCTTTCTCGCCAATACCGGGAATTCTTGACCGGGAGGATTGGGTCCTGGTCGATCCGTCTCGTCGGACTCCGGGAGAATATAGCCCCTGATATCATCGGAGATCTGCTTCGAGCGTGTGGGGAGGAGCAGCAAAGGAGACGGGAGACGGGAGACGTATTTATTAGCGCCACAAGTGTCGGTCCATTCCAATTGCACGCTCCACCTTCCCGGCGCTAGCCTGCAGTGCTCCATCCCCGAGATACTCGCCACTCGCATCGAGAGTCATTTGAAGAGATTGAAGAGACTTGACGGCGGCAATGGGTTTGAAGAATTTGGCTGACCCGTTCACCCAACTACTGACTAGACGGACAGAATGCGATTCCCAGCGTTGTCGGTCCCGAAGTATCAATGTCGCCCAACTTTTCCGGGGTGGGCGGTTTCCTGGCTTTCCCCTGTTTCAGGTCTTGGCGGGAGGGCCAGCCACGCTGCATGGCTTGGGGAAAAAAGGCACCATGATCTTCTGAATGGAGGTGGATGGTTGGGTGCGCTCATGCTGGCCGGCCAGTTAGGTGTGTCCTCGGACAGGTCAAGGGGAAGGGCCCGGGCCTTCAGGGGTTCAACTCAAGGGCTGCGTCATTGGGTGCATGTGGGCTCAAGCAGAAGAAAGGGAAAAGAGAGGCTTCTCCGTTGATTGTTTGCGTCACAAACCCGGTGCGACAATGGCTAGCCTGTGGGATAGAGGAACTGAGGGAGGGGAAAAAGTTCCCTGACATCACATAATTGATAGACAGACCTCGGATAAGCCTCTTTCGAGATTGAACCAAAGGTTTGGCGGCAACGATCAATCCGAGTTTGTGGCGCGAGTGCTCATCCCAATCTCCAAGCCCATAAACCCATAAGATGATGTGTAGCCTAGAAATGCCTCGTCTCTCGATTTCAGAGCTGCTCCGCCATACGAACCGAGTTGTCCACGGCGATCGGCGCCACTTCAAGCTTCTTTGGATTTTCGATGCGCACGGAGATCGCGAATCCTTGTTTTATCCGGTGTCGCTCAAACGTCTTCCCCAGACCCTGAAACACCGCCCGCTCCTGTCTGTAACAGATTCCCACCACACAAAAGGCAAAAAAGTGCAGGCATTGCCCCCTTTTCACTTGACGCCAGGCCTGTCGGGATCATCCCTCAAGAAATAGAAGAAGAATGAGCGGGCAAAAACAAAGTACCTGCCATTGCTCAAGGTTAGCGTCTTCCCATTGTACGATACGGCTGTCAAGCACGGATGACAGGGGATTGAACAATTGGCGTGCGTGAGCAATATCTAGACCCTCCTCCCCAATTCGACTCAGCCCCCAAGTATTCCCATCCTCTTGAGACGGGCACTTACACCACCGCCAACATCTTCTTCTTTTTCGCAGTTTCTTCACTTGGAGAAACAAAATAATGAAATCGTCTCATTAGTTGGACGTTTTTCTCTTCACTTCTTCTCAAGCAGGTCTTAATTTAATCACGACTTTTTTTTCTTCTTTTCTTCTTCGATTTTAGTCTTCTTCTTTCTTCTTTTGATCCTTTCCGTTTTCTCGCCTGTCGAACTCGATCGTCATGTCTTTACTCGGAAATCTTCTCGGCGGTGTTGGAAACACATTCGGTAGCGTGGGCAACGCGGTCGGCGGTATCGGCAATCTCGTCGGAGGCGAAACTGAGGTCCCGGCGAACAACGCCGCCGAAGGCGACGATGCCGGTGATGATACCAACAACAATGCCGGCAACGATGCGAATGTAAAGGTTCCCGAAAACGGCGGCCTCCTCAATGTCGACCTCGGAGACCTCCTCGAGGCGCAGCCACGCCTACTACCAGCGCCGTGATATCAACTACCCTCGTCGCTCTCCCCACAGATAACGCCGACCCGGCGACATCATCAGAGCGAGCTCCTGCTACCTCGGCTGCTCCCCAGACAACCCTCGTCACTCGACCATCTCCCATTCCCGTAACCCAAGAGGAACAAGAGTCAGAGGAACAGGAGTCCGCCAATACCGATGTCGTGACCCCGCCGGTGGGTGGTGATATACCCGAACCGACGCCGTCCGTCCCCTCTCTCCCCGCTTCCGACGGTGGTTCTTCGATGCCACCCAACCTGATTCCCATTGTCGGTGCTTCTGCGGGTGGCTTGCTCCTGATCATCATCATCGCCATCATCATGACAACTCGGTACAGGAGGCGAAGGTGGCCTTTTGCCAAGCGCGAGAGCTTTGCTCGTCTCGATGACGAAGTCGAGACGATCCAGACCTCTACTTCTGGCTCCAAGTGGGATCCTTCTAGGGTCGGCCCCGGAGCGAGTCGGATTAGCCGGTTCATGGCAAACCGCTCTGGATGAGCATCGGCTCATCAACTGGTGCTATGTTCCCATTCGTCGGTGTCGCAGCTAGCCTGACACCTCTCTTGATACCCAATGTGGTTGCTGGGGGTCCCTTCATGAGAGGGTTTGACTTTTATTCTTTTTTATCAACTGATGCCTGGAAGACCGGGGGCGGGCCACCGGTTCTTTACATCACATCATTACACTTCTCTTCGACCGATTTGGGGGACCTAAGGAAAAGAAAAGCGACAGAGGAAGGCCGAATTCGTTTTCGAGGGCGGTCCAACGACTAAATCATAACTGTTCTTTTTTAATGACGGCGTTCCGGATTGTCTGAAATTCTTTGGGTTTTACCTCCTCCCCCATATCATCCTCGAGGACTCCAGAGGGCGGATTGACGTGCAATGAATGGGTCTGTTGCTTGTGAAGGGACACCCCTTTCACACGACAGGCCGTATGTACTATGGTTGTGCATGCTGAGATGTATAGTTTGCTGTAGATATCTCGAAGAAAATAAAGAGGGCCCTGGCAAGCTACTTGCGGGGGTGCCGGAATTGATGGAAGATTGCGCAGCATTTTCGTTTCCTCAACAAGTTAACCTCCTCTGGGTGTAATATCGTGTTGGTATGTTGGATGTGAAATGCGAAGTTGACTTAGGCGATAGTGGATGCATTATTGACTCGCGTGCCGTACCAAGCGTCTACGTTAGTCGCGGTCAAGGCAACCAAAGAAAATCACTTGCTTGAGCCTATGTACATGTAATACAGCACCTAACAAACGCAGGACAGATCAATTGATATTGCCGCGGCAAGGAGAAAACCTTCATCATGATGTGTGCAGCCTGGCAACCAAAAGCCAGCCTCCATCTTATATCGTTCCTATAAATTTCATAGAAATTCTGTCGGATGAGAAGGCGATTGCATCCTCGTTTGGATAGTTACACTGCATTGGTTCCTTCAATGTTCTGCACTTTCGCATTGACTCGATGATCCTCTTGGTCCAGCTCTGGTCATCTGGTCATAGACTCTCCCAAGCCCTTAGGATCCTGCAACGTCCCTCTTTCCACACCCCATGACCACATCTAGCAGAAAGCTAAGCCTTTTCATTATCTTCACTTTCTTTCTCTTTCACTTCCATTAGCTCGGAAGATGAAACTTGACGACAAAAATATTCCCGGCTGTCCATCTCTTGCGTTGGCCCTGGGCTGTGGCGCGGCAGCACTTGTGGCGGATGCACGCTGGTTGTGGCGGCACCGCAAGTGCTGGTAAAGAGAAGAGATGGAGAGTGGGGCTTGTCTGCCTGGAGTCGTCCCACATTCCGCCAGGCGCCTTCAGCTCCAGCACTGTCGGCGCGGGGCACCCAGTCTTGCCAGTCCCCTAAATGGCTTGGCGGATGCAGGAGCTGGATCAAGGTTCAACGAGGGGCTGGGAGACTCGAAGCCACGTGAATTCGCGGAGCCAAGCTAGGCCTTTCCAAATATTGCGATTTGTAGCACTAGGCAACCGCGCCTCCAGGACTAACTGCCTCGAGAAATCAGCTGTGGAACCAGCACGTTCCTTCGCGCCTGGGAAAGAGCGAAGCGGGATCGAAGCACTTATTTAGCCTTGGCTTCACCCCTCGATCTTTGAAGATTCGGATTGATCCAACTCCTCCTTTCTTTTCATCACATCCCCACACGCCGCAAGGTCTCAATCAAGTAGTCTTCTCTACCGCTCCTTTGGGTGGAAATTCTATGCGAAACAGAACCTTCCTCTGATATCATCCCCCTCTAGCCATCCTGTTCTCCCATCTTCCTGATGACGTAGTGGGTCATCTTACTCTATCATCCCCTATCTATATCGCGCATATTCAGCAGACGGAACATCATCCACCATGCCTCGAGCGACTAGAAGTTCTGCCGCGGCGGCACAAGCGGCGTCTAACCCACTGCCTGCCAATGGCACGACCTCGGCCTTGCCATTGGAAGACTGCTCGGTAGTCGCCAGCGGCACCTTTCTCGCGTTTTCTCACGCTACTTTGCAGAAGAACTTGACGGAACTGGGCGCCAAGTTCACCAAGAGCATTACTGCAGCGACTACTCATCTAGTTGCGACGCAGGATGACTTCAACAATGACTCAGCCAAAGTTGCAGCGGCCAAGGCCAAAGGTCTCCCGATTCTCAAAATTGAGTGGGTCGAGGAGGCCATGAAAACGAATGCACACCCCCGCGATGACGACTTTTCCCACCAGCAGACCTCCAAAAAGCGACCAATTGCCGTCGTTGGGCCATTGACGACTGACGCTGGAAAGGCTGGCGACGGCAACGACGCTGCCACCGACACCAAGAAGCGGAGGACGGCCAAGGGCACCCGGGGCAAGGCTACGGCCAAAGCTCCCGATCTGGATGCCAAGGACGCCAATCTTGAGGACGTAAAGCCCAAGGCCGAGGAAGCAGCCCCGGCTAAGGCTGAGAAGAAATCGGCGTCCGATAATCAAGTTGCACAATCTGCTGATTTGGTCGTGCCTGTGGATGAGTTTTTCCACCTCTCGGGCAAGCAAGGCTTCGTTGTCTACATTGGCGATGACATGACCATCTACGACGCGTCCTTGAATCAAACCAATGCAAGCGCCAATAATAACAAGTTTTACAAGGTTCAGGTATGCGAACCCAGTATCTGCTAAATAGCCTTTCCTTTAGCCACCTTGACTTACGTTTTCTTCTGCACTAGATCGTTGTAAACTCTCGCAAGAAGCAGTTTTTCACTTGGACCCGGTGGGGTCGTGTCGGCGAGACGGGCCAAAAGGCTCTTCTAGGAGATGGATCGCTCGACGATGCTAGGATCCACTTCGATAAGAAATTTAAAGACAAGTCGGGCCTTGCCTGGGAAAATCGCAGTGATGCTCCCAAGCCCAAGAAGTACGCTTATATAGAGCGGAGCTATGATCCGGATTCGGAGGACGAGGATGCTGGTGGCAAGAAGGACAGGAAAAAGACAAGTTCCACAGAGGATTCTGAGCCTGTTGAAACGGCGGAATGCACCCTATCACCGCCCATTCGATCGCTCGTCGAGCTGATTTTCAACGCTAAGCTTTTCAACAGCGTCATGGCGTCGCTTAACTACGATGCGAACAAGCTTCCCTGGGAAAACTAGGCAAAGGGACGATCACCAAGGGTTTCCAGGCACTGAAAGACCTCAGCACAGTCCTAGCTGACCCCTCAAAGGCTACACCCGCGTACAATATGTCCGCCAGCGATGCCACAGAGCACTTCTCTAACTTGTACTACTCCCTGATTCCTCATGCCTTTGGTCGCAACCGACCCCCAATTATCGATACGGCGACCCTGCTCAAGAAGGAAGTGGAGCTTTTGGAAAGCTTGTCGGACATGAAGGCCGCGAGTGACATCATGAAGATACAGAACGTATCTGACGGTATGCATCAGCTTGACCGCCAGTTCCAAGGCTTAGGCTTGCAAGAGATGACTGTCCTGGACAAGTCGAGCACCGAGTACACGCTACTGTCGACTTACCTTCAAGGTAGCAAGGGCAGCACTCACTACTACAACTATAACATTGTCGATATCTTCCGCGTTGAACGGATGGGAGAGAGAACCCGCTTTAACGAAAGTCGCTTCGTCGATGTCAAGAGTGACAAGCGTCTTCTATGGCATGGTTCGAGGTGCACCAACTTCGGAGGCATCCTTAGCCAGGGTCTTCGAATTGCCCCACCTGAAGCCCCCGTTAACGGCTACATGTTTGGCAAGGGTATCTACCTGGCAGATATGTCATCCAAGTCTGCTGGATACTGTGCCCACCACTCCTCTCAGAATCAGGCCCTTCTCCTCCTTTGCGAGGCCGAACTTGGCGACCCTATGCAGGCGCTACGAAGCTCTAGCTACGAGGCCGGGAAGACAGCCGCCCAGGGCGGCATGATTTCAACGTTGGGAATGGGTCGTATGATTCCTAAAGCCTGGAAGGATGCAGGCGAAATTCACCCTTCCTCAAAGGGGTCAAGATGGTAAGTCAACGTTTACCTTTTCCATGGCTGCACTGATATAATAGGACTAACCCAATAATGTGTGTCTAGCCCGATTCTTCCCAAGGCGTCGCCGACGACACGACGGGGAATAGTCTTTATTACAACGAGTATATTTGCTATGACATTGCACAGGTCCAGTTGCGATACCTCTTCAGGGTTGACATGTCGTAATGTCAGGGTAAAGCCCAACTCCGACCAAACACCCATGGATGTTTTGGTTCTTTCTCTGTTTTTGCGTCAAATTATACAAAATTTCCTGAGATTGGCGCTTGGCGCTAGACAATACTTGGTGGTTTTATGCGCAGATGTTCAACGCTAGTACGAGGCCATGGCATTGCCGTAGCGATAGGCACATACCGAATATGATACCAGTTGCACATACGCTTGATGTACCCCATTTTGCTTCTGCCTTGTCTTCACTTGGATTTTGCATGCAACTTTGAATGGATGTGTCTAGCAAACCCTTGGTTTTTATTGTCCTCTGAGTTTCCGGTCTTGGCTTTTTGTTCGCCGCTACCTTTTCATCCTCGCAGCTTAATGTTGGGATAAAGGGGATGTCTACAGGATTGCTTTTGGCCTGGGTAGTTTCTGGTGACGTAGGTATCATGAGGCCCCGATCTTGGGGAGCTCGGATTGAAAATATCCCTCAAGAACCCAAGAATAGGAGTTATATTGAAATCTACACTTATTCAAAGCTCATATCGCGCCAGGAATCACCAATCTCCTTTATGACTTCCCCGTCCATGACACCGTGGACATAACTCTCTCCAATAAGTCGAGTAGAACCCCCACCCTCTATCGGACGAGCGACGAAGGGAGCTCGACCTCCGGACAAAAAATTACGCTGTCCCCAACTTGGGTGGACATGGGCCCCAGGCCAAAGTAACCGGATTCGGTTACAAAGAAGTTCCTTCCCCACGCGACGTAATGGGCCGTATCATGGTACTGAGATGCGTTTCCTTTCTCGGCGTCGTTGGGGGTAGAACCTTGAGAAGGGCGTCTATAGCAAGTATCGGGGTCGTTTCTGTGCCACCTTGAGTTTCCCTGGCCGCGTATTCTTCGGTCGACGCAGAATGAGCCTCCTTGGCAAAAGCGGTAAAGTGGCCAGCCCAAGAGTTGGACACCGGATAGTCTTCCCCGTGGAGGCTGATATTTCCAATCAGTGTACGCCAGAGGGCGTCGACGGCCGATGTGCGCGTATTCCCCTGTAGGGGCGCTCGAGGTTGATCATACCGGCACATGCCTCCAGTTTAGTGTACATGGACTCCTTTGCCAAGTCCGCGGAGGAGACTGAGGCTATTGTGTCAAGCTTAAAGCCAGAAAGAGTCAAAACATCGGGGTTGTCCGAACCACCGGCAACCCTGACCGGAAGCGCTGACGCGGCAGAGTAGAGGGTAATGTCGTCGCGTCGTGGTGGCATACAGAGAATGGTGACGGCTTGGTGGACGCTGTAGTCCGGTACCCAGGACGGGAGGCCCTGAATTTCGCGGAGACTCTGGTCCTCGACCCCGGAAAGCACGTCAAGTGATCCTTGATTGATGAGGTAGCGGGTCACATCTCGAAACACCTGGGGTGCCGCCTTCTCGTAGGTGGGGACAAGCAGGCTGGGGGTCGGCGTATCGCTGTGCCCTCGGTGGAGGTTCACTAGGGCAAAGATCTTGTCCTGGGGCCGCGTCGACTTGAATATCCTTGTGGACGCCAAGAGGAGCTCGAGGCTTTGGGGCTGCTTAAGGTGGTGTCGAATGTGGCAGTTCTTCAGGGCGGTGATGGCCTTGAATTTTCCTGGGACGCTGTACGTATCGTGCAGTCGGGTGTCCCATCGGGAATTTGCTACAAAGGTGGCCCCAAACGCGAGAGTGCTGAAAGGGAGCATGAGAAGGCCTGAAAACATGTACGTCATGCCGGCGGCGGCTACTTCTTGGATGATCCAGGCACGCTGGAAGACGGGCTTCGAGACAAAGTGCATCAGGGATTCCCACTTTTGGGATGGGAACGGGGGCAGATTGTGGGCTTGGGTGAAGAGTGGGTTGAGCAGATCCTCGCTCAAAGGGTACGTCGCCGCAGCTGGCCCCGCGCGGGCCTTCTCGAGGTTGGAGAGGGCAAAGAAGAGGTCCATGGCGTTTTCCGTGTCCTTGTCGGGCTCGCCGATCCAGAGCACGTCCCTGGCGGCGCGGGCGTAGATTTCGTACATGTGCTGAACCTGCTGGGTGCGCTCGCCGGCGCCCTCGCTGGTCTGGTTGATGCAGATTTGGTCGATCCAGAGGAGCCGCGCCATCTTGGTGCAGCGGTAGTTTTGCAAAAAGTTCCACACGTTATAGCTGACGCGGAGGCAGCGGCCGTTGACGAGAATGGGGAGGGAGACGTCGGGCTGGGTCTCGTCGGTCCACGTGTAGGAGACGGCGACGTAGGGTGGCACCGTGGCCGAGGCGAGGTCGTCGTGGATGAGCTCGCAACGCGGGATGTCGTCGCCTTCCTCCGAGAGGAGTCGGAGGAGGCGGAAGCCGGAGGGTGAGGAGAGCGGTTCATGGATAAACTCAGCCGTCTCGGGTGGCACTTGGATTCCGGTCTCACGTAGGTTTGGGAAGATCTCTAGGGCCGAGCGAGGCTCGGGTTCTTGTGTGGCGGTAGCCATTTAGTTAGGCCTGGGAGGAACACAGCAGAGCGACGACAGGGCGAGTCGTTGAGCGAATTCGAGGTACAAAAACTTGGATTACGATTACGATGGGTGGCTGGATGCAGAGCGAGAACGGAACTGTCGAAAGGAAGCTTTTCTTGACGAGATGCAAACAAACAGAAGAAACAAGATCCCGCTGCGAGAACTCATACACGTTGAACCACTCGAATTATATGAATGGGCCGACTCCTGGCTGAGCACACGGCAATGTTCCAGAGAGCCATCCTTGGCTGATGTTCATGGGGTCAATGTGGAAATACTCACGAAATCGCTAGTTCTGTCGCATCACGCTCTCATTGGCGCAGGCCCTGTACAGCGAACCGCACCTCAGCCCCCGCGCTAAACTCCGCCACTTGAGTTTGCCGCTTACGCCCAGTCCCAAGAGGCCCGAGATCTTTGTCGGTTGCTAGCTAGGGGTCAAGTTTGGAAAGTGGCAGGAAACATTGACGAGATAAAGAGTTCTTTGGTAGGCTTTTGGGTGTCGATTATCATTTCCTATCGTCGCCTCGCTGGATATGTGCCATGCTGTTAACGATTTCGCTCCTCGTTGAGATCCATCAATGCAATTTCGGCCAAGTCCTCAATATCGATTGTACAGAAGCGCGAGGTCGAGACCCGGCTCAGGGAACAGGGGATGGGTTTGCTTGACCAGGTCCTTTCCACCCGCATGTCCGGGAGAAGAAGAATGGAAAAACTCCCGATGGTACCAACCAAGAGGGGGAAAAATGCCATAAAGATCTGCTGAGGTTTGTAAGGGGGTCCCGGAAGTAATGGATCTTATGAATCTAGGATGGCTGGCGTTCGGTGTATGGAATGCTTGCAACCAGCCTCGTCATGTGTGAAACTATAGACCGTGCAATAACAGCCCCTCCTCTTCTACGCGGCGAAGAAAAAGCACTGGCACACCGGAGGTGAGACATTATCATCACACCATTCAACGCTCAACTTCGTGAGGTTTAGCAGCTATAACAAGAGCGTTACACCTTCGCGGTACCCAGAGTGCTGTGGGCATGGAGTGGAGGTGGGAAAGATGGGGAGAATCTGGGGGGCTGTGAGCGAGGTAGCACATCCCCAACATTGTTATGAATGCTGAACCATCCACGGCTCCTTGAGCGAGCCCTTGGCAGGCGAGCGCAGCAAGACTTCGTCATTTTTGTTTTGACTCGTTGACTCAGACGTTCTTGTTGCGCAAGAATATAGGGCCCAACGGCATCAATTCGACATGGAGGAACGGAAGCCAAGCTCTAGGTCTGGGTTCGCGACGGCGGCACATGTCGGATGTCGGCAGAGACGGTCGATATCTTCTCTTGGGATCAACGTATTGTTTTCAGCGAGGGACAATGTCGTGCATGGAAACAGAAGAGACAGAGCTTGGATGTAGGACAAGGTGAACAGGAGCTGGCGCCACCATCGGCCCCCACCACTCGTCTCTTCAACTGCTGCGTTCTACTCCTCGAGTCTAGATCAATAGTCCTAGTGTTTGCACCCTCCGTGTTTTGTGATGTCATACGGATGCTAAAAGCAAGTGTAAGCTCAGAGAGCATGGCGTGCATATGCATGAGCGGCGAACCTCGAAACCAAATTATAAACCGGGATACAGGAATAGAGATGCAAGGTGTACAGGCCTTTTGTTTCTGCATGTTTTACGAGAGGGATGAAACCTGTTGGGGTTGGTTTGCATGCATAATCGATGGCTAGGCCAAAGTGCTGACGATCGTGATGCCCCTCTATAATTGCACTTCTGAATCATTCGCCCTTTTTCTGGATGACGGCCCCAAGGAACCGATGCAGCGACTTGAAGTGAGTTTAACCCCATCTAGGCAAGTTTCTTTTTCTCTTTTTTTCTTTTTAAAAAAGTCCAGGCGCCTTTTCTGGCTCTTGGCCTTGGCAAGTCCCTTCTACGCCCACAAGGATAGCTAAGCTCTGTCAACTTCGATAGACCCTTACTATTGCGCGGAGGAACACGAGACTACCGAAGCTGAGGGTTTGGCTCCTGAAAACATCCGTACCCTTTGCAAACAAGTCCTCCGGCTGCTAAAACCGCCGGACCCGTTCGGCCCCTCCTGCCCGCCGTTCGACGGTTCGACCAGGCACGCACGGTTAGCCGTATCATCTTCAAAGATTGGAAAAGGCTTATTTTCTCCATGTTCCATGTCCCCAAAACTCTCTCTGTCTGTGCGTTTGCGTTCGGACAGGGGCTGTCTCGTCTCGTCTCCTCTGCCGGTTCTCGCCTTGCCACGCCGTGCACCACGAGTGAACAACGCGCCGCGAGTAAGTCAGTGGGGGATCTCTACGAGGCTGGGAAACTAGGCATGGTACATAGCATGCAGCACAACTGCACTATTCTTACATGCATTCCGAAGAAGGGGCCAAGAGCACGAGCTAGGACCCTGTAGTTATACTGGGTGATTCCCTCGTCATCTCTCACCGACGAGTCCTGACGAACCAAGGGCAGGGAAAGGAAAAGAAAAGAAAGGGGAAGGAAAAAAAGAAATTATGCTGCCCTGTGAGGAGGAAAGGGTCCTGGTTGATGGCTTGCTCCGGGTACATTCACCTTCAGCTCCCTCGCCTGTTGGATATAGTTCACCCGCCTCCGTGGGTCTAATAGACCAAGCTTGATATCTGCTCGATGTGATACACCTCAACCGGGTGCATTGCGGGTGGGTGCATTGCACACCCACACCCCTCCACAGCTCCTTAGATCGTGAACACTAAGGTCGTCATCGGCCTCACCTAGCAGCTTGCTTGGCCTCCTACGGCCTTACCATTCCATGGATATGGCGGTGACTAGACATGGACCTTTTAGTTGACTCAGTTGTCCCACGGCCTTGCCTAGTGGGACTTAGAAATTGCCTTTTACCTGAATCCAGTCGACTTTGGGATCAATAACTTACCAGGCCTCTCCCTCTCTTGCTCTCTCTCTCTCACCCCCTATTCTGCTTGTTAGGGTATTCGCCTTCGACTTTTCTAGTACGCCCGGTCTAGATCTTGTCGCATCTCCCACCCTCCTGACATCACCGGTCACTGCCAGTGATAGACGCGTCGACCAATTTCTGAGACCTACACGCCACTTGTACCCATGTGCATGTGTACCGCTTATGATATATGTCTGAGATATGCGGCAATGGATGAGGGAATGCAAGGCCGAGACTCGCGCAGGACGAGCTTCATCACTGTTCAAAATCCCCAATCCTTGTGTAGCAGATTCTGTTCCGCTGGGTCGGGAATCCAACCCCTGTATTCCCCAACTCTAACCCCCTTCTTTCTCTTCATGTTCTGCCGCGGCGCCCTCCGTATCAAAGAGGCGTACACAATATTTTCCTCACCAACGAGCAAGCCGGATAGACTCAGCACCAATTCGGAGCTATCCAGCGGTTGCGTTGCTCACCTACTTTTGGCGGTGACATATGAGTGAACCTTTGCTTCTTGAAGGCTCCCATGGCAATGGCAGTTACCAAGGTACAGGGGCCGAATGGCCTCCAAGGCTAGCTCTGTCTCGCGGTATCCATCCTGATGGAGCAACTAGGTTGTCTCTTTATAACCAGAACCTACGTGTACGTCTAGAGATCACAAAGGTTCTAAATCCAACCGCCTAGACTTGTTCTATGCGAGACGGATTGCGCAACATTTGGTCCGATGACATCTTTCATCCCTCGGAGCCCTACTCGACCCCACGCAGCCGAGCTTATTGAACTGGCGATTCCCTCCGGCACGACATATCGAGATGGCGGTGTTGAGCCCCCGCTTTTCGCGTTGACGCCGGAAAAAGGTCCTTGCCGACCAGTGTCTCAGCCAAGAGACAGCGACCCTAATTGGGACCAGCCAGGGCGGTAAAGCACCCATGGCTCCATGTGTGGTTCATACATAGTGTATAGCTTTAACAAGAAAGATCTTGAGGTAGCAGCTGGCGTGCACCGGGGTGGCATCTCCAATTATCCCTGTTTAGTACTTTTTTCCTCGTCTCTGTCCGGCTTTCGTCCGCCATGGCATCACCGTGAACCTTTAAGCGCACGTCTCAGTACAAAAATGCAAACGTTTACCTACCATTGTTTCAGAGATAGAGCCTGACCTTTTGGCACAGAGCCGCCATCGTTTTTTTCCTGCCCCAACCCTTGCTCTTCAGAGCCCTCCATGTCTCAAAAATGCGGGTTTAGCCTCACTCTACCCCAAGGACTTTTTAAATCTGAAAAGCAAGGTGGCGTAGAGCTAGTCCTGGAATCAGTATTCGAATTAGCCTTGGCGCACGAGTAGAGAGATGTTGAAAGATCAAGATGTGTGTGCCGGCCTAAGATATGTGCTCTTTCTACACTTACAACTCCCTGTAAGGGGCGAAGTGGGAAGCGACGTACTTGCGTTGTTTGAGACAGAGAGACACCAGTGAGCGGGCTGCAGTTCGGAAGGAGAGAGAGGTTGTTTGCACCCAAGGTAGGTCTACGGGACGTATAGATGGACCGTGTAACTTGACGTCACGTATGCCCTCATGGGTTTGGGCAGCCAGGAGCTGGATCTTGAATATAAAAGGACGTCCTCCTCGCCTCCTTTGAGTTGAGAAGTTTTACCCCGGCATCCATCCATCACCATCATCACTAAACATTACTTCCCACTCACCGTAGCAAAACAACTTCCAAGTCCTCTCATCTTTCCCAACCATCCAACATGCGTTTCTCCATCCTCAAGACCGCCACCGCTGCCCTGGCCTTCATCGGCGGTGCCCAAGCCGTCATCAAGCACGATGAGCTCGTTGATCGAATCAAGTCCTTGGCCGATAAGACCGAGGCCCTTGCCAAGCCCGCTGAGGCGGTCACCCTTGCCGACCTTTCCAGCTTCGCCACTGGCAAGGGCCCCGTTGCCGTAAGAAATGCCCCCTCACTACCACCCCTACTAAGCCGACCTACCACCCAAAGTCCCATGTGGCATTCCTCAAGGTCTCCAGTGATGCTGACATATCTTCTTCAAAGGAACTCGTCGGTGGATTCATTGAGATTGTCTCGATCGCGGCCAATACCATTCCCGAGCTCTCGGGAGCAGCCAAGATCAGCAGCGATGCCGGTATTGACGCCGTCACCGCCGCCTTTGATGGCCTAGCCAAGGCTAGCAAGACCCTCTTCAACATCCTCGCGGAAAAGCTCAAGATTTTCGGCAACATTCCCGTTGTTGGTCAGGCCATCTCTGCCGTCCTCGGGGCCGCTCAGAAGATCATCAATGTAAGACTCACCCACTCCATGTATCTACTTCAAAGACCTCGTGTGTCAAGGAGGCAAGACTGAACGGGCCCTTGGCTAACCTTATCTTCTCTCTCTCTCTCTACTCGCACTGCAGGAACTCGCGAATGGTGTCATTTCACTCGTCGACGGAAAAGCCGAGAAGCTCAAGTCTGTCACTGGTGGCCTCGAGAACGCCTTCGAAGGTATCGTCGGGGACTTCGCCAAGCTCCTTGGTGCTTAAATTTACCCCCACGAGGGCTAGCGCCACGTGTGTTTGATGCTCCGGGAAGAGGGGCTTTTCGCAGGATTGGACAGGCCTAGCCAGCTCGAATCACCAAGGACTTATGGTTGCTGTTTGGGTTGCTCTATTTGCTTCGGGTTCCATAGAGGTGGTGGTTCCAGCAGCCAGCGAGCCAACGGATTGGGAACGCCGCAGTGGCAACGGAGACCTCAAAATGGGCTTGGTCTCGCAGGATATATAGAGAAGATTAATCCAAGCCGTAAAACTAAGGAAGGAAAAAAGCGTCTAGGATACCGTGACACTTGACTCGGTTCGTCAGTTATGTGAAATTATCAACAGTGATCTTGCTGCGAGCGATTCGACACGCCTCAGTCAAGCGCCCCCATCTCCATCTTTCATGTCCTTCCAACCACCATCTCATAGTTTACTAGCTACACGTAGCTTTGGGCTCAGCATAGCCGTGACGAGGCACCTGGATAGTTTGCGTAATAATGCGGCACATATATGATTGGATATATTACTTTATTATTATCTTATGGAAGGAATTCCGGCGTATTCCGGGCTGGCAAATGCCTTGACACCAAGACTATGTAACTTCTGGTGGCCATTTACAAACCAGCTACTGTCCCCACTCCTGTGTTATGAACCGGCCTCAATAGCTGATGGACCGTCCTGGTGAACCGAGAAGATTATGCAGTAATCTCAGTGTCCTTGGTTGCCTAGCTTTCTTTTCTCGGATTTTTCTTGATATATATTTTTTTAATCTTTAATTTTCTTTCTTCATGGCAAATACGTCGGGAGACTCATGTTTCCGACCCCAATTACAAGCTTAGACCTTGAAGTAGCCCTTCCACTGCTTCTTGAGAACCTGATTAGGATCGTATGTGCTGGCGGCGGCCTGGAGCTGGGCGAGGGCGCCAGGGCCGTAACGACCGTAGACATCCTGCGTCCTCTCCGCGTAGTTCATGTAGCGGAAGCCACCGTCAAAAGCCTCCCCGGCAATGGCGATCTGCTCCGTCTGGCTGACGAGCTGGGTGGCAGCATTGCCGACAAAGGTATCGAGGGCCTGATCAGCCCACGTGACGTAAGTGTTGATCTTGATCTGGGTAGCGAGGCTGGGGGACAAGTTCATGCTGTTGCCGCCATACTTTTGCATCTGGAGAATGGTGGAGTGCGCGACGGGCTGAATCAAGAGGACGGCGACGACCTCGGGCTTGTCGGCAAAGTTGGCCGCGACCCATGTACCGTAGTTGGTGATGACGTCCTTGAGCACTTCGGGGTTGTCAGCGGCGATGGAGGTATCCCACCAGCCCTTGCGGAAACCGGCGGGGTCCGGGTACACGTCGAGCATGGCGGGGACGGTGAGAGTGGCGTTCTTGTTCATGAGGTCGGGGATGGCTTCGAAGGGCTGGAACACGGCGGGCACGGTGGCCGAGGTGGGAGGAGGGACGGCGTGCCAGCGGAAGACTTGGGTGATAACGCCGCCGAGGCTGGGCTGGTACGCGGCGAACATGACGGGGTGGGCGTCGACGTCGGCGGCGATGCCGTTGACGGCGGTGTCGCAGAACTGGTCAACCACATCGGACGTCGACGCCGGGGAATAGAGCGACTCCTTGTACCAGATGTCGCCCTGGGGAATGGTCTCCAGGTCAAACCGCGTGACGATGCCAAAGTTGGGACCGCCACCGCCTCGCAGAGCCTTGTACAGGGCGGGGTGTTGGGTGGCGCTCGCCGTAACGACGTTGCCGCTAGCCAGGACAACCTCGAAGCTGCGCACGTTGTCGCAGGCCCAGCCATAGCGGCCAGAGAACCAGGAGATGCCTCCGCCGAGGACGAAGCCGCCGACGCCAATATCGCCAACGCGGCCGCCGATAGCGGCGAGGTTATGGGGAAGGAGATGGTTGGCAACATCCCTCCAGCGGTTGCCAGGTCCAACGGAGATGACAGATTTATCTCCGGACAACTGGAGTTGGTTCAGGCTGACAAGGTCAATGGTGACGCCATCCTCGATATTAGAGCTAGGGAAGGGGACGTGACCACCGGACTTGACGGTGAAGGGGGCCTTCCACTTGCGGATGGCGTTCATCGCCTTTTTCACATCGTTGGTGCTGCTCGGGGCCACGATGCAGCAGGGGCTTAGGCCATCCTGGCGGTTAGACCAGTACTGGTTGTGGGTGTTATAGTCACCAGAATTACGAAGGAAAACCTTGCCGGGGAGAGTAAGTGTTAACTCGAAGCACTATCTCCAGAAAAAGGGCGACGAATTGCCCAGAACAGTTAGCTTTGTTCTCAGATTCGGGAATGCGATGCCTAGCGGCAGACTGTTTCGCGCCTGGTAAGGCGGGGGAGCAAACTTACAACAAGGGCTGAGGGGTTGTGCCGACAATTGCAGGCGAGACAGCAAGGGCAGGTACGGCGGCCAAGCCGATGACGGCGGCGACGCCACTCTTGATGTGCATTGCGTTGAAGGGGGTGAGGCGTTGTGTGAGGCTATAGTCTTGGACGGTGTTAGATAAAATGTACCCCTAGATAGATTGTACACCGTAAAGGCAAAAAACTGGCGTTTTCTGAGCAGAGCAAATCCGAAAGTGAAATGGATGCCAAACGCAGAACAAGTTCTTCGATAAGTGAGAATGGCATGGCCCACAGGACCAATCATGGAGGGATTGAAAAGGTAGGGAGCTGCAAAGAGACTTACTGTCGGGTTGGTGGACGACTGCAGCGTTGCCTTTACGCAAGGTTCACGAGCTGGTCGCGCAGTTTCGGGAGAAACGGCGACTGATGGACGATGGGAAGAACGGAAGAAAAGATCCGATTCTATGCAGAATGGTTACACTGATGCAAAGGCGGGTGGGAACCGAACAACAGAACAACAGGAAGCGACCTTGACCAGTGGAGCCAGAACTTGATCAAGGAAAAGAGGGAGCTCTGGAAATATTTATAATTGAACTTTCAACGATGTCATCCTCTCTGCCTAGCTCCCACTCGCCTCCCTCTCCTCTTTGAGTAATAATAGGTATCGCTATGGGGGTCTGTTGGTTGCGGACTGTTTCCCTCCCCCGAACCGGGTCGTTGGGATGAGCTCGAGCCAACAGTGACAGGAACGAGGGGAGGGAGAGCGACATCATGTCCACCGATGGGACGACACGACGGGCTAGACTTTGCAAAGGGCGGGAGCGGGTAAGCTATGGGAGCTAGCCCCCGCCGACGGGGAGCAAAATGGAGCTAGATTAACGAAGAATGGCTTAGACTGGATGCGCTTGGGCAAGAAACGGCTGCCCCGACCCTTGCAGGGTGATATCGATGGTTGATGGTCCACTTTTGAGACCTGCTCACGGGATAAACGCCGAGCTCATGTGGAGATTCTATTATTGAGGGCTCTGGACGTGAGAGGGTGGCCTGCCAAAGTACTGCTAGCTGGTGAGCTGGCTGGTTCGGTGTGACAGGCGTCTCTTCTTTCTTTCAATAATTTTGGGCTTTTGTTTCGTTTCGTATTACATCATTGCCGTCGTTCCGTATTGCGCTTCCTTCTTTCACCTCTTTTCGCTCATTGGCTTCCCGCTCGCTCGTTCTCGACGAGGGCGACGGCCGTTATCGTTGGGCCTTTCATTCCCGTCAGGGTCCCTTGCAGATCGAAACACCCTGGACACGACAAAACTAGATGAAGAATAGCGGGATTCCATGGGGCATTGGCAAAAGTCACCAAAATCCGAAAGTCCGGGGCCCAGGTTGACGGGCTTTTGCATGGATTCGATTCGGTGCATAGTGTACCCGGGTTCGCCAAGGGTAGATGTGTCAATGTCCGATGGAGAACAGGACTGGAGAATAAAATTGGGGTGGTGAACTTGGCTGGGATTCGGTGCTTTTTTTGGTGATAGTATTTTTCTGGGTGATGGCGTTCTTTTTCCTTCCTTTGTTCCTTCCTCTCTAACCCAACTTTTACTTGTATTTTCCTCGTCTATGTTTTTTCCCGGGTTTTTTTCTCTTTTTTTCTTTTTTTTTTTTTTCTTTTTACTTCCAAAGCAGAAGGCGCCAGTCAGTGACTTCCAGGCGGTGTCCCGTGAAATAAATTGGGGCTCACTTGAATTTTGTTCCTGTCGTGTGCAAGCCCCCGTGGCCATTATCGTCCAGAGGTCAATCACCAGGCCCCTCATGCTTGTCATCAGCGCGCGTTCGGCCGCCATCCCAAGAATCACATCAATTCATTCGCAGCCCGTTCGTATATTGATTATCGTAGCGAGGCACGCGGCTCTCCTCATTCCACGCTTTCTCCTCGACGCCACCGCCAAAGCGTCGTGCGTCTACTTTCGCAAAGCCCCCGTTTCGTTTAGTGAAATAGCTGGAGGTATGAACGAGGCTGATCAAGACGGAAAATGTTGTCCACCGCCTGCCACTTATCCAAGCTACAAGTACAAGTCCGCTTAGCTGAGGGGTTGAGTATTGGCAAGAGCCACCGACCCTTTTCGATGCCCACCATCAACGAACAGGAAGGCGGGACTCGGTCCAAGAAATGTGGGCTGTCGTGGATCTTGGAGAATGTGATTAAAGCAGAAGGTGTGAGAGAAGGAACAGCCCGTCCCCGTGAGACTAGTCACAATCCGTTTCCACAACGCCCGCGTGCACATTCCGCATTCATTTTCTCGTCACCTTGAAGAGGTGATGTTGTCGAGACCTGATGTCGTTGCACAGCACCAGTCGCTGCTTGGTAAGAACGCTAACAGCGCCCACGACAGCCACACTTTCCCTCTACTTCCCCTCGCCGTCTCCTTCTCTCAGCCGATCGGTCAGGTTGGTCCGGAGGAAGGGGGAATGATTCGGGATTCGACGCCCAGCGCCAACAGGGAACAAGCGGCATCTTTTCCTACCTTTCTATTATCATGTCTTTCCCCTTCTCTTTGGTTGGGTTGGCATGCTCGTCACACCTTCGATATTCCCCTCATGCGGTACATGTATTGATGATTTTGATAATCGGCTCGCCAAATACGGCTGGATGCCTTGGGCTAATGCCAGTAAATAGCACCTGCATGTTGATCCAACATGTCCAACGCTCTCGCTCCACCCGCTCGCGAACCGCTTGGATGGCTCAAGCGGCCCTCTGCCTGGACTGCAATGGCGCGGGTCCTCTCGGTGCCACGAATAGCCCGCATGCACGTTGGTCGATTGGCGAATTGATAACACGGGCTGACATGCACAGGGTGCATATCCAGGCTTTTATGATCAAATCGGTCGTGGCGGGCTGAGAGAGAGTACAGAGCACCGCAGAAGCGAATTTGAGAATCCCACACTCGGGCTAGTTGCGCTGCCCTCAGGGAACCCGTTGCCTCATCTTACCCTCGAATTTGGACGGTGTATTTTTCTTCTTCTTCTGTCCCTTGTATAAGCCCCTTCTGAGCTATTTTATACCTACGAAGACCCGTGAAGGAGCCGTTAGCTATAGTTTCAAAGAATGCGATTCGGGAAGTGTCAAAGATGACATACACCATAGGATGGACGCACTTTGACGCCGCATTTAGTATCGATAGGCGATCAGACATATGCCCTAGGATCACGCTGTTCTTGCCGGCCGGAGTGGGTGTTCTTGCAGCTACCAGGGCTCTCAATGCTTGCACTCCCGTGAGGAAGGAATTATTGATGGGCGTGGTCCAAGGATTGAGCGGGGACAGCACCGCTGCAAGGTGCACATCACCTCGATTTGAAATCCAGCTCATCGTCTTTTCGCATCGTTTGTTGCCAAAGCGGTACCTTGCGAGAAAGAATGGCCAAAATGAAGACGAAATCGACTGATCTCCTCCCAATCAATTGGGATCTTCAAGTGACCCATGCCCCCTTTCGTCCCGCAAGGGGGTTACTGTGTCGATGTTTCGCTTTGCCCGCCGGAAGTACAGGTGCAACCTCATCTCGTCAGCCCCGACCACCCCCACCACTGTCCACTGCAGCAGCGTGAGGGTCTGGCCAGCCCTGAACCTCAATTCAATTGACCAAATCTCAAGTCGGTCCCAGCGACCGTGGTTTCGTCACAAATGTAACCTCACCGACCTCACCCTCGGGTGGGGCTTAATACCATTAATGATCCCGGATGGGATCTTAGCTTCGGGACAGGATCAAAGGAAGAAGCTCACGGGGGACAACCCAACGATTTCGCATCCCCGGAACCCGCCATCTCTTCTGTCATGAATTGGGTTCTTGCAAGCCCCTTTGCTTCACCTGGAAATAACACTGCATCTTCCGGATTTACGATAGCTCGATTTGTACGCCATATCGGCCATGTAACCTCGCGTGCGCTCTCGTGCTTGCGTGCGCGGGCACGAACTCGCCACTACCCCCATCCGCACTTGCTCTACATTCTCGGGATGCATCTTAGGCGTGCCGGCACCTAAAACCTTCACTGGATCCAGTTAGTCCGCAGCACGAGACCCACGGCAGCCAAAACGACAAAGAAATGGGTGGGGGAGGTGCGAAGGGGATAACCGTTAGTAGTGCCCGCCTTGCTTTTTCCTTCTCTACTTCGTGTGAACAGACAACCCTGGCGGGCATTGACGAAGCAGGGTGCTCTTTTAGGCAAAGGTGGAAGGGAATTATGTCCAAAACAGGGCAGATGCTCCATCAACCTGGTTCCACCGCAGAGCAGAGAGGAGAAGAGCAAGAAAGTTCCGAGAAGCCACCCTCGAATGTGACGAAATGGCGGTAAATCGAAAAACGCCTTGAACAGAAAGAGAAGGGTGCCGAAAGCCCCATCGATCAATCACGTCGCACAACCCCGGATACCACCTCGTGGGGTGAGGCTTTGGCTGCAGACAAAAGCGACTTAATGGGTTTACTTTCTTTCCTTTTTTGTTTCTTTTGGATCTTTCTCACTCTAGGCCCCCTCGTCGTTTTGTTTTGCACGTCATCACCCGTCCGGCCGCCCCCTTCCCGAATCACTCAAAGAACGTCTATTCCTCTGCTCTGTTCATATTAGTGCCAAGCGGGCTTGCACCACATGAACACCACGGTGTGATAGAGACCCCTGACGGTCCTGGTTATTGGCCCGAGCCTTCTTCACGGAGCGCCAGGCCATGTGCAGAGATGATTCGCTCTCAGCCACAGCCTCGACATCATCTAGCCATTTTCTGCTGGATAGAGGTCGGTCAACTGTTGGGCTATCCGTATCTTTCGATGTGATCGCCCTTCCTTCTCTTGCTTTTTTCATAATCTAGACTTGTCGAGGCAGATTAAGGAATCCTTAGGGCGGTGCCCGTCCCATTCACCGGTGGTCCTTGATACCAAATTGGGGCCTAGCTCACTCGAGATGCTAGGTTGGGCGCGCCACAGCGATAGCTGCGAAATCCTTTCTTTGAATGCGCTCCCCTCTTGCGATCCGTACGTGGGAAATCACCCTCGGGAGTCGTAGGGCCGATTCGGAATGACAGGCCCCGAGACACCTCCACACCTCCGTCGCCCAACTGGCGTGCGCAATGTCTTGCCCTTGCCCGCGCACGACCTGCACGACGGCGAGCCTCGAGTGGGGTATAGGTAGGCCGGTCTGCGAGCTGAATCACAAGGACGCACTTAGGTAGTGGGGAAACAAGTTGGCCATAGGGCGGCGCGGGGAGTTTTCCGCCCCATCTCCCTCGAGGGGACGCGGACTAAACGACACTGGCTTTTGCAATGTGACGGCCGCAAGGTGATTTCGCGCGCGCCTTCGTCCTATGTAGCCCAATCTATCGCCGCCCCTGGTCACCTTACTTCCACAGAGCGGTCAGGCCCTCTAATACGGGAAATGAGTCGAGATTGTGCTGGAACATTGACAAGTGTTGACCATGAAGAGTGACTGCGCGGGCGAGACGCTAAGCACGCGCTCCATGCACCATTCCCCAAGTTTGATCGCACTCCTAACGTCCAGCTGTCATTGCACTTTCCGTTGCCCGCCATCACTACGTGGAAAGTTGGTTCCTCGCCCTTGAATGCCCCCGAGTATGTCAGAGTCTCTAGACACAACCCTTGCCATTGTCGTATCCATCACTCGGGAATATGTATCTGGTGGTGGTAAAACTGCCCAGGTCCATACGCAAACATGAGATTCCACTCTCAAGGACGGCGATTCATGTTTTGTCAGCTAGCGCGGCTTGGTCTTCCCACAGACCGAACCCCTCATGGAATGCGGCCTAGAGGAGATCTTGCCGGACTGGTGGCGGGGGATATGAACTCTTGGGGTATGGGGTATCATTTCGGTAGGGCATCGGCAAAAAACAAAAGTAGAGTGGTAAGCACCCAGAGGAGACTTCGGTCGCGGAGGTGGCCCGCCCCGCGTTCCGGAGCCGGTAGGAACTTCGGACGAACCACGGGATCCATCAAGATAGCCCGCGCCCCCGGACCAATTACCCCCGCATTGCAACAACCAAGCTTCAATTTGCCGCTAGTTCCGGCAACACGAAAACACTTTAAAAGCGCTGCCATGATACCCCGGATTGCCTCTTTCGCGTTCATCAACATCCCAACTGGTTTGATCTGTAAACCACAACATTTTTGCTCAGTTCCCCTTGTTCGACATCTACAAGTCAGACAATCGTTCCAGCTCTTCGCCATGGCAACCATGAAAGCATACAAACTCGTTCAATGGGGCCAGCCAGGGGAGTATGTGCAGGTTCCGAAGCCCAAGCCCGGCCCCATGGACGTCTTGATCCGGGTCAAGGCATCAGGCCTCTGCCGCTCCGACCTGGACATGATGGACACGCAGCCAGGCCAACCACCCTACGCCACCGCCATCAAGCCTGGTTACATCTTGGGCCACGAGACCGCCGGCTACGTCGAGGAACTCGGTGAGCTGATCACCGACCTGAAGAAGGGCGAGGCCGTGATCCTTCACCACCTGCGGGTGTGCGGGTTCTGTGAGTACTGCATCGCCGGGGTCGAGCAGAACTGCGAGTTTTACCGTGTGGGCGACATAGGGGAGACGCGAGGATGCGGTATTGACGGTGGGTTGGCCGAGTTCATCGTCGCGCCTCGGTCGCAGATGATCTCTCTCGGAACTTGCGACCCCGTCATCTACGCCCCATTAGCGGATGCCGGAATCACGGCCTATTCAGGCTGCCAGCAGTTCGTATCTAGACTGCGGCCCGGCATGTCGGCGGTTGTTATTGGCGTCGGTGGTCTAGGATCCTTTGCCGTCCAGTTCCTCAAAATCCTCTCGGGTGCGCAAGTCATCGCGGTCGATAACTCCGAGGACCGGCTTAAAATCGCAACCGATGTGGGCGCGGATGCTACCGTGCTCTCCGGCGACGGCGCCGTGGACAAAGTAAAGGAAATCACAAATGGTCGCATGGTGGACGCCGTCATCGATTTTGTCGGCATCGACCAGACCCTCCTCTTGGCAACCAAGATCCTGCGGCCGCAGGGCCATATTTCCGTCGTTGGGATGGACGGCGGCTCGGTACGGCTGGGGTGGAACTACATGCCTACCAACGCGACGTTTTCCCTGTCGTTCGCTAGCACGCGCGCTCACTTGCGCGAGGTGTGCAAGTTGGCCATGGACGGCAAGCTCAAGATTGACGTTGACAGGTTCAGTTTTGACCAGATCCCGGAGGCGTACGATAGATTGAGGAATGGCAAGCTCAAGGGTCGCGCAGTGGTGGTGATGGATGACGCGTAGTAGATAGTCCCATATCAATGTAACACCATGAACCTTGTAGTCTCGGGCGAAACGTGAATGAAGCTGCTGCTTAAACTTGACTGGCTATCTCATAACCGTTGAATGCATGCATGGAGAGAAACAAGACCAAAGGATAGAGATCAGTCGGTGGGAGTTCCTAGTCTAAAAGTACGTTATATGAATCTGCGCCTTCTCCTCGATGCCACCCCTCGACAATCTGTGACTGGCGTATGGCCATCTCATCTCCGCGGGGTTTCTCACGTATGCACGTATCGGCTTGTAAGATTTCGTTTTCGGACGATGATCTCGTATTTCTATCGTTTCCGCCCGTAATACTACACCACCACGTTCTCGCTCTCGCCTGAAGTTCACGGCGGAGCCCATCGTTGCCCAACGTCTGGCCCTGCAGAGCGGCGGCCCGGGCGCTCACATGGGCAGTTGCAGCACTGGTTGGTCGTGCAAGTCCGGCGCTCCCATCACGTCACGACGGTGGTCAAGTTGCCGTTGCGTGCGACGCTGATGCGGGCTGAGCAGACCTGCCAATGGAGAGTTTGGTTTGACCTATGGGCACCCCTGCCCCGTCGTCCAATATTTGGTCGAAGGGGAGATAACCGTCGGCCGCCCCATGCCGTCAGACACACTCTCGCGCGGGAATCAATGCCGATAACCCTTTTCTTCAAGCCCCAATCGCCCCACGTTCAAGGCTTAGGAAATGAGCAACGTCAAATTGAATCAAGCGATGACCGCCGTCGAGATGCATCAGGTATAAAAAGGAACCTGGCCAATCTTCTTTTCCCCGCTCTCTGAGCGCTTCCCGATTTTTGTCTCTGCTGCTGTCTACCACCTTCGTCGGCCCAATTGACAGGAATATTCAGTCGAAAAGATGTCTGCCCTCGGAAACTGGTCCTTCACGCCCCTGGTGTCGGCTTTTCAGCCCACCATCCTGCCAAACGTGCAATTCTGGAACGTCAGCAACAACGTCGGTCTCGAGTACCAGGTCGAGGTTTCGTGGCCGTTTGAGTGGGCTTCTCAGGATGTCGACGCCGCAGCCCTCGCCATGTAAGTTGCTTTCTTCCCTTTCTTTTCCCCGCCCGTCTCGCGCTAGGCGTGAAGCCATCAATTGGAAGGCGTGATTGTGTGCGTGTTTTTGGCTCCATCAGAGGCTTACGCGCGTTCCTAGGTACGTGCTGGACGGTAACGCGCTCGGCATGACCGCCACAGAGGCCTGGAAAAGGCGTGGCCCGGTCGAGTTCGCGCAGCCCGACGCCGTCGTCATCAGCGTCGGCTACCCCTGACGGACTCGGTGTACAGTCCCCAGCGCGGCATCGACTTCCGGCCGCCCCTGCCCGCGGGAAGCACGCCGAACCCCACCGACCCCCGTCCGGCGCCGACGATTTCATCGCTTTCCTGGACAAAGTTTTGCGCCCGTTTATCCGCTCCACTGTCTTTCCCAACGTCAACTTTACGCGCGACGCGCTGTACGGCCACTCCTTTGGGGGTCTCTTTGTCATCTACGCCCTCTTGAACCAACCTGAATTGTTTGACACGTTCCTCACGGCCAGCCCGGCGATATTCTGGAACAACGGCTCGATTCTAAACGATGTGAGCCGGTTGAAGTGCAGTGATAAAAGGACAAGAAGTGCCAGAAGCACCCCAAGAAGCCCGCTTTCCGCATCAGCTACGGCTCCCTGGAGCAATTCCCCATCCGCCGTCGGACGGAAACCAAGGAAGATTTCCAGTTCCGCAAGGGCATCATTGAGACTTTCCGCATGACAGATAACTGCCAAGAGCTCTACCGACGGATCCGTAACAACCCCCGACTCAGGGACGTGATCTTGAAGGAATATCAAGGCCAGGACCACGCGAGTGTGGGGGCGACTTCCATCACGGATGGTATTGACTATTTCGCGGATTGGTAATAGATGCGATGCCGAAGGAGTTAGTCAAGCAGGGATGGCCCTTTTCTTCACTTCCCTGTTCCTCCTTTCAGCTAGTATGATTCTGGGGAACCATTGGTTTCAATGTTTGGTTGGTTACGCGCAACAACGCACGACTAGGTTCTTAACCTTGCGGCCTGAATAGATAGTATGATAATAGTAATGTAGCAAGTACAGCTCGAGTGCCATTCTTTTGAAAAAGATAAACTATGATTAAGTATGCAGCATCGCTTTTATCTTTACTAATTGCAAAGAGCGATAGTCTGTACACGAGTATGGACTACTGGAACGTGCAGCGCGAGTATGCCAAGACGATTCTCTATCGTGGGGAAGAGTGATTCCACCTCCTTACTTTTCCTAGCATAAAGGTATACAGATAAAGCAAACGAAACGCGAAAAGTGAGTTATTTACACGGTCGTCGCGATAGCTTGCCTGCTACGATCAGCGTGGATGCAAATAGTTGCGATGCAGGTTTAACTTGATTGGGAAGCTGGCTATGGGCATGGGCAAGCACTTGCATGGATGTGATGTGGCACAATCATCTCGAACCAGCAACTCTCAACATGCCCCCTGTCGCCACCACCCATATCGGGCCACCGATACTAGAATGAGAACGATAGACGCAAGACCATGTGCCTTATCAATTGGAGGAACCGGCGTGCCCCTCCCTCCCCGCTCTATCTACGCAGGCCACATCACGGCTCCCCCATGCTCGCAGGAAACGACCCTAATGCAGGTCTTCCATGATCTCAACGGCTGCCCTAGCGTCCTTGACCAAGTCCGCAGCTTCCCTGAATCCTTCCTTCCAGACAGCCCATCGTTCTTCGCTGAAACCCTTCCATGCCTTGTCGGAGAACTTGCTCCCAGGGGCGCCGGTATTGTCGGAGACGGCCACATTTTCGGAGCTTACACTCCGCAAAGCCTTGCCCGCCAAGAGGATCCAGATGGCGGCGTTTCGGACGGCCGGGACGTAGCTTTCGTCTCGTGGGCTGTCCTCCTCGAACGCAGAGCGCATGGCCCAGAGGGCGTAGAGGGAATAGTTGAAGGCGTCGCCGGCCTCGGACGGATTGCTCAAGGCGGTGAGGTGAGCCAAAAAGGCCGTCTTGTTATTCCAGTCCTGATAGTCCTTGGCAGTAGCGCTGGGGTCATGGATATCTAGACGTTTGGAATGTTAGTTCGCTGGGCTTGGCGCTCGGTCGGAGCGTTAATCTTCATGTTCCCTGGCCAAGATGAGGGGTAAAGGTTGACCCCCGTTCTGCGCACAGGACATGGAGGAAGGAAGAATGCAACGGAGATGGGGAGATGTGTGTGTGGGGGGGTGGTTGGAGCTTGAAAGCGTGCAAGGGTCGCTGGACGTATATGCATATCATCCAGTCTTATCTGGCGGGGCAAAAGGTGAAGGAAAGGACGTATTGATTGAAACGGATAGATGGTAGTTGAATCGAGCTTACCCCAATTCCACAGCTCTCGAGCGACCCAGCCAAAAGTGGGAAGAGATTCCCACAAGGCATCGCCCTCGACGATGACCTTTTGCCAGCTCCATTTTTCGGGCAAGATTGGCGAAGGGTCTGCAGAAAATCAACCAACCTCCCTTGCTTGTCGCGCGGGGTCTGGCCTGCGATGGAGAGGAGGGAGTTCCACGAGTCCCAAACGATGTCGCTCGCCTGCGACTCATCGGCGAGGATTGCGTCGTTGAGAGTTTGCACGAGGGTGGGAATAGAGGCATCCGCTTGCTTGAGAGCTTCGAGCGAGGAGACGGGGGCAGTTGCCATGTTGACGGTGTTGGGCAGCCTAGGTGAAAACGATGATGCTGGTCGAGGCAAAAGTCTAGCGATGGCGCGGAATGGCATTCATCGATAACGGGGGACGTGTATAAATGCGGAGATGGGAGAAATCCACGGCTGCCGCGAATTCGACGTCAGCAAGCGGCAGGTGGGATGGGAGATGGGGGTGAGGATTGGCGGGGGGATGGGACGGATGACGATCTCGATGGACCAGGGTCGAGAAAAGGGAAACAAAGTCCGAATTGCAGGGTGCCACCGCAGTCTGATAATCGAGACCACGGAAGCTCATGTGCTGGTGTCATTGGTCCAATTTGCCCACATCGCCCGCGTCAGGTTGAAAGCCCCCAGAGCCCATCCCAGCATCCATTTGCCCCCAACCCCACCAACCGCCGTCGCTCCTCGGCGGGTCCTTTTGCTTTTACGTCCGGATTTGGATTGTCGACCTTGAAGCAAAAGGGGATTGCTGGAATTGGATGGATCAATTGACACATCCATGGATGACTTGATGGACCGACTGAAAACGTTGCATTTCCTCTTTTTGTCTCAACTCTTCTCCCCACCAGCCCGCAAAAGCCCCCCTGGCGATGTCGCCGAGCTTCCAGAGACCAGAGGGATGAAGCGCGTGTGGTCTTCATCTTCTGCTAGTGGACGGTAGTTGAGCGGCACACGGGATTGGCTTGCAGCCTCCGCAGCGATCTCTCGGGCGCTAGCCAAACCGGGTACCGACCTGGCCAGTGTGGGATATCGAACAAGGGGGTCAGTTCGCGCAAGTCCCCGACGTCGATACCCTCCAATCCAGATTCGATTTGGGGGTGGGATGGACGCTCCTTGTCCACTACCTTATCATCCAATGGGTAAAAATGGGCAAAGATTGAGTTACTACCAAGGAGCTATGTGTGGAGCCAAACTCGTTGTTGGTGCGGAGGGGACTTTGGAGTTGAAGAGGAGTGTGTTTCAAACGGGATCCTGTCAAGTTGTATAGTCCTAAAGGCGACTATATAGCCCAGATAGCTCCCGCTTCCTCCATCTTCCCGATAATGGTCCTCACGCCCACAGCCTTCAAGAAACAGGATACCCATTCTTCATAACATCTTTCCAGCCTCCTCTCTTCCCCAACCGTCCAACCCTCTTGTCCCCCAGAACCTTTGTCGAAAATGGTTAGCTTCAAGTCCCTCGTCTTTGCCTCTCTCGCCGCTCTTGCGGTGGCGAGCCCTGTCGATCTCGACAAGCGCCAGGAACTGGCAGCATCACCTCGGTCAGGTGCGGAAGCAACACCTACTCCCGTTCTCAGCTTAACTCAGCAACCAGCAAGGGCTGCTCTCTCAACGCTGCCGGACAGACTCTCGGCTCCAACGCCTACCCCCACACTTTCAACAACCGCGAGGGTCTCACGTTTGCCACCGCCGGTCCCTATCAAGAGTTCCCCATCCTCACCTCTGGTGTTTACAGCGGTGGTATGTAAAAGTGCAGCGGATAAGGCCTCGTCATCTACTTAGATACTAACACGCATCGTCCTAGGCTCCCCTGGCGCCGACCGCATCGTCTTCAGGCCCAACTATAACGGCCAGTGCGTCTACGTCGGCTCTATCACTCATACTGGTGCCTCGGGCAACAACTTCGTCTCCTGCATCACCAGCTAAAAGGTGAGGCGCTTTAGCTGAATGCGCTTTTGAAGGGCTTAAGGGCTTTGGATGGCTACGCGGACGAGCTGCTACCTGGTGGATAGCGAACTCTGTATCGGTTTATCAGGGCAGGCCTTTTTCTTTCTCTTTTTCTTTCCTTCTTTCTTGGCACTTTGGTCAACTACCAAGTAAGAACTGTTCATATTATGTAGGGGCCTGTGGGTTGATATTCGCACAATAATTCTTTGTCTTGTCACGCTTCTAGTGGTAGGGGCACTTTTTTGAAAGAGAGGTGTAGCTACTGAAAAAGCGTTTCTATACTTCTTGGGCTCTCTTCTTGAATTCTAACCCGCATATGTACTCTAGAACTCCCCGTCCTGGAAATCCACAACGACGGCTTTCTCAACTAGACCGTCGATGCTTTGGACAAAGGCTCGGTGAGCTGGGTCATCCGACACATAGTAGTCACGGTCGGACGCCGAGGCAAACTCTACAACAAATCCGTGGGTCAAGCCATCCTAGAGATTGCAGTGTTAGCTGGCCATGGGTTGAACCTTGTGACTTTTGTTCTGCGGGGTGATTATCAAAGCACGCACCTGCAAATTCTCCGGAGAGTTGTCCTTTCCGCCCTTAAGGGACAGGATATAGGGCGAGTTGGATTGGGGGTTCACGCAACCTGTCTTCAGAGCAAGGAAGCGAGAAGCGGCCTATAAGGTGTTGGGATATATTGGAGTTAGCAAGCGGCCTCGTTCCCGATTTGAGTTACCATGGAGACGACTAACCGCTTTGACATCCTCTTGACTGATGCTCGCCTTAAACTGGAAAAGAACAGTGTGGGTGATGGCCATCGTAGACGTTTCACACAAAGAAACTCTGGAGATCTATGGGTGGTTTGCGCGCATATGGAGGAAGCAAACGGGGAAGTAGCAGACGACAAATCACCAGCGGCTGGTTATAGGGCTTCTCCGCACACGGCGATGTCGCTATAGGTTACTATTTTCCCCGTCATTCGAAGCTTAGTCACGAGGAATTAGCTGCAACCAGCGGCTTGACGCTAGTTGATGATTCATCAAACTAAATAGGCGTGAGAGGGTCGAGCTCAATGATCGCGAGCACCAACAGTGGTGCTCCAGTCAACACCCTCCCTAGAACCCATCACAGCCTAGATAACGAAGCTATCAAGGAAGAAAGACCCCACATCAGGATCAGTGCTAAATACAGAGGGGAGAAACACGCCCATTGGACAACAGTCATCTCGCGATGCTAGAAAACAAACATGATCAAGGCAAGGGATCCAGCCTTCTATCTCGTCCTCCAAGGATTCTCCTCGAGTCAAACGGAACCCGGATATGGCCAGGCTCTAATCTTCTCCAATGATGTACCTGTTATAATCGTCGCCACTATGTACATGTAGACTTTCGTTACCATCATCATGGACTTTTTCTTCCTGCATATATCAGATAGAACCGATCCCAGGTCCAGACGCTTGGTACGAAAGATCGAAGACATAGTCTATTTCCGCGAGAAGATTGGATCATAGGTGAAAAGGGTGGGGCTTTGTTGCTTTGTTTCTTGCGTCTGCGTGTAGATAGGATTGGAAGTTGACTGGCTAGGTCGTTGCTGATCCATTCCCGCACTCTGGGGCTGCCGTTTTGAAGAACTAATATCTACATTGCTGCTGATATTCACCGCCTCTCCAGTCATCCTTGTGTTGATCCGCTTTCTCTGTTCTATCGGTGCGTCCAACTTATCGAGAAATTTCTTTAGGTTCGCATTCTGTGTATTCAGCTGATCCATGATCTTCAAGGCAAGGCTACAACATTTTTGGGATTGCTCTTCCAGATTCGCCACAAATGGCTCTAGACGACGCGCTATCATGTCACTTATTTGTGCTTCCGTCGTCGATGTCAACATCAGTGTTGGAGCCCTCTCCCCAATCGAACCCTCTTTCCTGACAGAGAGCACAGGGGATTGGTATCAGGGGCTTGGGATATTACCCGTGACCGTGATGGCGTCGTTGATCCTGACATCGTGGTAATAGTGGTGTTATTGAAGACGTCCCCTGGCATAGCGAACATGTGGAGGAGGTTCAAAATCGGGATAAAGAAGAAGATAATAGGAGGGCAGAGCTAATGGTTTTCGTAAGGTGGATGGATCCAAGGTGGATGGTGATGGGAGGCAAGGTTGCCAGAATGGAACCCTTCCGAACTAAATAGTTGTAATAGGGTCGAACTGATCGGGGCACCGCCAAGGGCGGTGCTCCAGTCAACAAGTATTGCCAAAATTGAACGCATCGAGGATACAGGATGTAGCCAAATAGTAACCGCACCAATGTGGAAGGCACTAATTCATTTCACTAAGATCAAGCTCTTGGAGAGACGCGTTTCTCCAGCGTTGCAAAGTCCCAAAGCTCGCGTTTCGCATGCATCCTCATGATGATACGACTCCCTATCAAGATCCAAAAATAATAAAAAGGTTTACTCCCTAGATTAGAGCTCCTCTCAAGTGAGAGACAATTGGTTTCGTTTTCTCTTCACTTTATCGAATTAACCAGCCTGGGTTAACCGGTGTGTATTATATATGGATGGATGTAGAGATAGGGGTTATCTGGTGTCGATGATGATCGTGTCGTTGCGTCACTAAGCAGTCACCCCGCTGGAATTTGAAGCCGGACAAAAATAGAGGTGTCCATGTCCCCGCAATAGTTGAGCGCTCAGAACCAAGCCATTTGCTAGTTATCAAGAGCTCCATGGTCTGACGGTGTGTGAGGGGAGGTTTTGGTCTCAGCCAATCTCTCACTGTTGGCAACATCCGGTAGAACTTCTCCGGCAGACCACAGATGAACCCGGAATGACGACGTCCACACTCGTTGAATACAATTCTTCCTTTTTCTTTAGCTCTAATACAACGTATTAAAGACTTCCTTCCCCTCCTCTACGTCTATAGATATGACTATTCTCTTGTAGTTTTCAATATACTCTTCCCATTCTACATTGCTCCATCTATATTGCAATCTTCCTCTCTCGATCTTTTACAATGGGCGGTCCTCAGCAAATCTCTATGAAGAGAGACTCCCTCTTCAACCTCTCGAACCGCGTTGCACTCGTTACGGGTAAGTACGGGTATATACAAAGGGCGGAAGTAACCTCAGCGCTAACCTCGTCGCAATAGGTGGTGGTTCGGGGATAGGTCTCATGGCAGCCCAGGCGCTGGCCGTCAACGGAGCCAAAGTGTACATCACAGGTCGCACCAAGGAGAAGCTAGACACCGTGGTCTCCAAATATGGCCAGGATATCGCGGGTGAGCTGATCGCGGTAACGTGTGACGTCACCCAGAAGCAGTCCGTCTCCGAGCTGTACGACTACATCTCGAGCCGCGAAAATGCCTGTGCATTCTCGTCAACAATGCCGGGATATCGGGGAGAAGCTCGACCTCGAAGACAAGCCCACGACGGCTGACGACCTCAAGGCGAAGCTTTTCAGCGCGCGGATAAGTCCAACTACGAGGACTGGGCCGCCGTGTATAGCACCAACACATCGGCAGCTTACTTCGTCACCACGGCGTTCCTACCGCTGCTCAACTACAGCACGGAGAAGCACGAGGGCTGGTCAGGCATGGTGATCAACATCTCCAGCGTCAGCGGCCGCATCAAGACGGGACAGCACCATTACTCATACAATGCGTCCAAAGCCGCCACGACACACTTGACCCGCATGCTCGCGTCGGATTTCCTGACCAACGGGGTTCGGATCCGTGTCAATAGCATCTCTCCTGGCCTCTTCCCCAGTGAGATGACGACGGATGGGAGCGATGAGCAGCAAAAGAGCCATCTTTCCAAGGAGAGCGGGAGTGATTCTCCTGCCGAGAGGCCGGGCAAGGACGAGGATATGGCGGCCGCGGTTCTTTTCTGCGCGGCCAACCAGTTCCTGAATGGGCAGGACGTGACGGTTGATGGGGGATGTCTCTTTCAAAAGGTTGTTGAAGGGGCTACTACGTGACATGAAGTATCTATGTATAATTGTGATCATTTGGCGAGACTTGAGGGATCAAATAGGCAAGTAGGGCTACACTCGGTATCAATTAACTGTCTGTACTACAAAACGCAACTGAGTCTGAGCTTTTAAATGCTCCCTTTGGCGCATCGAGTTCCCCAACTATAGCGGCCTGGCTTTTGACCAAGTGGCTCTTGCATCATACATGAGTACTAGACGTATGGTGTTTGCTATCTGCTAGGGTGCTCGACCCGACCGTATTCCATTCTCAAACTCTTATCACTACCACCATCCATGCATCTTTGTAACTCTTAACCTCGTAACTGTTGAGGTAAATCTGATCGAGAAAAGCAAACATCAAACGCAAACTATGTCGTCCGTACTGTGCGTATGCCGAACTGGGGGTGGGCGTTGTTAACAGGGACCAAGGTTTACCTAGTTCCAAGACTGTGGTTAGTATTCTACCGATTCATCAACGAAGAGAGTTTTTTAAAGAAATTCGATCGTACCTTGAATTCGTAGCTTATTTCATCCCTCGGCCCCAATTTGTTTCAGTGTTGGGAGCCCCTGCCCCCTTGATCAATCACGTAAAAGGAAGGAAAAAGGAAAAAAGGAAAGAAAAGGAAAAGAAAAAAAAAGGAAAAAGAAAACCGAGGAGCCGTGTGGAGGCGTGTGCGTTATCAATGTTCAAGCCTCATCATACATTGCCTGGAGGTTGTGCGAATGATGGTAGCGAATGGGGATCGTCTGTTCGAGTTGCGGATGAACATGCGCCAGTTGTAGTCGGTCGGACCCAGAAAAAGAGTCTCCTCAGTCCCTAGATCCTTCCAAACCTGGATGATGAGCTCGACCCCGTTGTAGACAATGACGTAGTCGGTGCGGCAGCTGATGCAGCATCCCTTGACGGCCACGAGCGCGTCGTCCATGGCCCTGCGAGCGGCCTGGAGGAACCCGCCGTCCTTGAACTCAAGAGTACCAAGGTGGGGGCACAGACCGAAGGGAGGGAAGCGAGGATTGACGTAGTTCTTGACCTCGGCGGCGCCGTGGATGGTCCAGCAGATGCCCAAGATGTAATGGCCGTCGTAGATTCTGGGCTCCAGCGTGAGGGAGACATCCAACACGTGGGGCGCCGACATGAGCGAGACGGACCGCAAGTAGGTGTAGGGTCTCAGTAGCTGGGCCAAATAGAGCGAGTGAGTGCCGGTACGCATGAACTTGAGGGCCAGCTGGACGCGGGCGTGGGACGACTCATAGGGGACAGAGATGTCCTCGTGGATACGGTACCTGTCGAAATGGGAGCAGACGGGCGACTCGGCGCGCGTGGGGAGATCGTTGTAGTCAATGTTGTGCAGGACAAGACACTCGGGGCAAGCGATCTGCCCGGGACGCAAGTAAGCGAGATTGTAAAGGACCTTGATCTTGCCTGGGCTTTCGAGTCGGCCCCAGAGTCTCTTGCAGTCATAGTTAAGGATTCCGTAGAATCTCTTGCAAGTCTCGGACAAGTTGATCTTGTCGGAGAGGTCGAGCCCGTCGGAGACCATGAGCAAAATCTCAGTAGGGAGCCTGCTGAGGAGGTCTTTTCCGGGGTTTCGACTACATTGCCTTTGTCGACTGCCTTGCCTTTTTCGGCTGCCTTGCCATCGTCTTCCAGCTGCAAGTCTCCGACCCTGTTGGCCAACTCCTAGAGGGCCTCGTTGTAGGGGTGACGGTGAGACATCTTTTGACTAGCTTGGACGAGTGCAAGCGAGAGATGGGCGATGATGCTGGGGTGCTTTGCGCACGATATTTTGGTTTGCCAAGGGCTGGGATGAGGGAAAACTAGAGAGTGGGAAAAAAAGTGGTGTGTTGGGGAAGAAGAAGTAGAAGAAGAGAAGGGAGGAGGAAGGGAAGAATAAATAGGAGGGGGAAGGGAGTCATAGGTCATGGAAGGGGGCCTCGGTCGAGATGGAGGTCAAGGATTGGCCTGGCTGAGCAACTTGCAATGAATAGGAAAAGGCCTCTGCTATAGAAACCCTGGGTAGAGATTTCCTATTTTGAAGGAGGTGAAGTTGGCGATGATGGCCTTCATCTCTAGGTCCAGCGTGATGGAAGTCTGAAGTTGAAGGGGAGGGTGGGAGGGGGAGGGGCGGAGGGGTTGAACAGCGTGGTGATATCTCAGGAGTCTAATACGGCGATGACCAGAAAGTGAAGCCCAAGTCAAGATATCTGGGCTAATACGTATAAGTAGTATGTATCGAGTAGTTGGGAAGGGCTGCCTAGTGTGCTAGGTTAGCTTACTTTCCTCTTCACTTTGGGATGTTATCACTTTAGTCAAAGGCCTACAGGGTTTCAAAGAATTACAGTCTTTATATTGCATTTACAGCTGTTCTCCTTTCTTGTCTTACACTCTTTGAGGCTAGATGGGGGAGAAAGCCACTTTATGAGATTTGCTCTGCAGCTTCACGTGGGAGATAAAGGAATATATATGTACAGCTGGACCTACTCTAATTATGGGAACAAGTGTGGAATTGAGCTTATTAGTTTTTGGAAGAAGCTGATTGGTGTGGTGTCAGACACGTACCTCGAAAGAAGCAAAGAAGTCGAACGCTCTTAAGAAACGGGCCTGCTGCGACGGTTTCTCGACGCCGGGGCGGAGCTGGCGCGGAGCTAGTACGTCATTGCTGCCGTGATCCGGACTGTTGTCGCGTCCTCGCAAACCTTGTCGACCGCGACAAGTGGGGTGATGTGAGCAGAGCCAAACCCTCGGTGGCCAGCTCCATCGGATGCATGATGCGATGGGTCCATTTGGGAGAGAGAAAACCAGGTTTTGACCTGACGCTTGCACTGTAGCGGATTCTACTTGCTGCCGTGTCGCACCTTGAAGAACTCTGAGCTTTGGGCCTGGCATGTGATCCGAGACAAACAGGAAACGTTTATCTACCCTTTTTGACGGGCCTCGAATTGTCTTGTGGGTTGATTGCCCCAGACACTTTCCAAAAGTGAACACAAAAAGGCCTTTCTTTTCCCTTCTCATTCTCACTCCGTCTTCCTCCCCATCTCTCTGCTCCTTTTACGTCGAGCATCGCTGGACACAGAAACCCCGACTTTCTACCAGAATCTACGCTCTCTGCCTCGCGTGTGGCCACTATCCGCAATGCCCAAGCCAAAGTCCCAGAAAGTGGCTGCGAAGCGAACTCAGGTGCCGCCGATCGCGACTCGCCTCGAACGGACGGGCCCGGGAGGAAATAGCATCACCTTGACAACCTCTAATCTTACAAATGGCGACACTGATTCGGAGAAGACGCAAGAGCAGGATAATTACGTAGGTGTCCTTTGTCTCACTAGCAAACATGTGAAGGATATGTCGCTCTAACCAAACTCTCCAACGCGGGTGCAGACTGTTCTTGAACAACACATCCGATACTGGGACCCCAAGGGGGACGGCAAGATCACTCCGTTGAACACGTACAATGGTTTCCGAGGTCTTGGGTTCAACATCCTCTTCTCCTTCTTGGCCATGGCCATTATCCACTTCGCCTTTTCGTACCCGACACGGCTCGCCTATTCCTACATCCCTGATCCTTTCTTCCGCATCTACGTGCACGGCATCTACAAGGCAAAGGTAATAATTCATGAACACACTCCCCAGCGACCGGGCACCCTGTTTGAAAGTGCGCGTTTCGAGAGATACACAATGACTAACCTTTGACTCGCTCTCCGGGATTAGCATGGGTCAAGCACAGGGGTCTACGATAGCGAGGGACGATTCGTCGGGCAGGTCTTTAACAATATGTTTTCGAAGTGGGACAACGATAAGGACGGGGCGCTGGGACTCAAGGATCTATTTGAGATGATGCACGCCAACCGAGATGTCATGGATCCCTTTGGAGTATGTTTTCCTCACAGTTTCTACCCCGTCACTAAAGATGAGGATCTAGCAGGCTCCTCGGCTGCTGTCTTTCTAGTCACTAACAAAATCCCGCGTATTTCTAGTGGTGTGCGGCCTTCCTTGAACTCGGAACAACATGGCTTCTTATCCAAAAGGACGGCAAAGTCTACAAGGAAGATCTCCGAAGAGTTTACGACGTAAGTAGCTACTCCGGGGACCCGCCAAGCGTGAAGAGCGCTTGCCCTCATATACTCATATGCTAATGGATACACGATAGGGTTCCATTTTCTACAAGATACGCGACGATATTGACTCGGGCAAGGGTTGGGAGCAAGGGTTCGGGCCTCGTGACCTAGGAAAACTCTTTCTCAAGAAGATTGCGGTATCGCTGTAATGGACATGTAGACAGGGGACAAGCCCGACGCAGCTAGCAACTCTTGGGGAGCCGTCTTTTTCCTTTACTAGATGAATAGTCACCAGGGTTGTATCCGTGGAGAAGCTGGCACTTGGTCATGGCAACCTCTTCGGCCTGTCAGAATAAATGTTTACAAAGATGATTTGACGTACGTCGCAAATTGTGTGCGGCGGTCTTTGAGGTACCTCGGGCGTGGGTGAGTGGGGTAGCTTTTGATGAAATGACGCTCGACAGAATCGTACACACATTAATTACATAATGAAAGAACCGCCTTTGGTCAACGCCACCAGCAAAACAGAAAAGAGTTGATCCATTCTTGGGGTTTCGTCAGCGGCAAGCGGACAAGTGACAGACGGGGTTTTGTGTGCGCAGCCAAGTACTTGGCATGTCATCCCTAGGGCTGGTGAAGAAAACAAAAGAGAAATAGCGAATGGTGCTCCGAAAACTCAACCAACCCCTCCAAGAGTAACAAGCAGCGACAAAATAGAGTTGATGGGAGCCCAGCCCTACAGGCCAACAAGCGGTAGTACATCAACAATGTACTCGCAATCGCCACGGGCTCGGAACCTCTGGTCCTGGCCAACGGCGACACAGCTCTAGGGTTGCACTTGAATCTCTCCTCTCGAAGTCCCAGTGACTAATGCAACCACCAGCCAGCTTGAGCATCTTGAAGCGGGCTGCTCTCAAGGTTGCTCCTCTGTTGTCTCAGTGTACTGTAGCCCCCACGCCGCGCCAAGTTCCCCGACCACGGACACCAAAATGCGCCCTGCGCGGGGTTACTTGCCGAGCCCTGCCGAGCCTATCCGTCCTGGCGGCGGCGGTGTCGGAGCAAGTAGAAATGTTGGGATTAATCAATCAGTGGATTAGCCCTTCCTGGAAAGAAGAACCAAAAACGCACAGAGGAAAAGAAAATAGACTTGCTCCCCCACCCCACTCAAGCGAGTGATGAGCCTCAAAGCTGGTCATCGACGGATCTATATTGGCAAGGAGGCACTCGAACTAATCAAGCCGCTCGCCGTTCGACAAGACAAGGTAGCCACACTGCTTTGCCATGGGGCAGCCCTGCCCTGCCCTACCTTGTCCATAGTTTTAAACTGTCTTGAATAATACTCCAAATATTAGATTGGGGGCGGGGGCAGCTCGAGATCTCCCCAATCATCTTCACCCACCATCCCAGCGCCGCTCCCCCTCGTGCTCTCATGTACTTCGTAGTCTCTCGAGCGTCGATCTGTCGCGGCACAAAGACGCAACGGGGACCTTTCACTCTCGCTTGCATCAATCCATGCCCATGCAAGCCCATCCCCACTCCTCTTCCTCGCTTCGTCCCTTCGCGTGCATGTGCACCAAAGGGAAGTAGGTGCAAATAAACAGTGGTTTGGGTGGGCCCTCGATGTGTCTTTTTGGGATTAGACCAGGCTAGTCGAGTTGCAGCGCCAAGGGTGCGTCAACGAGACGAAGAATGAAGATGAAAAAAATATTTTCTCGGGTTTATTCCCCCTTCATTGGAAGGTATCAGGAGTTGAAGAGTCACCCTCCCAACATCACTATATCACCTGCTTGATTCCCCTCCTTCCCGGCAGATGGATCCCGGAAACAAATGCACAATCAAAAGTCGATAGACAGCACAGCACCGCAGGTCCCTTTGTAGATCTCCACCACACCCCGATCCTGATCCACTCCGTGCATCGTTTTGACGTAACGCTCCATCGTCGTAAGCACTGCGCGCAATGACATCCGACAGCGAACCCAAGGCGCCCCACCGCGTCCATGACGCCGAGACAGGCTCCGCCGACGCCGCCTTTGGCCGGGACAAGGACGAGGCCATCGCCATGGTCGGCGACCGGCCCAACGAGATCGACCCCGTGGTGGCCGCGCGCGCCGTGCGCAAAACGGACTTGTTCCTCATACCAGCCATGATTGTTGGATGTATGTGACCAAAGAGATCTGTGTATCTACCCTTCAGGTGCCCCCCTTCTTGACTAAAGATATCCTAACGCTAAACCCTCCTCCTTCCTTTTCATCCGCGCAGATGGCCTCGTCTACTACGACAAAGCCATCCTCGGCTCCGCCGTGCTCTTCGGCATGACGGGCGATTTGCAGCTCGCCGTCGTCGACCAGTCCACCACGCCCCCGACCGTGGACACCTCCCGCCTCAGCTGGGCCACCTCGCTCTTCTACTTCGGCATGCTCGCCGGTCTGTACCCCATGACCTACGCCCTGCAGCGCTTCGACATTGGCCGCATCCTCGGCGGCGTCGTCATCGTCTGGTCCGCCATCTGCCTCGCCACCGCCGGCGTCACGTCCTACCAGGGCCTCTACGTCCAGCGCTTCTTCCTCGGCTTCATCGAGAGCATCATCCCCACCGGCTTCATGTGCATCGTGTCCGGCTACTACACCCAGGCCGAGCAGTCCCTCCGCCAGAGCTGGTGGTTCAGCAGCACCGGCCTCTTCACCATCATAGGCGGCGCCCTCAACTACGGCTTCGCCCAGATCACCGGCGGCGGCCTTCGGCGCTGGCAGTACATCTATCTCCTCGCCGGCTCCATCACCTTCCTCTTTGGCCTCTTTTGCTTCGCCATGCCCAATTCCCCGTCACGGCCTGGTTCTTGACCAAGGAGGAGCGGTTTGCTGCTGTCGAGAGGTTGCGCCATGGTCAGACGGGTGTGCGCTGCACCAAATTTAAGGCCGGCCAGCTCAAGGAGGCCGTTCTCGACATCAAGGTTTGGTTGATTGCTCTCATGATGGCTACTGCGTAAGTGGTCCCAGGAGATAGCCCCGTAAGGGTGGTTGCGCGGGAAGAGCCGACCGACTAATGGACCATTTCTTCTATTAGGTACACGATGAACGGAGCCGTTAGTGGCTTTGGGCCTCTGATTGTCAGCACGTTTGGATGGAACACCCTGCAGTCCATCCTCTTCCAGTTCCCCCTCGGCGGTTTGTGTTTTATCGTCATCCTTGCGACTGGTTATCTGGGTTCCAAGTTTCCCAACATCCGCATCATCATGCTCATCATCACTTGCTTGCCTGTCATGGCTGGCTGCGCCATCATTTGGAAAAGCGAGTGGACTTACCACGCCGCTGCGCCCGTTGTCGGATATTCCATCACCGGTTTCTTCGGCGGTACAGTCAGCTTGATCATCACCGTCGGCATGTCTAATGTTGCGGGACACACCAAAAGAGCTTCATGGCAGCCACCATCTTTGTGGCGTATTGCGTTGGTAAGTTGTCAAATATCGTTATGAGCCGAGAAGAAAAGACCCAAGTTCCGATTTCTAATTTCTTGCTGTTTCTCTCCTGCACAGGTAACATCGTCGGCCCTCAGCTCGTCAAATCCCAGTCTAAGGCGGATCACTATCCTGAGCTCTGGCTTGGCTTGATTATCTGGTAAGAATCCATTTTCCCACATGCACAGAGAACCGAACCGTGATGAGATTCCTTGCTAATGAATGGCATTTCAAGCTACCTCATCTGTATATTGGCCTCTGTTGCGCTCTACTTTGTGCTGTGGCGCGAGAACAAGAAGCGTGAGGCAACCGTGCCAGAGGACGAGGCCGAGAGGGCAAAGCTCGCGTTTATGGATTTAACCGATAAGGAGAACCCATACTTCCGATATGTATACTAGACCAGGCGGTTGTTTCGCCCGAGACTGCTTTGACTACTGGTTCATATTCTTTTTTATTAGCTTAATTGAAAAGCAAACCCCATTTTGGAGCATATGAACTCGCGAAGAGGAGCCAACTAAGTGAGAATATCGGTGTAAATTAAGTTCACCTTTCTCCAACTCTTTGCCATGAAGTCTCAGTCAGGTGAAGAGCCTGATCTAGACCCATGCCCTAAAGTAGTCTAGCCGTGCTGTTGTTTCCCCTTTCTCTGTCTTCCACGCTGCTTCGGTGAACATCCCCGGGGCTTTTCCTTCTTCCCTAGACATACCACGCTCCCGTTCGTGTTTGGTATGTAGATCCTGCCATCCCCAAACGCAGGGCGCAAAAACTTGTTCACGGGTCCGGTTTCCGGTATAGCCAACTCCTCCAGGACCCCGCGTCATTAGGAACGGCCTTAAACGCGCGCAGACCGGCGGCCAGGTCGGCAACCCACACGATCCCAGTTCCCCTTTTGCCTCTAAGCGTGGTTACTGTCGGGGGTCCGATGCCCGTCGCGCTGGTCGCATTCTTGGTGCTGTATCCAGCGAGAGCGAAATTTGGCGTGCCGTCATCCAGGGGCTCGAGCTTGTAGGCGGCCGTTCGAGATCCGAGGGGTGTGAAGTAGACGTAGCCTCCTTCAAGAGGGTAGGATCCCACTCCACCGAACAAGGCCCCTTCAGCCTGGATGATTTGCACCGCGTCGTCTCTGCCATTGGGGCCATTCATAAAGCCGCCGAGATTGTCGACGTCGAGAACGTAAAGCTTTCCTTCTTTGCCGCCCGTGAGCCCGATCTGCCCGACGCCGCCTCCGGAGAAGACGTCGCGATCTAGGATGGTGAAGCCAGAGGAGCCAATGTCTTTTGAGCTACATTGAGCTCAATGTAGTTGTAGGGCTGGAAGTAGTCGACAAAGAGATTTTGCCGCGTTTTGTGATTTCGAAATGGACTACGGCCTGGGAGAGCGTGGAGATCGGCACGTCGCCGGCTGCGGGTTGATCGACGTTGTCCGCACCATCGCCGTTCCTGAATCATCCTTATTAGCGAGTCTCTGACGGCGCTTTGGTAGCAAAATAAAAATGCCACGTACCCGCTCACGATAAAGACATTGTTTCCAATGGTCGAGATACCCATTCCGCCGTGCCAGATTCCTCCCATTCCTGCGTACAAAGAAGAGATTTGTTAGCTCGGCTACGAACTATCACTTACTGTGACAAAAGCAAAGAACGAGGAAAGGCTGGTCTCACCTCCGGGAATGGTCCAGTCCTCTGTAACATCCGGGCCCCGGGACTCGCGACCACGGCAAACATGGATGCGACGCCGACGCCGGGGGTCGTGCTAACCGAGACTACCATGCCGGTGTAGTTGAAGAGCTCGCAGTGCCCCGCAAACGCGCCAATAACATGGCCATTGACAATGCTAACTGCTGGCCGTTGTAGGTATGTCCCGCCCAGGAAGTATCTTTTCGGCTTGTTAGTGTCATCACCACCAGGTGTTGGTGTGCGAACTCCAAGGGGTGAAGGGGAGACTTTTTACCTTGTCGGGTCGTTGTCAGCGTAGTGTCCGTCTATTAGTACGGGAAAGCCTTCCACGTCCTCTAGTGTATGAAGGTCGACGGCGTAGAGCGAATATGTACCTAGATCCCTCGTTTGCGAAGTCAGCAGGCTGTTATTGATCTCAAGCGGGAACCGGCCCCCAAGGAGAGGCTCACCCTTTCCCACGCCGCCACTGTTAGCCCGCCCTTGATAGCCCATTGAAAAGAAGTACGCAATCTCCGACTTGGGGTCAATCGCCGGTGTTCCGATGATGCCATAGTAATCTGGCACAGCCGGACATCCTTGAATGTCACTAGATAAGAATGGCGGTTGCACCTGCCTCTCACGTATCAATTTGCCTGTCGTCGCGTCGACGGTACGAACGACATTGGCCGTGGAAGCAAGTAGAACCAGTTGGTCGTGGCCCTTTGGAGTGAAAGTAAGGGGTCGGGCGAACCATCGTTCCTTTTCCCCATATGTGTTCTTCCAAAGGATCCCAAATTCATCGCTCAACACGAGTTCCGGCGATATGTTGTGGTTGTCCAGATAACCCTTTCGACCATAGGTAAGCAAGAGGCAAGTCGCAGTAAACGCAAAATACTATTCTAGGCATTACTCAAGCCAGAGGGCAAGACTTACTGACTGAGGCCCATCGCAATCTCGAAATTCGTCAGTTGGATGTTGAGCTCCGCATTGCAAGGCCCAAAGGGCCAAGGCTACGGGGAAAAACAGCATCGATAAAGCACTTTGGGGGTATACACAGTGGCTTTGCCGTTACCAGAGTATGTGAGAGGAATGGGGATCAGGTTCTACACCATGCAGCACGCAACATACAGCACGCAGCGGGAAACCGGTATATATGCATCGCCACATCTCCGTCACCGGCGGGGGCTGCGTACTGCAACAAGCAGCCTCCCAGGAGACAGGACATCTATTGACCGCCTATTTATGTCATTGAGACCCTCGGTTCTGGGTCCTGGGATCTGGATCTCGGGTCGGCGTGGGATGGCTATAGCGGGCAACATATTTACCGATGTCATTTTCCTGGGCGTTGATTTAATTCCCGGTTGTGATTGGCGACGGTCAAGCACCGACACTGCAAATGACATCCGCTGTGCCCCGGCGCGTTGTATGCGTCTCTTGGATGCAACTTGTTGCTTTCCGCGTGCGGGGTCGACGGGGTGGGGGTTTGCATCGAGCTCGCCGCGATCGCCCATGGTAGGACGCGCACAATTCCTTGTTTCTCGGAAAGGCGGAATGAATGTCTGGTCCTGCAGCCGATTTCAGGAACTCATTGGTTTTGAAGGCGGAAATCAGGTCAAGACCTGGTTTTATTAGCTCTGGCTACGCTGAACGGGCCAGGTTCGACAGCATCTATGGATCGATGAATTCCGGCATCTGTTCAATGCTGACATTCTCGGGAGGGTAAACCTAGTTGTGCGTCCAGGAACGACTCGCCCAAAGCCGGGACTCGGGTTGTTAGTCCCCGTCGGATCTTGGCCATCCCATCATCTTGATTTTCTTTTACGATAGCTTGGTTAGAATGTGTCGGTTTGGACAAGAGCATGATTCATGGCTATGCAATGCAAAGACAGTCGGACTATAAATTCTGGGGAAACTAAACGGGGAATGTTGAGTTCCCTTTGCCCTAGTCCTCCAGGCTACTGCTATTAAAGCCAAGTCATCTCTCTGCGAGAAGGGAATGCATTGATAGACGCGGCAGTGAAACGTTGCACATTACTTCCATCACGCATTACGCATCCAAAGATACTAACAAAGCTAGAGCCCTTTTTGACGCCATCCGAGGCTAGAGAAATATGTATTAGCCCGCTTGATATACCTATCCCCTTGATTTATCCGCAGCGCGCGACTAGCCCCTGTTTTAGACGCTACGAGTGTGGCTGAAGGCCCGGGGTCGCTTCCGAAGACCAACCCCAGGGTGCGACCGCCTTCCCGTCAGGAACGAACGAATGTATGCAAACTCACGGCGTGACATTTCTAGCTCTTGGGAAGACTATCCACAATACAATTCCGCGGCGCCCATCGAGGCAGAAGCGGCTCGGTTGGCGCAGGTTACACAAAAAGCGAATCCAAGCACCCTCGGCTGAATCGACGATAGGTATAAATCCGATACGCAGCGAGCGTCATCGCCAACCCGTATCTCCGTGTGTTGGTTCGCTCGCCCGTCAAAAATCCGGCCCTTTTGCTGAAATGGGCTCATGCATGAGTTTCTCTACCCGCCCGTGGGAGGAATCGTTGGATGCCAACAATTGGGACTGCGGAGTATATATATAACATCACAAGCCCCCCTCCCTCCTCGAGGCCGGGAAGCCCCGAACAGAAATCTCAAACGAATTGCCCCGGGTCCAAGATAGCATCACGCTATCAATTTTCCTCGTCATGCCTTCTCTCGTAGTTGTCCTTGCCCTGGCGGCCCTCTTAGCCCATCCCGCGGCCAGCGGGGACCAAAAGTCGAAGCCATTTTCCTACTCGACTCCGAACCACTCCTCCTCGAAGCCTCGGTGAAGGGCGTGACAACCATTGAATTCCAAGCCACCACCGTGTGGGAGGTTGCTTGTCCGACGGCCGCCTCTCCAGAAAACGACGCCTGTCGCGAGGCCGGCATCTATCCCGCCGAAGCGCGCGTGAATGGGTCGGGGTTTGGAGGGACGTGGGTGTACGCGGCCGATGACAGCACCACAACGTGGGAATGCGAACTGGGGGCAATGGGCCTGAAGTACCGGCCAAGGGTGCCCTGTGCTTCAAGACCATCAAGTCGAACGGCGAGGTCCGAACCGAAACTGTAACCCACGATTCCTGCTACCAGGCCGCCCACTGGGTGCCGCTCCTCATTACCGCCAACGCAGCCGCTTTGGGTCCCTATCCCTACTCTACAGTAACCTTGGAGGATGGATCGGTGACGACCCCAGACGTCGAACTAATCGACAGCATCTTCAACTCCCGTCTCGCATATTATGGATGTCCTTCTAGCCAATCCACCATGTGGGCGGCTGCCGCGGAGGCAACCGGCACAGCCTCTCCCGGATCGAGCCCCACCACCGGAACCACTAGCGCCGAGACGAATGCATCGGACGGTGCTGGGAAGACAACCTTCGGGGGCGTTCCGAGCTGGGTCTGGTATTTACTAGTGCCAGGTCTCCTCTCGGGGGTCCTATCAGCCTGAGATGTGATTGAGGGAGCCACCATTGTGACGTGACAGCGGGAGGCGAGGCGGGGGTATAATCGCTAGCAGTTATGTACTAGTTGTAACCTAATTAATTGGATCGAATATTAATCTGATCCCTCGGTGCGTTCAAGCGCACAGTTTAGTCTTTCCAACATGAGGTGGTCAGAGAGCTAGAGATATCCCATAAAGATATCCAGTGCAAATGAATTGACTTGCAAGGGACTGTCCGACAATTTGGACTCTAAACACTCGCCGAAGTCCATGAGAACATGGCGAAGCTCCCTTTGTATAACGCCTTTGAGATGTGCCCGTCCGAGTATTTGGTTTGGCAGAGGCCGTGCTTGCTCTTCTGCCGACGTACCCCGCCGCGGATGTTAATGAAACACACGGAAACAGTTGGACAATGTCCCGATTATTCGTCGGCTTCATTTCCCCACATTTTGGGTACCGGCCCAAATCACCTGCGGTTAACATCTACTACACAACGTACGTTCTGGATAACGAATGGTTGGACGTGTATATATCCGAGGGCTCCTAATAACGGAGTTTCTTTTTCCAGTGGCAATAAAATGCGCTTTTGATATACTGCCCTAGGATCGGCTGAAGCCTATGTTTCCTAACTTCGTCGGGGATGGCATGGGCATAACTGCCGGAGTGGAGTGCACTTCAACGAGTAGCACCTTTGACTACCCCAAGTCCGTAAAACTTGGAGTAAACTCTCTAGATTGCATCTTATCTCTGGTTGGACATCTTGGTCGAGTCAATTGCCATATGTCGATATGCCGAGCTGTCATTCCCCGGACGCCGGCTCTTTCCAAATTACGGCTAATTCCCGTATATCACCGGACACACCCCTGGAATCGCTGGACAAAAGTGTATCGAAGCAGACGTTAAAGGAATAAAGAGGAGCAATGGCCTCACCTTTCGCATTGGCGAAGGAGCTGAGAGGGAAATCAGGAACAACTCAGCTTCTCGTTCCCGAAAGCCGCAGATCAACTAAACCAACCATGCTCTACTCCATCATTTTGTCCAGTGCCGCGCTGGCCACCACTGTTTCGGCAGCCTGTGACCGAGCTATGCTCGAGGAAGCCGCTGCAGCCTATGTCAAGGCGCAGGCCGGGGGCGACCCCAGCCTCCTCCCGCTGGCGGACGACTTCAAATACATCGAGAACGACGCCGAAGTAGACATCAAGGATGGCGTCCTAAGCAAGGCCGTCACCATCGACCTAGACAGGAGCATCTATGACACGACCGAGTGCATCGCCTTTACCGAGCTCTCAGCTGCCACCAACAGCGAGCCGTACGTGATTGACACGCGTCTCGTCTTTACGGACGACAAGATCACGTCCATCGAGTCCATCGTCGCCCACGAGGGAGACTGGGCGTTCAACGCCGCCGGCCACCTCCGATGGGCTACGCAGGAGAAGTGGGATCCCATCCCGGAAGCTCAGAGGGACACGCGCGAAGTCATCCAGGCGGCCGGAGACGCCTACCTCGACAGCTGGGGCGACGGATCCGTATCGGTACCGTACGGCACCCCGTGCGCCCGGCTCGAGGGCGGCATTTACACCGGCCAGAGCAACGCCAACGGCAACACGTGCAAGATGCCCGAGTTCCCCAAGCCTTTCTCGGCCGGCAACCGCCGCTACGTCATCGACGAGGAGCTCGGTGCGGTGGACATCTTCAACGATTTCCCCTTTATCGACAAGACCAGGCCGGATGGGACGCCAAGCACCAATTTCTTGCGCGTCGAGGGAGGGAAAATTCGGTATATCCACGAGACGACGGTCTGTGGGACCAAGAATTGTGGGAGGTGAGGCGGCGGCGAAATTATTCCTAGCGATTGTCGATTATTTGAGGGTAGTGCATCGACAAAATTATCTTCAATGTTGTGTGTAGCGGTTGTTAAGCATGGACAACAGCCCCCGTCTTGTAGTTAGGTGAATAGCGATATGTATTTGCAAATGGTGTAAAGTGGCGTTCGGTGATTATTGTCCGGTCCTCTCTGACAAGCTTTGCCAAGGCGGGAGGGAGTAATCAACAATAATATCGGGATCGTGAGCCCCTGGCACGAACCGCCAAGACGACATCTATTTCTAATCTCGTCGCCGAGCCTCCACCTTGGCACCCCGCCATTGACATTCGACATCGATTGCGCTGTGGCGTGCTTGGCAGGCTTACCCCCGCGCTCTAAAATTCCCGACATCAAAACGGTGCTTGGCGGTCCGTCGTTATCTTTTGGGGGATCGTGGTCTCGTCTGGCGGCTTGCGTTCACGGACGAGCGACCTGGGCCTTGTCGACCAGGTGGCTGGCACAATGCGAGCATCTTGAGGAAGAAAGAAGCAGAAAACGGGACCGGGGCCGTTCTAGAATGATGGCATTCTATCGTTCGCCCTCCCACGTGCGGCGGTCGAAGGGTGAAGGTAACGAATGTCGAGGATGTTCCTCTGCTTCAATCACTGTAAACAACAACGTTCGGTCTCGAATGGACGGTCGGAAAGCTAGCTTGGTCCGCTGCTCGTGCATACTTCGTAGAAAGCCTAATCGAATGTATTTTGTCAATCCTCAAAGATTTCGTAACTCAAAACTGTCATCCAGCGGTCCCTCCATAGCAAGGTCGCTAGTCACAAAGGAGGAATAAGCTTAAAATATGTCTGTTTTCGGAGTGCTAGTCTAGACTATGTATCACGGGATGGGGAAAGAAAATAAACCAAGTAAATTCTCCAAAACTTCATTTGCAATTTTGTGATCCTCGCATAGTGCGGCAGGCTCGTAATTCCCCGGAGCTAGACGTCCAAGTCCCGCCAGACACTGGCTTTCTCGGATCGGCGCCTCTCTTTCGACCGCTCAGGTGGGTCCGAGACGTGCTCATGGCGATGTCGCCATCGACGCCCCGGAATGTCGCGATTGCGCTGCGAGCGCCCTGATTGGGCCGCGCCGGAATATCCCAGCACTCCCAGCACGCCCAGCACCCCCGACAACGTGGGATTTTTGGGGCCTGTCCCGTCAGACTGAGTGAGCTCGCTAATAAAGCAAAGAGAAAGAAAAAAACTTTTGGCCGTGGAGCGGACTGGTGGGTTGGAGCTCCTATCCTGAGCTATGATGCCGTCAGTGGGGGTTCCCCACAAACCAGCCAAGAACCCAAGAGCCTGCCTCCGGCCTCTCCCTAGTGACACACGACCGCCGCCACGGCATGCAGATGGGCCCCCCTCAACGGTCATTAGCGTCTGTGTTGGACGTCCTCGAAGTTGGAGTGGGCCGGACGAGTTTTGTAATCTTCTCCGCGACAACTAGGGTCCCGACTGGGTCGTTGATGGTGCTATCCACCGTGATACATTGCCGTGTCCGTGATATTGCGTGCGTGACGGTATGGCGGTAGCGAAAATCCCGAGGTGAACGCGCATCTCTTCCCTCGGGGAGGTACATAAAGGAGGAGCTTGCTCCCCCTCCAATCCCGAGAGTAGGAAAAGAAAAAGAGCTATGCTTGTCCTATCTCTGAAAGTGGAGAGCTCTACCGCGTCGACAAGTCCTTATTCCCCAAGCTTAGTGATTGAAAAATATCACCCTAAGCCATGGCTACCCAAGAAAAAGTGCCCATCGAGAAGGCGGACGTAGCTCCCGAGGGCACGCCTGGAGATATCAGCTCAGATGCGGGCGAGATCGCCGAGACCGTGAACGAAAAGGCTCTGCTGCGCAAGATTGACGGCCATCTTCTACCGGCAGTGGGCTTGCTCTACCTTTGTCCTTCCTCGACCGGTCTAATGGTAAGGTGCTCCCTTGCAGAAGAAACCGTCTGATCCGTGTTTGCCGGCATGGCTGTTAACCCGGCGAGCTGTGAATAGTGGGCAACGCGAGAATTGAAGGCCTAACAAACGACGTCGATATGAGTAAGTAATACATGTTCATGTCACCGTCCCTAGCCGCACAGGAGACGAAACTTACAATAGTGCGCAGCTGGAAACGAGTATCTTACCGGTCTCACCCTCTACTTTGTTGGTTACGTTATCTTTGAGGTAAGACACGCTGCGTTCGAGCCCCATCGCAGTAGACGATTGCGAATCGAATACTAACTTTATGTGCCTCCTGCAGATCCCATGCAACATCATCCTCAAGAAGACGACACCCAGGGTATGGTTGCCGACCCTAACGATTGCTTGGGGCATCGTCGCCACGCTGATGGGCATCGTCACCAACCTCCCAGGCTTCCTCATCGCTCGTTTCTTCCTCGGCGTCACCGAGAGCGGCCTGTTCCCGGGCGTGGTGTACTACTTCTCCATGTGGTACAAGCGCAAGGAGAGGCAATTCCGCATCTCCCTCTTCTTCAGCGGCGCCGCCCTTGCTGGTGCGTTTGGTGGCCTCCTTGCTTACGGTATAGGGCACATGCGCGGAATCGTCTGGGAGAACGGCTGGAGATGGATCTTTATCCTGGTTCGTACCTGTCCACGCCCTTTATGGAAGAGATGTCTATTGCAAAACATCTTTGACTAACTCTTTTCTTCCCTGGATGAATAGGAAGGTATTCTCACAGTAGTGGTCGCTGTGGCCGCGTACTGGTTTATCCAAAACTACCCGGATACCGCCACCTTTATTACCGACAAGGAGCGGCTCTTTATTCGGGACCGCCTTGCCTCGGACAGCGATGCCACCCTTGATGAAAGTTTCACATGGGATAACGTTATCGCGGCGCTCAAGGATCCCAAGTGCTGGCTCTACGGCCTGGGCTTCCATACAACCAGTCTCCCCCTTTACACCTTTTCCCTGTTCCTGGTAGGTTCAACCTTGGATCTCCTCCCCGCCTCTTATATGGACACCTCCCGGGAAAAGCCCTATAACCCTTCATGCCTCTAACGCCATACCTAGCCTTCCATCATCGCCAATCTCGGCTACAAAGCTGCCATCGCACAGCTTCTCACCGTGCCCCCTACGCCTTCGCATTCATCACGACCCTCACCACCGCCGTCGTGTCCGAAAGAGTCGGCCGCCGCGCCCCTTCATCATGGGATCCTCCCTCTTCGCCATCATCGGCTACGCGATTTTGCTGAGCAACAAGGATCCCGTGGGCAGGCCGGGCGTGTCCTACGCGGGTACGTTTTCGCCGCCGGCGGCATTTTCCCCGCGGTCGCGCTCGTGCTGTCCTGGCCGGCCATCAACATCTCGGGCCAGACCAAGAGGGCGGTCGGCAACGCCATGCAGATCAGCATCGGTAACCTGGGCGCCGTGCTGGGCACCCAGCTCTACCGCGCCAACGACGGGCCGCGGTACATTGTTGGCCACTCCTTTGCCCTAGCCTACCTTTTCGGTAACATCGTCGTCGCGGGTCTCTTGTGGTGGGTGTTGAAACGGGAGAATGAGCGGCGGGCGGAGATTACTGCCGAGGTCAAGGCTGTCGGGGAGCTGGACGACTGGACCGGGGATGCCGATCCCCGCTGGCGATTCGAGTATTAATTGTAGGAATTGTATCCTTCGGACGAGTATGCCGCAAACCTTTTGGTTTCGGACATTTCGTGGCACAAGCCCAGAGATGCATTGGGTATAGTGTCTGTGGATACTACAGCCCGAGAGATATCATGGTTCTACGAGTGGCATAAATCTCGTCAAATAAATCCATGTACCCATTCCGTTATATTCATGAAATAATACCAATACGATCCCCATCTAAGCCGTACACTCCAGGTTGAAGTTACAAGTAGGCATGCCAACCTAGGTCTATCCTGGTGACACCTCCCGAGTCGGTGAGGAACGCTCGGGACTACATGTATACATGTAAGTTTGTGGTGAAGACGATACATATCAATGAAACACCCCATGATAAATCAATTGCCCTTTGAAACCCGCAAGCCCTTTCTTCCCCTCGAGGAAAAGAACAACAAAAGAGGAAAAATGCAATTACCCTTGCCAACACCTCCAACACCTCGACTGATCACATTCGCCCCCAAGTATCGTGTATTGCATCATCGCATGTGGTCTTTGTGTCTATTGTCCAGCACGTTGGTAAGGGTTTGTCTCTCCCATGGCCCACATGGCTCAAGTACTCTTATGGTACACAGAGTCGTGAAGCCTTCAATATGAAAGCATCCCTCCAGACAAGCCGAGCGCCTCCGTAGAAGGCGGGCGGCAATGCGATGACGGTTAATACCGCTGACGGCTTCGGCTGCGGCTATGATGGCGGCTGCCGCGACTGGGGTACCGGGCCTCGCTCATGTATACTTGACTCGGCGACCGCACCCTGACGGTGGTGCTGTGGCTTCGGCCCCGGCGATGGTGATGGTGGTGCCTTGGGCGGGATCGCGACGTCTCCTCCGTGTAGTAGTGCCTCTCGGCGGGCGGCGGGGCTCGCTTCGGCCGGGTCAGGGAGTAGATGAGCCAGCAGATGAGGATGAAGCCTAGAATAGAGCCAATCACGATGCCGGCTATCGCACCGCCACTGAGGGTCGCACCGCCTCCGGCCTTGACCTCAGTATCGACGGGTTGGGCAATGACTGTGATGGTCTCGGCGCGGCGCAGGACGCCGGTCGCGGGGAGGGCAACCGTTAATGATGGTAGGGTCGGCATTTTGCTTGACGTGGAATCCGACAAGGATTTCCAACGATGAGTATGAGTTGTATGGGCGGGAAGGGTGGAAGGGTGGAGGGAGGGCGGCAAATCGACGGGAACTGTATGTCTCAGAGCGGAAGGGCCAAAGTCTTGGTGTCGACGTCTGGCGGATGGCTGCAATGCTGCATATATATATATATATGCTCGATGTTTAGGATATTTCCAGGGTCTGTCGGATGCACGACCAACAACCGCTAATAACAAATGGGTGAATCCTGGCGAGTGGCAATAGCAAAGGAAGAAGCGAGAAACGAAAAGTCCATGATGGAGAAAAGAGAACATTCTGCAATATATGTATTTATTATTCCAGACTGCGAATTCTTCCCAGCTGCCCACGCAGCGGGGAGGGGATGCTCCGGCCGACGGGCAAGTCGGGGCGGGCGTGGTGCTGGCCTCGATTGTTGGTTCTCGGTGCTGCACCATGGCGTCATGATGTTCACAATCGGCCGGCCCCACCCCAGCTCGGCCAACTTCCAAGTATTCGGACAACGAAAAATGCTACCACAGCCTCCCCTCTCGAGCTCGGACTGGCAAAGACTAGGTCGTAGAGCTGTCAGGGCCCAAACGGGGCTCGAATATTTCGTCATGCACCCTTTGAAAGGAAGAGGACGCCCGTGGTTTTATTCGCCAATTGGCTGGCTGTGGCCCTCGCCGGGATCTTGTCCTGCTTCAGCGCGTCCTGCTTTTCATCGTCCAGCTCCTCCGAGCAAAAACCCCGCCGCCCAAGCATAGAGAGGTATATTCAATCCCAGATGCCGGTTTCAACTTGTCCCCCGCCAGAAAAATCGGGGTTTTACCGGATTGACTCCTCCGGTTGTACCTCGTGGGGTTGAAGCATGCGGAATAAATTGCAAAAGACGGGCGATCTTTTCGATTTATATTAATGCACTCGCCAGTCTTCGTCGTAGATCACTTAATTCATCACGTCTTCTCAGGGTCTCGGGTCTTGCGCCTGAATACATCAGTGTTCACGAGCACTGGTTCCGACTATTCGCGGCTGAAGAGGACTGACTAGCTTGAGTTGGCGATCGAGACCAATGTCAGGCATCTCCAGCACCTTGAGGAACGAGCTAGTCCAGGAACTCCGCTTTTTGGCATGTAGCACCTACGTCAATGTATCGTCGCGATCCCCTTTTGTTTCTCCAGGGGCCTTGAGAGCTTCCACTGTGTAATACTTGGAAAAGAATTTTCCGTTGAATTCAATTCGAGGGTTTGGTCACCGTGGCCCAACTCGTGGCTAATGAGAACACTGAAGAATTTGATGAACACTACATCTATGCATGGATGGATGTATTCCTCAACTACCACCAGCTCCAAGCCATACATGGATCTATAGATAAGATTATCCATCACCCTTCAAACGCACTCGTCAGAGCTTTGATATCAAACTTCTTGTGCTTGTACATTTCTGCCGTAACCCTCTGACCTTTTCAGGGTCGCCGCACGTCATGTACTTCTCCGTCAGTACCCTCGGAATCACTTGCCAGGTGACTCCGAACTTGTCCGCGAGCCAACCGCACTCCTGCTTGGAGACGTCGCCGCCCTCGGAGAGCTTCTCCCAAAAGTGATCCACCTCGTCCTGGTCTTCGCAAAAGATTTGAAACGAAACGGCGGCGTTGAATCCCCACCCTTGGTCGCCGCCGTTCAGCCCCACGAACCGTTGGCCCCGCAGGTCGAAGTCGACCACCATGACGGATCCCGGCTCCGCCCCGTGGCAGAGAGCCGGGTCCTCGGGGAAGCGCTGGGTGTGGTGGATGCTGGATTTTGGGCCCGATGCGGGTTGGCCCGGGGCCGAGTTGAAAATGGAAGTGTAATGCTCCGCTGCATCCATTGCGTCTTTGTTGTTGAACCAGAGGCAGGTTGAGAGTTTGTTCAGAGACATGATGCCGGTGAAATTTAGGGTTTGACGCTGATGGGATGATTATGTGCAGATCAAGTTGGTAACGTTTTTGAAAAAGCTGCTGATGGCCTGGTGACTATTGACACGATGAAGGGAAATAGATAAAGAGCAGAGAAAAAGAGGATTACTCCGGCTTTTAATAATGTTTTCTGTCGACTCGCTTCTGATGCTTCGAAAACTCGTCGAGAAAACTAGGATGCATCAATCACTTCCCAACGCAACTGGCACGCATGCTGACCTGGTAGATTGATGCCTGGGGCTGATCACTAATCTGGATCACAAACTCTCATCACCATCAATATTATTCCTCGCTTGGTCCCTGCAATGGAGCGAATCATCCAGAGGCGGCCGGATCAGGAGGCGGTCGAGTTTTGGGCATGTGCGAGCACCGTGAGTGGCACTGCCGACGCTCCACGCCCAAGTGCACGACGCCGTGAACGCCACATCGAGAACCGATTCGGTTCGAACAAATCATATCCCTGGAGGTCTCCGCGCACTGCAACTGAGGCGCATCAATCCATCACTCAACGGAGAGGTACTCGACAAGGCACCCACGTCTTTCAGAATTAGTTCAAGGCTTAATTTTATTACAGTTACTTTTATTGTCGGACTAGGCGAATATTGTCATGGCAAATTTGGTTTGCGGAGAAGAGAAGAGAGACTGACGGAGTGGAAAAGGACGTTTCATGAAATACATATCTATGAACAAAAGAAAATCTTGAGCTTGGGTGAGAGTGGGTTTGCAAAGGTTCGGTAATAGGACAAGAGGGATAGGGAACAAAGCAACCCCTCTCAGGAGAGGAGAGAATCAGATTAGGGCGAGCATGCCCTTCCCAGTGGCCTTCTTGGCGAACAGGACAAGGATCCCGCCAAAGAGACACATGGCGCCGCTGAACATGGCGACTTCAAAGTACCCGTGATACCGGTCCATCAGCATCCCGTTGAAGGGGGCCCTATCAACGCCGCGATCGAGGAAATCGACAAGGCCATGCCCATCCAAGTACCCAGGTCCCTCGGATCCTTTGGACACACCGACACCGCGGCGGACGCCCCCGAAATGATCATGCCCGAGGTCAACCCAAAGAAGACGGCATAGACAACGATTCCGGCGGTGCCGGTGACCTCGTTAAAGCAGAAGATGACGATTCCGTTGACGAGACCGGCGATGGCCAAGATGTTGACCCTTCCAAACTTATCGGCCAGGATGCCGGGAACGATGCGGCCAAACGTCGATGCGCCGTTGAGGATGGCGAGCATGTACGAGGCCAAGTTGGCGTTTATGCCGCGGTGGACGGCGTACGAGGAAGGTAAAACAGCGGGGTAAACATGCCGACGAAGATGAAGAAGATGGCCGCGATCAGGAGCACGTAGGTGCGGTCCTTGAACGGTGCGGTCAGGAACCAGGGGCTGTTGCTGGGCGGCAACCGCGCCTTGATGGTGAAGATGGCGAAGATGAGGAAAGGAAGCATGATGAAGCCGATGATGCGCACCGACCAGCCGAAGCCGAGGGAGCTCCGGAGCATCTTGGACAAGATGATGGGCATGACAATACCGCCAATGGAGGATCCGGACACGGTGAGTCCGAGGGCGGCGGCTCGCTTCTTGTCGAAGAACTGTGAGACGGCCGTCATGGCGGGGAATACCATCAGGCCCATGCCGAGGCCGAGCAAGAGGCCCTGGGCGAGCATGAACTGCCAGTACTCTTTGCAGAGACTGGTCATCATGATGGCGAAGACGAAGATGATGGCTCCTGGCCGAATCACCTATGAAGGGAAGCTATGTTAGAGCAGGACAACAATAAACCGGGGGAAGAAGAACAAGGTGGAGCGCAAGAGTAAAAGGAAAAAGAAAAAGAAAACAGAGGAAATTTTACCCAGGCGCCATATTTATCAAAGATGGGTCCAGCTATAGAACCGGCAAAGAACTGAAGAAAGACGTTGAGCGAACCAATCCAAGCAATCCTATCGGCCGATTCGTGTTGTAGCTGATGGCTCATGTAGTACTCTTGGAAGACGCCAAACGAGTTGGCGAAGCCGAGCGCGCAGAAAAAGATGAAAGCGCCCCCGTCGCCACAAGCCACGCCTCGAGGCCGCCGTCCGGGGCTTTTTCGAGGTGTGCCCAGGGTACGCCTTCGCCCCCTTCAGTTTCTGCGGCCGAGTCGGTGCTGCCGGCTTTCGGGGGCAGCTTTTCGTCGGCATAGGCCGGTTTGGTGTCAGGGTTCTCCATTGCGGGATGAGGTTGCCGCGGATGGGGCGGAAGAAGGCAAAGATACGACGGTGATCTGGAGAATCACTAAGAATTCGCGGAGGTGAACGAGACGAGATGCTGCTCTCGTGTAAGGTGAGGAGGATTACATTCACACTAGACAGACCTTGAGGTGGCGCGCTATGCAACATGGGGTTGGACAAAAGAAGCTGATTCCAGGAAAATATATACTACATAGACATCCCCCCGCAGCTCTTCTGCATAGCGGACGTTATTGTGGCCCGCGTCTGAATTCTCCGACCAAGTCAAGGTCTCGAGGCGGGCATCGGAGATGACACGTTCGGAGGCGGCTTCCTGGCGGCTTCCTGGCGGCCATAAGGGCCCACTGGTAGGGCTGGGGGGACGAGTCACCATCGAGTATAACGTGCCATTCGAAAAACCGACATTTATCGGCGATACGAAATACGCAATTCGTCGCATTTGCGGCAGCAATTTGGGTGTAGGTCTGACGGACCGGTTTCGGATTGGTAAGGCGTTGCTCGGTCTCGGGAAATTCGGCCAATCACACCAAAGACCGAACCGAGTCGCTTGTCCGTCCTTCGGATTTAAGTACCAGTCCACGTCTCAATGGTTGCTCGTCTCGCGTCTCCCAACTGCATTGCATGTCTTCCGTCCCCTTGCTTGGCCGTCGAGTATTCACGCCGAAAAACCTTGTCGGACTAAATCTCTTTTTTGCCCTTGTTTGTTGTTCCAGGGGTCGCAGCCGAAATCAGCCGACTTTTCTTTTTTCTTTTTCTGTTTTGCGCATTTTAGCCCCCATACCAATCATTGCGTCCAAACCTGCATCCCACTTTGTCTCTGGGCCCCCGAGATCCAGATCGTCTCCATGACCGAGCCGGAACGCCGCCGCCGACGGCCAGCCGTGTAAGCAACACCGTGCATGTTCCATTCTTTCTGCTATCCCCGATCCCCGATATGGAATTCCTTTGCCTTCTGTCCTTTGTTCCTTCTTTCCACGTAGCAGTATGTGCCCTTGTATATCAACCTGCTGATATCATGAGGCTAGTTCCTGCACTCTCTGCCGCCGCCGGAAGATCCGGTGCAACCGGGAAAGCCCGTGCAACAACTGCCTGCGGTCCAAGAATGAGTTCTGCACCTACGAGTCCTTTGCCTCCCCGGGGTCGAGTCAACGTGCGAGGACTGGGCCCGGCGTGGGTGCTACGCCGCTGCGGCCGGCAGAGCCACGGGGCCCACTGGAGCCGCCAAGCCCCGTCTCCTTGGACGATTCTTCGGCCTCGTGCAAGTCCTCCACTATCCAGGCACTGCCGTCGAGGTCGCTCAAGGACCTTACCACTCTCAATCCTATTCTCCCGCCCCAAGCAGATAAGGGGCCCGAGATTGCGCAGCTCAAGCACCGGATCGACCAGCTTGAGCAAAGTCTCTCCCTCACCAAAAGAACCCGATCAAGTATCTCCCCGCAGGCCCGACGGACACTGCCACCTCGTTCCTGGCTGGCACTTTCCACGTTCAACATGAAGGGCATTCCTTTGGGTCCGCGGACATCAATACGTCCCGAAGTGTCATGCACAAGAGCCGTCTATTCGGTCGAAGCCATTGGGTCAATGGGGTCGTCATGGTATGTTGCTATCCCACTTCATCATCTGTACTAGTTTACATCTTATCGTAATGGATCATAGAAAGGTATGCGTAGCTAATCTAAGATCCAGTGGTTTCGGGACATTTTCGAAATGATTGAACCGCTGGGCCTCTCGGAAGGCTCAAAGGCGTTTATTACCATGCGCAAGTGCAAATCGCTGGCGAGGGTTATCAAGGCTCGCCGGGTTCCCGCCTGGCCGACTGCGCCGACGCCAGACCTTCCACCCAAAGAACTAGCCGACGCCCTTGTCGAGAGGTACCTAAGCACTATGGAAACAGTATTCCGCGTTCTGCACGTCCCGACTTTCAAGAGAGACTACGCCGCCGTGTGGGCACCAGATGCGAAACCCGATCCGGCGTTCCTCGTCCAGCTCAAGCTCGTGCTCGCCATCGGTGCCGCCTCTCACGATAGGGTCTTTTCTCTTCGGGTGCCCGCCGTGCGCTGGGTATACGAGGGCCACACGTGGCTGTCCACGCCCGAGTTCAAGAGACGACTCACCGTACAGTCCCTGCAAACCAATATCCTCCTCATTCTCGCCCGCGAGTTCGTCGGCATCGACGAAGGCTCCCTCTGGATCTCCTTCGGCTCGCTCTTTCGGGCCGCCACCTACATGGGACTGCACAGAGACCCCGTCTATCTTCCCAAGCGCTCGCTGTTCGCCTCGGAGATGCGGCGACGGCTGTGGAACACCATCCTTGAGCTCGCTGTCTGGACGAGCCTCAGCTCGGGCGGGTCACCTTTCCTATCTCTCGACGATTTCGACACCAGAGCGCCGGGTAACTACGACGATGACCAGCTCACGCTCGAGGACGCCACACCGCAGCCCGCCGATCACTTTACTCAGTCCTCGGTGGCTATTGCCCTACGGGAGACATTCCCCGCCCGGCTCGCCGTGTTGAAATTCCTCAACGAGCTAAGCTCCGCCGGCGAGTACGACGAGGCGCTACGCCTAGACGCAAAGCTTCGGGCGGCCTACAAGACGATGGGCCACTCTCTACGGGCTCAGAATACAGACCAGGGCAGCAGCGAGACGCCTCGCTTCGCCCTTCGCGTGGCCGACATCCTCATGAACCGATACTTTGCCTCCCTTCACGTCCCCTTTTTCAGCCCCTCTTCAACCAGATGAGCTTCGCCTTTTCGCGAAAAGTCGTCGGCGACGCCTGCCTACGGATTTCGCAAGCCCTGATGCCGCCTAAACCTATATCGCAGGCGGCCTCCGGGCCCGCCGGGGACGAGGCGGTCCCGTACGACATGGACGACAGCCTCACGAGGCTCACCATGTGCGCCTCGGGACCTTTCCGCATCGCTGCGACGTACTCGAGCCTAATGATCGCCGCCGAGCTGAAGCTACAGCGCCGCGAGGACGACAGCGTCAGCTCCGCGCCGCCGCGGCCCGACCTCCTGGCCGTCGTAAAAACTCTCTGATATGGACCAAGCAGGGCATCCAGGCCGGGGAGACCAACGTCAAGGGCCTCATCTTCGCCACCATGGTGAGCACGGAGCTTCAGTGCATCATAGAGGGTATTTCAAGGGACGACATCGCCCTGCGCCTCATCCGGTCGGTGGAGGAGGTTCAGGCGCTTTGCCAGTCCTTGCTGGAGGACCTCGCCGCTGCCGAGCAGCCCGAGGGCATGGCTGATGCGAGCCTCGGCCAACTCATGTTGGCGACGCCCCCGGATTTGATGGAAATGGAGGATTGGGATTTTTCGGTAGGTTCCCGTGCTCACGCCATCGCTCGGCAGATCTGCTTGCTGGGAGACTCAGCCCTCTCCCGTTCCGTTTGAATAGTCTACTAACCATGCCACCATGGCAGTTTCTTGATACACAGTTCAACGGCTTGGGAAGCATGGAGCCCATGAGCTGGATGTTTGGCGATAGCGCGCCGCAGTGGCAATAGAGAACACGATACCGAGTAAAAAAGCAAGACACGCAAAAGGGATTTCTCTCCCCATGTCTTCTTGGCTTGAAACGAAGACGCGTTTCGCCACTATTGGTTGAGGAAAAACGAAGCTACGGCATAGAAGGTATAATGGATCTGGGATCGATTGTCATATAATCTCCACTCTGAATCTCCAGGGTCGTAAATCTCCAATCAGCAATTTTCTTTCTTTTTTATGGTCTGGGTTCGACTCAGGCTCGCATGTCAATCACGATGTAGACGATTAGAAAAAATGGCAAAAACTTGCTTCTCCGGGAAGGAAAGTTTCGTGGACATCTTTGAATGGTCCAGACCCTCCCCTCTACAACGGCTCGATGGCTTCATGGGGCGATGTGCACCGACCCGACTATGACTCGCGGGCTCTTCTAGATTAAAGTGCCACCAACGGCCCGATAAGTCATAGATCTGGTCTTGAATTAATGGACAATGTTGCGCCCTGCAGATGCTCGCTCGTGCATCGTGATGAAAAGCTTAGGGTTAGGGTTGGCCGTTCGATGATTGATGAACAGCAATTGAACTTCCCGTGAGACGCTCACAAGCGGATCTGCACAGGGATTGTCCCGAGGAGCCGGAACCCAGCAACCAACTCCACTCCACCGTGATTAAACAAAGTTGTTGATCTACATGCAGACGTCGGGAGATCACCGTACCTCTTGAAAATCTCGCTCGACAATTCCCCTTCGTCGCTTCGTTATCAGCAATACAGGCGGGCGCGAACAGATATTGGCGGCGATAAATCGAGCACTTGCCGACCTACCCCCGGCCCGCACCGGATACCGATTTTGGAACAATCTGCAAGGATTAGTACGACGAAAGAAGACCGGGTAGGCAATAAACTCAAGCGGCGGCTCCACGTTGCCCGTTCCCCGTCGTCAGTCAACGTTGGACAACTCCCCTGTTTCGCCCATCTCAGCGTGGCGTGTGAGGTTGGAGGTAAATCTGACGGATAACCTCTTTTCGAACCGATTAGCCATAGATACCGCGCCCAACGGGAGAACGAGGGCGGCAGTTCACTGGGGTGAAGGGTTGTGGTGGCGCACACCTCCGGAAGGAGATGCCCGCCATGGATGGGGGAGGAAGGGCCAGTTGGGAAGGGAAGGGGAGGTGAGGTGAGGGTGAGGGTTTTGGACAAGTGGTTAATGAGCCAGGCAGGGGGCAGGATCCAAGGAAAAGGTCAATAATTCGGCGGAGATCTGTTCCCCGACTGGGCATCACGTTGCTTTTGCTCGCTCACATCATGGTTCCTCCCGGATAGCCGGCCTCGTGATTGGGCCCGCGAATTGAACCCAGATCCCATGAAACCTGCAGTGCGACCATCTGCAAGAGCTGAGACCCGGATTCTTGCTGTTTGTGAGTTCGTTGGCCAACCCTGGCAAGGTGGCCGGCATCTTCCCCGAGGGGGAGGGGAGGCCGCGATAATCATGGTCGCCTTGCCTATGTAGGGCACAAGTACGAAGTATATCTGCCATTGCGCGCTTTCGCCCCTGTGCCCCCCTTTCCAAACTCCATACATGTATTGTCTTAAGAAAGCGGACAGGCAGTTTAGTGCGGATCTCGGCCAGTCTTTTCCCCTGTCACTCGATTTTGAGTTGGTTTGACACATTGACAAGCTGCTCCACGGGGGAAGTGCCGCGTCCGTGAACTGAGGTCTCGGAATGTATCAATGAATCCATCCACTTAGCGAGGGGGCCAAACTCAACAATGCGGCTGGCTTTGGCCTAGCCAGCCAAGGCAGTCAGTCATGCCCTCAGTGACCCCCAGCGCATAGCGTACATGTAGTCTTGCTCATGGCGGAGGCCGCGCTAGCAGACCACATGCACGAGGTGGATAGCGAGGGCAGGGTTGAGTGCAGGGGCTATCAATGATTAGCGCCAGGGCGTCTGCAAGCCTGGTGGATGACCACGGTGGGCACAGACTGACCTGTCACCCCGGAACTGAAGAGTTGGGCCTGTAATATTGAATCTACAGTGGGCGAATGGAGTCAGGGTGGGATTTGCTAGACGCATTGGACCCAGCGCATTGAGCTATCAACGATGGATGGTTGTGCATGGCCATCCCGGTGTCGGTAGCACGAACCGATCCGATGCAAGATGAGCTGAAAACCAATAAAGTGCCGATGCGGAAGATGAGATGAGAGAAATATGTAGGTGAGAAGATTGAGCAAACAAGTGAGAGATCTCAAGAGGCCGCAACGAAGGGAGTCTGGGGCGGAGTCGGAGGCGGAGGTGGAGGTGGAGGTGGGTCGTTAGGGGGACGCGGCGGGGAGGAAGGGGAACAGCCATTGATTGATCCAATCCGATTGATCGAATGGAAGAATGGCATGGATTGATGGATTGATGGATACTTTGATGCAAGCCACCGTCGGTTCCTCGCGAGTGCATCACGACATTGATTAGTGCCTTTGGAGCCAGACTCGTCACACATGTCCACACATGGGCGCCCACTTTCAACCGGCCTGGATGATGTGCTTGGATAGTCTTTTGCTCGGGACATGCGCTGCACACCTTGCTAACGGGCGCACTCGATGTTTTTTATGGGTTATTTCTATTCCTATCATATTTGGTCTCGGCTCTCTCCTCTGGATTTATGCATTTCTATATCCGGCGACTTTTGGCATTGAACGAATCAGATATGGGAAACAATTGATCTTTGGGCAAGCCTTTAGCTCCAGCTGGAGGATGAGACCCCTGAGCTGGAAGAAGAGGCCTTTCGACGGGAGGAAGTGGCTCAGGAGAAAGAAACAGACTCTTGCTGTGAGGGGGTCACGGTGCTCGAACCCGAGGGCGTACAGGGGAATTCACCAGATGCGTGTATGTTAAAGAACAAAGGAGGACGAGGGGTGGAGTTCCGCAGCGGAAGACATGAGCATCAGTCTCCCCAAAGTCAAGTTTCTCTATCTCGGTATGATTACCCCCACCGAACAAGCTGCGAACAGACATGATCCTTGTTCCTTGTTCGGTCGATGTGCCGTGCTGTGCTGGTTGAGACATCGGTGGGTAAGTACGTCACCCGAAATTGGCGGCGGGATGCGCTCTGCCTTCGAGAATTTCGTATTGTTCTCAAGTGCGTGCGCGACGCAAAGCGTTGGTGTTGGTCGATGCAAAGAAAAGATCGAATTCATCGATCCACGTAGGCGAAGGGAGAGACATTGTCCAACGCCATTGTAACCACAGGATTGGTTTTTCTTCTTTTCTTTTTCGTTTAAATTCGTCACAGACTTGGTGTGTGCACATGTGCTGTCGTATCAATTCGGATACCCAAACATATTTCAGTCTTCGCCCACCCCCGTCGGTTCATCGGCATGGGGCTTGATCCTGAAGCAAGGCGAACTCGAGACCGGTCAAAAGGAGGGAGGCGATGCGAAGAAGGGAGAAAAATAAAAGAAGGGGGCAGAAAGAAGGGAGAAAAAAGCACTCAATTCCACGTCGACACAGGGCAAGTATCTCACTAGGAACGCCCACCACCAATACCGATACACACACAACATCGCCAACGATGGGGGCCCTCCAACAATTCCCGAGGAGCCAACAGACGTGCAGAACGCACAGTGTACGTCATGACCATAAGTGGAGATTACGGGGCAGCCAAGCGCAAAAGCAAATCTTCTTTTTTTCTCCCTTCCCTTCTTCTCGTTGCATTGGGGAGGGGAGGCAACGTTGGGCTCCACGTAAAGAATGAAAGAAGGTGGGTGTGGTGGGATGCCTGCGCACAGCTGTGCCTGTGCCTGAGCCTGAGCCTACGCCTGTGCTTGTGCTTGGGCTTGTGGTTTGTGTCTGTGCCTGCACGTAGACGCCAAAGGAGGACAGCTCCAAAATTCGGAAAGACGCAAACCTGGTTGGAGCCAGCCTGAGCTGGGAAAGGTGTTGGATTGAACAGGGAAAGGGTGCGTTACTATTCGCGCTTCACCTGCGCTAGCACACGCCCCACGCCCTGACGCTGTCGCTTTCTTTTGGAAGAGGGGGTGCGTCTGGATGGATCCATTAAATTGATGGGAGGGTCCCGGCGTGGGACAGTGGAATGAGTGAGTTTGACGGAATTGAGGGACCAGGGATCAACTAATGGGATGTCTCTGACCCATGGTTGGATCGGGCTCGTGCATGCCGACACAGACGAGACGAGCGAGCACCAGGTACGCCACGGAGAAACATATATACTCCGCACTACACAAAAGGAAGAACCACGGTGATGGAGCGAGAGAAGATATAAATATATCGCTAGGCCAGCTCGACGAGACGGAAAGCGTGAGTGGAATAGAACGGCGCAAGAGTTTATTTTTACTCTCACCAAGGATCTCTGTTAAGTGAGTCGAGGTTAGTCGTTTCGCCAAAACACACTAGCCATGTATTTCGCCAGTCTCTGTACCGTGCTCACTTACACAAGTGTAGCCCTTGCGAGGTAAGCTTTTCCTTTTCTCCTGTCACGGCGTCTTCGTGTTCCAGACCTCCCTCCCTCTCCTCCCCCTTCACCATGCCCCAACTCTTCACCCTTCCTATTCCCTAGTTCGAAACAAGACTCACAAGAAGACAAGGCCCTCGCAACACTTCGCACGGCACATCACCCCGTCCGGCCTGCAAGACAGCTACGACTATGTCATCGTCGGCTCCGGCCCGGGCGGGTCCCCTGGCCGCCCGCCTCGCCATGGCCGGCAAGTCCGTCCTGCTCATCGACGCCGGCGACGACCAGGGCGAGTCGATCCGTACCGCGTCCCCGCCCTGAGCCTCCAGTCAACAGAGTACGAGCCCATGCGGTGGGACTACTACGTCAACCACTTCAGCAACCTCACCTACCAGAAGCAAGACTCCAAGATGACGTACCGCACCGCCTCCGGGGCCACGTACGTGGGGCTCAACCCCCGCCCGGGTCCACGCCCCTCGGCATCCTCTACCCCAGGGCCGGCACGCTCGGCGGCTGCAGCGGCCACAACGCCCTCATCACAGCGTACCCGCACAAGAGCGACTGGGACGGCATCGCCTCCCTCACCGGCGACGCGTCGTGGTCCGCCTCAACATGCGCAAGTACTTTGAGCGCCTGGAAAAGTGCTCCTACCTCCTCAACGGCGGGTCCGGCCACGGCTTCAGCGGCTGGCTATCCACCAGCCTCACGGACCTCACCCTCGTCGTCACGGACCTGAAGCTCCTCCGTATCGTCCTCAACACCGCCATCTCCATGGGCCAGGGCGGCCTGCTGACCTGGCTCATCACCACCGTCGGCGGCCTGACGGGCGTGCTGCTGCAGGACCTCAACGTCGACTCGCCCTCCCGCGACTCCGTCCAGGGCGTGTACCAGATCCCCATCGCTACGGACGCCGGCTCGCGCTCCGGCCCGCGCCAGCTCATCGTCGACGTGACGGGTGCCCAAAACTCGGACGGCTCGCGCAAGTTCCGCCTCGACGTGCTGCTCGACACCCTCGTGACCAAGGTCCGCTTCGACACGACGGGCAGCAAGCCCCGCGCCGTCGGCGTCGACTTTTGCACGGCAAGAGCCTGTACCGCGCGGATCCTCGCTCGGGCGGAGCCTCGGCCGGCGTGCCGGGGTCCGTCGACGCCTCGAGCGAGGTCATCGTCGCCGCCGGCGCCTTTAACACCCCCAGCTGCTCAAGCTCAGCGGCGTGGGCCCGCAGGCGGAGCTCGCGGCCCACGGCATACCCCTCGTGGCCAACCTCCCCGGCGTGGGCACCAACCTCCAGGACCGCTACGAGACGACGGTCATCGGCAAGACGACGTCCGACTTCGCCGTGACGGGCGCCTGCAACTTTTACCGCACCCCCGACGACCCGTGCCTCCAGCGGTGGGAGGCGGGCGGGTCCTCCCCGACCCTCAAGGGCGTGTACGCGTCCAACGGCATCGCCCTCGGCGTCGTCCGCAAGTCCACGGCCGCCGCGGCGGGCGACGACCCGGACACCTTTATCTTAGGCGCACCCGTGGGCTTCAAGGGCTACTACCCGGGCTACTCGGCCGACTCGACCGTCGACGCGAGGCACTGGACCTGGCTCACGCTCAAGGCCCACACGCGCAACCGAGCCGGCACCGTGCGCTTGCGGTCCGCGGACCCGCGCGACACCCCGCTCATCGACTTCAACAACTTTGAGGATCCCGCCGCCGCCGCGCTCGACGTCCGCGCCGTCGTCGAGGGCATGAAGTACACCCGCGGCCTCATCAACTCGGTCGGCGGCTTCACCGAGGTGTGGCCCGGCCCGCAGGTCGCTTCGGACGCGCAGCTCAGCGACTGGACGAGGAAGGAATCGTGGGGCCACCACGCCAGCTGTACCTGTCCCATCGGACCCGACGGCGATGCCCAGGCGGTGCTGGATTCCAAATTCCGGGTGCGCGGGGTGGATGGGTTGAGGGTGGTGGATGCGTCCGTCTTTCCGCGGATTCCCGGTTTCTTCATCGCCGTGCCTGTTTACATGGTGAGCGAAAAAGCGGCAGATACGATTCTCGGTCTTGGTTGAGGGGTGCTCCCTTTTTTTTCCCTCCTTTTCCCCGCTTTGTTTCTTTCTTCTCCTTCTTTCCAAGTTTTCTTTTCTTCTGGGACCACGGGCTGGAAACTCGAAGAGCGGGAATAGGAAGCAAGCTGATGCGAGAATGAGCGAGAGGGACGGAAAGTTATTTGTGTTTTTTTAATGTATGCAACGGTCACGGCTCTACGTCTATTTATTTATTTAATATCTTCCTCTATATCAATTCTCCATGCCCATGGTTCGTCGAGTCCTTCCTGCACAAGTGAAGATCATTGTTCAATGAGGAGAGTGAGATCGGCGGGTTACATTTGCCCGTGAAGCCTCATCACCTCCCACCACCTTTTGGCTTTGCTGGAACCAGCAACGATTCTCTCGAGGAGGAAGAAAAAAAAAAAAAAAAGGCACAGCTGGCTACCACGGTAAATTCAAACTCCTTTCCTTGGCCCTGCTTTTCGAGCTCCAGTCACTTCCTCTTCTTTCTTGCTCCTCTCTCTTTGTCCTTACACTCTCCAAGAGAGCATGGCTCACAATAGATCTCGCATTGGTGACATTGGAGAGATCAGTTGAACGGGGGTGGGTCAAGCCCATTTCAGGAACAAAGCAATGTGCCGTTAGCGCGGAGCGGAAGCCTCCTCCGGGGAGTCGCTGGTCGACTAGTTCGGGAAGTCGGCTTTTCCCCCAAGACGGCTCTCGCAGGGTCCCTTGCCAATACCAAAGTGGCCCACGATAAGATACTAGCGATAAACAAAAAGGAAGAAGAAAGAAAATGAGGACTGATGAGTCGTTCTTCCCTGGGGTTACCGGATGCCGAGAGCCAGAGGGCCACTGGTTCTCCTGACCCTGCTGGACAAGGGCGGGACTAGGACAGGGGTTGAGATGGACCCTGTCATCTTAATTGCTCTTTCTCCAGCATATGTGCTTGCACAAGACCAAGGCTATCGTCTATTTTTCTTTCTTTCTTTGTTTCTTTTTTTGCTCGCACCAGACTCTTCAAAACGCTTGCGCGACGCATTGTTTCTGGGAAAACAGGTATTTACCTCGTCCTCCTCGCCCAGTTACCTTGAACCCTCCCCTAGTAGGTAGAGTTAGTGGTGCTGTACTGTACCAATTTGTTGGCGAGAGGCTCCCCAAGCGGAGCCTTCCGCACTTTTCCCTTTGCTCAAACGGTAGGTATGCATGGTTGTAGGCACATAATAAAAGGGCAAAGCCGGCTGAACGGCAAGGAAGTTCAATCGCGAAAGGCCGAATATCAAGGGCATGCACACTCTCGACTTCCACGGTGGATAATCTCCCATACTATCACCAACAGTCCCACTCCATGCGAACAAAGATGGATGGGGCAAGCGCCAACAATCTCAAGGAGTTTGAGATACGAGCAAGGAAAACGAAAAACACCATTACGCTCCACTGCATACGAGCGGCAAACCGCCGCCATTGGAAAGGGAAGGTGGGTTTGGCGGGGGTAAAAGCAATAAACAGTTGCCATGATCAGACAACTTCATCGTGGGGATGGACGGTCAACGGGGAGTCTAGGGGATGGCGATGTGTGAATTGGCGCTGGCTATCGGAAAGGACAAGCGTGAAATGGGAGGAGAAAAAGGAAGGAAACGGTGCGAAACTGGAGGAGATGGGTGGAGAGGAGAGGAGTGGGGAGGGGAGGAATGCGAAAAGTAATTATGATGGCGGAGTCCCAAGAACACTCGGGACACGATGAACAACGGGCAACGGGCGACGGGCAGCGGGCAGCGGGCACTCGCGTCCTCTCCTCTCCAGCCCCTATTCCTCGGACAGACAATATCGAGGACACCACGGCACACAGCTGATCCTCCTCACTCTGAGTTTTGAGAACTGATGATGCGGAAAACTGGCAAGAATGCTTCCTTCGTGTAAGCCTCTTCGTGCGGGCAACAAGACCTCAGCTGGGACGCGAGGGGAAAAAGGACGCCGTCGATACTAGCGACATATTGATCCATGGGACAGCAAGGGAGCTAGCCACGAAAGGGCGCTTGGCTTGAAAGAGCGTCTGAAAGGAGTAATAAAGATCAAGATGCAATGCGGGGCTTCTCGGCAAGGCATGGGTGTGAATTGAAGAGAGTGGCTTTTGTCCTTGCCAGGGATGGCGAGCCAACCAAGGGGTGAAAAAGGGCGTCAAGTATAAGCTAAATCTGAGTCCGGTCTTAGTAGGATGCAGGCTCTTTGGGGTGGCAGATAATACTTGGAGGTGGGTCTGGTCTGGGGACCAGGGGAAGAAATTCAACAAGCTGGGCTCAACTGGCACAAAAGGTGTGATGATGGCGATATTGTTCTCCGAGGGAAAAAGCCGCCGCTGGTAGCACACCATGGAAGGAGCTGGGGAAGGGCAATCTATCCTAGCTTCGCCTTTGCACGCGTACTTGAGACTTAATGAAACGATGGGAAATTTGACTCTAGAGAGAGCCCGAGGACAAGAGAGAGACAGCGTATGTCCACGCACCCACCGGCCGGGCACACCACACACACCTCGGCGCCAACAATAACGGCGACTGTGCTGGTCACTGAGTTCTGGCCTTGCCAGTGGCTGCTCGCCCCTTAGCCCAACCCCAAGGGGGCAAGGGGACACCGACAGAGGGCGTTGTGTGTGAGGGATAATCTTCGAGCACCACCTGTACGCTAGGGTGACAGTGCTCGCTCTGCCAAGTCACCGCCGAAGGATCGGTCTTCGGCCCACTGTGGTGCGGTGTGTGCCCTCGACGGTATGGTGGTGGAAGCAAGCTGGAGAGTGAAATGGAGCAAGGGCCCCCTTGAGGAACAGGGCAGACACGAGAAAGACAGGCTCGACTCCCACCACTCGTGATCCATGTCTGAGCCTGCTTGTGCCTGTCCAGGCTTTTTCAGCCATGGCGGACAGCACGGCCCTTAGCGCCTGCGGCTGGACAGAACAGGCAGGGATCGACACATTTCGCAAGTCTGCCTGCTCTTCTCGAGATATCACCGTTCCACAGGAACCCATCAACCAAGTCACACGCTGACCAAAATGAACTCAGCGACCAAGGTGACCAAGGTGACCCATGGTAAGAGATGATAAGTGTCGTGTACACTGCCCGTGGAAACGAGGTCCGGAACCGTGGCGAGGAAGGGCGTTCTGCACTCGAAAAATGATGGGTAGATTGGATCAGTCACGACATTTTGGAGAGGAAGGGAGGGTGGACTTTCACCAACTCGGCATGACACTCTCGCAGAATGGAATCCCAAAAACTAAGCCGAACCCCTGTCAAAGGGGGTCAATATCAGCGAAATCGGTTGTGATGCCCCTTCCAAGTCCTCGGCTGAAGGCTGGATCAATTGGTTTCTTGTCGTGTTGGGTTCAGTTGTTGACGCTGTCTGACTAATTGAGTACATCTAGAATGTGCCCTAGAATCAGTGGATCAATTGGCGTCGGACCCTTCGCTCAGTGGGCACTGACCTCTGCTTGAAGCCACTGCTGACGGTTCCAGGAGCCTGAGGCCACTATCACAAAGCTAAGCGTGCGCTAGAAAGAACCCAAGAATTTCTCCCGAGCTTCAAATGCTGAGCCAGGCCTGAGGCGGCATTTCATCCCGAGGAAATTTGATTAGACTTGGGGCCTGAGCCTTGCGCACGCGCTGGCCCCGTGCTCCCTCGCTCGCTTGCCTTGACGCCCCGTGCTCTTCAAGAGGTGTGTCTGCCCGCCCCGTTCAGCCCCGAATGCCTGGGGAGGTAATAACATTGGACGCGCATACTTCGTAGTTCATTTTGCAGCATGAAAACCTGAGGCATCTATGAGTTGAGGTAGGGTCAGGGCTGTAACTGATCAAAGGGTTCACCTTGCTGGGCCCACTGATCCCCGCCTACCGATTGACAGGAAGGCGCCCTGCACTGCACACGACCGAGGCCTTGGGTTGGCCAGCCTCCTTGATGCCAGCACATCCGCCGGTCCCCATTTGAGGTCCAGTTGAGGAGTACTGATGAAGTGATCTATCAGTATCGATCCGATGTTACGGGCCGAACGGAATGGATATCCTTCAACTCGGAAATTTTTGGAATCCCCGGCAGGCAGCAGAAACTATTTGGAGCTCTCCTCATCCGGCCAGAGGCCACAATCGGTCTCCCCTGATCACCAACGCCTGAAGCCAAGGGTATTAGCTTAAACTTTGAGCCGAATAACGTGCCGGGAGACAACGGCAGGAGGGAGATGGGAATACACTACTCCAGTACAACGAGGGAACCCCTGATCCCCGGAGATACAGAGAAATAAGGCCAGAGGCGTGCGGCGTTGAAGAGGCGCCACGGCGCCTTTGGAGCTTGGACCCCGGGACTACGGGCTAGTCTCGAGTACACCGCACGGCCACACAAAGCTTATTATGCCGGAATGGAGAGGTCACGAATGCCATCGCCAATTTGCGCCAGTTGAGTTCAGATAGTATCACGGTCTGGCCCTCCGTTGTACGCCCACGCAGTACTAGGTTGTGGCCTTTAACGCTGTTTCTTTTTTTTTTTTTTTTTTTTTCCAAAGCAAGCGACGGCAAGCCACGATTCTAGCGGATTCTGGATGGAAAGAAGTCTGGCCCTCTCAAGGGTCTCCCGGCGCAGGTCTTGTCCCGTATATTGCGTGCTTTTTCCATGTTTTCTTCTTTTATTCTCGTGCTCAGATCCCATCTTCCGGCGCTTCTGTCCCTGGGTCTGGAAGGAAGGCGGACGGCAAGGGGAGAAGAAGGTGGTTGCTGGCGTGCTCTGGGGCTCCCAATATTATTGGCGAGGAAGAATGACAGAAACAAAAATGAAAACGAACAAGATTCCCAACTGCCTGTCGTCTCATGCCGAATGTTCAGCTGGGAACTGGGTGATCGGCAGGCTGCAGTCGCCGCGCCGTGGGCGAATGTAACCCAACCCAACCGCATCCACGCCCCCTTCCCGTTTCCTGACCTCCTCTCTTATTGAGGTGGTGGATTTTTCACGACTGGTTTTATCCTCCCCTTCCGGTCTGTATTAGAGTTCGCCAATCTCAGACATGTCCATGCAATGCCCGCGTCAAATATGCATTGGATCAAGGGATCCGGTCTTTGGGCCCAGACATTCCACCATCCAAAGGTCGCTGGCCAATGACCAGCAGTGTCCGGCCACCCTCCTTTTCCCAATCTTTTTCTTTGCTTCTTTTTTGCTTTTAGTGGATGGCGAGCATTTGAGGCGTTAGAATACACTCTGGGCGGGTTTACAAGTACAACTGGAAGTATTATCATGCTTGCCACTTCCTTGGCTCGGGAGGTACTTTCCTGTTCTCCCTCAACGTACAGACGTCAACAATACTTCGTGGATGTACTATCTTGTGCGTGTGTGTGGAGGTGCCTGAGGACATGCCTGCCCTTGTCCTTGCCTCGCCAGCTCTTTCCCGACCTGCATCACACTAATATTAATGACTTGAGCACAACTTGTGTCCACTGCTCCATGCATGGCCAGACACACGGATGCGTCCCCATGAGCCATGTTGTTCTTAGGGCGGGTGGTTGACCGAAGCTAAAATTTGGTGCAGAGGGTTGAAGCTAATCTAGTGGCCTGGCGGCGTTAATCACTCGCCTGGCCCTGCTTTCTCTCCCCAACCCTCTCCTCCCTGTCCTGCTTTTTGCCTCCCCTCATCCAATGCAGCCTGCAGGAGGCACTCTGTTCCTGTCCCGTCAACAGCATTTGGCCACCCGTTCCAGCCAGCGATGACAGGCAGTGTCATTGTCACCTCCGGTCTCCACAGACGTCCGGGCGTCCGGCAAGACGAATACCGTGGTGGTGGTTGCCCCCCCATTCCTCCCTTTCCCCTCCCCCTCCCCTTCCCCCACGTAGCACCAATCCGAATTAACCTCAACCAAGAGGTGTGGATGGGGACACAATCCGAATCCAGCAATCAAGGCTGCGTTACGGTGCACTGCAGTCGTCAGCTTCGCGCCTCTTTGGCTCCCTCACCCTGGGGTTGGAGGAGGACGAACCAGACAACGTAACATTGTGGATGCAACGGACAGCCGGGGGCTTCCCATCTCTAACCCCTGTCTGGCGGAAATCTTTTTTGTCTTTCTATTCTTCTTCCGGTTTTCCCTTTCAAAATGGACCGGTAAACAGCCAGGGGGTGGGAGAGGAGGGGGTGCGGTGCGCTATAATATTTCAGATCGATCGAATCGAGCTGGTAACCAGGGTCTGCCCCCTGTTTAGCACACTGAGAAGAGAGAGGGAGAAGAAGAAAAAAAGCTCGCTCTGTCAATTGATCCTTCGTCACCGTGATCCCTCCGCCTCCAAGCAAAACGCCGTCCAGCCAGAGCTAGGGTGGGGGAGGGGAAGCGCCAGCTCAAGCGGGCATCAGCGCCTGGCTTCCATGGATGGCTTCAATTTTGTCCCCTTCTGGGAATGGTTGGTATCACGGGCCGGCCATGGTTCGGCAGGCGTGGAACCCAAAAGTCATCCGCATCCGCCTGCATCATCCGCATAGTGCTCCAAGGCCCATTGTCCCCGTATTTGCATTGTAGTGTAGTGTACTGGGGAGCAACTGTCTCTCGCTGCTCTCACGGAAGGCAAGTAGCACAGAAAGCAAGGCGTGATGCAACGGCGAGAAACCCGGCGAATCTCACATCTCATCTCCCTAACCTCGTCGCGCACCCGTTTTAATTCATTTATAAGATGAATGACATCCATTTGGCAACCGCTGCTTTTTGTTTCCCAGCGACAACCTGCCCTGCCCAGTCACAGACTCTCTCCCCACCCTCGCGCATTTTCTGCCGCAGCTTGCTTCTTCCAACGACCGAAAGCAGACGAGAGAAGACAGAGAAAAAAGGAAGCAACGCCAGAGAGCCTAACAGAAGGTTGAAAGGAAGACAAGAGGTGGTCCCAGTCTCTTTCTTTTTTGTTTCTTTTTTTGTTTCTTTTCCTCTGCCTCCAAGTGCTCTTAGCCCATACCGAATCCAACCTGGTCTATTCTGGCACATCTGATCCACCCACCCTGAGAAACCTTGCAGCCAGCACGCTTGCCCTTCCAGGCCGAGGGTCTGAGAGTGAAAGAATATTCTTTCCCTTCCGTTTCCTGGTTTTCGCCATCTGTTTTTCTGGTTTCTAGCGCTTTGTGCTTGTTTCCCCCCTCCCTCCTGTGTGCCTCCCTCCCCTGCCCTGCGGCCCTGTCAAACCGTCGATCCACCAGTCGCCCTCCCCGCCCTGTCAATCTCCCTTTATAACAACCCGACCTTGTCCTGCTCGCCATCTCCGCCGGGGCCACGCCATTGAGTGTCGATCATTCCTCTTTTCTTCCCTCTTTCTCCTGGATCTATCCGTGCAAAACCGACCCTTACTCACCTGACGATCCCCGTCCACCTGGATCTCCCGTCACATCTCGATCTTAATTTCATAAATCTTCACACCTCTCCTCCCCTCTTGACTTCTTCTTTCCGTTTTCTAAGCCCTTTATCTGCCGCCTCCCCTTCTTGGGGCTTCCCAAGCCATTGTCTCCGCCGCTCACCCAAAAGGATCACGGAATACTATCTTCGTCACAATGGGCCTCCTGCCACTAACATACTCACGCCCATCCCATGTGTCCCGCGAAGAGTTTGAGGCGCGCGCCACCTCGCCCTCCGAAAGGGCTTCGCTCCGCTCCGGACGATCAAGTCTCTCTGCTGGAATCCCCGATGCCCTCGCCTTCGACAAGATCATCGCCGGCGAGACGTGTCCGGTATGTCTCATTTTTTCCTCTCCTCGTCCTTCTTTTCCCCGGCCATATGCTAACACAGCGCTTGCGCCTCCCCCACAGCCTATGTCTGTCCGTGATTTCATGAACTACTTGCTATTCATCGAGTTTTCGGCGGAGAACCTGCAGTTCTACCTGTGGTACCAGAGCTACTCGGAGCGCTTCCGCAAGGCTCCCAAGTCAGATTTGGCTCTCGCGCCGGAATGGACGAGGGAGATGGAGGAAGAGATCCAGGTCAAGCTGCAGAGGGAGGCGACGGAAAAGATGCGCCGCCGGCCCAAGCGCGGCCAAGCTACTGACATTTTCGAGGGCACCGACTTCGAGAAGCGGGACCCCATGGCTGCGGAGGCCATCATCGAGCTCGATTCGCCGCCCGTCACCCCCAAGACCCAAAATGACGTAGAGGAGGCCCATCCCGGGGAACTGTACAACGAGTCCGTCTATTGCCCGTCATCTCTCCCTTCGGTCACCAGCACCCTACGCTCACCGACAAGCGAGGCCTTCCACGCGGCCGGCGCAAAAGCTCCATGTAAGTTTTCACCCCGGACAAGTCGTTCGATATCAACCCTTCCCTAAGGAGAGGGTCATCCATGACGTTCTAGCTACTAACCTGCCTTACCCCTCTCTCTAGTCACTATCCAACCCTTCAGGGAAGAAATAGACCGCATCATCTCCACCTACATCATGGTCGACGCCCCCGCCAGCTCAACCTATCGGACCGGGATCGCAAGACCCTCCTCCACGCCCTCTCCTACACCACCCACCCCAGCGCCCTCGACATCGCCTTCAAGTCCGTCGACGCCTCCCTGCGTTTCCAGAGCCACCCCAACTTCGTCCGCTGGTCCGTCTGCAACGGCAACCCGCCCCGCGTGTCCTTTGCCCGCGTGCTCGGCTTCAGCGGCATCGCCCTGTCCTTCGGCCTCGCCGTCATGCTCGTCCTCAGCACCGCGTCCCGGGGCTGGCGCGGGTTTCTCGCGTTCGGCTGGGCCATCGGCATCTGCACCGTCGTGGCTAGCTACAAGGGCATGTGCATTTGCATGTACGCTATGCACCACCGCCACATTCGCCCGTGGGAGCTCTTCCTCGACGCGGAAGAGGGCGCGGCTGACTCGGCCTCCAAGCGGTCCTTTGACTCCCTGAGCTCGAGTAATAGCTTCGAGGACGAGCCGTGGCTGGCCAACTACTCCAGCAAGAATCTCATGCGCAAGATCTTTGACAAGGAGGCCTGGATCGAGGAACCTGTTCTCAGGCAGATCCAGGATACCATCTTTGTGCAGTCCCTTCTTATTGGGTCTGCGGCTTCGGCTGTCCTTGCGGTTATCTTTGTCTTCATCCCCTCGGGCAATTTCTTTTCTTTCTAAAACCCATTTCATCTTGTTCTCCCCCCCCTCTCTCTCTCTCTCTTACACCTTTCCTTTGTCATGGTCCTAATGCAATCTACCCCCAACCCCTTGTCTGGCGTCACACTCCACTAGGTCGGAATTGGAAAAGGGGTTCAAGAGGGCGTTCTAGGAAACAGTCGTTCCTGTGTTTTTCCCAACATATCATGTACTCTATCGCGGTCCGGTCAAGGCGTTTCTCGGACCCAAGCGCTATCTCGTTTAGCAATCTCTCTCTTTTTATCTTTATCTTTGGTTGGTTCCGGTCTGGCAAAGGGAGGCGGGCGATGGGCGGCGGTCCGGTCTGTATTTTCTTTCTACTATACCCACTCGTTTATCTCAGATGTCGCTATGCTGCCCTCGTTTGGTACTCCCAAGGGTCAAATAATCTCAATAATACTGTTACGTATATACTCTACACCGATCCTTTACTCTCGGCACCTGATTTCAAACGTAGAACGATTCAATTTGCCCGATTCACGCCCATATGTATGAAACCCAACGGTTTACAAGTGATGTATTGCCGTCAGACAACAATGGTCAATCGCCAGTGGGACGCGCACAGCAGCTACATCTATGTAGCAAACACGACACGACACACATGTCAAGTAAGGGGTTCTCGGGCTACTCGGTCCAAAACTCCGACACCATCCCAAGTTCTTTAAAAAGCTGGGACTTCTCTGCCTCAGTCGGTCTATTATACTCATAAGATGCCTTCTCCGAATACCATGCCTATTGTGAATGTTAGTTTCGTTCAGAAAACTGACATCTCAGAATCCTCTCCGAACTTACTTTTGCAAGCTTCCACATGATGTCCATATTCATGGTCTCCCCGAAATTAAATCCGTACTGGTCACACTAGATTTCGTGTAAGCTAAAGGGTCGAGTCTACCGAGTTCACCAGGGCGTTGGCCTACCCAAGTCGCTGCCTCGTCCTTGTCTTCAAAGACGTGAATCGTACCACAAGCAAACTTGACATCAATCCACCAAGAGGACGGGGGTGCGGAGTAGTGAACGACGCATTTGGCCGTCTGTCCGCCGCCTTGGAGGTGTATCCCCGCATCGCCAACCTCAAAAACCAGCTCCTTTCCTATGGAGCCCGACCTGACCGAAACCGTGACGGGGGTCTCGGAGGGGAGGAGCATCGCGGCGAGGCCAAAGCCGCACCACGCACAGTTAGCCCACCACGACCGTTCTCCTTGTTTCTGCACTTCGTTAGCATCCATAAGAGAGAATTACGAGTTGGAACCTATGGCCAACTTACGATAATAAAGGGAGTGGGCCTTAGATGTGGATATCAGCGACCGCGTTATGTGCTCGACAGGGCAAGGAGAAAACTTACAAGTGAGAGAAAGGGTGCGCCATAGAGATGGGCGTTGGACTATGTACACCAGGCGTATGGAGCACTATATGGTGCGTATCATCAAGCTGTTGAAGAGCATTGCGAACCTCATTACCATCGAGCTTGGTCTCTTTAACAATTTCCTCGATGGTTGGAGGGCGGCACTTATCCAGATAGAAGCTGAAAATATGATGCCGTACGCGTCGGGTAGGTTCATCCATGATTGGTAACTGATGTTGCTGAATAAATATGAAGACCAAGCGAGGAGCAGGATGTTTTATGGGCTAGGTCTTCCTGAGGGCCTGAATGACTGCGACAGCTTTTATATCGAATGCGATCAGTGTTGAAGTCGGAGCGTTTCGTGAAGGAAATGCTATTGGAAGGGCGCGCCTTTCCAGGGACTCCACCCCACCCAGGTTGCGGAGAGCGCTAGCGACTGGAGATGACGTCTAGGAGTTGATTGAACTTTTGCGTCAAGAGGATTGGTGGTGTGATTTCACTCGACCACAAACATGAATGGGCTTTGAGTGGTCGCGAGAACGCTACGGTACACAGAATACAACAGGCGCATCCATAGATGGATCCATCTTCCATAAGCGCATTATTGATCTCCCATTTTCCGTGCCATCTATAGATATCTCGGGCCTACGAACTGTTGCGGTAAGCGGGGTTCACTTGTGGCGAATTTTCGAGCTGCAACCGTGCCCCACTAGCGATGATGGAGATGCACTTTGTGTGGCTGGTTTCAACTCGAGCCACGAGGAGGATTTTGAGATTGCCACGACGATGACCGAATCTATATCACCAATTGCTCCTGTTGATTGGCTAAGACCTCGGCGATATTGGTCTATTGCACCACTGTTCGCGGTATGTGCATGTCTACGCGTATGAAGTGCAGATCACGATATAACGGGGGTCCTAGCAATCGATAAATGTTCTCTAAATGGGAGTGAATCGGTAGGTCTCCTAAAGATTGGCCGAGGGTATACGCATCGACATCATACAGAGTTTCGGTTGTGGGACGTGGATTGGCTACATATCTCCGGCTAGAATCCTTCCCGCCCCCGGACCCGTTCCTCACATGCACCCCAACCGCTTGGCTTCTCATAAGACCTGAGTACATAAAACCGCATGCCAGAACCCGGCCACCACTTCTTTAGGCGCCGTCAAGCAGACCTAGGGCGATCTGCGCCTGTCCGGCATAGTACAGGATCCAAACGGCATACTGCATCCACTGGCTATGCGGCGAGCCCGGAGAGCAGAAACTTCTCGGTGGCCAGGATGGAGTCCGAGATGGTGAAGGAGACAGCGCCCGCGATGACGCGTCCGTTGATCATGGTGAGGGAGGAAATCACCATGGCGGCGATGGTGGTGGAGTAGACTAGGATAGGGAGGCGCAGGTCCACCTCGACGCGGGGCACGAGGAACTTGACCATGATGGAGGAGAGAGCCGCGAGCATGGCGGACGCTCGAGCTTCCACGGCTCCGACTGCAGGCCGGCGAAGCCGCGGCCCTTGCCGGTGAAGAGGGGATGTAGAGCATGTGCGCCAGCAGAAAGCTGCCGAGCCCGGCTAAGAAGGCCGTCTCGCCGTCCCAGGCTAGAAAAGCGTCGCCGACGGAGCCGAGGGCGAGGGCGGCGGTGAGGAGGCCGGGTCCACCGCGGAGTAGGGAATACAGGGACAGCAAGGTGGTGGAGCCGGCTTTGGTGGCCATGCGATAGTAGCTGGGCGCGGAGAGGCTGTCGACAGCGTAGAGAAGCGAGAGGCCAAGGGAGGCGGCGAGGACCGCCCGGCTGAGGCCTGATTCTTTGCGCGGCATGGCAGCGAGGCAATGTGGTGCTAGGAGAGATAAGGGAAATGGGAATAGTCGGCTAGGAACCCCGAGGCAAGGGGTAGAGCTAAAATGCACGTTCAACTAGAGTGTTTGAAAAGGTCCGTCGACAGTAGGATTGCACGGTCTATTCTGTTGGTTTCGCGTTCTTTGGGGGTAAGCATTGGTTTGATTCTGGTCAAACTGGATTTGATAAGAAAAGTCGGGGTCTAGCGCGCTAACGTCTTCTGGCGTCAGCCGAGGTTTGGGTGCTGCACATGTGGGGAGCAAGTTCAAGGTTCTTGATATAATCAATTAAGTATATGGTGGAAGTAGCAAGGCCCAGTTTTCCACCGTTATTTCCAACCCCATATTGGAAGGAGAAAAGGCAAAATTGAGAAAGAAGAAATGCAAAAACAAAAACAGAAAAGCATTAGGTATCCGCACGCTTGTTGAAGGAAATGAACGTCACGCTAAAACAGAGGGAAAGTAAGGTATCAATGCTCTGATGATACCTCGCCTCATCCTATCGTCCTCCACCACCCAACCTGCAACCTTTATTGTGTGACGCTCCTGCCGGGCGTCGTTAGTTCCGTTCATGGCGGAGGAGGGAAGGGTACGATTTTTGGGTAATATCGAGCCTGGAGAACTTACAGGCGAGAGAAAACGTTTCGACCTCCTCCACGATCAGCTCTTCTCGATCAAGTTCGCGCGCTGCGGACTCGGAAATTTCGCGTATAATGTCTCCGAAACGCCGTACCTCGGGCAAGCGGTCTGGATCTATTCGCATCGTGGCGGGAGTTACCGAGCACAATTCTTCGACTGGTTGTAGCACAGTTAGTGTCAGCAAGCCGTGGTGACCTCTTCTTTTATATCCTCCTTTTTTCTCGCGTCCCCCCTCCTCTGCTCTGCTTCAATCTTCGGAATTGATCCCACGCCAAGAGCACTGGCGTTGGCTGGATGCGGAAAGCTACTTACTGGTAAACATGGCCTCGAACCCTTGCAGGATAGCAGGGTCATCTGGCCGGGGCCTCTTGAGTGCGAGCAGCATCGCCGCTATAGGCATGGCAAACTCGTCTCCGAAACAGGCGCTCGCGATGACTATAGCTCTCCGGACGTCGACCTTGGCTGTCGCGGGGACCGTGCCACCTGGCGAAGTTGGAGGACGCCATCGGCCCACTTCTTCCACCGCAGCCTGTCTCCTAGCTCCGGGAAGAACTTGAATAGGCCGACGTCTATCATGGCTTGGATCGTGGTCTGCGTGCACGTAGCCCTAATGTCTAGGGCACCCTGCGATATATACTCGCCAAAATAGTAGCCGCCCCTGCCGCGTCGCATCCTTCGCATCCGCGACAAATCTCGTTCGCCGCTCTCGTCATCAAGGTGAAAGTATTCGATGAGGTCCATATCTTTGAGAAAGGTTCCCGGGGTACGCGCTGGTATCAAGTACCAGGATGTGGATGTCGGCGAGGGCGCTTGGGGATCGGCTGCCGCTATGCTTATATAGACCATACTGAAGCGCGAACAAGAGAGAACTAGTCCAACTCATTAGGCTGCAATTATCCTCGTGGGCCATTTCCCACCATAGATGCTTGTTGAGCAACCCCGCCGCCTCCTTGCGATCCATGTCGAACAAATCCCCGCTCCCGCGCTGCTTGTTAGGGTGTAGGCAGGCGGGGGCCAGAACCGCATCCAGCGTCGTGCTCCCCGCCGTCGTATCCGAGTGGACTCTGAAGAGATATCTTGGGACAACGGTGGTATTACAAAGGCGTGCAGCGACGCTGGGTCGAGAGGCCGGCCCGGGGCCGTGATGCGGCGGGCTCGATGAGAAGGGTTCAATCATTTCGAGAAAGTGAATGGTGAGGCAAGGGTACAGGTACGGAGAAAATGGCAGCCGAATCCGTGAAGAGGGGGACAGACCCGAAATTTGTAATGAATTAAGGGGATGCTAATGCGGTGGACTATACGACATGAATAAGAGATGGTTCGTGGCGACGCGATGGAAAAAGAGAATAGACCCGACTATATATTGGCGTGATTCGGATACGTCTGCCATTTTGAACCGCAGCATCTCGCTCCCCTCCCCAACCCTCAGGCCGTTGGTCCCCTCGGAGGCCCAGGAAACGTTTACGGATGCTCATTCGCTGCATCAATCGAGTATTGAGCGGCCTTTGCCCAGTCACAGCCGCGGAATTTTTCCAGTTTCGCCCAACATCCCTGGTCGTGCGTGCCTAGCCAGTCTATGCTGGCGGGCTCAGCCCCCTTGATGAAAAAGAGGCGATGCCAGGTGATGGTGGGGTTGAGGCGTTGGGCCGACCCGTTTTCCGGCCCGCGGCGCAGGGCCTGGGTTTCACGTCACGTCACGTCGCGGCGCGGATCCGGAGGGAGAGTAAAGTGGAAAAGGGAAAATGTGTCGGGGCGCGAGAAAGATGCTTCAATTTTTATTTAATTGTTGTGAGCCATATTCTGGTTTGGTTGTTATATCTACATGTACAGCAAAGTGTAAGAAGGAAAGAAACAGCGTGTTCAGGAACTAGCACTGGCTGCGGATTCAACATCGAAGAGGATTAATTCAAGACCCTTTTGGCTGTGGTGTTGGCGACAGCATAAAAGCGAGCTTCATAATGGTCAAAGGGAAAAAAAAAAAAGAAAAAAAGATTGAAGATGAAAAAGGGCACGGATTCCGTCAATTGGTTGTAAAAAGTCAATTCTTGTATCCAAACTCGAATCGGAAACGAATCGAAGTGCGTTAAGTACATGACAAGAATGTCCACCACCAGTTCGTATGTAAGTTGTGCAAATATATATAAGAGGATACATGTAAGAAGATGAAATCCAAAAAACAAAAAGGGATACCAATCAAGGCGAAGAGAATCGAAATTGGAACAGCCAGCCACCAAATCATCTGTCTCCCGCGTTCATCGCATCACCCATAACTCGTGAACCTCGTTGTGTGTCCTTTTTGTGTGTGTGTGTGTGTGTGTGTGTGTGTGTTTCCTTTCCACTCACTCGGGTTTCCTCCCTAGCTAGCCAAGAAGAGCTTTGCCATATTGGAGAAGGAAGTGAAGCCTGTTAGAGCTTCGCTTAACCGATGCGACCACGGAGCCAGATGGGGGCAGTGGTGGCGGCGTCGGTGGCGTAGAAGAAGTGAGCGGGGAGGATGAAGAGAGTGCCGTAGCAGACGGCATCGCCAACAGCGCAGTAGACCTTGGTCTTGGTGCTGGAGAAGTTGGGGATGCGGCCGAGGTTCTGGAGGTTCTTGGTGTAGCCGAAGAGCACGACACCCTTGACCTTGTCCTGGACGGAGGAGCTGAGCTCGCTGACGGCGTTACCGACGACGGCGGTACCCTGGCTGTATCCACCGGAGACGATGGCAGCGTTGGGGCACTTGGTGGCGGCGAGGTTGAAGAGGCGCTTGGCCTCGTCGATGGAGGCGCGGTCGGTACCGGCGGGGAGGAAGTTGGGGAGAGGTCGGCGGTGTACGCGTTGCCGACACCCTGGATCCAGATGTTGTTGCGGTAGGCGCTCTCGAGAGCGCTAGCGAGAGCAGGGCCAGCGGTGGATCCCTGTAGACAAGTCTCCGTGTTAGTGCGAAGCCAAGGTAGAAAGCCGGCAGTGCGGGGAAGAGCAATGCCGCCGTGGGGGAGGGAGCAGGGAGAGCAAGGAGAGCAGGGGAGCCTTCTCTCTGAAGTTGGGAGAAACGTACCATGTTGCCAACCTCAGTGGAGCCGCGAGCGTAGATCAAGATGACCTTGGGGCAGTTGGCGGAGTTGCCATTCTGGAGGTCGTTGCGGGTGGACGAGAGCTGGCGGGCCTCGAGCTCGGAAGCGAGCTCAACGGGGGCGGGGTCGGCGGCCGGAGCGGCGTAGACAACGGCGGCAGCGAGGGAGAGGATGTTGAGGAACTTCATTTTGACTACTGGAGTGGGATGTCGAAAGGACGGGACAAGGAAGCTAGGAGCTCGAAAGAGTGGAGGCTGGGGATGAGATTGGGAAGGGATGAGATGATGGTGGCTGAATGTTCTGCTGGAGAGAAGGAAAAGAAATGAGATGAGATGAGGGAGGAAGCAGTCATTATATAGATGAAAAAGGTCTGTATCGACGAGGCTTTTCATCTTTGATCATGATGGACTGTGGTTTTCTTCCGAGGCCCCCATTCTCCTCCCAGCAGTTCACTTCATTGCGAGCAAGCATCCTGGGCTTAGCTTCACCTACTCCACACTCTCTTGCTCCTCCCCCGCCTCCATTATTTCTGCCCAGGCCAGTCTAGATGTGGAAACAAGGTCGAAGGAGGGTCCAGTGCCTCGGTACCCACTCTCCAATCCCATGGCGCCTTGCTTAAAAGGAAGATATCGCGGGAACTAGCCACGAAATGAGGATCTGGGGCATGCGGGGTGCATGCATGGAGAAAATGGGGTTGAGATGGATGGGGAATGGAGAACCGGGGTCCCGCCGGAGGGGCGGAGGGAGCGGAGGGGACATTGGAGGGGTTAGTGGGAGAGAATGGCAAGGAAGAGGAAGCAAAAACCAGAGAGGAGGAAACAAGGGATTCCAGGATTAGGCCGCAAGTCGGATGAACGACCGAGCTGACCTTGCCCATCCATCCTTCCCGCGACCAAGGAGGAAGAGGGCGGAAAGAGTTGATCCTCAAGCACAGCAGGCTGTCTGTTTTTTGCCTCGGTAGGTTGAGGGAAGATGGTGTGCTGGATGTAACCCCTCCCCCAAGCCTCCCAAAAGTGCTCAAACAGTCGTTCACCGTTCATCAGTAGATGGGATGCATGTTTCTACCCTTTACGAAAGACAAGATTGGAAGAGGCAATGTGGGGACTTGGGGGACGGGCATCGGTGTTTGCCAAATCGGTGCACGTCGGCGCGTAGAAGCGGTTGTCAAGGGATGAACCATCCCATCTTGGTTAAACAGACAGATCTGCCACGAGCCTCCGCTAGACTACACGGTAGTGCCAGGCAGGGACCCCAGCTCCCGCGATTCCCATCACTTGGTTTCTCGGTGGCCCCTTATTATCTTCATCCCAAGAACCAAGAAAAGGGACCCGCGCACCCGCGTGATTCCCCAGGTTCCCGAGCCAAGTTTCTTAGACCCGGGTTTTCCCCAGATTCCAAGTCGACGCTGGGGGCCGCCACGCCACAGACTACCAAGCTATTTTCCAAGAGATTGAAAGAGGAACTAACAGCGAGAAGACCCAACAAAGATCAAATGAAGACAACAAAAAAGGGTAGCGTTCCTGGGGGTCACATAGGGCTTGGCATCGGAACAATAAAAAAAAAACAGGAACGCAATGGACGGAATGGGCTAGGGTCGCGAAAAAGAGCCTCCAGTGTCCCGAATGCATGCACCAAGCACCGCGATGCATCGAGCCAAAAGTTGGGGTAGATGCGGGGAGATGCTCTCGAGACTCTGAAACCCCGCGGGGAAATCTCGCAAGGACGTCCATTTCGGGAATAGCATCACTTGGCGGCTGCGCGAGGGGCCGCCAGAAGGAAGAAGAAAGATGGCGATCTACGGCGGAGGAAATAATTGCGCTTTGAGAAAACATGGCCCAATTGCCGCTGCCAAGCGTGGACCGGGGGAAGGGTGAGGGGCAGGAGATGAAGGAGATTTCTTGTTCGTTGCTTTGTGATTTCGTGTGGCCCTCAATTTTCTCCTGCGCGCGTCCTGGCCCAGGCACGCCTGCACGCTGCACGAGGTGGGCACGTTGCGTGGGCGTGGGCTAGGCCTCCCCCTCCCCTCGCACCCTTGAAGACAACATCGTTGACCGATTGATGTGTGGACTAAGCCCGTAGCTGTGGCCGGGGTGGGTGAGCGCGTTGCTTGGCTTCTTGGCGGTGCTCGAAATCTTCAATCCACCGAGCCCCATGACTTGAAGGACCAACCCTGGAACGTTGATTCTTGCGAGATGCTTCCCACTCCCACATCTTAGATGCATGTAGAATGGAGCATCATTCGTAATCTTGGAGGAAAGATGCCGAGGCATATCGTCGACGATCGGTGCCTAACCTGTCTGACGATGAACATCCTCTCATCCGAAAGGGCGGAGGAGGAAGAGGTGAAGGAGGAGGAGGTTCGAAAAGATCTCGATGGCATCTTCTTTTTCACAATCAGGCATTACATTCCAATTGGGGCCTTGACCCTCCTTTCACTCTCTTCGGCCTTGGCCGCGGCCATTCCTTGTTACAGAATGGAATTTTCATTATTCACGACGAGGCATCTTGGTGGAGACGAGCTGCTTTGCTTAAACGACATGAAATTTTCTCTCTCTCTCTCTCTCTCTCCCTCCTCGAACTCCTCTCTACGGCGATCCTATTGGCGCGACTAGATTCCCAACCCCCGATAGACAATGTCCTTGCACCTTTCCAAGAAATCTTGCACCTTGGCTTCGTCGTGGAACGCGTCGTTGTAAGCCGCGCTCAGCGTCAAGCGATCTCTATACGTGCCCAAGAACACGCCGAGCCCGGTCCCCAGCTCCTCGCCCGTCACCCAAGGGTCGTGCATCTCGAACGGGCCCTTGGACGGCACGATGATGGGATCGATCCTGCCCATACTCGAGATGGAAACCGACGGCGCCTTGTTCGGAGCGGGCACCGGCGGCGCTTCGTCCGAGGGCGGCGGCAGGGGCGGAACGGCCCCAGCCCAGATGAGGGGGCGATGTGGGCGTGCTCCGCGTCCGTCTTGACGCCAAAGTAAAAGTCCTTCATCTTGCTCACGATCCTCCCGTACTCCTCCACTTGCTCATCCGCTGACGATCCAGCGCTGTCCGCCCTCGGCACCGTAAGGTCGACCATGAGACTGCCCCCAGACACCGAGTGATAAACGCTAGCAGGGTGTAGATCCGTGCTATACGGGTACACGCAGCTCGGCCGCTCGTTGCGCAGGATATAGTTGACGTACCGCACCCGCCGCGCCTCCGCCGCGGGATCCTGAATATCTCGCATCGCCATGGGTATAGCGGCGTGGAAGATGTGCGTGACAGTCGCCCCCAGCTCCCGGCCCTTGGCCAGGATCCTCGCCGTCTCCTGCACCGGGAGGGTGATGGCGACGCGCTGATGTTTTCCCGGCACCACCTCGGTGCTGCTCAGGGGCACGGTGAGGAGCTCGACCCCGAGAGCCGCGCTCCTCTTCTCTTCCGCCAGGGCCTGCAGACGCGCCGTCTGTGCCGTGGTCGGGGTCGGCGGCACGCCCGCGGCGATGCGGTACGGGGGCTGAGGTTCGGGGCCTCGGCGCCGCCAAAGACGGGGAGCTGGAACGACTTGCCCTGGGAGTAGGCCCTCGCGGCGTGTTTGACGAGGTTGTTCAGCAGCATGAGGGTGCCGATGCCGTCCATGATGTCGTGGGGCGACCGGATGACGAGGTCCCGCCGGATACGTTTGCGCGCGGACCCCGGCGACGGGGCGACGGCGGGCGGCGACACAACGAAGAGTGTGGGGTAGACCGGGGCGGGAGGGTCCGAGTTTGCCCACTCGGCACCCGTTTGCCCGGTGGAGATCTTGACGAGCGTTTGGTCCAGCCACGCTCTCTGGTCGATGGCGTCGATGAGTGTGTGGTAGGTTTTGGTGAAGCCGCCGCCTAGTCTGCTGTCCCGCACCACACGGGCGCCAATGGTGGGATGGTCGAAGCGGAGGGCGAGCCACGCGTGCTGCAGGGCAATGTCGACGGCGGACTCCATGTCGGAGCACCAGTCGACCGGGGCGTCCACGGTGATGGAGATGTGGCCGGTCATGGCGAAGAACATGCGGCCCGTCCCGCGCCACTGCTCGGCCAAGGCGGCGTAGAAGAGCTCGACTTCGTCTACGCTCCTAGTCCACACCATGGGCTCCGTCTCGCACCACTCATACTGGTCATTGGAAAAAGCCATGAGGGTGAGAGGGGCGTTGTGTCAAAAGTTGAGTTTGCAGAGTACAGTCTTGGGGAAGGATAAGGAAGACTAAGCATGTAAGAGTGTCCGTTGTTTAAAAGTAGAGAGGAAGAGGACGGGGAGATGGGTTTGCGGTGCTATTCTCTATCTCCTCTTGATCCGTTCTCGTGCCCCCTTTTATACACCGTCTCCCCCTGGACCATCCATGGATCATATGAAAGAGCTTTTGCCCGTAGCGGGGTAACCCGGGGTTCAAGTCTTGGAAAACGAGGTTGACGGGACCGACGGGCGTGAATCCGGGGATGTATCTGCACCAGAACGAGGGTTGAGAGTGCATTACACGGAATAAATTCTGTACTAACACAGCATAGGCGCTACATAAGGCTGCACAGCATTATAGTGCAAATATCCACAAAGTTGTGTTTATCGCACAAAGATGTACATGGTTTTTGTGCAATGTACATTTTGCACTACTGTATAACTCAAGCACAAGATTTGTACTTGTGACTCCACTTCACATCCGGTGCCCCACCCCAACCGGATCGACCCCTAATCTACCGCGGATTAGCCACGTCGGCACGTCGCGCCGTCCTCTCCTCTTGCAATCCTTGGTGGCCGCACCCATGGTGGTCAAAAGACACATGGGGAGAGGGAAGAGGGGAGGAAAGGGAAACCAAGTAGCTGCAGGTTTTCTTACTTCCTCAGTGGCAAATGGTTGGATTGCAAAAAGTTCAATATATTCCATATCCTGAATATCCCCTCCCCCTTCGCTGGGCCGCCCGTCTAACACCTGCCGTGGTCTGGATGAACTCCTCGTTTTGATATCTACGGGCTCGCCGGGAGGACCTCCAGCACAGGACTGGCAAACACCGGTGCGGGGCAGGGGTTCAGAAAGGGGTTTTCGATTCTCAGCATCTTTCCACAACGAAACAGACCAAGTCCAGGACCTCCTACATGGCCCGCCGCAACCTCTTCTCCCGTTGAGTACGGCCTTGATTTCGAGCAGGTCCTTGTGCTCGCCCGTTGTGCATGTGTGACCCGTTGCGTTTCCCGCGCTAGGTCAGCATCGGATGGCATGGTAAACACTAAAAGCTACCAGTGCCCCGTGCGCCCTTGTCTCTTGTGAAGCCCGGGAGAGCCGATGCCGTGAAAACACCGTGGGATCCCCACACCCTTGTCGACCCTGCTTGTGTCCGGCATGCCACACCCCATCCATCGTGTCGGGGAACTTGTCCCGGCCATCCCCAGCTCTGAATAGTAGACCTATGAGATTCATCATTTTCCTCACACGGCACATTTATCCAATGGCCACGAGGATGTGCCCCTTTTCTCTTGGCTTTTGTGCTGAGTTCCTAGCCGAGATGTCCCGGGCCTTCGAACCTTCTAACCTCGGGTGGCCGACCCTTGGCTATGCAGTAGCAGGATGCTTCATTCAAGCAGTGACATGGTCACGCGCTGCTTGTTTCAATCCAATCGAACAGCTAGAGGTGTAAGGTTCGGGTCATCATCGCATCTTAGACGGAGAGGAGGGTAGACACGTAGCAACGGGTGACTTTATCGGGAAGGAAGACAGCCATGGATAGCAGCAATTTCGATCCTCCTGCCGCCTCACATCTACCTGTGCAAGCGGCCATCTTAATGAAATTACTGAGCTACTGCGTGGTTCTACAGATGGGGACAGGAAAAGCCAGTATGCAACAGCAAAAAGATGTAACCTTGAATGTTAGTCGTGGCCTGCTCTATTTTGTGCTCCGTATCAACGTGCAAGCTCGTGGGCCGGACGTCAGGCCGTTGAGCGAACTAGGACTCGGAAATGCACCGCCCGCCCGCAATCCTACGTTGTTCGCATGTCAGCCAACAAAATTCCCACACATATCTCCGAGCCTCCGCCATCCTTCCTGCACCTGATGCCTAAATGCCTCCCCGCATTTGAGCCGTTAACTATCGGGTTCAAGAGAGGCGGAGACATAGTTACTAACCCAAAGGCAGAAAAAAGTGACGGGCGCGGGACAAACGGGAGAAAAAGAAAAAGAAAAAGGGAACATCTTGTGTCTACCACATATTAAACTCTTCCGGCCATGTGTGCCGAACCCGACAACGCGGATTGGTGGCGCGGCGCCGTCATCTACCAAATCTACCCGCGCTCGTTCCAAGACTCGGACGGCGACGGCATCGGCGACCTCGGCGGCATCCTCCGCCGGCTCCCGTACATTGCCCATCTCGGCGCCAACGCCATCTGGATCTCCCCTTCTTCAAGTCCCCCATGCGCGACTACGGCTACGACGTCTCCGACTACCGCGCCGTGGACCCCATCTTCGGTACCCTCGAGGACTTCGACGCCGTCATCGCCGAAGCCCACCGCCTACACCTCAAAATCATCGTCGACCTCGTCATCTCCCACACCTCCGAGGAGCACGCCTGGTTCCGGGAAAGCCGGTCCTCGCGCGACAACCCCCGCGCCGACTGGTACGTCTGGGCCGACCCCCGACCCGACGGCACGCCCCCAACAACTGGCTATCCATGTTCGGCGGCCCCGCCTGGCAGTGGGACGCCCGCCGCGAGCAGTACTACCTGCACAATTTCTTGGCCGAGCAGCCCGACCTCAACTTCCACTGCGGCCCCGTCCAGGACGTCCTGCTCGACACCACCCGCTTCTGGCTGGAGCGCGGCGTCGACGGCTTCCGCCTCGACACCGTCAACCTCTACTTCCACAGCCCCGGCCTCGAGAACAACCCGGCCCTCGCCCCCGCGGACCGCGACTTCTCCGCCGCGCCCTCCGTCAACCCCTACAACTACCAAGACCACGTCTTCGACAAGAACCGGCCCGAGAACCTCGCCTTCCTCCGCCGTTTCCGGAGCCTGCTCGACGAGTACCCCGGCGCCGCCGCCGTCGGCGAGGTCAGCGACGCCCAGCGCACCCTGCAGCTCGTCGACGCCTACACCGCCGGCCGCGAACGGATCCACATGTGCTACCTCTTTGACTTTTTGTCCCCGACAGGGTCGGCGCCGCGCGCGTCCGCGAAATCGTCGAGCGGTTCGAGGGCGCCGTCCCGGATGGCTGGTGCTGCTGGGCGCTCTCCAACCACGACACCACGCGCGCGGCCTCGCGGTGGGCGGCGCTCGCGGAGGCGGACCCCGTCGCGCACCTCAAGGTCGTCGCCGCGCTGCTCATGTCGGTGCGGGGCTCTTTGTGCATTTACCAGGGCGAGGAACTGGGCTTGACCGAGGCGGACCTCGCGTTCGAGGACCTCCGGGACCCGTACGGCATCCGATTCTGGCCCGAGTTCAAGGGCCGAGACGGCTGTCGCACGCCCATGGTGTGGGAAGCCGAGGCACCTCACGGCGGATTCTCCGATGCGAACCCCTGGTTGCCCGTGCCGGTAGAGCACCGCAAGCTTGCCGTCGACGTTCAGCAAGGGCACGCTGGATCCATGCTGGAGCACTATCGCCGGATGCTCCGTTTTAGGGCCTCGCAGCAAGCGCTCCGCGAGGACGATTCGCTTTTAGAGGCGGGGAGACGTGGTACTCTTCGTCAGGAGCCACGCCGGCGAGTCTATCATGTGCGCGTTTAACCTTGGCGCAAGCGTGGAAACTTTTAGTCTCCGAGGAGAGGAGGTCGAGGAGATAGAGCTAGAAGGGTTGACCGGGACGAAAGAGAACAGTGGCAATGTCCAACTGGGTGCTTATCAGGCATGGTTTGGGAAAGTGATCAAGAAGTGAGGCTGGCGTGAATTCGGGATGAGCAAGAAAGGCCAAAAAGGGACTGAGGGTAACCCGGAATATGGCTAGACCTGATGATACCATTTCACAATCGGGCGTTTGTCTTTCTTTCGAGGGACGTTCCGTGATGGGTCCTCGCCACAAGGGTTGTTCACTTTGGTCCCAGGGCGATTCCCAATCCCTACCTTTCCACTAGAATAAATCCGTCCGTGGATTGAATACTCCAGCTCGAAGTCTCACTTAGGGCCAACGGTCAAAGCTGGTCGGTCATGCCCACGCATGCTAATTTTGTGTTGATTATGAAAAAGCCAAAATCAGCCTTTCTATTATTAACCGTAATATTCCATCAAATGTTCGTTATCATCAAAATTTCCCAATGGTATCCTACTAATCCTAAAAACAAAAAACAGTGTAGTCGGTAGCTACGCTGATAAAACGCCGAGTCAAGTGGGCAGGAAATCGCCCAATGCATTTGTGTACAAGGGGATGGCGGAAAGGGTCGATACCTTTCCTTGTCGCCAGTCGCGCGGAGTCGCAAGTGTACATGGATGTAATCACTGAATGGTTGAATGCATGCCCGCTGCTTTTATCTTTTTACTTTGCACCAACACCGGGGCGGCTGTCCATGCTATACTCGTCGACCTGGCGATACTGGGCCGCACCCTCCGTCTTGTCGGTGACAGAGGCTGGAGCAGCGAAGGAACGCCAATATTTGGAAGTATTGGATGACTGAGGCTTGCGGTTGTTACCGTTGGTCGAAGAAGTCTGAGGCCAGTAGCGCTGGCGGATGCTGACGTAGATGGGCTTCATGGTGGGGATGCACGAGAGAATGATGGCTGAAGAGGCCTCCGCGTTGGACCACAGGACGATATTAACGACGGCCCCTAATCCATCAGGTATATTTAGCAATTGAGCTTTTAAAGGGGGAACAGATCACGAAGGACGAAAGCCAAGGTGGAGACCCCCAAGCGTTTGTATGTTTAACGTGGGGAGGGGAGGGGTTCCTTACAGGTCGGATCATCAGACTGGTTGAGGTTAAGGAGATAGGGCAAACGAATAACGCTCGAGACGAGTGTGCTACCACGTATGTTAATCAACCATTAGGCCTGGGGGTGCCCGTCGGGACAGCGGTTGGCTGAGGGTGGCAAAAGAAAAAGAATCCAAGCCAATGGAGTAGGACACGGCTCGTCTCCATGAGGAGGGGTGTCTTAGCACTTACAAAATACCAACTGAGCAGAGGGCGATGACACCGTACTTTTGCTTCTTGGGGAGGTTGAGATCTAAGGAGCACGCATCAAATGGTTAACATTGTGTTCATCCACTTCTCTCTTTCCATTCACTTTGTATCGCGTTTCTTCTTTCTCTCTGCTCTGTTTTACTCCGAAGGAGGCGAGACACTTACTCCGAAAGATAACGGAAGGAATGATGATGATGACGAGGTCGAAGACGATGTTGAATACTGCATCGACGTAGTAAAAAGCGGGCTGGTTGATGCATTTGCGACCGGGCATAGCCCGATCCCAGTAGGCATGGATGGGCTGGCACTGGAAGATAAGTGTGAAGAAGAATGCTGTCTCGGCCAAGGCGACGAAGGCGGCGAGGCACTTGAGCGGAGTTTTCCAGGAGTGCACGGTGGGTAGGATGCGGTTAAGGAACATCAGGATGGAAACCTTGACGAGACCTAGCAGAGGTGGGTAGAGGAGCTGCGAAGTAAAGCCACACTACGACGACACGGATCAATGGTTAGAAAGTGGCCGGTATGAGCCTCGAGTCTTGGCGAAGGGCGGTGCCGGGAATGGGATACACGTACCTTTTCCATCTTGATGCCATTTTCAGGACGTACGTCGCCAATGTGGCTACCCATTCCGAATGAAATTGCTATAAACACGGTGTGTTTGGTTAGTATATATGCTACCAGCTCCCATTGCGGTGCGCTTCGGAGACACAAACACGGCGCAAACATACCAAGAAACGTTGCGACGGTCAAGCATATGAAGAGAACCTGCATGTTTCCAAAGTCGACGGAGAGGAGGTTAGCGAGCTGAATCTGATGGGGCGCGTATTCGTTTTTCGTGGGTGGAAGGGGCGGAAACGTACGGTAGCTAGGAGACAGAGAATGTCATCAACGCCAATGTGTGTGTATTTTAAGCGACTGTAGAAGCGAAGTGACACCGCGATGATACATAGCGGAAGCACGGCGCCGATGAGGGCATAAATTTGGCCGGCGCGGGTCTCGGCTGGGGCGGAGCCCTGGGTGGACGACATGGTGAATTACGAAGGAGATGCGAGAAACATGCGCCGGCGGGGAGTGAGTCCTCGGATCAATTGATGTCTCTGGCGCGCGAATGCGTCGACTCGGCGGGCTCGTCGTCTCAAGGGATGCGTCGCGTGAATTGGGTCGCAACGGACGGAGAAAAGGGAAAAGACGAGATTAAAAGGAAAGAAGAATTATCCTTCTCCTCAAGGAGCAGGGCGCAAGATCTTGCAAGCCGGGCGGGGGAAACGCGCTCAGAGGAAGCTGTCGTGAGCTTAGGCAGGGCGTAGAAATGGAGATAGGGGAGACACGCAGGAGATTAGAACCAGGAGAAAAGCTTAAAATATAAGAGAAGAGGTGGTGACTGTCAAAGAGAGGCTAAGGCAGGGAATGTCATGGATTGGGGAAAGAGTTGATTCATGCCAAGGGTGTCAAACTCCCTCCTCCAGACCCTCGGACCTTCAGACTAACAAGACATATTTGGGGACACGGACACCGGCGGCAATGGGGAGAACATTGAAGGGAGGAGTATGGAAGGGAGAGAGGGCAAAACGACTTGAGTCTGTGTTACCTGCTTGCGAGCCGTCCCCCATCCACAAGCGGCAAAGTGAGCGATTAGAGTCAAAGATCACTCTAAATTTTTTTCTCTTATTCTTCTTTTTCATTTCCAGCGAGGAGTGAGTTGGCGCGCACAGATTCAGGTTGGGCGTGTAATAATATTACTTCGTACAAGTAATGGGGGCAAAGAGAGCAAGGGAGGGAATTGAAAAACAGGTTGAGTTCTTTGGTCGTGATCGACGGACCGTCCGGGAATGGGAGCCGGGCGCCGTGCGCGCGGGCGGGACAGGACCAGGGAAGGGACATGAGCTTTGCGAGCAGCTTCAGTCAATCAATTGAGAGTGGTGACGACGCCTGATCACGGCAAGAGAAGGGTATGGTTGGCTCGTCTGTGCCCCAGCATCAAGCCAGTCCAGATTTGGCGCTCGCGTCGAAGTTTGCCAGGGGTTCTTTCCCCGATAATATTAGTCAAGGTGCTTGTTCTCGTCGAGGTGGAGGGGTAAGCTTGCTGGCTGGCGGCTGTCTTTCAACCCGTTTTTGGAAGGGGGAACACTGCCCCAGCGAGCGAGGGAAGGAAACGATAGGAGAGAAAAGGTTTGGCGGGAAAGCGCAACGGTTCATGTTCCATTGCAAATGCAGATCATCGGGTCGCATATGTGTTGTGCCGTGTCGCCAGCGAACCGACTTTCTCAATCAAGACGACGAGACGAGGTCTTGAGAACAAATTGGGCGAATGGAGCGAGATTTCCGTTCAGATGCTTTCCCAAATGTCGCCGTGGGCGAAAGGCGGGTTTGCTCATAATTCCACGCCGCCGTTTCCTGTGAGCACCTTTGGGGTTGATGCCGAATCGCTTTTCGAGATGTGAACTATGCCCGTCGGGCTGTACCTGCCTGGAGTACGGACCTGTTCGCACGCCAGACTCATCGCTCCTTCCCTCGAGCCTCGATCTCTCCATGTACAAGTCAAACTGCCTCAGAATACCGAGGTAGTCGAGGAAAGAGTTACTTGTACAAAATGTGGAAACTGTCTAGCTCTGGTGAGAATGGAATATATTGAAAAGGCTTCCACGCTGGGTTGTAATGCTAAAGCCCCTGATTCTGCCAAGTACGCCTCCTTTACCGAAAAGAGGGAGGAACGATGACAAGCATTCTTGGCATCGAACCAACGGGGTCCATGCCCACCACAATTGATCCATCCACATGGGTGGACTTGGCAGAGCCCTGATTTTGTGTGACGAGAACCCAAGAGCCAGAACGATGGGTGGGATTGTTATTACAGATCTCTTCTTCAGACGTTGAAGCATATTGTATGTAATGTGGGCTTTTTCATACGAACCGGGCGTCCGACACAATTCAATGTTCATTTTAAAGTCCAAGCCGTACCCATCATCCACTGAGAGTGAGAAAGGGCGAATCAAGGGCTTTTTATTGATCTTTACGAAGGCGTCGGCCCCTGAACCCTTTCCCTGCCCGCCTCGTGGCTGAATGAAGGGCAACATTCAAATGATGGATCAATCAACGTCTAGACTGCCCAGCACGCTAGGAATCGTAGAAGGAAGTAATTCACGGGAGTGGAGATGATTCTGCGCCCCTAGTGCCGCTGGACTACTGAATAGCAAAACCTTGCATGGGTCGGCCAATATGTTGTGGGACGCTGCCTCCTCAATGCTCGAGTGATGTGACACCGGGACAACGCACTAGCTCTTGACAAAGACGTGCCAACTTGCCAGCGACTTCTGGTCAGAGCCTGGTTGGATTCAGGATTAACTTGTGATTTTTAGGACAGATCCGGGGAGGCGAGGGAGGATCTACAAGCACAGACATCAGGAAAATCGACATCAGGCCTGCTGATCCATCCCTGGATCAATGAAATCATTTCGAACCCCGAACCACACGCACGCCAAACACATTTCAAGACTCTGCAAATATCAGCGACAACCATTCTTGCGTCGTCACCGTGCTCCCAGGCTGGTCAGCCAATGGATGGGGCTGGAATCAACAGGGGCGGCTCAGCGATCAATTGATCGCTCAATGCGTTACACACTTCACCAGACGACACTGGTGACATGCGCTGTCAATGCTCTGCAGGCAGGGCCAGGGCCAGCCAAGGGGCCATCGCTACCTCCCCCACCCATGGTTTACATCTACGTACACCATCGAAACCAAACTCAGCATCAGACCAAGCCAAAAACAAGCTTATCTGGAGTGAGCGCTGGTTTTAAAGTGAAAACATAAAGGAGTTACACGTACCGAGGTGAGGACGCTAAAACCCAAGTAGGGGAGATGGGCAACGCTTCACATGGAGGGTACATGTGCCACTAGGAGCGAGGGTCTAGTCGTCCACTCGGCTACATCACATTAGTCCAGTATGTGTGACCTCTGATAGCTAACCTTCATTCACTATAACCGGCGGGAAAGAATTATTCACATGTACAGGGAAGATATTCGGCTTCCATCGACGAGAATTGATGATTTCCTGAAGCTGGCTGGCCAGCGTCCGACCGATGCCCACCACCGCCTCTTTGCCTGTATAATCTTGTCTACAGGTACCTCGCCATCCCCTGCTTTTTCTCCAGGTGGTCTTCCGTCTTGTGTCGTCCGCGCCCGGCCATCATCCCCATTCATTCCCCTGCGAGCATAAATGGTCTTGCCGCTGCTGACTACATTAGGGATGGGGCATGAATGCCTGGCTGCGACAAGGGGTGGGGAGAGGACATGAACCTCCCGGTGGGGTGGGGGAATGTCGCTGCGCGGGAGCTACTTGACGGCTTCTCCACTGCGATCGGCCAATTTCTCCCCTCCATATCAACTTAATACTTTTCTCGCCCGGTCAATGGGTACTTCGCGAGGCTCCCCAACCCGTCAACTACGTTTCGTGGTCGGCCTGGCCCATAGTCTACTTATCCACGAGACATCCCCCAGCGTGTCCTCAAATCAGTTTACTCGCTGGGGATAGTGCCTCTTGATCCATGACTGACTGATGTGGCTGGTCAGCGAACCGCTTCTGCATTTTAACACGATATCAAATCACTTCTTCGTAGTTATGGGGTTCAGACGTCAGGGAAATGCTATGAGCGAGTCGTACAGAAGAGAGAAGAACAAAAAGGCAAATCACGGCCGGCCTCCTCATGCCCAGCCAACATTGCAAAGGCGGCTTGTCTATCGAGAGGCCCTTGAGTAATACCATGCCCTCCTGCCCCTATGAGCTTACCAGATCTAGACTCGGGATCTGTCCACTCTAGCTATCGTGACCTTCGATTGGCAGAGTCGACAATGCATGTCGCAAACCAAACACCGTTGGCGAAGGTCATACATTAGCGTCCTAGGGCCCCTCCCCGTTCATCCTCGTCGGACCCGGCCACCGTTCGGACCAACTCCTCGCACGAACCCTCTCAACTCTCCCACCCCCGTTCCTGCCCGCCAACCACCACCACATCAATCTCATCGCCAGCCTGCTCTTACGATGGGCAAACCCCTTGCGGGATCTGGTTGCTGTTGGTCCTCCTCGGCACCCCGTACTTTGCCCCTGCGCCGAGCCCCCTTTTCGCGAATCCCTTCCAGATCTCGCACTTGTTCTTCCCCCAGTCAAAACTCGGTCGGCGTCGAGGATGGCATCTCGCGCTTGGACGAACGTCGGATTACACGGTTGCCTGGATACCCGTTTCCATCTGTTAGCCTTTCCTTGCTTCGTTTTCCTTCTCCCCTCGCTACCTTTGTGATGTGGCTTTTGCCCGCCCTCTGCCGCTTTGCGGCAAGGAGCTCCTTTTCGGCCTTTTCTCCCCTCAAAGACATGAAACCCCCAGGAACGGGGAATCGAAGGGTCCAGTTCAACTTACAGCGCCATGGCATCCACCACCAGCTTCATCGCGAGGTACTTGCCGTCCGTCGGCACGCCACCCTCAAACCTGGGCTGGTCTCCGTCGTTCTTCCCGTACTTGTCGATGAGGTTCCATAGCACCTCGTAAAGCATCGAAGCCCACACGAAACCGACGTCATGGACGCCCTTGAGGTTCGACACGTCCTTATACTGCGCCGGGTTTGTCTGCAGAGATGTCGAGTAGGGGAACAGCCGGATGCCCCCGGTTTGTTGGCAATCCATGCTCCCATCCCGTAGTCCTTGGCTCGCGTGTCCCCAGCCTTGAGCCGAATCGCTGTCGCCATGAAATCGCCCCATCCTTCTCCCATGCCTCCGGACTCGGCCGAACTGAGGCAGCCCGAATTGGCAGGTCCTCCCGTGAGCCGGGTCGATACTGTGGAACTGTGGTTAGCCTTTCTGGTTTCAATGGGAGAACAGGTGACGAAGCGACGAAGCAGGAACAGCCTAGCGCTCTTTCCGCCTTATCCGTCACCGATGTCGAGACTGCTTAACCCTCGTGTATAACTTACAACCGTGCGTGAACTCGTGAATAACCACCCCAGCCTCAAAGGACGAGTCCCTCGGGGGCGTCGACCGGTCGAATATGTACATCCTCATCACTCCCGGCCTCCCATCAGGCGGCGTGGCAAAGTTGGCGTTGTTGCGTCCCGAACCGTCCTGCGTATAGAGGACCACCAGGTCATTGCCCTGGCCTCCCTGCCCGTTGTTGTTGAGCTCAAAATTTCCCGCCTTCTCCGTGAATCCCAGCTGGTACAGCAGGTCGTGGTACTTGTTAGCCGTGTAGAACAGTTGGGTGATGGACGCGTCCACATATTGCTTGAAGTCTTGCGTGGCGGGGCTGTACGGGTACTCAAACTTGAGCTCCTTGCTGTCCGGTCTGTGATTGTTGACCACCGTATTACCGCCAGTAGGGTTGTCTTGCGCGATGCCATTGTTGCCCCGAGTAGTGGTGTAATTATGGGCACCGTCGCCAATCCACATGAACTCGGATGTTGCAAGGTTCCAGGGGTCGGGAATAACAATGCGATTGCCCTCCGTTGGGTCATTGAGGCCCCATGGACTGTTCCTTTTGTTAGCGAGATGCTCTTCGAGGAAGTTCAGCTGCTTGTATGTCTTCCCCAGTTTCCACTTGGGCAATGGCCGGGGAAAAATGATGTTAGGGATTGAGGTTACGTACTAAACCTGGTACGTTGCAGCATCGGCAATGTAGTCCACCACTCCATGGACCTCGTCCACCGTACCGGCATCCACATACGACAAGAGCCAATTGTCCGCCGTCGCCGTTTCTACCCTCCAGGCTAGTCGCAAGGCCCCATCCGGCCTAACAAAGTAGACCAACTTAGCCTCCGGCTTTTCCGTGGCCCCTCCGCCTGGTGGAAGATGTAGCTCTCGAGCCGGCTCTTGGCCTCTTCTACGAACGAGCTTCCCAGCGTCACCGGGATCTTGAGAAGGGAGACTGCGGCCCCCAGCGCGGCGGTAGGCGAGGCGAAGCTGCGCTTGGCCAGGGGTTGATATCGGGAAGCTTCTCTGTATAGAAGCTGGTCCCGTAAGAGAGCACGCTGCCGTCATTCCCAATCTATGGCATGATTGTTAGCGCGAAGTGGTAGGTAAGGGGCACCCTAGATTTCTTTTGTAAGAGGGTGAACTGAAACCAAACTTACGTTGACATTAAAGTCACCATTATCAACGTCAATCCCGTGGATCGTCTGCTTAAAACGAACGTGGGCGATTCCGTTGCTCCCGACATAGTGATCATCGACAACGCGATACTCGATGTTCGGATGGACGCTCTTCACGAGTGCCGATGCCGACTCCACGTAGGTTCCGGCCGACGGCGGCGAACCGGGGCCGTGGATGTCCGGCTTTGGGTCCTTGATGCCGATATACTTGGCAGCAGATGCCAAGCGGAAGGGTTCAATATCCACGCCGCGACGTGAGAGTATCTGCTTTGCATCAAGCTCAGCTGGGTGGGCTAGGGCTAAGAGAGCCCACCCAGTTAGTCCAACAAGCCTAGACACGGTTGCCATTGCTTTCCTGTCGTTCTATTGACTTGATGCTGGTTGTACTACGTGTCTTTGTCTTGATTTGTTCCTGTAAAGGGATGGAATAAGTCTGAAGCCGAAAGGTGAGCGAGTGGAACGAGTCTGTTTCGGTGCCTTGGAAGTAATGAACGAGTGTGATCGATATGAAGCTTTTGTCTATGGGCTCAATCGGGATAGTTGCCCTTCTTATACTCGTCAACAGAGTAGCTTCATCTCAGTCGCAACATTGGCATTCCTACGACTCTTTCCGACGCTGGATATAAGCCGTGATCGTCCTCTTCGCAAGAGAATAAATAGCTGTCTCAGCCTCGTTCGGGATGATGCCCTTCTTCCAGGGCCCAACTCCGGCTGCCGAGGTTCTCAAAGCGACCACTTTGCTGAGGACGGTGGCGGAGTGGAATAGAGCTGCTGAAAATGCCCCAGGTGGACGAATCGGTGATCACTAGGAGTTGTTCGCGGCTTCCGTTGACGCAAGACGTGGAGATTACCATTTCTTCTCCGGCCAAGTTCTCTCTCTCTCCAGAGACATGTTCGTGTCACTGCAAAGCCAAGATGGTCCATCGTTGCCTTCATCCACAGTGACACTTCCGGACCATCTCTTCCCGATCCACCATGGAATGGGGACATCCTGTCAGGTCAGACGAATCTTCTCGATCGACAGGCACAAGTTTCCTTTGACTAACAGCCCCTGAGCCATCCATAGACATCTCTACTTTTGCAACTATTGAAGTGTTTTGGCTCAGGTAGAGGTGTGATCTACCGTCAAGGCCTTCTTCTTACGGGCTTGGGATCTGTGTAGCAAGGCAACAATGCGCGTTTTATGGCCACCCTCAACAGATATGGACTACTCCTCGACTCAAGTATCACCAATTAACTCACAAGGTACTTTATCAGGCTTCGCCGAGGTATGGAACCTACTTTGTATGCAAGTTAAATCCTCGTACGCGTACAACATGAGATGCTATGTCTAGCCCGAGGACCGAATACCTGGAAAGCCCGCGTTCCACATCATCTGCGCAATGACGACATATATTGAGGATAAATGGAATATTTCATTGAATCGGACGAGTTTAATAGAACCCTCCGAAACCGCAACGACCGAGGCGCTACTAACTAATCTGATATTGGAGGCGGACGTGGGCAGTAGGTAGCTGAGAGTAGAGAAATCGTCTATTACGAGTCATCATACGCTATGCTACAGAACTATTGCCTCCGGAATTATTCCAAGACCTGAAAGAAGCCATCAAAACCATCAAAATTCATTTATGCTTATGTATCAATGTCATGGAAAAGAGCATTGACTCTGCAATGCTTCCCTTGAACGCCGAGTACTCCCGCTTAGCCCTCTCCTCTTTCGCCTTAAATACCGGTTTCTAGACTACCAATGATACTTTCTATCATCTGCTTTGCCTCTAGATGCGACAATAGGAATGAAGGCGCAAATATTCCTAGATCCAATCCGTTCTCCGCTACAGCTGCTTCCACATCAATCGCCGCCTATGCATGTGTTAGCCGAGGTTGCTCTGGATACTTCCATTCACGAAACGGGTCTATTACTTACGAGGAATGACGCTGTCACAGGATTTCCTATGAGCCACTGGGGCACAGTAAAAGGTACCTCGGCGGGTTCCTGGGTAGGCTGGAGAGAGTCATCGTGTAAAGGTTCTAGGAAGCCGTCCTGCCCCCTAGCCTTCGCTAACTTTGCCCCACCGTTAATGAAATTGACAAAGAGGTCAATGGTGATGCCGGTCCAGTCGGCAACCTCCCATAGTCCAACTGTAGAATTGGGAGCCTCCGTGATAGCGTGTATGTCTTGCTGTATGCGCATTGCGAGGCTCGTGATGGCCTCACCATCCCTGACAGTGGCCTTGAGGGGATTAAGTTCAAGGTTGGAAAGCTCTCGGGGAGTGTTTCAAGGAGAGCTCTGTTGGCGAGATAGGTACCAAACACGACAGTTTTCTCGCCGTCCTTGGCTTCCTTCGGAGCCGCAATACAGAGGGCGCAAGCTGCCAAGAAAAGAGACTGAAGACTGATTCCCACTCGGGAACAGAGCGATTTAATGGAAGAGATGTCTGGTATTGCGCCAGGCACGAACTGTGCCGTTTTTCTCTGGGTTTCTGGCCACTTTGGCTCTTCCTGGGGCTTCGCTGTGCCCGAATCCCCTAGATACTGCCTCCAGAAGCGACGGCGTCCATCCTTGGCCTCGGGGTAAGTATGCATATTGATGAAGTCTCTCCACAGAACAAGCGATGGGGCTTCAGATTTCGCCTGCCCAATGATGCGCGAAAATCTTTCGATTATGCTTGGAAGAGTGACCGCGTCATACAAGGCATGGTGAATGCGGATCGCGAGGACGCATGTAGCCTCGCTCTCTCTCTTCACATGAAGCTGAACCAGTTCACCATCTAACACGTAATCAGTCTGAGAAGGAAGAGCATCAACCCAAGCTACTCGAGAGCGGCGGAGAGCTGCCGCAGACCCGGCCTTGGCTATAACTTGAAGTAGCGGTGTAGAGTAATCCTGGGTCGTGACGAAGAACGTTCTCAGAATAGCTGTCTCCGACACAAGCAGAGCCCAAGCCTCCTCGAGTGCTGCCTGGCTTCTCATGCCTGAAAGGCGGTAGCGGAAAGTGGGGAAGAACAAGGCGCCGGATGAGTTCTGCCAAACTGACAGCATGTGGACTTGCATTGGCAGAGCGGGGAGAACGCATTCAACATCCGAGGAGGGGATTTTGAGGGATAAATGCTGACTCTCTTTGAGTTCCAGAATTGATGGTTCCGTTGCCGTAGGTAAGGCGGACACTTCCGTGGAGACTGAAGCCGCTGGGGATCTCGATTGAGAGCTCTTGGCAAGCTCGGCCATGTGGGATATTGAGGATGCCACTAAGAGCTGCCGGACGCTCAATGGAATTCCGGCCTCTCGCAGGCTTGCTGATGCTTTGATTGCTGTGATGGAGTCCAGACCAAGGTTATATAAGGTAGATGATTTCAAAGCATCTTCAGGGGGCATCCCGGAAAATTGGCAGAGCACATCCCTTATCTTTTCCTCCGTCTCAGTCCAAATCGTCGATCCCGAATCCTCGTCTGGTACGGCGTTCGCCACATCCCCGAGCTCTTCGCGAACTGTGATGGCGGGAGACCACAGATAAACACTTGAGAATCCTCAAAGGAGAGTAGATCGTTCTCGGGAGATTCCAAAATCTTCAGTAGGGCGCGGTCTAATTGATAGAGGAGGACATCTACATCTTTTGGTCCAGATGTGAGTTTTGGCAAGCGGTCCTCCAAATCAACCCACCATTAAGAGTTTCCAGCTCCACGCAGACCGGATATTCAACAGATGCGGAGCTTTCGACGGACCTCATCAAAGGCGCTTGCGAGGAACCTGACTGCGTATCCATTGATGATTTTTGAAAGATGAACAGCGTGTTAAAAAGCGGAGGATTGACCCCTTCTGCGGACAGCAGGGCTTTCCGTAACGGGTAGGATTGGTGGTCCCTGATATCCGCCATGTTCTCTTCCATGTAGCGCAAGAATTCAAGAATAGTCCCGTGAAGGATACACCTGAGTGCAACAGTGTTCATTGTCGGGAACATGATATCTTCCGCACCCTCAAAATCCCTTCCGGAGAGTACGACGCCAAACGTGAGGTCGAGCGACCGGCACATGGACGCCAAAACGGCAGCCCAGCAGGCTTGAGCGACCACTTGCAAGGATATACCGTGTTTCTTTCCAAAGGCCGTGACTTGTTGGAGCTGGCAATTCGATACAGCCTCTGCACGATGCAGAAGCTCTGCGTGAGGGTTTGTCGACACTAGCAATTGTTGCTCAGGACGCATTGCGAGCATTGTAGGGGCGGCATGCGCTAGGTACTGCTGCCAGAAACCGTGGCTTGAAGTGGATGATGACCAAATGTTTTGCAAGTAAGGCTCTGCCGACAGGTTATGCTGGGGCTTTCCGTAATAAACAGCCTCCACATTGCGGTGCAAGAGCCCCAGCGACCAGCCGTCATATAACGCGTGGGCTATGGATAGAAGCACATATCTCTGCTCTCCAATAGTCACGAAATGCAATCGGAACAGATTAGCCAGACCTCGCGATACGACGGCATCCTTCCTGGTTTTTTAATGAGATCTTGGACTTGATTAATGTTCTCCAGCTCGACCGTCTCAATTGGCGCCTCGGCAGAGCGCAGGATGACTTGGGCATAGGAAAGATCGATTGATGGACTCAGCACTTCAGCGAAAACCGTCCTCAAGATGTCTGAGTTTTGGAACACAGACATCCAGGATTCCTTGAGAAGTTGGAGGTCTACTTGTCTTGGAATTTCGAGCAAATCATGGTTGAAGTACTGGTGGCATTCGCTCTGAAGCATTTGGGAGACCATGCCTTCCTGCAGAGGAGTTGAAGGCAGAACGTGCTCAATACGCTCCCGGTCCAGGGCCCCGAGCTGGATTGAGCCAGCCAAATTTGCTTTGAGACGTTGGTACTGCTTGGATGCAGCTTCCAGCGTGTCGTCGGGAGTTTTATTGAGGTTCTCGACGAGATCTACCATATCGGCGATTGTAGCGCACTTGACGATTTCTCGGGCGGAGAGGGAGATATTCCGGAATCTTAGTTTCGCGGCAAGCTTGACAATATCTATGCTGTCCAGGCCCAGGTTTTGGACTGTAAGGTGCCCGAAAAGGTCTCCTGCACGCACGCCACTGGCCTCCGAGAGCTCTTTGATCAATACCTCACTCGCGCCGGAAAGATTCGGTCGCAGCGCGGAGTTGGTCTCTGAGTGTCCGTTGCTGGTGACTCGACTGCTGGAGCTTGCATTTATTTGCGAACTACGCGGTTTACCATTCATTTGATCGAAGATGAGAGACTTGCGGTCGGCAAGAAGACGGTTAATATTTTCAAGGAAATTGTTCACGAGGGCCGAGGTCTCCTCTCGATCGCGTTGATCAGCTCGAGAGACGACCGAAACCTCTAGAGAATGCCCCTTCAAAACGGCTTCAAATGCCAGAGGATAGTCCGCAGTAGGGGATCCTCTTCAATCCTCCAAAGTGGAGCGTGCTGCAGCTGCCGCTCCGCAGTTTCAACCTGAAAGGCAAAAAGATTGTCAAAAGAGGTTGGCCGGCTGAGCACCATTTTTGGATATCTCTCAGCGAAGTGTGCTGGAACGCGGATACCGTGGCGTTGTATTCGTGACACCGCTTGATCAGTGTGGTCCAATCGACGCCGTTGGCATAGTCGGAGAAAAATGGGAGGGTATTGAACAGAGGCCCGATCGTGTTCTCTACGCCTTCACTCTCAATTACCCTTCCTGAGACGATGATCCCTGTACTGACGCCCCCTTTGGCCTCAGATTGGAGCGTGGCGATCCAAAGAGCCAGCACTAGGGATTGGAAGGTCACGTCGAGCGATTTCCTGACCTCATCGAGTGCTTCAATTCGAATGATCTCACGTATGAGGACATCAGGAGTATTAGGGAGGCTGGGAGCACCATGGACAAAGGCTTCGGTGCGCTGCAACCTTGTAGATGCCGCGTCCAGAATTCCCGTGTGGAGTCGTGCTTCCAGAGTGGGCCAAGTGGCAGCAAATCGACAAACGCAGGGCCTACTGGGGGATTGCTGGTAGTAATGATCGAAAACAAATTTGAGAATGGTGTCGAAACTATTACCATCGTAGAGTCCGTGGAAGATGTGGATGTTGTGCTGGATTGTATCGGAACTCTGGTTGATGATGAGCTGCATGGGCTTGACAATATGAGGCGAGTTTTCGTTGACCCAGTCGGTTCTCAGGCGGCGCTCCTCAATCGTGTACGATTCAGAGGGTAGTGATAATTGTATCCATGGGGCTGGAGGGTTGCGAAGGGCAGCTTGGACGAAACCATCCGGGGTCGCAACGAACACAGTCCTTAATATGGCGTGTGAGGCGATGGTCGTTTCCCATGCGGCCTGGAGCTTTTCTATCGATGTTTCGGTGGCGAGAGAGAGCCGGAAGTTATTGAAGTAGGTGGACTGGTCTGCTCCAGCTCCCGCGAGGGCCCTGGAAATAATTCCTTGCTGAATGGGCGTGCAGGGGACCACATATTCGATGTCGTGGTGCTGAACGCCGAGTTCCCGGCACACCAAGCCGCGCCATCGGTGGTCGCACGCTCTCATTGATTGCCTAGCCTCTGAAATTCTGTTGTTGTTCGACAAAGCTGGTGCGTCCTCCAACGCTTGCACGAGATCGCCAACAACGGGATGCCGTAAGATGAGTTGAGGGGATACATTGAGACCCCTGCTGCTTAAGAAGCCTGGCTAGTCGTGGGACTGAGATGGAGTCAACGCCAATTTCAAACACGCTTGTGTCCATATCTACTGCATCTTCTCCAGAGCCACTAAAGCTTTTCAGTGCTTCGAGGATCGTTAAACCAATCTTGTTCAGGGGACGATTATTATGCGAGATGGTGGAAGAAAGCTTGGCGAGATCTTGAGCCGAGAGGTTGCTGAAAAAGGCTCTCAACTCCTTGACTTCAGCTTTGTTGTTCCGGGATAGAGGAATGTATGGAAGGGGTATAATGTATGTGGGGACCATGTACCCCGGAAGGCGCCGCTTGCAAGCCTTCTGGCATCGCTGCAGGCAGCGCTGATCTCTCTACCTTCTAGCACGCTCAGTCCCGTGGGGGAGTCTGCTGTGCCATCTCGTTGCGGAACGACGAAAGATACTAAAAGATCCTTTCCTGTCTTGTTATTCTTCGCTACAATCGTAGCCACTTCGCGGATATGGGGCACCCCAGATCGAATGGCATGGTCAATCTCGCCGAGCTGAAGGCGCTGGCCGCGCAGTTTGACTTGGTCATCGGCTCGGCCCAAGAAGTCAAAGGAACCATCATGAAGCAATCTGACCAGATCGCCCGTTCGATAAACCCTTTCCTTGAAAACCTTGAGAGTCGGAAATCTCTCCTCGGTCAGTTGGGCACGGTTTAGGTAGCCTTTACCCACGAGTTTCCCAGACACGCACAGCTCCCCGACACCTCCCTTTGGTACCAGGATTTCCGTACCTTGTCGGAAGACATACGTTCCAACATTGGGGAATTGTCGGCCAATATTGATCGGTCTACCGTTCGACGGCACCTGCTGCCTCATGGTGACGCCAATAGTTGCTTCCGTTGGCCCGTAAGCGTTATAAATGACGCCCTTGGGGCCCCATGCGTCTAAAATGTCCTGCTTGAGCTGCTCCCCTCCGGTAATAAACACCCCCTCCAGAGAGAAGGCACCTTCTCGGGTCGGACAAGAGAGGCGAGACTTGGTGTAAGATCGATGTGAGTGACTCTCAGCCTCTTAATGGTCCCTTCGAGATCGTCGAGAATGAGATCTTTCGGTGCTGATACGACCGTCATCCCAACAGACCAACTCCAGTATTGTTCGAGCACTGAGACGTCGAAGTGAAGGGATGCGAATTGCAGCCATCGGGAGTCATCATCCCAGTGGCCTCTAAAGAGGCTCTGAAAGGCCATCAAAGCCTGCACCGTGTTCTCATGTGTTATCTCGCACCCCTTGGGCTCGCCAGTAGTACCAGAAGTATAAAGACAGTAGCAGGTAGCATCAGGGGACGTCACACGAGCTTGGGCGTCAAAATCTGTGGTGCCCGGCAAGGAGTGCTCCTGGATCTCCACAACCGGGATACTGGCCTGGAGATCTAGGTCGCGCTTGGACCGCACAAGCAGCGCCGCAGCCTTGGAGTCCTTGAGGATGAACTCTCGACGAGCGACAGGCGCTGAAGGGTCAAGGGCTAGAAACGCGCATCCAGCTTTAAGGATGCCAAGGATAGAGAAGTAGGCCTCGGGGCATTTGTCAAAGTGTACGGCCACTATTGAACCAGGTAAAATATTGCGAGATAAGAGTGCCGCAACCCTATCACCAATATCATTCAACTCAATAAATGTCCAAGTTTGAGAGACGGCTGCTTCGCCGATAAAGTCGCTCACGAATTCTAGAGCAACTTTATTCGGCCTTAAAGCCGCTTGGGCTTCCACTAGTTGATGAGCGAGTGTGACCTCGCTAGGGAGCTCCGAGTTAAGCGCCGGGGCTATGGAAGCCAACGAAGGGGCGTTTGGCCATAGATCGTCTCCTTTTCCTTCCGGTTGAAGGAGAAGATGACGCAGAGCAGCGTCAAGCTGATTGAGAATAATGGACGCCTGTTCTTGCGGCAGAATGTCTGTCTTGAATGTGATACAAAAGCGTATGGGGGCATTGGCTGGTGTTTCAATCTCGATCGATACGGGATAGTCCACGACTCCCTCATCCTGTCTGACCACCCAGGGCGCTGTAGTGGAGCTCGAGCTTCTTTGGTACACTAGGAGGGTGTCAAACGGAGAGCGGCCAGGGTGGCCGAGCCACCGCTGAATGTCGGAGAGCCGAGAGAATTGATGGAGATGGAGTTCCTTGTTAAGCGACATCATAGAATCGAGCAGACCTCGGTTTGAATTGTTATTTTTCGCGATAACGGGTACCGTCGTTATACAGGGGAAGGCCGCCTTTTGCATCGTTTCATCAACCCTTCCGGCCAAAACCGTTCCAAAGATTACAAGTTCCTCGCCAAGATAAGCGGATAGAACTCGGGTCCAGGCGGCTTGTAGGGCAGCCTGAAGGGAAATATTGGCGCTTCTGCAAGCATGCGTTGCTTCTTTAAGCGAAAGCGACGAGTTAGTGGAGAGGCTCTGCAGTTGGCCTTGGGCCACTCGCAGAGGCGTCATCGTCGGGAAGGGGTTCACCACCGCTTCGCCGGAGAATGAATTCCAGAAGGCCTCGCTGTCCTTCTGGCCGTCCCTCGACATGAGTGCCAATAGGCTTCCAACGGCCTTTTCAATTGTGACAGACTCGTGTGCTCGACCACCGTTGATGCAGCGGGCGAGATCGCCGAGGATTATCTGTAGAGAGTGGGCATCGTAGAGTGCGTGGTGAATTGTTAGGTACATCGACACCCGATCAGCCTGTTCCAACAGCGATACTCTCCAAGGTGGTTCGTGAAGGGTTTCCAAAACTTCCTGAGCCATGTCGAGTTTCCATTTAGCTAGATTGAGCTTGGAGCCCGGAGGCATGACTGAGACCGGCATCGGTATAGCGTTGTGTGTGTACTTGACCATAGCGTAACTGATATCTGGGTAATCAGGGCTGTCTAATTGAACGAATCCCACTCGAAGCATTGAGTGCGTCCGGAAAGTAGCCTCCCATGCCGCCATGATATCGACTAACGGTAGCCCAGCTTCGAACTCGACATGAAGGTGGTTGAAGTAGGTTCTCCTCGTGACTGGTCGAACTCGGTCACCATGGCTATTTGAATGGGCGTACATGGCAGGACAGACTCGAAAGCATGGCTCGTTCGAGGGAGAAGCGGGCTAACCGAGCTCTGGAACTTGAATACATCAAATGGTTCAAGCGCTTCTGATCCAGAACTAGACTTTTCTTTAGGCAATTTGCTAGACCCTCACATGTCGGATGGTTGAGAATATCAGTCGTCGCAACATTGAGACCCTTCCGTCTCAAAAGTGATGCCAGTTGGACAGCATTGATGCTATCGAGGCCAAGTTGAAATATCGTAGTCCTTTTCCGAATCTTAGACTCGTCGGCCGATGAAAGATGAGAAAAAGCTGCCCTGATTCGCAATTCTGCGTCCGACCATGGCTCCTCGCTAGCGAGTGCGTTTGAATGACCGATAGGGGACTTGGATCTCTTGGTGGTTATCTTCCGAAGCCGATTCCTTGTGTGGGCGGGGAGATCTTCAAGTATACGAAGAGAAGATGAAGGGAACTGAGTTGAGAATGCCACTAAATAATTCAGTGCATCCCCCAGTGCAGCAATGAAAGGCGCATCGAAGTAAGACCTGTTCAGATTCCGTCAATTAGTTGATTTTCTACCCCCTTCTCCATCGCCCAGTGTAGATTCCAAGCCTTACCTGTCGTGGTGGAGAGTTATGGTTATCTCGTCAGTGACTGGGTCTGGGATGATTTCACAAACTAATGGGACATCCATCCCACCAGAATCCATCATCAACTCCCAGACAGAATCATCACGCTTCTCGGCGGGAGGTTGAAGCAGAAGAAGACTATTAAAAAGACCATGGGAATGCCCAAGAAGTCTCTGGATGCGCCGCAACGGGGTAAACTGATATTTCAAAATCTCAGGGTTCATGCGTTGGAAGTGCTGGAAGAGGCTGGAGTTATGTTCATGGGCCGATAGATCGACTCGAAATGGAATGGTATTGAAACAAGGGGAGACAAGTCTCTCAATGTCGTCCAGTGGGACAGATCGTCCATTCAGCACATTTCCGAAGCAGACATCTTTATCCCCGGTCATGATTGCCAGTAAGTTGGCCCAAAGTGCTTGAAAGACTGACAGTAGCGAAAGGTTGAGCGAGTGACAGCGGGCTTCGATCGTTGCCCGAGGCGTATCCAATCGAAGGCTATACGATTGGGAGTGGCCGGGCTCCCTCTTGCATCCGTGGAGAAAAAGGTAGCCGGTTGGAAGTTGAGGAAATGCTCCGACCAAAACGCATCTGTGCTAATTGGCAGGGACAGTGCCTCACGCAAAAAGGCTCCGGTGACACAGGGGGTAGCAACGATATACCATTCGCGAGCATCTCCACCTCCTGTAAGAGGGTGGTCATTGCAACACCATCGTAGATGGCGTGATGGCAAAAGAAGCAGAGATATGGGAAATCGTCCTGGAAGACAACACCCAAGGAAAACGGGGGCGTCATTGTATCCACAGGGGAGCCTACTTCTTTTTCATCCGTTCCAAGTTTTCGTCAACACTTAGGCTGGAGCATGTTGTAGTTTGCCACGGCATTCTGCTCTCCTCAAGAACCACCTGGACAAATGCATGGTCCGGATCATCTGTAGACATGAAGCAGGTTCGGAGGATCGAATGGCGCGCGCACATGACTTTCCAGTATTCCTCCATATCGCTTGGAGAAACTTTGAGACGAAGAACTATGTTGTTGTAATAAATGTCGTCGAGAGGGGAAGCGAGCATAGCTTCCTGCAATGCAGTGCACGGGAGGATACTGTGAATTGCAAGATCTTTATCCTGGAACTTAGACGCGACGGGGTGGATTATTTCGTCCTTTGGAAGCCAGGCGGCTTGTCTCAGCTCCTCACGATCCTGTGATTGCTTATCTCCAGTAAAAAGAGCCCTTGTCAGTTGTGCAACCGACGGATTCTGCAGCACTAAAGAGATGGCGACCCGTTTCTCGAGGATAGCGGACAGAGATTTAGCCAAAGAGATGGCAGTGATTGAATCCAGTCCCAGGGTGACAAGCGGGGACCAACGAGTGATGACGGCCCTATCCACCTTGAGCGACGAAGAAATAGCCTCCATGACTCGGATCTCATCATTAGAAAGTTCTGACACCCCATCAACGGCTGCCTGCGCGATGGAGGACATCCCTTCCAGCGCATCTAACGCAAGCTCCTGGAACGCTACTCGAAGCTCAGCCTTGGCGACCTTCCCGCTCGGCGTCATTGGGATGACAGATATTGGTATCAGGTATGATGGGACCATATAGGAAGGCAAAGAAACTTCTAGGGCCGAGAATAGGCGATGTTGGTACGCCTTTTCCTCCTCCGGCAACTCAAGGACCTTGAATCGTTGGCTAGAGAAGTAGACTTGGCATAAAAGGCCACGAGCTGCTGATGATCCCCGACGCTTCGGGATAATGGTATCACGACCGAAGACGATACGAGCCCTGTCTGCGTAAGTAGACTGCTAATTTCGCCTACATCGATCCGCTGCCCCCGCAGCTTGACTTGGTCATCCAGCCTTCCGAGAATGAGGATTGAGCCATCAGGTAGCATCCTACCCAGATCGCCTGAGCGGTAGAGAGTACCAAAACTCGGATGAGCGATAAATTTGGAAGCCGTGAGCGCAGGCTCATTGAGGTAACCTTGTGCGACTTGATCGCCACCGAAGCACAGCTCACCAACTGTGCCAAACGGGGTTGGGAGAAGACTTCCGGGGTAGAAAACGAATGTGGAGGTGTTTTCAAAAGCATGCCCAAGGTGCTCAATATGATCTCCCTCGGCCATCTTCTTGACCGTGCAGATATTCGTAGTCTCACTTGGCCCGTAGCCTGATATTCAACGTCAGCGTCGCAGCACAAGAACATTTGGCCATACAATCCCTAGATAGCTTACCTTGATATAGAGCACCCTTCCACTCGTGAAATACGGCTTGCGTCATTGGCTCACCCGCGGTTACAAGGAACTGGACGTTTGGTACAGCCTTTCGTTTGACCAGCGACGCAACTGTCGGTGTCATGCTCAAGTGAGTGACATCTAACTCTCGAATGGCCTTTTCTAGATCCTCAAAAGAACATCATTGGAGGCGGAACAAAGGCACATTCCAGTTTTCCAGGTAAAGAATATCTCAAAAACGGAGACATCAAAGGCTTGGGAGCAGGACTGGAGCAGCCGGGAGGTATCTTCGACAGGATAGATGCCCTCTAATGTATCCAGATGGCTAACAATGTTTAGGGTGGTGAGTACAACGCCTTTCGGAGTCCCCGTGGTTCCCGAGGTGTAAATCACATAGGCCGGCCGGCTGCCATCACTCAGCCTTGTCGGTGTTGAATCCGAGAATTTTGTCAAGTCGGCGCGTTGGACATTTCCATTGGCAAGGCCGGGGATAGCCTGAGAGCTGTCATCCAGAAGGCATATCGATGCTCGAGACTGCTCGAGGATGGCTTGGATGCGCTTTGGTGGGGTTGATGGTAGGATTGGCAGATAAGGACGCCCACATTTTAGAATGCCGAGCAGGGATGCATAAAATAGAGTCGACTTTTCCATTATTATAGCGGCAATGCGATTGTCACCGCCGGGGTCAGTTTCGCGAATCCATTGAGCAATTCTATTTGCGAGGTTATTGAGCTCCCCGTACGACAATGTCTCTTCCTCACGTTGTCCTGATGAGAGGGATCTAGCAAATACGACTGCCAGCTTGTCGGGCGATTTTTCTGCCGACAGTTCCACGAGTTCGGCGAGATCTTGGCTTCCGGCATAGCGGCGGACCTGTGGGTTATGTATGGAAAGGAAGTGGGGAGGCAAGTCTTCTCTCAATGATTCGAGTGGCGCTGTTGGCTTCTGGACAAGCTTCCCTATAAGTTGATCAAGTATGCTGAGCAGCATATCCGCTAGCCCTAAATCTAGGATATCGGCGTGGTAGGTAAGTTGGGCATGGTATTCTCCTCCACGGGGCTCAATCTCGAGTAAGATCGGTGTCTCTAGCATGTCCAAGTGAGAGACTTGCTGGATGTGGGCACCTTTGGCTTCTTGACTGGGTAGGGACTCCTGATAAACGAACAAAACGTCGTACAGACTCTGCTTTCCCGTTAGGCTTGCTAGCTTTTTGATGTCGGTAAGCGGGAGTAGTGCATGCTGAATCACCGATCGGTTGGTGGTGTGAATAAGTCGGAGAAGATCAGCAACGGTCGGCACATTGCCCAAGTTGACCCGGAGAGGCAATGAAGCAATACATGGGCCAATTATGCGTTCAACCTCTGGTAGATCTACGGTGCGACCGGAGGTGACTGAGCCGATCACCACGTCTTCTAAGCCAAGGACTGCTGACCAAAGCCAAATTAAAGCCGCTTGAAATAAAACTTGAGGAACGATTCCGAGTTCCCTCACATAGCTCGTCACGGATTCTCGGCTTACCGCAAGTTTCGCGGTTGAGCTGTGAACTGTATGTTTGGACTGCGGAAGACGCGCTGACAGTTTTGGCAAAGGCATCTTCTCCCATCCAGACAGCTGCGCGGCCCAAAACTGTCTAGATGCGTCGAGATCTTGATCCTGAATATTATCGAATAATGAGGCCAATAAAGAGAATTGGGGACGTGCTTGAGGGACGACCCTTGCAGTAGAGCCCATAGATCCGTCAGCATCATATCGAAAGACCAGCCATCGTAAATGCTGTGGTGCAAATGGATGAGGGCACGATGCCCAGCGTCATTATTCTCCAGGATCTGGATTCTAAGGGGACGGAGGAAATCCGCCTCCTCCGAAATTTTGAACGAGGTGTCAAAAGACTTTACCAAGCTGACTTGGGAATGGTCGATCTCGTTAAGGACAATCTGAAGAAACTGGCCCTCGTGGTAAGCAAACCCCGTCCTTAATATTTCGTTGGCCTGGATGAGGGCGAGAAATGCGGTACTAATATCCGCTGCTTTCAATCCCACCGGAAACTGGAGTTCAATAGCGTTGCAATAGGCCACTGGGTTATGGCTTGTCTCAACCAGCATCGATGACTGCAAAGTAGTGCATGGCAAGATTGCCGCAATCGAATCACGGATTTCAGACAGAAAACTGTGGCCCGCTGCTATGGCTGGGACGTCTCTAGAAAGATTCTGGGAAGTGCTGACCAGAGGGCCACTGCCGCTCGGCCTATCAGTTTGAGTAGTGAGGGTACTACAAAGCTCTTGGACAGTTCGAGCTTTCAAGATTTGGATCGAGCTGACATTGAGCCCATCCCGCCGTAATAGAGAAGAGAGCTTGATGGCACCTAACGAGTCGATTCCGGCGGATACCAGGGCTGTTCCCAGTCCAACCTTTGTACCAGTCATTGCAGATATCGTCGTGATAAGACGCATGGCTAAAGGCGACACCTCATTTTCGATATTTCCTCCAGAGTCGCGCTCGGAGAGCAACTTTTGGTAATCCGCCTTTAGTTGCTTGCGGTCGACTTTCCCCGATGCTAACCTCGGAAAGCTTTGCATGGCTATGATGTCCCCAGGAACCATAAAGGCAGGGAGCCACTCAGCACACATCTGCGCGATTGCCGTATCGATGATACCCATGTCTTCGTGGGCGTCAACCGCGCAAAACAGAACGAGAATGTTGTTGACAACGGCAGCCACGGCGCTGTGGCACCCAGGTACCCGGAGAGCCGCGTGCTCCACCTCGCCAAGTTCAATGCGCTGGCCCCTAAGCTTGACTTGACCCTCCGACATGCGGCCTAAACATTCGAGCGCGCCATCTTCGCGGATTCGTGCTAAATCCCCAGTTCGATAAACAGGACCAACAGGCGAATCGACAAAAACGGATGCAGTCTGTTCGGCTCTATTAAGGTAGCCCTCGGCATTTTGGTAGCCTCCCACTACGAGCTCGCCGATAGACCCGCGCGGCAGGACGACGAAAGACGACGGGTCCTCGGGCTTGTAGTCTCCAGAGATGACGTAGCAGGACACCGTGTCGAGCGGAATCCCAATAATGTTGGGCGATGAGTTGGAGGACATGCCTGGGACAAGAGTACTAGACGGGGCCATACTGGTTAGTTATCTGATGGGGAACCAACCACACGCCACACGACAACGGGATATGGTATACGAAAGGAAGCCTTACCAATGTATCGCAGCCTCGGTTGGTCCATACATTGCCCAAAGCATTGTTTCCACCTCCGGGCTGCCTCCAAATTCTTTTATAACGGGCTCACTGAGCATTTCACCAATGGTCAAGAGCAGCTTCAAGCCTGGGGCATTTTGGCGGCTACGCAGTAAGCTGCCAGCAACGGTCGGGGTTAGCTCGCAGGCGTCGACATCCAGGTTTGTAATCACCATGGGGAGGTCATCCAGCATGGCTTCGCGATTACAGCTAACCAGTGTCGACCCACGAAACAGTGGAAAAATATTTCGAATACGGAAACATCGAATGTGGGGGCGGCAAATTGTAGGAAGCGAGAGAAGCGAGGAATGTGTCTATCGTGGGCTAATAAACTCTGGGTGGCCGCCTGATGAGACACGCCAACTCCCTTTGGGGTGCCAGTAGAACCAGAAGTGTACATGATATACGCAAGATCCGTTTCTTTAACGGCAGCAGGAACATCTACATTAGAATGAGATACGCAGTCAGAGATTCTAGGAGCAATGACAGCTCCCAGATCCTCTGTAGAATCGGCGTGGTCATCATCTAGTACGAGGACCGTTACGCCGTCCAGGCCGAGCGGAAGACGGCTCTTGAGATCACTGGTGGTGATAAGCACTTTGGCTTGAACGTCGTCAAGAATGAAGCGCACTCTCTCAGTCGGCGCATCGAGGTTCAAGGGGCAAAAGGCACCACCAGCTTTGAGAATAGCTAGAAGGGATATATACAAGTCTGGTGACTGGCGTAGAAGAACGGGGACAATAAACCCGGCTGTCTTTGCTGACGGGGAGACGGAAATACGTCTTCGGATCCTGGTCGCGAGAGCTTCGGAAGCTGTGTGGAGTTCTGCGTACGAAAGTAAGACCCGAGACCCATCGGCTAATAAGGCATCGATCGCCGGGCTAGTATTATGTGATGGGGTTGAGACGAGCTCATGAAGGAGGCCAGGGCCCTGAAGCCTTTCCGGCCTAGGATTTAGTACTGAAAGGGACGACATTGCAAGTTATTCTGCCACAGAACAAGCGCGGGGAGAGAACTAGACGGTGATGAGTCGATCAACAAGTGAAGGCAGGACTAGCACGTTAGATTATGTGGCTAGCCAAAGGCCGAAGACAGACTCAGGCAGAAGAGCAAGTCGGCGAGAGGGGGGACTCTTTGCAGAGAGTGGGTGGGAGGGATGAGCCGGAAGGCAAGAAAGAAGGACGCGTTACGCTGGAGAGTGAGCCATCCAACCACTGTGATTCAAATGTTAAGCTTGTTTCCTCGACTGGGCCAGAGCAACAAAAGGAAGAGGAGCCTTCAAGATTACCGCAGGAAGCTCGAGACGAGTCGTCACAGTCGGCCCTCCTCCCCGGGGTGAGAATAGCGAAACGAAAGGTAGGTTTGACGAACGGCCAAGCGCGATAGATCGCGGGCAGAGGCACAAGCTGCAGCTGCAGGGCGGGCAGCTCTGGAGCGGGACGAATCAGGATCGAGGGGATTGTAATACAGAAGACAGGAGCTCTCGCTGTGAGCTACCAAGTGATGCAATCTGCAGACAATATCGGATTGCAGGTCTGAGACCTGCTTGAGCTGGTGGAGGTTGGTGTCTGTCGTCCCCGCCCACACGAGGGAGCGAACTGCGGCGCCTTTTGTTTTTGTGTTTCTCTGCATGAGGCGTCCTTGTGTACCAGAGGGTATTATTACTTTGTAGGGGAAATCGTGTGTGCCTGGGGAGCTTCCCCAGCTTCGACCAGCTGATGTTGATTTTCCAAGTTGGGAAGGCGACCTCCACGTCCACGTCCAAGAGGGGCAAGTTGCATCACGACGTGAGCCTGTCACAATCGAGATATTACTCAGCCAAGGCAAATGCGAGCAGACTGACAGGACACAAGAGGGGACTCGAGAATGGGGGTTTGAAATCCACATGGATCAATCCTTGCTCGAGTGCGAAAGGTGATGCGTGGGGAGGGGGCATGGAACATCAAAGCCTCGAAGGTACGAGCTTTGACTCCGCCCACATGGGGTTGGACGTGAGGGTGGGATTTCAACGACCGGGATGCTGATGACCAAGGCCCTTCCTCTTGACCTTTTGGCGCGCCGGAGGATAGTGGGGTGGGCCTGGCCAACCTCCAGTTCAATGAACAAACAAGGGTCGAGATTCACCGGCTGCATACCACGATGGCGAGCTTGTTTAGAGTCTGGAAATTGAAAATGTGCTGCTGCGCGCGGCTTCACTCAAGTATTTTTAAGTCGTTGAATGATGGGGAATCGGCCGTCGTTGTCTTTTGGCGGGTGCTCACAAATCTACCATCACACCTCCACTCCTGCCCATCTGCGATGACGCAACCATCTTCCATCGACTATTAGTACGGCGCTTGCGGGTTGGCCAGTCGCCAATCGGCCTCCGGCCACCGGAGGTGCTAAAGGCGTTTGAGTGGTGAGTTTCAGAGCATCAATGTATTTTCCCGGCCCTCCAGCTCCTTTCAGCGCCGTGGAAAAGCGGCCATGACTAAAATTGATCAGAGCACAGGTCCCCATCTGGGCTTCCATTGCATCCTTGCACCAATAAGCCCACCAGAACGCCACCCAAGCCAGGTTGGCCCACACCACCGAGGGATCGAGAGTGGGGGTTAGTGCTGTGCAGTCGAGCGAGTCGCTAGATCACAAGCCAGCCTTGACCCGGAGGGCCCAGCGCAGCAGCGGCGAAAATGACAGATGGCAACAAACACCCATATACAACAAGTACGTGGAGATGGCAAAGAGAGCATTTGAGGAGGAGGGGGAAATGGGCGAAAGGAAACAAGACGAAAGAAAATCCGGCCAAGACGAGATCCTGGTGATGCCGTGTATGCGAGCGCAACCAATCCGTGGGCCATCCGCACTCACGCCTCCGGTCCCCTTCCTTTCGCAGAGCGAGCAGTCGGTCGGGGTTTTCTTCAAACTAGCGTCTGGCAGGTTTTCGGCAGGCCATGCGCTCGCATCAGCTCTAATGGTCGATGACCCGCATCAGACGAGGTTGGCAGGAGTTTCGGAACCATTCGAGGCTCCGCTGGCCCTATGGAGGATTCGGCGGGCAGTTCCGCTCCATCGACTCGCATCAGCTCCTTCTTTATTTTCTTATTCTTCCTAAGGCTCTTCTTCTTCCTAAGCCCTTACTCAAGACTTAGCGCTGATCATCTTACCGGTATGCCAAGTACCAAGTTCATGAAGATGCTAACAAGACTATTCATGGGTGCTTTAGGGCTGATGAAAAACTGCTTGACGATCGGCATCCCCCTCCAGTTAAGCCAACCTACCCTACCGGCTTGCGGCATGTGCTATATCATATTCAAAGTTCTTTTCCGGATATGATTCATCGACTCTTCTATGGAGCTCAAGGACGTGGAGACTAGAGAAAGCCCGATGCCAACCTATCCATTGATGGTGAAGGCAACACAGAAGCAAAGGAAACAGCAAAGTAGAGAGAGAAATCCGAAGCAGTCTATGAAGAACTCGAGTCTGCGGGCGGCTATAGTAGGCCCTTTGTAGGGATGCAGCACCCCGACTGCTCCACAACTGAGTCGAAGAAGTGATCAGATACGAAGCCACTTGCGTGAACTATTCTAGTTACAGAAGATGAAGATGCCATGCCGACCCGCTTAGGCGCTAAGATGCAACACGAAGGATCCATCACTCTCGAGTAGAAAGGCGCAATGCCGGTGGTGAGCGTCGTTTCCTAGTGGGGTGAGGAGGTCGGGAGAGATCGGACCTCTCCGGTACAAGTGGCGTCAGGTCAAGTAGGGTCTACAGCAGCCCTCAGTGCAGCTCAAACCTTTTTAGGTAGCATAACAATAGAGACTACCAGTACTCCATCCAATGGTTCGATGCTGCAATGCCTTCACCGACTCACAATTGGGGATGGAAGTAACGGGATAATACCGACTCCGTGAAAAAGAGGGTTCTCGGTTCCTTTCCTTGCGCTAGAGGCCTTGGGCAACTAGCAAGGGGAAGGGAAGCTGTTACGCAGGGGCAGAGTGAGCTAACTACGCGAAGGATTGGACGGTTCAAGTTAAAGCTGCACTCGTCCAAGCCTGGCGAGGAAGCGGGATACTACTTGTAGTGCACGACGACCTGGGAGCTGAGAGGTTGGGCAGCTCGCGGACAAGAGAGGGAATCTCTGACGCCGCAATATGACAAGACTGCCACCGATAGAGATACCAAGAAATGACAAAGGGATGTCACCGGTGATCATCTTCTTCCCACCTAAGAAGAACTGTTGGGTTAACAGAAATAGGTAAAAGGTGGATGGCGTGCGCGCGCGGCACTCTGCGAAAGGCAAGGCCTAATGATGCGACACATTCAAAGGGTGGTGGAGACAGGATACCGCCACGCAGGACAGTTCACACGGCCGAGGGTGCGCCTCTTCCTGCTGGTTTCGCGGGGTAATTCCTCTTTGGAGTGATCCGGGCTTTAACCCACACCAGCAACAACCTATGGCCAACCTGAACATGGGAGGGGGCCATGCATGGCTTTGCGTATCTCGAGGGCGCCAGATTCGCTCTCTTCCCGTCATCTGCGTCCAAAAGGCAGAAACGTAAGGGGGTGACGGGCTGCACCCGTGGCGTCGCTGGATCACGACAGCGGACCAAGCAAACGAGGCTCGGGTGGCAATCGACATGATCTCCGCGTGTGTGCATCGCCGCGCGGAAAAGAGGATCCCCTTGAACCGCGTTTGCGGAAATACTTGTTGCGTTGATGAGTCCGATGAGGGCGCGATGGACGGACACAATGCACCCTCTAGTATCCGTTCTTGACTTCTCGGGCTGCCATGGATCATGCAATCGAGTACCTGGATGAGTGCCGAGCCAGTTCCAGACCAAGTCGGATGGGGCGTGGAGCAAAGACCATTGATTGACTGCTCCTACCCTATTCGGTGGACATCGACATGGGAAGGCGGGTGGGCCTTCCGCTTGAAGATTCGATGAAATTGCGTCCTGGCCAGAAACGCTACTGCAAATAAGAACCAATCGAGGACATCTCGGGAGAAAATTTTCTCTAAGCTCCGCCGGATTCCGGGCAAGAACGGCGGGAAAGGGATCGAGTGGAGAATTTCTATCGAAAGACACACCCGGATCATAACTACAGACTAACCATCTGTCTCTATACCACTGAAGGGCTTCACTGGGATCGCCACAATGCCTAATCAACACGGCATCGCACTGCGACCTGGAGTGAAGAGGAAGAAAGGAAGACAAAGAATGGCTATGGGCTAAAGGAAACGAAGAAGGCATCTAAGACTGTGGAAAAAGGAAAATGCCTGCCTTTACCACGTAGGGAACCGCACAGCAAGGCAAAGAGCCATTTGATGCACCTTTTCCCTGGTCAAAATTTTTATCTCCGATCTACCGACGAAATCCCACGTCGAGTCCCGAGATGGACCCTCGACAACGACGGAGGGAGGCCGTAATCGCACGACGAGCAGCCCATCCCCTCCGAATGCCCAGGCCCAATGACAGCTTAGGACCCAACCATCCCCATCCTGCGCGTAACCTACGCAAGGAGCCCCAGAACCGGTCGCGAGGAAGATCTTTTCCTGGAGGCGGTCACACTGTTTGCCCGATGTACACTACATTTAGGGACCCACGGAAGGCGGTCAACGGGGCATGAAAGAAGCGGAAGAAAAAGACCACCTGGAACGAACCGAAAGATTGAAACTTGTGGACAAGGAAACCGCGGGAGTTCAAGTACAGAATAAATATAGAAAAGCCGGGGAACCGAGATCCTGGGAAGGAAGAAAAAAAAAAGGGTGTAGGAAAAGAACAAGAAGTATTCTTTTTTTCTTCAAGAAAGATCCCTCGAGGACCATCAAACTGGACTATTTTCTTATTTGTGACTTTCTTATTATTAGGCATGTCGCACCATTCACCTGCCACCTTGGAAATGAATCAAACACAATCTACCCCAAAGGTGGCGGCACCATTTCTCATCTCCACGCCGAGAGAGAAGCACTATGAAAGTCGAAGGTGGCGTTAAGCTGGACCCAGTTCCCGTCCACTAGTCTTGGCGTTCCTTTATCAGATCATCAGATAAAAACCCCTCACGTTTCGAGCGCGGCTCAGAAGGGAATTTTGCCAGGGGCCCGAAAAAGAAAAGAAAAAAATGGAAAAATGGAGGAAAAAAAGAAAGAAAAAAATTAAGAACAAAAGGACGAATGAATACGCCTGTGTGATCGGGCAGTTGTTCCTGCCCCTCACGTCCCTTCAAGAGCCGAAATTCATCAAATTATTAGCAACTTCCGAGAGGAAGGTGGTACTAGACCCCGAGAGATTACGAAAACCTTAGCCTCCACCATCATGCGCCGGGAAGAGGGGCGCCAGGGGCGGGAGGGGAAATGGAGGGCAAAAAGAGGCAAAGGGAACGATGAAAAAAGAAGCAGGAATAAAAAAAAGAAACCACAGGCCGCTGGCGTGTACGATGCACGCATGGGGAAGTATAGCCATGCACATGCGGTCTTTTTTTCTTCATTTTCTTTTCTTTTGTCTCTTTCCTTCGTTCTTTATTGTTTTATTCTACCACCCATTGAAGAATTGTCCATGGTGATGTACGAAGGAGGCAGGGCAGAGGCCTTCTTCCTCTGCAGGTCGAGAAGGAGAGAACAATACGAAAACGGCGACTTTTGTCCGGCAAGGGCTTGTCTTGTCGTACATGTATGCCACCTCAACGGTGCCGTCCATTGTCTGTGAGGAATCAAGGACGAATGGCCCTGGAGCTAATCCTGTCCGGGCGCTGGCCGACAGTTCAAGCTCGAGGTCTGAGCTCCAAGCACGAAAAATACAGCTCCCAGTACGCCCCCAAGCAGCCAATACCAGTACCCTGGCCCCATCTGGCACCGGCATCGGACTGAAAATTTCCCATGGATCTTATCTGATCCAGAGATAATCTATCCTTGCAGGGGTCCCGCCTCGAGCCACGACAACGTTCGTCCCCCTCCCCCTCCAAGGAGGCTAATAAGTGGACAAGACCAGGATGAAAAAGTTCATCGCTCGACCGATTGTAGCCCAGCGGCCTGGTCTTTGCCCTAACCCTCTTCTAAACACGGGCACGTCGCTTTCCATCTTCCATCGTCAACCGCCTAGTATTAGGTTGACCGATATTTTTGTTAAATTGCCGACCACACTCGGCGGTCCACTCGATACCCACACCTGCCCACCCCATTGAGCAATGTGGCACAATGTGGTAGGGGGTGGGCGATCCCATCTCTCGACTTTGAGAGTCTGCAGAAAAGAGGTCGCTCGGCGACATCAGGTACCGCCCTCGAGGGGCGTTGTTCATGTACTCCTCCTGCAGTCGACCCCATCCAAATTTGTATCCAGTCAAGCAGTCACTGTATGTGCCGTGGGCATGACGAGGTCCGGGGGCATAAGGACCAAGTACAAGTAGACCACCACGGGAAGAAGGATTAGGAAATATGCGGTGGGAACAAACGATAAAAAGAAGAGAGAAAGAGACCCCAAAAAAATATCAAGACACTGGAAAGAAAAAGAAGGAAAAAAAACGCTGAGGACAATCATGTCCCAGGCCTGAAAACACTGGATCGATGCTAAGCTGAAGCCGGAAAGGCCCCAGACGAATTTGGCACCTTGAAAAGATCGACGCTACCAGCTGTAACATCTTTCCACTAAAAACCCCACCGAAGCAAGAGATGCGTCAAGAAAAGAAAAGAAAAGAAAAACAAAGGATACCAGGAAGAGACAGGAAATTTTACACGCCGAGGGTCCTTGGTCCCTGCCATGCAAACCCCTCCTGATTTTGAAACCCCGCTCTAATAGACAATGGCCGGCGCGGGGGGGACAAGGAAACGTCAGTCAAGAACGTCAGGGAGTGGAGATTGGTTAGGAGAGTGAGAGAGGGCTGGGAGAGGGCATTGAAGAATGAGACCGGATTCCCGGGCACGCTTCGGACAAGTCATCCCTCGTACTTGGAAAAAGAGCATGGTCACAGTGCACTCTGCACATGCGGCAAGGGTTTAGGAGCCCTGGTGAAGCGATGTCGTAGAATAAGGCTATCATCGGTGGGGGTCGCCATGGGGGAAGAGGCAAGGCGCTCATGCTATGGCCCATTTTCTTCAGAGATCGTCCGACGGTGCCGACATCCTTACTCATTTCACGCCAAATTCATTATCAATCACCGTCCAGGTTAGGCATAGCCTCTGGCAAATCGCCTTCTCGTCGACAAAAAAAAGTGATGGACGTCCACCACGCCGACAATGGTCCTCTGTCAAACCCCCATCCCTGTCTGGGCTCGCTTGGTTGGGGAGCTTGCCTTTCCCCCCTGCTCTTCTTTACCGAGGCTGCCACGCTACGAGCTTGCGACGGCCCCGAGTGTGGCTCCCCTTGTGGGTTTGGAGTAATAGTCGGGGATGGAGAGGGGGTTTGTTCTTGTTTCTCTCCGCCCCTCGTCTTGTTCTGGCAGGGAACTGCAGGGCTCGCCTGTGGGATGATGGTCGCAGGTCCAAGGTAGTTGGAAGTATCAGTACACTACTGCCGCAGCACCCACCCACAACCCGAGACCAGGAGGAGGGAGCAGAGGCCTACTAAGACCCAGACACATCAAGGTGGAAAGGTGGAAAGGGTCCAGAGGGTCCAGTCGAATAGGGAAACTCTGCGAGCCATTTGGCCAGCGTTCGGCCCACCATTTCCCGTTGGGGGTTTTGCCCGCCAGCACCGCAATGAAACATGTCCATCAAATCTGGCTGGTCCAATGCGCGAGTGCGTGCGGCACACCATCGACACTCGGTTCCATCATTGACGCCTGTGCTGCTGATCATTGACCCAGGGCGTAAGCCTAGGTTTTTGGCATATCCAGTAATCTTGGACGGTTGTCTCGCTTGCCAGCCAGGCCAGGCCTTCCCTTGCCCTCACCCTCGTCATGTTCCCCTCTCCTCAAGGGGGCAAAGGAAGGGAGAAGACGCTTGGCTTGGGCGTTCAAGGGTACCTTTTTTTCTTTTGTTTTTCTTTATTTCTTTCTTGTCGTTCTCCCCCTCCCCCAAAGGCATTCGTCCCCGAGAGTAACAGTTATCAATCACATCTTTGTCCACTACCTCCACCCCGGGCGCGACACTAATTCTACGCCCGTGCCCAAGTCTGCGTTTGCTCCATCGACAAGGCGAGCCGAACCACGCCGCCGCGCGTGGTGGCTACGTGCTGTAGTAACTACTACTAGCCAACTGATGGCCGATCCCGCCTTTCGTCACCCTCGCGTCTTACTGCCCTCGCCAACTCCATCCCTCCCCCGTCCAGTGACGTTGTTAGTCAACAATACAATGCTTTGCTAGATCGGAGCGTGGCTTCCACCCCAGTTCGAACTTTTTTTTTTCCGTGACCCCCGTGCCCTCATTCTTGCACATGCATCCATCGCTGAGATGTATCCATACCTCGTCATGCGGGTCTGGTACTGGTGACTGCCAGCAAGTCTAGTCGTTTACACGGGTTCCAGTTTCTTCATTTTTGTCTCGGAGGGGGTGGACAAACACGGGGACGGAGGAAAGGAAGGGGCGTGGAAGAAAGAAGTAGAGAGAAAAAGAATGTTACAACAAAGAAAACCCACCTTGTACCTGTTTTGGGGAGAAGCATTCACTAGAAGAAGGAAAAAAAGGGAAGAAAAAGAAACCAAAAAAAAATGAAAGAGCGGAGAGTGCAGGGAAAGAAAAAAAAAAAAAGAAAAGAAAAAAAAGAAAAAGTTTCGCCAGACCTCATCTCGCAGCCAGAGCAACAAGGCCCCGTGTGGACTCGCCCCGTCCGAGGACATCCGGCTTGACACAACATTATATTAACTGCCTTTCCCGACTACCCTCATCCTGGAGTTGGGCCTCTTCTCTCTTCCTGTTATTAGCTCCTCCTCTCCAGTGCACTATTATCTTTCCCAAAAGTGTCAACCAGAGCTAGATCCTTGGCCGCGCCAGACAGCTCCCAAGCTTCAACAGAGTTTAAAAAGAAGCTCGGCATAGCTCAAGCTCTAGTCTGCCCAGTTCTCAAGATTCCTCCGAGGAAATCTCACTCGCCCTCCCGAGATCAACCGAACACCGGGTCTTGTCTTCGTGAGACTATCGTCACTCGAGACCTCCTTCCCTGGAATTCCACGCGGCACCTCCATAAAGGAAGCTGCATCCCATCTCGCTCGCGCCCCGCAACACACACACATTGAGCTACCCCTCCACACCAGGTAGCCCCTCCACCAACTTTTATTTTTTTCTTCGCTTCCCTCTCTTTTGGTGCTGCCCCTCATTTTCGACAATGTCGCCCCATCTGAATGACGACTTCGGCGCCGTGGACTTGTCCACCAATGGCCACCACATCACCAACGGCGTCGAGGAGACCAACGGCACCAACGGAACCCACATCGTGAACGGCACCAACGGCCTCAACGGAAATAGCACAAATGGCCACCTCAATGGGCATGCCAATGGCTCCGAGGTCGCCCAAGAGCCCCTCGCCGTCCAGCCCCCGCCCGCCCTTCAGCAAGTTGTCTCCGAACAGACCACTGCAGTCCAGTCGCCTGTAGACCAGCCCGCATTCGACATCCCCGCCACCCGCACCATCCCCAAGTCTCAGTTCCTCCTCCCCACAGACTCTGCCGAGGTGCATGACCTCCTTTGCGTTGGCTTCGGCCCCGCCAGCGTATCCATTGCAATTGCGATGCACGACAAGCTGGCTGCCGGCGGCCAGGTTGGCCCCGAGTCCCGGCTACCGCGCGTGCTGTTCTTGGAAAAGCAGGCTCGCTTCGCGTGGCATGCCGGCATGCTGCTCCCTGGCGCCAAGATGCAAATCTCTTTCCTCAAGGATCTCGCCTCTCTGAGGGATCCCAAGTCCCGTTTCACCTTCCTCAACTATCTTCATGAGAATGGCCGATTGATTGACTTTATCAATCTCAGCACCTTCTTGCCTGCTCGCGTTGAGTTTGAGGACTACCTCCGATGGTGCGCTTCTCACTTCGATGACGTTGTTCAATACAATCACGAGGTTATCTCCGTCTCCCCGGAGCCCGTTTCCGAATCGGGCGTCAAGGTTTTCACCGTCAGCTGCCGCAATGTCAGCACCGGCACCATCTCTACCTACCGCGCAAAGAATGTTGTCCTTGCTCTTGGCGGCCAGGCCAAGGTCCCCAAGGTCCTCTCCATCAACCACCCCAGGATCATCCACTCCTCCCAATACGCTCAAGCTACCCCTAAGCTCCTCACAGACTCCCGCAAGCCTTATAATGTTGCCGTCGTTGGCGCGGGCCAGAGCGCCGCGGAAATTTTCACCAATGTTCAAGCCCTCTACCCCAATTCACGCACCCATCTGATCATGCGTTCCGAGTACTTGCGGCCAAGTGATGATTCCCCTTGTAAGTGCCAGCATTCCAACGTGCCCAAGGAGGATACCTCTAGGTGCCCGACGCTAACAACTATTTGTCTTCTCTTCAATAGCATCAACGGTATCTTCAATCCCGAATTCATCAACGTCATGCACGGCAAGTCGTCCCAGTGGCGACAGAACTTCTTGGTCGATGCCAAAGCCACCAACTACAGCGTCGTCCGTCTAGAGCTTATCGAGTCCATTTACGAGCACATGTACGATCAGAAGCGCGATATCGGTCCTGACGAGACCCGCTGGCCCCACCGCATCCGGGGCGGCTACGTGGTCAACTCCGTTGAACCCAAGAGCTCCAACGCTGAGGACGGTCTCCGCCTTCGCATCGCCCCAGTCACTGGGGATGATGAGCTTGCTGGGCCCGAGGAGACCCTCGACGTCGACCTCATCATCTCTGCCACTGGCTACCAACGCACGGCGCATCTGGATATCCTCAAGGAGACCTTCCCGCTGCTCCCTACCGCCTCTGGAAAGGGCCTTCCTGTCCCGATTGATGAGAATGGCAAGAACATCAACGGTTGGCAGCTCCCATCCGTTGGCGGCGACGGCGTCTCCCAGCCCCGCAAGCTCGAGGTCAACCGTGACTACAGTGTCAGGTTTGAGAGTGGCGCCGTACAGCCCGGGTCTGGGTTGTGGCTCCAGGGCTGCTGCGAGACTACGCATGGTGTAAGCCACGATCCCTGTCACCCCGCATTATCCTCTAGACATGTCTGAACTAACACGATCCCGTTTTAATAGCTGAGTGATACCCTGCTCTCCGTTCTCGCAACCAGGTCCGGCGAGATGGTCAAGGCCATCTTCAACGCATAAAAAGAATTCCCCCTCTCCTTTTTTTTTTTTTCTTTCTTTTCATTTGGCTCTCTCTCGGTCGGTTAAAATGGTGATGTCATTTGTTTTTTTGCTCTCTTTCATCCGCGCGAGAAGTACAATATCAGTTTCCTACTAGATAGGCACTGGTCATTCCTCTCTTACATCGCTTTCATTCGTCCCCTTTAATAGGTTTTCTGGGATGGCTGGCTTCAACGACATTTCTTTGGGTATCCATTTTTGTTCACTAGGCGATCTCGATATCATTGGCATTGTTGGGGTAGTAGTAATTACTGTATATATGCACAAAGACACAATTTCCACATTTCTCTCCAATCGGGATTTTTACATGTATGCCTTGTATGCCTTGCTCCAAGTAGCTTGTCGCAGATTTTTGCCGTTGCATTTTCTGCAGCAACGAAAGGCCGAGAATGTTCAAACCTTGCAGTCCATCGATGACGAGCCTTTTGAATATCATCTGCCGTCGTCTAACTCGAACTATTAACTTGATTCAGCTCGAGAAGAAGGGATATATGCGTTGAATGTGGTTCACGTGGAGAAATGTGTAGCATTAATGCATCCTGGATATAAGGAGAGGTGCTGATGGTGGGCGGTGGAGGCCGACTCATTCCGGGGAAAAGCAAACGGAGCGGAAGACAAGTGAGGACGGGTTCTCGGATCAACGGGGCGAGTCATCTCAGATGCCCGCAGTGTGGGAAAGTCCAGCGGATTCTACCTGTGGAGGTAATACAGTGTCCATACGACAAGCCCCAGTGGTAGAGGCATTCTTTACCACAAGAAAGATCTCCCCTCCCTCCACCCTCCCCTCCCCCAAAATGCTTTCGTCCTCACCGGTCGGCAAGCGAGGGGTGTGGGAGGGTGGCCCAGCGAACATGGAGGGTCGGGACTCGGGCGCAGATGATTCTGAGACGGTGTGGCAGGGATAATTTGATGAGCCGTTGCGAGGTTTAGTGATTATCAGCCACACACACACGCACGACTCCAGCGCTGGGGGACCTCGAGGACCACTGCGAACCAGAGGAGCCAGACCCAGGCCAGGGACAGGGGAGGGGACCTGGATAAGGTTAGCGTGGGGGTTCAAAGTACACCCCTCCGAATGCCACCCTTGCAGTGGACAAAAAGGACCTTTTTCTTCTTCCGGAAGATGGTGAAGGCTTATTATAGATTGATGCAGCAAGAGGACGATGCGATGGCATGGCGTCTTGGGTGGGGGGGCAAACCTCTCGCCAACGCGTGAGGGAATGTACGAAGGGGCTGGGGGAGGGAGGGGGAGGGGGCAGGCTCATGACACTTGGGCCGCTGGGCTCTCGAGGTCAGTGGCTGCAGAGATTCGAGGCGTCTGGAAGGCTCGTGCGATTTGAGGAGGTCGACGTGAGTTCCCACGATGCAGTCAGCTCGGCATTTAAGGATGCTGTTGCTTTCAACGACCCTCAGGGCGGATTCTCTTTTCCCCCATGCATGACATGACACCATGTGGACACGTAATGTAATGGGGTGAGGCCGAGGCGCGGGGGTTCTTCTTCTGCGTTTCTCCCAAGTTGAGTGCGGATTGCATCCTTCAGGGTTCTCAGGACGGGGGCATGGGGGAGAAGCTCCGAGAATCTCCACCCCATAGCTCAGTACATGCATGAGAGTGTGTGAAGAATAGCAGGCGGTTGGAGGCAGAGGCTTGCGGCTGCATGTCTAAAGTGTTGGCCACCAAGGCCTCCAGGTTGGTCTCACGGAGGGGCCAAAGGACGGCAGAATCTTCGAGGGCTTTCTCTCAAAGTATAGCATAGGGACAAAGGCAGCCTGGGGGAGGTGGTCTGACGCGCCCTTGGCAGAAGAGGGGTCCGGCGTATGAGAAGTTTCTTTCCCTAGCACCTCCCTTGAGAACCCTAGGTGTCCGCTGGACCTCGACATTCTGGAAAGAGAAAATAACGCCGATGCTGCTCGCTAAAAGATACCGGCAACCTTCAAGATAGGACTGTAAGCGATACCGGAACGGGCGAGTGATACGTCTTTTGTAGATGTTTTGCGCAATGGGCAGGCAGTCATGTGGGAGAGGTCTTTTACGGGATATCAGGACTCGTACGAGGCCTTGCGCCGGCCGGCTCCATGGTGACATGCTCTCGAGAATGATGCAAAGGTGGTGGTGGTGGTCGTGACGTGTTTTGTTAGTAGGCGTCCTTACACCCAAATCTCCGCAGATGGACAGGCCGTCACAAGGCCATGGTGTTGGGAATCCAAGTCAGCGTTTGTTCGCTAATGCCGAGGACGGCCCTCGTCACGAGGGGAGTGGCTGGGTGGTGGGAAAGCCCTGCATGGCTTCCTCCCGCTTTTCAGGGTCTCACGCAACCACTGCGATGGAGATGGCCATAACTTAAAGCTTGCCCGAAGAAGGGGTGAGGAGCGAACAGCCGCCTCGCAGTGCCGTGCAAAAGAGGGGGATAAAAATGGCCATGTGTCTCTGGTATGCTTGGTGGTTATCGAAAGCAGTAGGACGGAAGTCCGCTACCGCAGAGCCTGTAGATGGTTAGTCAAGCTGCAGATATCTGGCTTCACTGGGTTAGCGCGACATTTGGCGAGCAGCTGCTTAGTATGTTGGAGAGGTGGATGTAAGAAGCTGAGTGTTTTCCGTCGTCGAGAGATCGCGGCCGCCAGTCTCGGTGACGGACATCCAACTTCATTCTCACATGAAGGCCAATAACTCTTAATCAGAACAAGCCGGGCGTGTTGGCTTTCGATGTTGTAAGTTGACGCTTTGGATTTGCTGTCATTGAGGGGCTTGGCGAGGGGCCAAAGATGAAGGTCGATGGGGGTACATCAAATATAAGTATAAAAGAGAGGACAAAGCTCGTGGGAATTTCATCGTGAAACGGGACAAAGGAAAAAGCAAGTTCAAAGCGGGGAATCGCCAAAGCCAGCGGGGTTTTTGCTGGGGGTGAGGAGACCTAGATCTCCCTCAAAGATACCAATGTAGTAGACATAGAAAACATTGAACTAATAGAAGGCGCTTCGAGAATGGAAGCTGTTCCGATACTACGGATCGATGCACGTCATCGCATAAACGCCAGCACTAATTCTGGCTGGACCTGACTGTGCCCCATCCCAGACTACAAGTATTAACCCCTCTCACCAACATCGAACCTTGGGGGTTGGCATTCGCGCGTGTGAGCTGGGAAGGGCGCAAGTTATAGAGTTTCTCCTCGGTGATATAAGCTTTGGAAAGGGGGAGCGGGAAGAAACAGGCGAGAGGTGATTCAAAAGTAACGTTGTTTGTGGAACAACTCGGCAAAATCGAGCTGCTGCTTGTATTCATTTGCCCCTCATCCGAGCAAAGCGAAAAGAGCCAAGCGGGCAGATCATCACGCCAGCCTCTTTCCTCTATCATGGAGAATACCATCGCGGGGCTCACTCGCCGACACGTCGTCTCCTGCTTCATATTCAAGGGCCTTGCACCTTCTTCGGCTGAACCACCACGGGTCGCCCTCTTCAGGCGTAGTTCCAAGGTGCGCACCTACCAGTAAGTGGGATATTTGCTCTCTGGAAAGAGGCACCCTCCGTGCACTTGGAATCTCAATCAAGGCGACTTCAACTCTGCGTTTCAATTGTAAAACATGCTCTAAAAATGGGTAACATAGGCACCGGCTCGCCCCTATCTCTGGCTCTGTGGAGAAATCGGATGCAACGCCGCTTGATGCTGCCTGGCGGGAGCTGCAAGAGGAGACGACTCTCAATTCCAGATCCCTTCAGCTTCGCCGGCAAGGGAAGCAGTATTCCTTTATAGACGAAGCCCTCAAGCGGGAATGGGTAATCTTTCCCTTTGCCTTTGACCTCGTTCCTCTTGAGAAAGGCGGAAAAGGTGAGGCCGGCATCAAGATCGACTGGGAGCATCAGGAGTGGCAATGGCACAACCCTCGAGAAGTCACCGACAGCGATGAGTTTGGCGGTGTCCCCACCTCGCGACCAGTCTCCGCCGTGCCTGGGTGGAGTATGACCTTGGTGACGGGCCGTCTGGGAAGATCTTTTCCTCCGGCCTCGAGAAACTGAGAGCCGATCATGAAAGCGGCGCACACGTCATGGCTGCCAACGCGCTCGACATTTTTCTCAGACTATTGCCACCCTGTCCGTCGAAGTCCAGGACCAGGCGCAATGGTGGAGGCAGGCCCGCATGATCGCATGGAACATCTGGAAGAATGGACGCGAGAGTATGGGAGCGGCCATTCTCAATGTCCTTATTTCCTCTCTCAAACGCTTGGAGAGCTTGGTTCTTCCGAAATGGGACGAGATGCAGAGCGTCGAACGTGGAAAATTAATCGAAAAAGTGTTGGCTGACTATACAGAACAGAGGCAAGGAGTCAATGGAGACATCTCGAACGCCTTCAACACCTTGATCGCGGAAACAGAAACCCGGGTTGCGGACCGCCCAATTCGCATCCTAACGCTATCAGCAAGCTCCATAATAGCGAGATGCCTAGTAGATGCCATCGTGTCTACCAAGCACTCCTTTGATATTCGCATCCTCGAATCACGACCGCTGTTCGAGGGCCTCGCTCGCAGCACAACTCGCCGATACTCTCCGGAAAGTCAACAAAGCTTCGCCGGAATCCGTTGGCAGAAGCTTCATCACGGTATATACCGATGCCGCCATGGCCATTGCGGCACAAGGCGCCGACTTGCTCCTCATAGGTGCAGACATAATCTCCGCCAACGGTGACACATGCAACAAGATTGGCTCGCTTCCCGCCGTCCTCTCCACGAAACACGTCTCACCCGGGGCAAAAGTCATCGTGGTGGCCGACCGGGAAAAGTTGTACCCGTTTGAACCTCCGCCTCGTGAGGAGAACGACCGCGGGGAGGTAACGGAATCTTGGAAATATGCCGAATCTACAGCGACGGCGGAAGAAGCTATTGTTTCCAGCGAGTTGGATGCGCCTTCCATCGGCAATGTAAAGAACTTGTATTTTGAGTGGGTGGAAGCCGGCTTCATTGACCACTACCTGTTTGAGGATGGGCTCAAGACGGCGACCGATGTGCAACGCCTCGCAAGTGTGGTAGAGGGAGATGCTAGCCGGTACTTTGACGATCTATAGAGTGCCAGGCGACATGGGTGATCACGAAGAGCTTCGAGAATGGCCCCTCATACTTTAATTTGATTCATGGGTATCTGCTTAAGCGTTCCAGTGACCAAGGGATTCACTTTCAAAAGAGCAGCCAGGTAGGTTTGGCCAACTAGGTGCGGAGATCCGAACAAGATGATCTCTCTTGTTTTGCTCGGCTCCCAGTCTTTGGTTCTAAAGACGGAGCTATCTCTCATCAGAGGGATCTCCGCCCTGCGATTTGCTCTGCGCGTCACGCCTCCCAATCTGCATTGCCCTCTCAATCTCCCTCTCACCTTCGCGTAACCTCGCCTTCGCAATCTCGCGGTCGCGATTTTCCTTTGCTTCTGCTGCTCAATGGCTCTGTTCCTTTGTTCCAACGCTTTCTCGCGTTTTGCCCGCGCTTCTTGCGCTTTTTGATCCTGCACGCGGGGTCCAGACACGTCCTGCTCTCCTCCGGGCCGCGGTCCCAGAGTTTGAAGATAGGCCTCGATCAGAGGATCTCGTACCTGGCCGGGTAACGCAATGTAGCGGATATCGCCCCGAACGTCGGAGGGGAGCGCCGAGGGTCCGTGGAGTTGTTTAGGACGGTGGGGGTAAGCTCTTAAGAAACGTCGTCAACTCGGACTTGAGACTCGACTGCGGGGCTTTGAGCTTGTTGATCAGTTCGCGATACCATTTTTCCCGATCCTTATCGGTCAACTCGAACCCCTTCATGCAATCTTCCTTCCTGAATTTGCGCTTGAATTCAGGCCAGTACAACTTGGGCGTCGCATGCTTCTCCAAGAAGAGCATATAAGTTACGCGCGGGTCCGGCTTTTCCACTGTTTCCTTTGTCCTGTTCTCCCTGAGTTCGCGGATCCCGGCTCTCGACCACTCCTCCCAGGCTTCCTTCCGAGCCTTTGTAGTTGGCAAGACGGTGTATCGTGGGTCGTCAATAATCTTGCCGTCTTCGATAATCTTGTCCCATGAACTGTATGGATTAATCTTGAAGTCACTGAGTAAATCTTTGAAAAGGTCCTTTGCGTCCTCTTCTGAAAATTCCGGCATGTCTTCGTCATGACCATAGTCCCCCCTCCCATGGCTTGCTCCTCTTGCGCCATCAACTCGAGCTGGAGAGCGAGCTCATCTTCGTCAAATCCACCCATATCTTCATCATAGACCTCTTCGGTCCTCTGCCGCTTTGCGCGATGCTCATCTCCATCTTGTTCAACGTCCATCTCGTCCCCGGCTTCAGCCAAATCTCCCGCCTCGTCATCCGTCACCTCCACCTCTTCATATTCCGAGCTATCCTCGAGCTCATTCGAAACCTGTGGCGCCGCAGCGTCTGCGGAATCATTCGTTGGGCCGGAGCTCTGTTTCCCAGTGTTTTGGTCGGGAACTATCGCCTTGCTATTACCACCCGACTTCGCAGCTATCCGGGCAGTGTCTAGCTGGAGTATACCGGGCATAAGCTTTTCGGGTATGCGCCAGTAGCTGGCCTTTTTCTCCGGATTGTATACGAACCGGCGCCCGTACTTTGTCGAGACTAGTATCCAAGGCTCAAAGCCCGGTATCGATTCTTTGGATCTCGGTTTATCGTACGGCTGAGGTTTCGGTCTCGAGTCTCTCTGCTCGCGCGTAAACGCTGGCCTACTTGGAGGGTTCTGTTGCGCAAGCCACGCATTGGCGACTCGAGGATCGGAGAGATTAGGTACCCCTTGAGGCTGTTGTGGGAACGCGCCGGGAAACGCTCCTGGGGCAAAGGGTCCGGCGGTGGTGGGTGGGGGCGACCGCGGCGGCGGGCCGCTTATAGGTAGATTCTTTTGTGGAGGCATTATAGTAGTACGTATGGCCGCTTTCCGCCTTGTGTTCCGTCCATCCTGGCGGTAGTGGGGGCAGATCGCCAGAACTGTGAGAGGGCTTATAGGTGGATTTGAGCATCGTGGAGGAGTACAAAGGGTTGGGTAAAATCGTGGCGGACGTCAAGTCTGCTCCTCATAGAGCATATCCAGGCTCATTGAACGGTTGATAGACCGTTAAACCGCTTGGTAGCATACAGCAAGATAACAGTTCAAGTGATAAGCCAGTTGTGATGACAAGGCTGAGGAACGACCGATCAGCTAATGCTGTGAAGAGCAGAAGCCCGCGACAACGATTTGGCGGAGGTTTTCTTGCATGTGGCTTGGCTTATGTTTTTTAACCAACAAGCCCGCCGCTGTGGCGCACTTCAAGCTTCCCAACAGCTTAGGTTTTGGCAGCGCAAAAGGTGGGGCCGCCCCTGCTGACCCTCTCAAGCTTGGCGGAAATGTGGAATCCCAATTGATTTTAAATCGGATACAAGGATATCCGTAAACAACGTCGTTAATTGATCCCTTGGATTGACGCAGCAATGACAGCCAGCTCACCCAAGACAACGGAGCTGGTCGTCCCTGCCTCTGCATTCACGCACCCAGCTTGCCAGCCTCCACAACCGGATAGCTAAGGAGGACTCGGTGGCAAAAAAATAGTTGAATGACTGTCGAAAGGCATCGTCAAGCAGTGCGCATCTTATAAACGCCTTTCGTTAATTTGGACCAGTACGTGGCTGCGATCTACAATACAATTGTCGCTTTTTTGGCCACATTTGCCTCTTTTCAACCATCCGTGATTAAGGCGGAGATCAAACTGGTCTCCTTTTGCTTGGAACACCTTCGCACAGCAATTCATATGGTTGAGATAGGACCATAACCTCGGGGCGATTGCAGTAGGGATAGGAAATAGCGATGCCCGTCTCTCGGCCTGGCCCAGTTGGGCCCCCAAAGCTCTCATCAATTAAAGGGCTCTGGCAGGTAAGCCCTCAAGCAAAGCGTACCCCGATGTTTCACTCATAGAACTTTGGCGATGATACGAAGAGGCTCCTAACCAGTTTACTTCGCTTAGCGCACATATGCCGCAGACTACATCGGCTTCACCGTTCTGCTCTTCCTGTATCTGATGGTGAGTCCCACTACAGCAGCAGGAGCGCAAGCAAGGGGGCTTTTGTCACAGCGACCGAGTCAAGTGAGACTAACATGAGGTTTTAGCTGGTCTTCTTCGTTGAGCCATTTCATCGCATGTTCTTTATCAATGATTTGAACATCTCTTACCCTCATGCTGAGGTAGAGAGGGTACCAGTTAGTAAGTGGAGATCTCCTCTAGGATGAACCGAGCTCCTGGACGCTGACCACCGGCGAACCCTACAGCCATGAATTTTGTCTATGCTCTCTTCATACCCCTCGGAATCTTGATCCTGTCCAACTTCATCGCTCGCTCCCCTGCCCACAAGCACGAGGTCACCTACCTCTCCTTTGCCATTGCCGTCATCCTCACCTCTTTCATCACCGACATCGTCAAAAACACCGTCGGCCGGCCCCGCCCCGACCTCATCGCCCGCTGCAAACCGGCCCCCGGCACCCAGCCAAACACGTTAGTCACGATTGACGTCTGTACCGAGACAAATCACCATACCCTCCACGATGGGTGGCGGTCATTCCCCTCGGGCCACTCCTCTTTCTCCTTTGCGGGCCTCGGGTTCCTGAGCATCTTCCTGGCCGGCCAGCTTCGCGTCTTCCGTCACGCCCATGGCGGCCGTGACCTCAGTCGTGCCCTCCTTTGCCTTGCCCCCTGATTGGGGCGGCCCTTATTGCTATTAGCCGCTGCGAAGACTACCGTCACGACGTTTACGACGTGTGCTGCGGGTCCCTTCTCGGCTTCGTCATCGCCTATTGGAGTTACAGACGGCATTGGCCTCACCTGTCATCAAGAGACTGCGACCAACCTTACCCCAAGCCTGGCGAAACCCCTGCAGGCTGGAACAGGATACGGGATGAAGAGAGCGGCGTGGCGGGCTTGAACGATGTAGGAGTTGAAATGTCCGAATTGAGATAAATGTGAACTGAAGTGCTGATTCTCTTAAACGAGCAGTCTTAACTTTTATCCCTCTCCGCGCTCCCGATATCAAGCCTAGTCGGAGTTCTCTTCCCACCCATGCCTCCTCGATCGACTTTGATTCGGTGAACGTCTACATGGACTCTTAAATTAACGCAAAGGACTCCTTGGCCCTATGTTACGCTCTAACGTCAAGAAAGGGGCAAACTATAACACGAAAGATACGATTGCATGAGGAGCTCACAGGTAACAGCAGGCAGGTATTGTCACGGATTCCAGATATCTAGTATGTAGTACAAAAGCACCCGGCGCTTGAAGAGGAACGCGCATTATGAGACGCCTGTCGGTCTCTGTCATGGCTCAACATTGATACGAATAGTAAATGTACAATTCCTTACTTCTCCTCCGCGCCCTCATCCTTGGCTAGGTCATGCTCCTTAAGCAATGCTGTGATCTCGTCCGCACTCCACAGGCGATGGTAGATCTTGCCATCGCTGGTCTGGCCCACTGTCGCAAATTCGACTAAGGAGAAAGATTAAGCATTAGTAATGAGGAACGGCTAGGCAGGAGAAATCGACTGTACTTACTCTTCTCGCTGCTGAGCTTTGTAGAGTCCATCGTCTTGCTGAGTACTTTGACAGCGAGCGCGCAAGCTTCCTTAAGCGTGCAATCCTCCTTGTAGTCCTGCTTCAGCAAGCTCTGGGCACTGGCGTGATTCGCGCCAGCGCTTGTGGCCTTCCATCCACCGTAGTTGCCCGAAGGGTTGCTATGGTATAGTTGGAACTGGCGACGAGGGTCCCAACCAGCGTAGATGAAGGAGACACCGAAGGGTCGGAGACCGCCATGCTGAGTGTAGCCTTGCTTCAGATCGCACAACCTCCGCACGAGCTGTTCGCAGGGAATATCTTCGTTGTAGGTGAGAAGGTAGCGTTGGGCAACTTGCCTCGCGTAGGTGATGAGGATATTGGCATCGGCTGTCATTCCGGCAACAGCACATATCATGTTGCTATTTTCCCAAACAAAACATTGTCAGTCCCTCGGACAGATAGATCTAGCCCTTGCGGCATGCTGATGCCCAACGGCCACACACAAACGGATTACGTACTCGTTGAGAATATAAAGCTTTTCAGCAGAGGTATCTTGCTCAAGAAGTTTCGAAGTCACCTTCCTTTCCGCGGCAAGAACGATTCCATCCTTGGCGAGGATGCCAATGGCTGTGCCAGCGTGGGAGATGGCCTCCAAAGCGTACTCGACCTGGTAGAGTCGTCCCTCGGGGAGAAAATGGTTGTCTAGATAACGTAGAAATATTAGCCTCAGCAGACAAAATCATCCGAAAGGGCTGTCGTGAGGCCTGTAACTATAAAGGAGATTTGACGTACTCGGGAATCGTATCGACGAGCCATGGTTGAAGAGCAAGCAGCGGTCGGCGGATGGATTTCTATCGGGGTCGCAGTCGGGAGAGGAAGATAGAGAGCTCGTAATTACCGACTAGAAAAACAATTCTCTAACGCAGCATAAAAGAAGCTGTCCGTCTGATGCAGCGAGCCTGTCCCTTGGAAGAGTAAATGCGTGGAGTGTTGATAGCTTGATGAAGTGGAGGATTTGCTTGACACGGCTGAAGCTTCCTAAGCTCTCAAGGCCAAGCAGGTTGCGTCGCTCCAGGCAATCAAGCCGCGTACAAGTGGCCGCGCTGGCAACAGCACCTGCCACGGGCGAGGCCCAAGAACAACCTCAATGACTAAGCCCAGATCTGCCACCATTTAGCCGAGAAACTAGCGCCTGAAATCTGAGGCCTATTTGTCAGCTTCGCGACGAGGACTTGGTCGTGTGATATTCTACTGTGCTTGCTCTCAAGGATTGAAAACAATCAACTTCCACCTTTCAACCCTCTTTCCGAGCAGAATTTTACCTTGGCGGTTTAACTTTGCCCTGCGCGTTTTCCCTAATCTTGGTCGCGAATTGTTCCTAGCCATCCTCCTTTGGCATACTAACGATTAATTCCTCCCAAAAACGAGGCAGGCAGCAGTCTGTACCTCTCGTCACTCATACACCATCGGATCCAAGAGGCCGCTTTTCGCACTTTTTTTTTCTCCCTCGGCCCCCAATCACTAACTCAGCAACTGCCTCTCGTCGCGGAACACAACCCCGACGCCCACGAGTTGTTTTCCTACCCATCTATCATCGCGACTCACGCAGCAGATGCTTGATTTCTCGTGTGCTTAGCCATCGGAATTATTCTAATGCGCATTCGGAAATCGCGTTACAATCCGTGACTGAGCTTTACCCAGCATTAGAGAGGAACCGAGCTCGTTGTTTTTGTTCTTGAGCGCCCTTACCCTTTTGGCAAATATTGCGTTGGAGATTTGGCCCCTGTCAACCTTGTTGGCATTACCTCTATCTGTGGCATTATTTTTGGACGCGCGTACTTGTGCCTCTTTTGAGCCATTTTCGCAGATTTGTTCTCTTGTCTGCGATGCGCAAGTGACCATCTGGACTCAACCTAGGCCTTCTGCGTAACAAATTAATCAGATAAGGGCCCTTGTGTGTAAAAAGCTACGGCACGAAGAGTTCTCCTGCACTAGCCCCATTTGTGGACAGTGCCCGTTTGCCCTTGTTGTAGAATCTGTTTCCTTTCGCGGCGACGTAATTATTGGTTATCTGGCCGTCAGAGCATCACATCACCATGTCCGGTAAGCTATTTCGTGCGCGACCCACGCTGCTGAGAGGTGTCGGCCCATCCGTGAGGCCCGGGCGCCGCGACCCAATGGCGGATGCCTCGGACCCCGCGACCTCGAGACTGCTCGACGAGCAACCACATGCTAACCATTCTTGTTCAATCACAGGCGAAGCAGAGCCTCGACGATCGGTACGGGCCACGAAAGGCCAACACACCAAAGCCTTTGATCAGCTCGACCAACCTACCGAAGCGCCCAAGAGGAGGGGGAAGAGGGGCAAGAAGGCCAATGCCAACGACGAGAGGCAAGAAGAGGTCGAAGAAGAGGTCATCCGATGCGTTTGCGGGGCGACAGAGCAAGCCGAAGACTCTGGGGAGCCCTGGATCGCGTGCGACACTTGCGGAGCGTGGCAGCACAACGTGTGTATGGGCATGAGTGTCTTTACGGAAGACCTCCCCAATCACTACTACTGCGAGACCTGCAATCCCGACGAACACAAAGAGCTCCTGGAGGGGATTGCCAAAGGCGAAAAGCCCTGGGAGGGCAGACGCGCCAGGTACGAGGCAGAGTCGGAAAAGAAGAAGAAGCGAGGCCGTCGCGGCGGCCGAGGCAAGCGCATCAGCGATTCGAAGGACGGCAAGGAACAGGGAGAAGAGTCCACGCCGGCACCGCGGAAAAGCAAAAGCCCCGGTGTAGAGGATAAAAAGGAGAAGGATGGGCCTTCCAAGATGACGGGGAAGAGAAAGTCTCGCGATGACTCTCAAGATGAAGACTCCAAAGTACGTACTTGCCACGCTATGCAACTATGTAGCACCATTATCTAACCCACCCATGCGCACAGCCGAGCGGACCTGCATCGAAACTTCAAAAGTGACCGAATCCAAGGTCATGTCTGGCTACACCCTCCGGAAGACCTAGCCAAGAGTTTGAGCGAATTGCCAGACAACCGACAAGGGCCTGTCAAAGTGCTCCTCAAGTCTCTCGCGCATGCTCTAACTCTTGCCATCAAAAAGTCCAACTACATACTCAAGGAAGGGAGACGGCCGAAGAAAAGGCCGAAAAGCATGCCATACAGATTGAGCGTGCCGTCTTTGACAGCCACCCCAATAACAAGGAATATGCGGGCCAGTGCCGAACATTGGCTTTCAACCTCAAGAATAACGAAGACTTATCCAGCAACCTATTCAACCAAACACTATCGCCCACCGCTCTCGCCGTCATGACATCCAACGAGCTGGCTTCCAAGGAACTCCAGCGGGAGTTGGCCGAGCTGAAAGCCAAGGTTGACAAGCAATCCATCCTCATTGCCGACGAGGGCCCTCGAGTCCGTAGGACTCACAAGGGAGAAGAGTTGGTCGAAAGCGACAACGAGATGCAAGCGGACGAGGAAACACCAACATTCGCTGCCAATCCAGGCGCTCGCGACGGATCCGGCGGCCCCTCGAGGAAAGCCAGCGAGAGCACCGGCCCCGAGTCTGGCAAGCCACCCCTGACCGTCGACACTCAGCATTCGCCGAGGCAAAGCGATTTCGATATCGGAAAGGTCTTCTCCAGCGTCAAGTCGCCTACGCTCAACACGCCAGGTCGGAGAACCTCGAGCGGCACTTTCGGCCCGGCTGGCGGGCCGGGCGTTGACCCAGAGGTGGATAGGCTTCTCCAAGATGAGAACGACTCTCCGCCGTACTCCCCGACGGAGGACAATGACCCGGATGTTGTATGGAGAGGCCACCTAGTTATGAACGCGCTTGCCGATCTTCCCGCCAACATCAAGTACGTCGGCGGTGCCAACCTCGCGGCCGACCGCGTCGTGCCCTGGAACAGCCTTATCCCGAAGCGACTCAGCGTCGCAGGCCGAATCGACCAGCAGAAGGCGGTAGAGTATCTCTGCAGCCTCCGATACAACCAGTTCACGGACGTGGTGGTCACGAGCATCCTTCCCGCGTCCGAGGCATTCCGTCCTGAGTTCCAGGCCGTGTACAACTATTTCGTATCCAAGAAGCGGTACGGCGTCATTGGCGACAAGGGCGTAGCCAACGTTCGGGATACATATCTTGTTCCCGTCGTCCCGGGTGAGGGCAATCACCCCGAGTTTATGCTCAATCTCGCCGTCAATCTCATTCCATTGCAACGGACGGAGCCCATGCTTCTTGCCGTCTTTGTCTACAGAGACGATGCGAGGCTTTTACGTGCCGGGCAAGCAGCCGCCGCCGCCGCCGCCGCCTCCATACCCGCCTCCGCAATCTCGCCTCAAATCCCTCAGGGCCAGTTCCCTACTCCCAGCGGAACACCGGCTACCCCTGTTCCCCAGTCGATGGCTCCCCTCGCGCAGCCCGCCAGCGAATCGGCCGAATCTCGCCAAAAGGCTCAAATTCAAGGACAGCAGATGGCGTCCGATATTCTGGGACCCCTTCACTCCGCACCCACTGTCCAGTTCCTGCTACCGATGGCGTATCAAATGACCAAGACAGAGTGGGAAATCATTCGGGAACTACTCGAGTCGGATCTTCGCGCCAGGAGGACCTGCAACATCTCAGCACCTTGCTCGAGCGGCATGGAAATGCACGGAAAGAAGCGGCCGGGAACGGTGGCCCTGCTCCAGGTACCGCTACGCTCCCTCTGCAAGGACTACGACATCCCACGGCGGGTGCCCCCACCAATGGCCAACAGGCATAAGCCCCTTCAACCTGGCGCCATGGTGTAAATGGATCCGTTCCTCCGCCTTTCACGACCTCAAGACCGGGCCTCGGGCTTATCTTGGGGTTGGTATGCAGTTTTTTTTTTCGTTTTGCTTTCATTATTTTCTCGTGCTGCTTTGTTCCCGCGTAATTGTCGAACTAGATATCATCAACATGGAGCAAGGCACAGGGTAAAAAGGGCGGTTGCTTGGTCAAAATCAGGAGTCGAGGGGGCCGTTTATAAGATACCTTTTTTTCTTTTTCCTTCTATAATTATCACATGCCCTCCTCTCGGTAAATCAGTGACCTTTGAGGCCATGCAGGTCTCCCAAGGGAGATGGCACCGAACGGCGATTTATGTATCTAGATTCCGCGTCGAGCGACGGGCCACAAGAGAAGGGCCAATCCTCCTACCATTTTTATCGCAACATGCCGCTGCCCAATTGTCCCAAAGTAGTCTAATTCAATCTTACATCTTTGCGATCGCCAAGTGTCGAGCTCACGCTCCCTTTCTGTCATGTACGGGTCGTCAGTCTCGTTCGGCCCTCCCACCCCTTTAGATTGATACGTGTAGTGAAACGGAGCTGGTTGATGAAGCCAATTGAGCGTCGAATGCGACCAGCCATACGCGCATCGTCCCCATCAGCGTACGTCACCGTCACCGCCCCTCGCCGAGCCCAAAATCTTATAAGGAGCCATGCACTTCACGGGGGTTTTTTTGTGCTCGAGCGCAGCTACTTCCTTGCTCTCTCCCGCGTCATTCCATTTGATGTTTTCATAAACTCCATCTCCAAGTTCCCGTCACACGTCCCTCTCAAGTAATTGAGCCCTGTCAAGCTTCCATCTCAAGATCTTCTCCCCAGGTACGAGTGCTACACGCAGTCTTCCAACCCCCACTTCGGCGTATTCCCCACTCCAGCCGTCGCCTTCACTCACATTGCACTAGCGGAATCCATTATTATCTCGCCTCTCTCAAGCTTCTTGTCAAAATCCCCTTTTTTTTTTCGCTATGCCCGCGTCAACCGGTCCCGGCAGCGCCGCCATCTCCATCGCCGAGAGTATCGTAAAACCTGCCGACGCCACCGGCAAAGCCAAGTGCATCGAGTGCGGTGACTACGACTGTTGCTGTATCCCGATTCCTTGCGTGATCCTCTAAAGGGCGGATGCTATTTTTCTCTCGAGAGCATGAAAAACTCCAATTCAAGGAGGGACCTCACCTTGGGGATTGAGGAAAGAAAGACGGAATGCTAAGGTGAAGAAAAGGCTTTAGGGACTTATGCTAGTCCATTGGGTATTCTACTCTACATATACATGGCAAGCATTTCCTTGATTAACGTTGAAGAATCATAAGTGCCCGGCATAAAACACATTGAAGTGGCACATTCGCCCATCGTGACCGCATCTTCCCACTTGGATGCTCCCTCTTGATGCTGAAAACAGTGGCCAACTGATTCTGTTTTGGCCATCCCCTGTATTTCTTTTCAGTAATCGGTGACCTTGAGGCTTGTGAGGGCCAAATATTCGCTTTACTCCGTGATCAGCTCATCCGCCACGCCCCAAATCTCGGCTTCTCTTGTTTGACCACCGGTCTTTAACTCGTCTTGCTCTGTTAATCTCGCCGCCCACGCCGACTCAGGTCGAGCTGACATCTCGATGCTACCGAGGCCCTCAATCACCCGCTTCGTGCGATCTACGGCTTCCTTATCGCCGCCGTCTCCGCTCTAGTGCGATCGAGGTGCTCCTGCATCAAGGCAATGGTAGACTCGCGGGCCTGGTGGGGGCGGTACTCATTCAATATGTGGTGGAAGTTGATGAAGAGCGTTCGTAGGTCGTCCACCTTCTCCTCGGCCTATCAAGCAGGGGTCACAATCGTTAGCAAGGGGTGGTCGAGTCTCGGAGTGCTGCAATCAGTGAGGGGCCGGAAGGAGCCATCAGATACCTGTTTCGGATCAATGCTCAGGATGCCGAGCAGCTCGAGGAAATTCAACAGGAGAGACTTTGCGAGCCGTTTTAGCTCAAACGCTCGATCCTGGTGTTTGCCTTCCTTTCCTTGCTCGTCCTGAGACGATCCCTCAGCTCCAAGCTTCTGTATGCCTTGTTCTTCGAGACCTGGTAGTTTGTCATCAAGCTAGAGGATGTTAGCAACTTTTTGCACGGCACCAAAGCACCGCAGGTGATGCTGAATATGTTCCAGAAGGAAAAGCGGTTCCGTACTGAGTATTGGTCCCCAAAAACTCTCCATTTCCCATCTACGGGCTCCGCGGGAGGTCGTAGATTGATTAGTTCCTCCGGTACATTGGGCGGCCGGAAAGCGTAGTCGCGAGGGTTTCCGGAACCTGTCGCGCTCTCGAGAAGCCGCTTGAACCTATCAACCCTTTCTTCCGTGAAATCTTCAAAAAACGAGGAGGATTGGGCCATGTTGAAGCAAGAGCGTTTCGCGTCGGCTGTTGAGAATCCGAATTGTCACCCATTGGGAGGTGCCCGCCGTCGGGTTGGGATCGGAGACCGTAATAAGTTGGTCGTGCGCCCAGAGAATAAGTTGTCCGAGGATCTTGATTTGCCAGGAGACTCGAATTCTTTGGTGGGAAATTATGGCAAGAAAATCCAATACACGAACAAGGTTGGTCTCGGGTGAGAGATGGATCAATGAATGCTACAAATAATTGTATGTGGTGCAGGAGGGGCTTCCCTCGGAGCTCTCAATGAATTGTCCAGGATGCGCCGGCTAAACATCGGATATAGAAGCTCCAAGCAACTCTCCCCCTTCCCTCATCCCACCGCCATCAGCTCGCCTCGTCAAAGTATCAAGGCGGAACAAGCAGCGAGCTACACCGGATCCAGGACTAGTCAGGAGTTTAAGTCCCCGCGTCAACCGACGTCGCCTTCTACTTTCTTTACGCAACCCCTCGACTCCTATCCGGCTGAACCCCGGGCCCCCTCTGCGTCTCCCACAAACGCACCTCAGCGTAGCTCCGACCCAACTTCGCTACCATTCCCGCCCCCCTTTGCTAGTCATCCCTTCAAAACTTTTTCTCTCGAACCGTCCCGATCCTCCCCCATCGAGAAAATCCAATCACGCTGAAAAAACATGTCCGACGTACGTTCGCTGCTCCGGCAGCAGCAAGCCGCGCGGCGGATAGCCCACCCGCACGCGTCGTACTCCGAATCTGGCAAGCTCTCATGCACCCTATGCGGCGATCCCATCAAGACTGAGGCTCTTTGGGACACTCACATCAGGAGCGCTCCCCACCGGCAACGAATGCAGACTCTCGCCGCTGCAAGGAACGCGACCGAGAGGCGTCCGGCCGCCGGCAGGCGCGAAAAAACTAGACGTCGACGAGGACGACGACGAGATAATGGAGGACGGCGGGCGGAAAAAGAGGAACCGCGCGGACGCTGCCTCTCCCCAACCCGGCGCGGGATCCTCAGCGAGCGGTTCGGAGCGGGACGGCGAGCGGAACAGCAAGGAGCAGACCCTCACGCCGCTGAGCCAACGAACGTCCAACACCCCGGTGCACGGCGTCGAGATGAAGATTCCTCGCGACCCGCCACGCCAATGGCTTTGCGCGATAGCGTATCAAGCTCCTCCACCCCCAACGGCCACGGCGACGGCTACTTCTCGATGAGGCCCCAAGCCGCCGCCACCGCCCAGAGGCAGACATCCACGCAGCCGGCACCCCCGGGCAAGCTAGCAGCCCACGCCGCCGCAGCCGGGCAAGTCGACGAGTCCGAATGGGCCGCCTTCGAAGCCGATATCGCCGCCGCCACCGTACCTTACTCCGAGGACGCCATCATATCGGCCGACGCCGTGCCCGCGAACGGGGCGGATGACGTGGACAAGCTCGAAGGGGCCACGGCCCCGCGGACAAAGAAATCCAGGCCGAGCGCGAGGATGCCACGCGCGCCCTCGAGGAAGAGTTTGACGAGATGAGCGAGCTCGAGGCGCGCGCGCGGAGGTTAAAGGAGAAGAGGGAGGCGTTACGACTACGTAGCGCAAGCCAGCTCAGCAGCGTCACGGAGCCAGAGGTCGCGAAGCCACCATCGGGGGCTGGCAAAGAAAATCAAGACTCGTCTCGGAAACCCACCAGTGACGAGGATGGGGATGATGATGACGATGATGATGACGACTACGACGAAGATGATTACGCCTGGGGCGGTCTTCGCTACGCCGGTCGGGCATGAGTGGCGAGGAGGCTCGCTCTTGGCGCCCGTGGCTCTGGAAGCTCCCTCCGATCTTTCCCCTTCAAATCCCCAAAACGGAAGGGGGAACAAAACCAAAAGAAGAGAAGAAAAAAAAAGGGTGAAGGGGTGCGTAGGTGGGTGGGGGTGGGCGGGCAGGAAAGAGAACAAGGTCGAATCACCTTGCATCTTACTGGTCGGTCCTAGGGATGGGGAGCACGAGAGGACCTGATTCGGGGTCGTCTTGCGGAAAGCTGTAAATTATGACTGGAGCTTCTTCTACCTTCTGTGTGTGTATTTTTAGCGGTGATTATTGCGCCTAAAGCCTTGGACGTTAGCTTAGGTAGAAATCAAACAACATCGTCGTCCGTGCCGTGAAGCGCTCTGTTGACCCCGAGGTTTCCCACGACTCTTGCACGCCCTGGACATCATGTCCCATAACTGATTCGAGATGATGCCCGGCCCTCTCTCCACGGATAACACATTTAAATAAGTAATCATATAGTCGGCAATCCTGATAACGGCCTGAACCTGCAGAAGATGCTCGGCTCCAGCGGCACGATCAGGTTATGGCTTACAGCAGAATGTTGGAATGTTGTCACATAGTCTAGATTTCCAGAGACCCGTCAGCAGAACCAAATCCCGATAAAAGAAGATGCCTACACTATCTTACAACGAGCCACTAGATAACGTTGATAAAACAAAGGAGATTGAAAATTGGACGAGGCAAAGAACGCGGTATCGAAGTGACCGCAAGACAATTCTCAATCTTACAAATCTGCCGCCCGTCAACCTCAGTCATCAACATTCGTCGGCACCTGCTCCCTGCTCGTGACTTCCTCCTTCCAGACCGCCTCCACCCAAGACCTCAGGCCATCCTTGAGTCGTTCCTTCTCAATAGCCCTTCGTCTAGCTACTAAAGCAGGAGCTACGTGCACGGTGCAAAGTCCCGGCACGCATTCGCGAGGAGAACACACCGCTGCACCAGGCTTTCGGGCGATGGCCTCGCCGCCAGGCGGCGAGAGAGCCTGATGGAAATGAGCTTGCGGTTGAGGCGACGCGACACGACAGACGTTCGGCTTTGCACGATGGACCGTGCAATCAGATCGGAGCGGGATGGGCGCGATGGAGACGAGAGCAGTGGGGGCAGGATCGCCCTGTTGTGGCGGAGGCGGTTTGCATGAAGAATGGGAGTCAACGCCAGCTCCCGAAGCTGGTGATTTGCCTGCGCGGTTTTTCAAAGTCAGATTCAGAGAAACGTGACTGGGCCTCGCATCCTGATCATGGATGCGACAAGGTTGCTTTGCCGACTCGTATGCAAGCCTAGCAGCATGCAAGTCTCGGCCTAGGCTTTTCCGGGCTCTGGCCGTTCCCCTCAGCAGGCAGATTTTGTATGGCCAGAGACGGCGGCAGCTACGACCTCCTCTCAACAAGTTGCTGCCCGTATATGATACAGAAAACAAGGTTACAGGTTCCATAGGTGCATCGCCACGGGAGGGGGAACGGCTCAGATAGCATGAGTTCATGTGATACTTACCCGTGAGGTGGATAAGAGGTCGGACACGTCCAAGAAGCCAAGGATGTGAAGGAGAACCTCGTTTGGAAGGGTCAAGAGAACCCCAGGTGGCGGCAAAGATGCATCAATAGCCTCTCCGTAGCGCTGAGTGATCTCAACCGTAGTTGGGCAGACCGCGCCAGTCATCCTGCGATAGGTGGGTTACGAGCGGAGTCAGGCAGGAGCACACGCCGTCAAGGCAGTGTGTAGTGGACCGACGCACACTCAAAGTATTTTCCGGTGAGGGGTTCCGCTAGACCACAGAGCTTGTCAATTCTCCGCGGCCTTGTGGATCGCTGTCAAGGTGGGAGGTGGGCGGTGGGCAAGGCGATCAAATGTAAGAAAAATGCAAACAATACGCTCTCAGGCTCCTATTCACCCTGCCGGGGAGTGGACGAGAGGTAGGGATCGCCTGCGAACACCAGACGGCTAAAGGAGCAAGAGCTGGGTTCCGGCTTTCGTCTTGGCGCCTGGAAGCTTGGTAGCAGTCCTGCAAGTGACCTCCCAGGTAGCGACGAAATTTCCAAAGCCTCTTTTGTTCAAGAGGGGTCCTAGATCCGATTGGGATGAGGGGACTTTGGGAGTTTTTTTTTCTTCTTTTTTTCCTTCTTTTTTTGTTTCCAACCCGACTCTAAGTGAAGCTCACGGCGGGTGTGAAAGAACAGGGTTCCTTGTCAGGGAGGGAGCCGGGCGGACTCGTTTCCGTGAGCAGAGGCCTAGCGTAGATGCACAAGAACAACACAAAGCTGTCCTCGCAACGCTGCGGCTCGATGCGGAAGTCAGGAGCGTGTGCGATGCTGGATAATTGGGCCTTGACACCGGCCGCAGCTAAGGGGGCAGACAGGAGACAGGGGCAGCGCTGCAACGAACAAGCCCAAGGAGCGGTTCCGCTAATAGTTGGGTGGTAAATGGATGGAGGTGAATGCGAATGTTTCGTCTGCTTATTCTGAACCTTGCCACACGTCGTTAACACGGGCGGCCGGGCTATCGAGTCTTGCCACACTATGATAGTTTGATATCTGTAAAGCGCGGGTAGGGTGGGCTAGGCTAGGCAGGCAGGGAGGTAGGTAGGCAGGTAGGCAGGTAGACAGGCAGGCGGGCAGGCAGGCAGGCAAAGGCCTAGCTGATAGGGGAAGAACGGAAGAGGTCTCTGTCCGTGTTGTGTGATTTCGTGTGGGGCGCTGCAGATTTACAAGGACGCAGCGCGGGGAAAATAACACCTCGCGCCTCGCAAGATGCACAGCGGGAGGAAGGTGTAGCTGCAGTGAAAGAGAAACAGGGCTCCTGAGATCATGTAATGGGTGGCGATCACCGGAGAATGAGGCGGGTATGCAGGGATGGAAAAGATCGAGAAGAATGATGAGAGAGAAACGGGAGACTACCGAGTTGTCCGAGTTCCTCCCATCACACTCGGAGGGCGCGAGTTCAAGTTTGGGTCGATGCCTGCTCGCGCCGGCCAAATGACAACAGGAGGTGAAGTGGGGTGGGGTATCAGACTTGTCTTGGCTGGTGAGTTTCTGAGGCGCTATGACGACGCCCACTCACAATTAGCACGCGCTTCCAGAAACAGAAACAATGGATGCGCCAACCACTATCATAGAAGAACCTGACCTAGAGCATCTACCAGGGCTGAGTGAAAGGGACAAGGTGGGGGAGAGGTGGAAACCAAAGAAGAAAAAATGAGAGAAGAAGTACCGAAAGAAGAAGATGAGGGGAAAAAAACGCCAAAAATTCGGCGGAAAAGAGCAAGGGCAGACATGAGATGAACTCGCCCCAGACAGGCGAGTATCAACGCGAATTGATCAATTGCGAAACCTTGGATAGACGCTACGGAGTGGCTCTTCGGCCCCCTTGGTTCGGGGCTCGGGGACCTGCGACGCAGAGGAGTCACAGATCCGGGTCTCCAAGGAAGCAGCAAATTTCAATCAAAACTTTTGAGATCAGGCTGCCCCGTCTTTGGCCTTGACCGATCGAAACGGCCAGCCCATAATTGGTAGGCCGCACCAGCCTAATTCTCGCGGTCTGAGGGTCTGCGGGCCAGAGGCGGCCGTGGCTGATTCTGAGACATTCATCATTCAAAAGCACCAACAATGAGAAGGGAAAATGCGCACGGAGCGCCATATTCTTTCCCTCACAATTGATGTAAGTTGAAGGTTGTGAGCTCCGTGTCCCGCACTGTGGCTGTGGCTCCCACTAGAACGTTGTTGGCTCATCGTCTAGACCAGAAGACGAAATAATAATAAAAGAAACCATAATAATGAAATAATGGTGTGTAGAGTCCCGGTCCGGGCGGAGAAGGGACAACAGTCATACCCAAGTATTGTTTTCTGAAGCGTGAATCACCCCGAGGCCGAGAAGCAAGTGTTGTGACGCAAGTACGTCCAAGGCAGTGATGGATCTCAGCTACCAAGTACATTGATACTCGTGCCGTAGCTTGCAACCCCAGCCAGGGCCGGAGACCCGTGCAAGTCGCTCCCGCCAACCTGAGAATGATTTTCCAAGTACGACACCAGTGGAATTCATCGAGGTACTACCGTTGCGATCACAACATAATTTACAGGACGGCGCTGGCGTTGAGAGATTCCCTGGCCGGATCTTTCTCCTGCAAGAATTCCAAAGCGACATTCCCCCTTTGGTTTGGCTTGGGTAGCAGGAATGGAATTGAAAGAACTTGCATGTCAGGTGGAACCTTCCCAAAACGGAAATAACCACCACGATATATAGCAGCCTCAAGATATTCACACAAATCCCGAGATGCTTCAACTTGCACAGAGCCACCATGTATTGAATACCAGCACAACAGGTGCAATAGCGGCAAACTGCGCCGTTACAGGTACTCTCTCACCGCCCCCCTTCCAAAGGTTTATCCACATCTTACCACCATGCCAAGTCCGGCCCGCCAACCGCGAGGGGTGCCAGTGAGGCCGTGGCAAAAGCTCTCGAGCAGCTCTCCAGCACAAATTCTTCAGCCCATCAGGACCCTGGTTCTCACCGAAAATCTGTCCCAGATCTTGGGATTAATAGCACCCCTCCAGGTTATCCTTACCCGTAGGAATGCATGGGAAGCGAGGGGAGGGGGTGGGGGTGGGGTGTGTCTCGAGAGGGAAAAACAGACAAAGAAAAGGAAAAAGAAAAAGAAAAAAAAAGAAAAAAAAAAACAGACGAAGCTGGGCCGCTATGCACAACTCCTCCCCTGGCCATGCCATCCCATATTACACACCTTTGCCCGCGCCCCGACATCTCCACTCCCACCCATCCGCTCGCCGGCATGCTAATGCTACTTTGCCCGACGACTGATTTCACTCCTTGCTGACGTGGAGGTCATGGAGATTGAGGTCCTCGGCTGGCGCATCTTGCTATTCTCGGATCCCCTCCCCTGAGTATCGTCCGTCAGAGAGGACGTTCAGGGCCCATCTCTCTCCCCTCCCTCCTTCTCGCCTTCCCTCCCCCATTTCCCTCCTCCGCTGCGCCTCTCCAAACCCTCTCTAGTGGTCTTTGGAGCCGGAAACACCATCCGCGGTTGCTTCCGGTGTTCCCCGCCGTTCCCCGCCGCTCTGCCTCTTCGTACCTGCGCAGGCATCAGTAATTTTCATCTTCCGTTTTCTCTCCTTTGCCAGTATCCAAGTAGGTGTGGGGTGGTAAAGGAATCTTGCGAGAAGTTGCGCTCACCCACCCATGTTGACCACTGGTCTCTTAACATAGCGAAGAGGCGAGATCCGCCGGCCTTAGTGCGAGTTCGGAGTGTCTCCGCTCAAGCCCTCGACCCTAGGCCTTGTCAGTTCATCCATTGACACACCCACCACACAACTGAGCTCACATCTTCCCATTCCCGCTACCCATATTCCCCCTCGATCTAGGCTAGGTGGTGGGCCGCAATGGTATTAGCTCTTCCCCCTCTTAGACAAGTTTCGCTCAAGCGCTGGGAGGGCTAGCTCCCAAGCCCCTTTCAACTGAGAGCCTTTTCTTTCTTCTTCCCCTTGGGCCGCAACTCATCAACATAATCCGTCCAACCCAACCGTATTTGAATCCCCTACCTGTGGTGGGAGCGGCGCAACTCGGAGAACCATAGCTTTGCTTCCTCTCGTCTTTGTCGTTCTAATTCAGGCTATCAGTTAGCGCTGCTGGTACGGGGTAGCTGTCCCAAACTTGTGTTTTCTACGTTTCGTTGACTGTATAATCTCGTCTTGAAATCCACTACTTTTGCTTTTGCCTTTGTACCTTCTCGAAGGCCACGGAAATCTTGATCCATTCATGGTTTCTGCTGGGCGAGGTACCTAGTCTCTACTTGCCATCACTCGAGTTGACGTCCATCTCTTTGGCCTTTGAAACACCCGTAGCACCGCCAGACTTATAGAGGCGGGAAACCCGGCGTGGGTACAGCCCTCAGGTACGTTCCCTCAGCCTCAGCCATCAGTGGAGGCGGACATCCGCAAAAGGCACCTCGAGTGGGTAAGTGACTCTCCCAACCAGGGAGGACCACGCTACTCGTGTCACTGGCTTCCTCTACCTCCATTCCTATCAGCATCACGCCGCTTGGATCTACGCGCAGTGTCGCAATCATGATGATTCATGCGCAAAGTGCCGTTCTTCCACTCCTCTTCCGGACCCTTCGCGGGCCATCTTCGTCCTCTCACGTTGTACCCCGTAATTCTCGAACTCGGTTTTTCCCCCAACCCAAGATGCCCAAACGAGTCCCTGCTGCTTTCCCAAACGGAAAATGGAGCGTCCTGAATTGAAAGAAAGTGGAATAAATGGCGTTTCTTCCTGCCACATACACAAATACAGTCTATGAAAAACTGTGCCGCGTTCTTAGGATTCGAGGCGTTCGCAGTAGCACCATTTTGTCACTACGGTACTTATACCCTAACCCGAAGCCTCGTCGTTTCGAGTGGTGTGTGCTTGCCGAATGCACGGCACTCGTCGAAACTCGAGTTGCCCCTGAGGGCTGCCCAATCATGACCCGAAACGACCTTGGACGAGGCTACAAGCCGCAGGAGGACCACATGGGGCCTTGCTATTGCCACTTAAATCGGTGGTGGATGTGACAACCTACATGACATCAAGGTTGGGTGTGGGCAAAATCCATGCATTACCTAAAGGAGGTACATGCACGCTGTCCACTACCTGCATCAAGTTCTCTTCTGTCT